AAAGGGGGAAAAGCCGTGCGATGCGGTCTAATTCGGAGGTTGCGCTGAGTGTGAGGTGGGAACCTGAGGGGTTGGTTGGTGGGATGTGCGTACAATATTAGCGACAGGATCGACTCAAGCTGCGTATGGACTAAGCAGACAAAGAGAGCGGATTGTTTAAAAAAAAAAAAAAAAAAAGGGCCATTGTAGGAAAGAGGAGACGCTGGTGACGGGGGCCCGATGAAGAATGGAGACAAGCGTTGACCTGTGATTCGGTAAGCCGAGCCGGCTTGGTATTCACAGATGCTGGCTGCAAGTACTCAAATGGTAGCTGCAAACGTCATCGGCTTGCGCAAACACTGTGCGGGGAGAGCTGCGGCTAATACCATCTGACAGTATGGCGCTTGCCGCGATACTGGGCGCCTGCAGGATGGTCGACATGATGGGCGACTTCCTCACTGGGGACTCAGTGAGGATACGTACCTCTTCCGCCCTAGAATCGGCAGGACCTTACCTTCCCTTTGGCATGCCAGTTCTCTCCGGTTTTTGTTTTGCTGGCAACCTCGGTCATTTGCCTCTTTGCCCTTTCCGCTGCCCCCCCGCGCGACTTTTTTTTTTTTGTGTTCACGAAAAATATTGTTTTTTTTCTCTCGCTATTATTCGCACAAAATACGCCGATATACCGAAATGAGTCCGGACAAAACAGAGGGGCTACAGGAGGGGGAAGGGAAAAAGAATCAACAGAGCTAGTAATGAGCAACGTCTCCATTGGTTCCAGCTGTTCCCCCAGCAGCAGCAGTAGCGAAACACACACGGAACAAGAGCTGAGGGTTGTTGGTCTTTTCTCAGAAGAAGCTGAAGGTGACACATGCAAAAGCACTACTAAACATGACAGGCTTTGCGGCATGCTGTGGTTATCCCACGCTATGAGGTCGTCCAAGACTTTTTCCAAGCCCAAAAAGAGAAGACGCACAGTTCGCAGATAGTCCCTTGTGCACCTTGCGCAGACCCCGTTCTTGGCTTTTCTCAAACCCATGGAAAAAGTGAACCCCTCCCAGCCCTGAAGGTCGACTTTTGCCCACGGCCTTGCTGCCCCTCCCTATTGTTGGCCCGGCTCGCATCTGAATCTGGCGCCTGGATGCAGCCAGCCAGCCCACTGCCGTTCTCAAAGCCGCTTTTCTCATTGCAGATTTGGTCTTGGCCATGTCCGATTCGATTTGCAACCCACTCTTTTCGCACTACTCCGTCATGGAAGCATGCCCACCGACCGCACCAAACCGACCACAGGACGGCACAACCCTGCCTTGTTCTTGTGTACTTTTCTACCGTTTCTCCATGTCATCGATCAAACCGCACGCCATCTTTCCCCATCCCGGCAAGAAAGCTCGGGAGTCCCTTGACACATTCCCTGACACTCCCAGGCACTCTTCACTGCTTATCATTGCTGCACTAGCCAATGTGTGCCGCCGCCGTGTGTTGCCTACAACCATGCCAGGCCAGGTCAACGCAACCTAACCCAAGGCAATGCTGGCAATGTACGTAGGTAGATGGACGGTGATGCCAAGTGGCACGTACGCTACGTACGTTCCTTCACTCCAACGGGAAAATGATGGACTGCGTCTGCGTGCTGACTTGTCTACCGCCCCCGGCATCTTCTCCCCGAAACAGCACCAGGTTGAAGGACCAGAGGAATGATGGGTGTAATTCTACGTAATGATACGACAGCCCATCGCCACATGCCGATTCCATCCGGTGCAACTGGCAGGATTTGGCTTGCGCAGCGCCCGGGGGACCTTGCTTATGTCAGGCATCTTTTTCTTTGTCATTGTCTTTCTTTCCCAGCCCAAACTGCCCGGCGGCGACCTGAAGCTGTTCTTGTGGGTGGTGGCCTGTCGCGACCCGCGGGCTTTTCTTAACAATGGGCCGCGGGCATCACCGTGGGACACGGCTACGTAAGTTGCCCTGCATTTTTTCTGCTCATCGGGGGGGGCTCAGCTGGCAAATCCCAAAGCGGAATTACTTGAGACTGAGCCACTGACTCCGGAGTGTGTCAAAAAAAAAAAGTGACTGGCAAGTAGGTATTCATTACATAGCGAGTACGGAAGACTGGCAAATCTCAGAGTAATAAATCATTAAACCTAGGCAAAGACGGATACCTCTGTTAGGTAAGATGGTCGCCTGGGCCGGCGTGTACCTGGCCTGCCCCAGACTGAAATGCGCAATTGTCTCCATCCAAGGCCTTTCCGGCTGCCGACTCGTCCAAGTAGGTTGTCATTGTTGTCATGTCCAATAACCCCATCACCCCCCCCCCCCCCCCCCCCCCCCCCATCTCTGTACCTCGACTAGTCAGTCCGATGGTGCTGATGTACTGCGCGTCGTGTAGTTTGCTTTCCTATTCCTGCCATGCTCATCGGTCATGTACGGGTGTCCCGACCGCAAAATTGTTGCTACTGCACACTAGCCGCCAAACTTGTATCCGTTTTCTGACTCTCAACCACATGTCCTTTCCTTCTCTCCTTACGTATTCTAACCTTATTATTTGTTGCTTTCTTCTTTTCTATTCCCCCATTCCCATGCCAGGGTCCACTCCGCCCAAGCCTTTTGTTGCATCTACGTTATTGTTACTGCATCTATTGCCTGCTTCCCGCTCCGTGTCCGCACCGCACCTGGGGGTGGCTGTGGTTTCTAGGACCTTGGACCTTGGAAAGGTTGCAAGTGACAGAAGCGGAGCCGGAAAAAAAAAAAAAGACTATCAGACACCAACAACACCGGATTCCGTCACTGTACTTGTCGATACTTGCGTCAGTAAAATTACTCTCTACCTTTTTATCCAGGCGTGCCTGGCTTGTTTCCACCTTTGGAAACGTCTAGCGGTATTTGATGCACTTTTTTTTTTTTTCCTCTCACTCCTGTTCGCCCGCACTCTTGTCTCCTTCTCTCTTCGTCCATCCCTGACCATTTCCTGCCCTCCCATCCTCCCATCCTTTTTTCCTAATTAGCCTCGCTTCCTCGTACGGAGCCTCTCCATCAAAACGGGGAAAGAAAACGCCACACAAACAAGACAAAAAGGGAAGAGTGAGAGGGTGATGGAGAAATAAGTTCTGGTACTACTGTTCTGCCACTCCCAAATCTCATGAACCTAATGTACTGTATATGTACTCAATCATGACCGTGACTGTCCACATTACCCTCCTACTTCAGCCCTGCTTGGATACTTTCCGTCGCTGTACGCACCACAAGCATTAGCCAGACATAATAATTACCTACCGCTTACAAGCGCATTCTGGAGGCGTCTCTCCTGTTCCCCACAGGGCCGCCAGTAACCACGAGCTTGAAGCCTAGCAACCGCTTCTCAAGTCACCTCCTGCTTCCCACCACCACCACTACCATCGTGTGCTACACTAGATACACACACCCACACACACGCACCCAACACACACCTCATCATACCTTACTCACCCACTAGGTCCCAGTTTCTGCCGAGCGGGACCTCGCACCTTGCCCTTTTCGCGCTCCGCTGCCCTAACGGTAGTTTGGTCTGCCTCTGCCGTACCAGTATATCAGCACGCCAACGCCTTCGCCGGTCTTCCACCAAGAACTGCGAATCACGATCACGTCCACGACCAACATCCAACAGTCACACCGACCACCTTGTTGTTCGTAAGACGACTGACTGTGTGGCCGACAAACCTACCACTCGTGGGGGGGTTGCTGACATATCGAATCTTTGGCGGTAACCAAACTTTTTCCAGCCTCTCCTCCCTGGAACACCTTATTGTTCCTCCCCAAGTTGCTCTCCCCTTGGGAACTTGATTGCAGTTCTACCTACCTTGCTGGAACTAGACATCTCACCTCGCTTACACCGCCGCGGCTTTCTTGTTCTTACCCCTTCTTTTTCTCTGTTCCCTCTGTGTTTTTTCTTCACCTTTCCCCCTTCAGCGAAGCACTAGGAGCGGGCACCACTACCGCACCAGCAGCTACCAACCACAACAAGGACCTGCGGCCCATCAGCTGTGAACAATAGTGTGCCCAGGTACCGGTACCGGTACCAGTACCTATACTTCTGGGGACCTTGACCTGTACAAGCCCGGTGGAGGCCACTCTACACTGCATTTCTCAACTGCACCGAGCTGCAGGGCAATCCAATCTTTCTCCGTTGCCCCACCACGCCCACCTCGACCCTACTTTACCTCAAGACGCTACACATCCTGCGCTACTTACACCAGGCCACCTGCGGTTGCGACCTGCCTGCTGATTTTATTACTTTTTGATCTTATTTTTCCTCCCCTCCCCCTTCCCACTTGGGGGCCCTGTCTGTTGCCCACTGCCACCAGACCAGACCGCTACTGGAACACCGCCGCCGCCGCTTCTGGGCCAGGCTCGCTCATTCTCCGACCGCCTTGACCTGTGCCTCCATCCCTCACCTACATAATAGCTTAATCCCTACGCCCCGTCCCAACTCCTTCGTCTTATTACTTCTTCTCCCGACCTTCTTCTCCAAAACTCTGAATACTGCGGTAACCCCAATTCTTGTCCCCAGACAAATTTAGAAAAAAAGGGGGTTGAAACAAGTCTGCTATTTTGTCCGTCCTGCGAGTCACGTCTTCTTGGGCCCGAGCCCTCCCACTACGCCTAGGCGTTCTTGACGCCACAGCGTGCCCTTGTCAGACCTGAGCCTCGAGTCTCGACGGCACTCGCGAGTCGATTTCAAGTCGCAAAAGTCAAAGACTACTATCCCCCACCAGTCGCCTGCATAACCCGCCTCGGCTGCCCCTCTGCACAGTGCTGTAACCTCTGTGTTTTGCTGCTGCACCTTCCCGCGGCTGACAACAACCGTCCGTCACCGACAGCCGGAGCCAAGGAAGACAAAACCAAGAAAGAAAAGAGGCGAAAAATAAAAGAAGGCAGCCAGCCGGTCGCATTCGCGTATTTACCGCCTTCGTTCTCCCTTTCACGCGCCCGCTCCGAATCTCGCTCGTCAACTCCACCCCTGCTGCTGTTGCTGCTGCTGCTGCGCGCTCATGCCTTCAGCTTCTCCAGCCATGGCGAGCCCAACAACCGCTTCTGCTGCCAGTTCTAAACCTTCCTCAGTGAAGTCGGACGGCAAAAAATCGCCGCGTTTGACCCCGCAGAATGGCCAGCCCATTACCAACGGCAATTCGTCTCACGAGGCGTTGCCGAAACCTACCGAGAAACCCTCAATGAAGGACAAGCTCACACGCATGTTTTCAACGAAAGACGCCAGCCGGAATTCTATTGAAGTCCCCCACCGTCCCCGCGGTTCCAGCTTTAATGAGAGCACGAAACCCAACCCTCCCAGCAGAAAACCCTCTTCGACCACCGCAGAAAAGATTCCCGACAAACCTGCATCTAAACCTCCCAAGACGCCCGCCAAAGACCTCCACCGATTCATGATCAACCCAGACGCACAGGGTGGTCATGAGCACCACCTCAAGTCAAGTCGTCGGCAAGAGAAGCTCTCCGACATGTGGCGCACTTTAATCGGCAAGAAGCAAGACCAACCGGAAAATGATCTCTCACTTGTTTCCAACTGGGTAGACACCCTCAAGGCAGAGAAAGAAGACATGGCTGGTGACAAGAAGAACGGTCCGAATGCGACCACCACACTGGTGGAGAAGTACGGCAAGTGCCAAGAGGTCGTGGGTCGCGGTGCCTTTGGCATTGTCAGAATATCCCACAAGAAGATTGAGAACGGCTCAGAAAAGTTGTTCGCCGTCAAGGAATTCCGCCGCCGACCGGAGGAGACGGAGAAGAAATACAGCAAAAGGCTGACAGCCGAGTTCTGCATCTCGTCGTCGCTCCGACACCCCAACGTCATCCACACCCTCGACCTGCTGAAGGACGCCAAGGGAGACTACTGCGAAGTCATGGAGTTCTGCGCAGGCGGTGACCTGTACACCCTCGTCCTCTCCGCTGGTAAGCTGGAAGTGCAGGAGGCAGACTGCTACTTTAAGCAGATGATGCGTGGTGTCGAGTACCTCCACGAAATGGGTGTTGCCCACCGTGACCTGAAGCCAGAGAACCTGCTTCTCACCACTCGTGGTGGCCTCAAAATCACCGATTTTGGAAATGGAGAGTGCTTTCGGATGGCCTGGGAGACAGATCCTCACATGGTCTCCGGTCTCTGCGGTTCTGCCCCATACATCGCACCTGAAGAGTACACCGATAAGGAGTTCGATGCCCGTGCAGTTGATGTGTGGGCCTGTGGCGTCATTTACATGGCTATGCGCACCGGTCGCCACCTCTGGCGTGTTGCTCGCAAGGACGAGGATGAGTTTTATGCCAGATACCTGGAAGGACGACGTGATGAGGAGGGATATGGACCGATTGAGTCCTTGCACAGAGTAAGTCAGCCTGCTATCTGTTGATGAGATCAGCTCCTAACATTTTTTTTTCCTTCTCCAGGCGCGCTGTAGAAATGTGATCTACTCTATTCTGGATCCTAATCCCACCCGTCGCATCACGGCTTCTCAGGTCCTCAAGTCAGAATGGGGCCGTGAAATCAAGCTCTGCAAGGCTGGCGAGGAGGGTCTTTGATCGGCATGCTCAGTTCGATTCAGCACTTGACGACAGAAGAGTTTGTACCTTTCAATCAACGCCACGGCGTAACGGTGAAAGCAACCAAAAATCAACCTGGCACAACAATAGAAGATGCACCTGCACATCAGGATGCACAACCGGCGGTCTTTTTGAGTTCTCTTTCGGCCTGCTTCGATTCACCCATTACACTTATTTTCCTGACGATTTTACGACATCCCCATGCGACCTCGTTATCGCGAGCATCGGCGTTTGGAGTTTTCCTCATCCTGCTTACAACACAATCTTTCTGTTCAACACGTACATATGACAACCCCCCGGTCATTGGAACGGGCAATCGCAGAACTACGCTACAGAGCCGGGCCTACAATTTTTTTTTATTTGGGTCGACTGGGCCAGCAGTCCCCAACCCTTACGGAATGAAGCTATAATGAGCGACGGGATTTTGAGAGAGGGAGAGAGAGGCATCGAAGGTGTGGAACTGGCGGGCTCTGTAGAAGGAGCCTAGCCGGAGGGCTACTGTGGGATGGGATGGGATAGTATTGGTAAGGGCAGATGCAGACGCTACTGCGTCCATCTTAGGAACACGGGGGAGACTGCACGTTTGGGTAAGCTGTTTCCCGAGCCCGCGCACCAGGCAGCCAGCCTGTTTGGAAAAAGTGCCGTGTGGTCTCCCTTACCTGGTCCACTCGCTTTGGTCTTATAGTGAGTGGCTGTATTCTGAGCCAAAAACCCAAAGAACAAAAAATTTAATGAACAAGCAAAGAGGAGCGGCATCCTGGGTGATCATTTTGTGATTGTTCTCTGTGTGTCCTCGCCAAACTCTTTGCCATTATTTGCTACGTCTTTGTGGTGTGGCTTATGAACGGTTCATTTTTGGCCGTTCATGCTTTAGATGCAGTCTCTGTCGGCCATTGTCACCTGCTCTCATCTCGATAGGCGATAGGCCAGTGTCTCTTCAGTCTTACAAAAGGTATCCCAAGGCAAGCGTCGTCATCTGCCTTCCCCCCCCGCGCGTGCGGGCTCTTCAAGAGAGCCGAGCGCGACATAAGGTTGTTCAACCACCATACCAGGTCCAAGCTACGTAGCGAACCTTAGCCATGTGCAGGACATCTGACAAAAGATGACGATTTATCCGACAAGGATGATAGGATGGATTTCTGGAGTGAAAGCGCTGAGGGAAGATCGCGGATAGCGGATGGCGAATGGTGAAGGAGAAAAAGAGGGTTTTCTGCGCGTCTACGTTTTCTGGGCCGTCGACGCGTGTTCGGAGAGGAAGTCAAAATATTACCTGGTTTCCTCTTCTCCCCCTTTTCTTCATGCTTCTTCTCCCCCACGCCCTCTCTTAATACGTCAACCGGACATTTCTTCAACGGGGGAAGAGGGAGGTCCACATCCCCCGCCGCCGGTAGTCCCGCACCGAGGGTCCCGGGATGGAAGTGGGTGTGTTAGGGGAAGGAAAGAGGGTGGTGGGGGAGGACACCGCCTCGACTTGGCAAGCCCAGCTGTCTGGGCCGACCTCAGATTGATTCAAAGCCGGGACGAATCTTGCGTCTTGGCCTGCGTTGTTTTCTCTTACCTGCCCCGTGGTTCGCTTCGGAGTCCTGGAATATCCTGGAACTCGGCCGCGGGAGAACCTCTTTTCATTTTGCCACGAGTGACATTGCTTGGCTTTCGCTGCGCCTTGAATGTGAATATACACCTTGCGTGCATATATATACATTTCGTATACGTAGAGGGGCGGTAGGAGGAGGGGAGGGTATCTTTGTGTCTTTGCTCATGACTGAGGTCTTGGTTACTGAGATGCGGAATACCTAGCTTCACTACTTGGTAAGTCCTCCCCCCCCCCTAATTTTCCCTTCTTCTCTGTCACTTTTTCGTCAGCGTCCACGAGGCGTCTCTGTACTCGCCGTCTTCTGGCTCTGGCCCGGCATGACGGGGCCAGGAAAGCGATGGACAGCACAGCGGCACACCGCCTCTTTCCAGCTGACGCCTGGGCCCGGCTTCCTCAGCACACCCACAAACGCATGCACACATGAAGACATACCTTCAGGCCAGCTGGGGTCGCCTCGTGCCATCGCAGAAGCTACTCGAGATCCGGCAGCCCGGGATGCCGGACGACGGCGCTAGTCCCGGTACCAGGTAGGATAAGAAGGGAAAATACCGAACGAACCCACCGGCGTCATCGATTTTCGACACACGACCATCCACCCACCCATCGGAGAAGTGGTGGTTCCAAAAAAAAAAAAAAAAAAAGAAGACATATACATCCTGGTCCGGCTTTGTTCGACCACCTTTGGCGCTGGGATCTAACGTGGCGCGCGCGCGCGCACTCAACTTTCCTGGCCCCAACCCCACACCCCCTCCATCTCGTGCCGTCATGCTGCTAGTCTACAGAGTAAACTCTAAAATACTGTGCCAGAAACAAAAACCCGCAGTACCAGTTAGCAAGCTACCTAGCTAGCCAGCTCTACCCAAGCCACTGCTACCTTGCGTCTTCACTTCATTCCTCCCAAAGTCTCCTCCATGGCCCCCTTCTTCCCCCACCATAACCGGAGTGGGAAAGGGTACTACTTATTACGTAGAATACACAGCCACACCAAACAAACGCCAGACTCAAACCCCTCGATAATCCCCCTCCCCCCCTTCCCACCACCACTTCCTCCGGATCCGGAGCCGGTTGTTAGCCCGGGCGGGCCCGAGCCGTCTACGACTCACATACCCAGAGCTAGACAACACTGCCCAGAACATTATGCCCTTCTAGAAGCCCTTCGGCCTGTGGGGGTGACTTCGGTGCCTCCGAGACAAACGGGCAGCTAGCGATGTGACTCTCTTCCCCGCGAGCGTCGTGTGGTTCTTAGTAACAACCCATTCGAGGCGATGCGATACTATCTTGCCGCAGTTGTCATAGTCTATCTTCTCTCTTCTTGAGGAGAGCCAAAAAAAGAAGAAAAAAAAAAAAAAAAAAAAAAGGGCAGCGGAAAAGGTATTTCTCGTTGCCCTTGGCAGACCGATGAAGCCGGGAGGGCTACTACATCTTGCCGAACCCCCGGCGTTCCGGGCCCCTCCCCACTTACGCTTTACACGGTCGTGGTCAACGGACGTCGCCGTCGGGGTCGGGGGCCGGGAGCCGAGGGAAAAAAACGTAACTTACACTGGCCGACAAAAGACCCGGTCGTTATATCCCAGCTACCGATTTGTCGGTCCGCAGACCTGTTACCAAAAATGGGGGGGGGGGGGGGGGGGGGGGGGAGGGTTTCTAGGTCGTTAACTCCTCCATGGCCCCCTTCGTACTTATATCGGTGACCTACCAAGGTTGGGTGTATATGTAAGCTGGGGGATGTAGTCTACAGGCATCACAGTCCCAGGACCGCCCGCCCGACCGACATCCTGTCTGTAAGAATTTTGCCAGGCCGGGACTCCCTTCCGCTTTCCTGCGCCACGAAGACACGACGACACACCCAGTTGCATCCCCATTCTTGGCCCCCTCCTCTTCTTTGAACCCGCTTGCTGTGCCCCAACCCCCCACTGTGAACACCTGCCCTCCTCCCCCTCGCAGAGTCGTTCCTCAACCTCTTCCACACGGTTCCTGCTCGGATGGTCACCATGTACGCCCCGTCACATCATGGACGTAGATAAGCTACAACTTACCAAAGAGCCTGTGCTGAGGAAATTGTCGTCCCACAACATAGCCTAGAGTGACATGGTGTACACAATAACGACCGTAAGTCTTGGAAGGGCGGATGAAGGCCAGCATCCGCTTACGCTTGCTCGTCTTCGACCTTGATAGCAAGTTAAAAGTGATAGACTTGTTCGCATAAACAAAAACACACACTCAGTGCCGCCTCGCCATTCATTATAATCACACAAGAAAGATAAAAGACTCGGGTGTAAAGCCCAAAGGCTCTGTATATGCGTGCCAGTTCTTGACTATCCATTGCTCCGATATACATTGCCAGACCAGGCGAGTGGCGCCCGGGTTGGCAGGCCCCAAACGTGAAACAGAGACACACCGAAGAGGCCGTCGGCCGCCCTTCCTCCTCTGCAGACGACCCCTTGATAATACATACAGAGACACACTTTCCCCTCTTCTCTGCTCGTGAATCTCGTACCGACCCTGTCATTTTCCCATGATAAAAAAAACACCCAGAAAGAAAACACGAACAAAGCAAATAAACGCCTCAAGGCGCACGTCTTTGAATGTCAGCGCAAGAATCGAAGCTTTGATTCCTCCCCAAGACGTAACCCGTCCCCCACAAGAATAGAAGCAACCCTAAAGCCGGAAGCGCCGACCACCTCGCGCCCGCCAGCCGCGTGTAAGCGAAAATCGACCATTGCTTCCTCAAAGCGAGGAACTGGAAGTCGTGATGATCGGTTTCGTTCGTTTTTGTTGTTGGAGAGACGTGTCGTGGTGGTGGTCCCTCGGTAGTTACACAGACATTATATCCCTGACCCGAATTCCTCCTGCCTGTATTTTTTCCCTCTGATCTTGGTGTAAGGTGAGCAGCAAAGAGCAACAATCGACATGAAACAGACTGCTCCGAACCAATGCAACGTAGTCGAAATCGAGTCGACGAAGATGCGGGGCCGGTTCCCGCTGGTAAATGAAGGCCAAGAAGCAAGCGATGATTGTGCCCACTTCTTGCCGAAAGAGAATTGAAAGAAAAAAAAAAAAGTAAAGAAGAAGCTTCAAGTCTGCATCTTTTTTAAGAGTGGAACAAGTCCCAGGCTCTCTCGCATAACCGCAGGAATTCCTCCCGCTTCTGTCTCTGGGTCTCAGGGGTGTCACGGCCCGCTCCGAAAGGACCTCTCCTTTGTGACGCAGGGCCGTGTCCAAGAGGGGGACTGCCGTCCTCGTACTCTGCTCGTGTGCGGCGACGGCTTGTGCTGCGGCTTGGATCTGCCGCTCTGCTGCCGGGCGCAGGAGATGGCGGGGTTGGTGGTTGGTGAGCGCCGCCGTAGTGTACGATCTTGGGCAGAAGCTCAGGACGTCCTCCAGTCATCTCGTGTTGTGCCTCCTCGGCGGACTTGTACTCCCTGGTGCGAGCAGAAGTCGGAGGTTGCTGCATTTGCTGCGGGGGGTGGCCAGGAGAGGCTAGCGGAGCGCGTGCGCTGTTCTGGGGGTACAGAGAGTTGGGGGCGTTCTCAGGATGGCCGGAGACTTGACCAAAGACATCACTGATAGGCGGTAGGCGGTTGTTAGTCTGGTTTGCGGGAACATGGTGGATATGAGATGTGTTGGAGAGAGTGTTGGGTTGGTTTGCGATGTGGCGAGTCAAAGGAGCAGGGTGCTGGCGACCGGTGAAGGAGTGGCCCAGGGGCGCAGACTGGATAACGCGCTCGTTGGCGAACTGCTCAGCAGATGGCGGCAGGATGGAGAGCTGGGCCTTGTTCCTGCGGGACAATCCAGGGGTCTTGGCAGCAAACTGCGATACGGGATCCTTGCCGGCAGTATCGGGGCCATCGCCCTTGGCCGACTGCTGCTGCATTCTCTGCTCAATGATCATGCGCTGTTGGTCTCTCACGCTCATGCTTCGCTGGAGCTGTTCCTTCATGATCGGGTCCTGGGTGACGAAACCAGGCGAGAGACAGGCCAGGCCAACCTCCTGAATGCCCAAGTTCTCACGGGCAGTCATGGGCCTTGCGGTCTGGGGAGCATTAGACCCCGGGTGCGCGCCCTTGGAAAGGTCGAGCTTGCGAGGCCTGTGACGAGTGTTTGGCAGGTCTGGAGAGTTGGGCTCCTTTTTCACAACAATCTTCGGAGGGCCGCCGCTTCGCGAACTGCGATTAAAAAAGTTAGCTGACATGCGGCAACACAAACATGGTGTTCGGCTGTAACTCACGCGCTGGGAGGAGAGGACTTGGGAGCCTGTGCGGCACCACGAGGGCTGCCGCTGCCTGAACGATGCGCAGTTGCATTGGGGGTGCCTGTGGGAGCGAGAGTCCTTTGTGCGGCGGGTGAAGAAACTGCATGCTGCGCGGAGGGCGCGGGGGCGAGATCTGAAGAAAACGACGGTCTGTCGTGAGGGGCTGGAGAGGGAGCCATTGCGACTGCTGTGCTCATAGTTGCTGTGTGTGTATGTGAAAGAGAAAGAGGTTGGGAAATAGGAGAAGCCCAAGGGGAAATGCGAAAGATGTCGCGCCTCGCTTAAAGGTTTTCCAAAGAAACCTTCAATTCGCTTCTCGTGTTTAGCTTGGTGCGAAGGACGATGGTACCAATAGTCGGCAATTCTGATTGGCAATGTCGTCAAACGGCGAACGATTGAGATGTGCGATTCTCCCTTGCTCAGTGATCCAGTTTTAATGGGTCAAGGTTCAGGAATTGTCGCGGCGACGATTTTGCTGGGATGCGCGACTTGAAGTGCCTGGTCGAGGGTTGCCACGAAAGACTCGAGCTGACGGTTGTTCGTCGGCAAGGTCTTGAGTTAGGGGGTCTTTGTCCGCTTGTCTATTTTGGCGTGGTGTGTCGCTGCAATTGTACCAAAGCTCAAAGCCCAAAAAAGCCTACGCTTTGAGACTTTACGAAAATGGCCGAGAGCGGGCTTGGGGGATAAGTTAGGGTGCAATTGTGGGTGCGCTGGCGACGGTAGTGGTAGTGCCGCTGTTGTTAGGCGTAAAATGTCGAAGCGCGGGCGTGGGCGCGTGCTTGGTCTGCTGAGAAGGTTCGTGGAACAAGCCGAGTATTTTTGAAGTCAAGACAGCCGCCAAGAGGTGCTGCGTTTAGTTGGGACTGGAATGTACAGTGCCGATAGATTGCCAAAATTAGATATGCCTGGGGCAGATCGCCGGCAAGAATTTGACTGATTGACAAAGACAATGGGGTCGAAAAAAAAAGTCGAGCTCGTGTCAGGTCGTGTCAAGTAGAAGGGAGCGCGCTTCAGGCTCGAGGCTTTTTCTTCTTCTTTTACTTTTAAGAGAGAAACTGCTGTCTTTTTTGGGGGGGAGAGGATGGTGGTTCAACCGAATTTGGTTGAGGGGTATATAAGCCGTATTAATTAGGGTCGCGCGAGAGAGGACAGTTGACTGCGAAAGTACGAGCCCTTCTTGTTGTATCCTTTGTGGTCGTCAGGATAAAAAGTGACTGGAATGAGAAGTTGTTTTGTTTGAAAAAAGCGAGAGACTGCGTCTGCGACGTCGGGGTAAAAAAGGTCAGGCGCGAGAGGTTTTGGGAGATACTAGGAAGGGGGGTAGGAGAAGAGAAAAGGGTTGAAGAAGGTTGAAGGGAAGCGCTGGACAAGACGAGAGTCACAGTCAAGTATGAAGAGGATGGAGGGGAGGGGGGTGTTTAAAGGTGAGGGAAAAGGGACTTGGGGGGGGGGGGGGAAGAGGGTGGAGGGTGGAGAGGTAGAGGGTAGACGGGTGCGGTGACAATCCAGTGACAAGTGAGCGTAAGGTACCAAAAAGGCTGCGACACGATGGACGAGGGACAAGGACCAGGAACCAGGCCGGGGACTAGCAGATGGAGTAAGAAGCAGCAATAGCACACACTCTTGGGTATTGACCAGGGCCCTAGATGTTAGGACCTGAGAATGGGCATGGATGGACATGGATGGACATGAACATGGGGAGGGGACTGGAGGGGCGTGGTTTAGAGGGGCATTTGTGTTGTTTTATTTTCTTATGAAGGGGGACACGGGAGTGACACAATTATGGCCCAGCCGGCACACTTGACCCTTTTTGCTTGAAGCCTGGTGGCCGCTGAGCAAGAGGACAGAAGAGCTTTCCGGGGTGGATGCTGCAACAAGATGCAATTGACTGGCTGATATAAGGAAGGGGAGGGGGGTGGCTTGATGGGGCAGAGGGAGGGGTGTCTCAGGGAGCTTTTCTGGATGCTACCAGCCAGCAACTCTCTTTCAGTGCTGCTGCACTGCAACTTCACTACCCAACGGCGGCGGTGATGATATTCCAGAACACGAACGGATACAGAATGCAGTATCCGGCAAGCACACAACACACTTGACACCCAGCAATTAAGTGGTGCAGCAGACGTGCAGGTATCTAGGCAGTTGCAGTTCAGGCCACCCGTGACAGTCAGCCCGTTGGCCTCTAGGGAGAAAACCCTTTTGATAGACACGATGGATTGACCATCTAGTTGACAAGACTGGACGGATGCGGCCTAGATGGCTGTTTAGCAATATTTTCAAGCCCCCAAGGTCTGGAAGTGATCGTCCGCCTTGTGAAGCACCGTCGCGTATCAGGCGTAACAGAACAAAGTGGCAGCCGTCGGGTCGGACGCCCAGCCCACGGTTGGTTGGTCCGCAGCGTGTAGCAATAGTGGAGGTGCCACTGCGATAGTGTGCCTCATCCTCACCTGTCAGTATGAGAGCAGAGATTGAAAGTGGGAGCATCAATCAGCATCAGGGGTGTGATGCGGTGCGGTGGGCGGGGGCGCCGCTTAACCTCCGTAGGGTGTTTTACATTGATGTTCCTACTAGAGTACCTTGGTCCCCAGAGGTCCTTCTTTGGGTTTCTCCCCCCCTCTTGCGCTCACTGCGATACATCCCAGGAATGTCTCTTTCGGATCGCCGGGCCCCTGTCTCTGCCTCTGACTCCCACACAGTCCACTCTTCCCTTTCGGGAAGGGCATCGACGGGATGACAGCGGTCGCCCACTGGGTAAACGGGCATGTGCCCCAGAGTAGCGGCTCCCAACGAAGCAGAAACCTCCTAATAGCAGATGGGATGAGTTATATGTGAGTAGAAGAAGTCAAGAGATAATCTCCCAGAAAATCAAGCATAACAGAAAGAAAGGAAAATAATGGTAAGAAAAGGAGAAGAAAAGAAAACCCGAGATGCATAACACGTGGATGCTACTTCTCATGCACGAGAAGCGGTAGACTCCAGAAAGGTGGGCTGCTTCCCCTCGAACTAAAGCAAGGCACCTTTGCCAGGCTTCGTGCCTGAGGTGCTACTGCCGCTATTGCTGCTATTGGATTGCTACTGCGATTTGCTGCTCCTGCCCTGATATGCCTCAACATGGCGCCTTCTCACCTGCATCGTTGGTGCCCAGACGTCGGTACCTAGCGCCAGTAGCGTGCTTCGAGCCGAGAACCTAACTCATTCTACTTTACCTTGCCTTGCTTGCCTTTACCGTCTTTGCCAACTACTGCTAGACAAGCTCCTGCTGTCTTCGACAACTAGTGTACGGATGATGCAGCGAAAGAGCACACTACTGTTTCTGATTGGGTACGGTGGACCCCCCGTATAATAAAGTGCTCCTGTAACACACGAGCCACCGTCGCCCACCCTCCTTTTTCCCACTAGATTGTCAGGATTGACACAGATTGGCACCATGGATTGGCCTCTGACAACACCGGACGACAATTCTCCTTGCCCGACACAACAGAACCTGGCTCACGCGCTCTTCTCCAGGAAGGAGCAGAGTTTGCCTGCAACCAACACAATTACTATCCTTGTTCATTCCGTGATTACCGCACTCTATCAAAGACGAGACTTGTAGATAAGCACTCCGAGCCTCCATCGTCAAGTATTGATACCGATGTCGACAATTTAGCAAGGGATTGCTGAGCACGCAACGCCCGCCCTTTGCTCTGATTAAGGTACGGCCAACGGCGAGGGAAGGAAAAAAAAAAAAAAAAAGACCAGATGGAAACACCAACAGCGGGGTTAATTTACTCTTACCTCTGTCTCCGACGACACTATCCCTCCTGTTCATCACCTGTTCGCAGCTCTCCTTAATCGCCTCGTTCGTTCGGCTGACTTGCCGCACGTTGCGGATAGAGAGACGCTCCGAATATAACCCTAAATGGGCGATTTCATCACTGTATCATGTGAGGTGGCTTGGCTCTGCTTCGTCATCCTCGCCCGAACCATCACTAAAGACCAGCCAAATTGCTTACCTTTGCTACGTAGTGGTGTACTAGTAGAATTTTCGACGACATGCTCACCCAATCCATCAACAATCCCATCTTGACGACTTCGCTGATGTACCTCACGCACTGCACACGTACCTCCTCTATGTGGCTTCCCTACACTCAAGTAAACTTCTCACTAGGCCCCTGGACACTTCCCAGGATCCGACGCCTCTCGCGCTCACCTTCAACTCACCTTGTGCTCACCTTCTTCTGTTATGAACCCCTGACACTGAGAACTCTGGACGCTCCGCACCTACATCCGTTGTAGCCCAACTGCCTGACTGGGTCTACCCTGCTAGTGGAGCACTCGAACCGGGACTTGGTTGTTTCAACCATGGCATAGCATAGCGACTCGGAAACACCCAGCGCTTTCACCGCCGTCCTATGCAGAACAACTCAGAGAATAGTAGAGGTCGGTTTTCTCTTGCCAAAAACTGCATACAAGCCACGAGGGTGGGAACCCCACGAGGTATCCCTCGGCGATCTTATTGCTGTCATGCCGCTGTCGTCGGGTGTAAAGCATTTAGGGGACTAGAGTGATATTGGGAGCTCTCAACCTGCCACGAGACCCTGAGCAGCATAGCCATACCGTCGATTACAAGAGACGGGCTGCCCGGGTGGCCTGTGCCTGTGCTTGTGGCGGTGGTGGTGGATTTGTAACCCAGACCATCGCGTCTAAGTAAACACTTGTGCGTCTGCGCTTGGTTGACTTGCCTGGGTACCTTAAGCCCGTGCTTTCTCCCGCACATAGTACCATTCATCTCCCAACTCCTAATAGTCGGTCTTGTATTGATTCCCCCTCGCTCCTCGTCGCCACGAACCAGCACCTCAGGCCGCCTGGGGGCTATTAAGCTGATTTGCGCGGGTCAATCCGGGCATTGTTCCCCTTTTTCTTTCACTTTTTCTGTCTGGCAGATTTGCAACCCCCAATGCAACCCCTGTGTGAAAAAGTCAAAATGATTGAGGGGCGATGGCAACAACAAGTCGAGAATGTTTGTGGGTTGCCCTTCGCCCATTGATAGCCTCCAATACAAAAAAGAAAAAAATTAGCCTCCGTACGGGTACTGACTGGATCGTTAACACCACCTAATTCAAAGTAGCCTGTGCGAATTGGACAAAACGTCGACACCACCATGATATCTTGGCTCACCGTCGGAAACATGACCCGAAAAGTTCAGGAAAAAGAAAAACGCACAAAAGGAGCCACAAGTGGAGGGGCTCATGAACTTCGATAAACGATGGCCATGTGATGCTCTGTTTCCTCAAATCCTCGCCCCATGGGTTCAAGTCCGAAATGATCGAATCGATCCATTGCCAACCTGACAGTAGAGCCTTCAATTTCCCTTGATAGGTTCGGAATATTTTGGCCCAACTTCAAACAAAGACTCTCACCGGCGAAATATAGTGCTCACCCCACCTATCGTCCTTCCGTATTCCCCTCCACGCTGAACCCCCTGCTTCCATCTAACGGACCCAACAACTCCACATGGATGAATCTGCACAAGATAGATTACCCAATCGGCCATGGAACATCCGCCAGCAGGTTGGTTCGTCTTTTGTGCTGTCTCGCGGCTTAACACCAACGGAGCTTCCAAGACACTGGTCGGTCAGCCAGCCAGCGCCGCCGTGTTCCCACACTGGCGGAGACTTGTCTTCATGACTCTGATTGCTTATCTTTGCCGCGCTGCTAACATTTCTTCTAGTATTACTGGAGCGGCCCAATAATACCAAGTAGACTATCTGCACCGACATCGTATTCATTATCCCGTGGTCAGTCTTGTCTTACCTCTTTCGCTTGCGTTACCGACCTTGACAACTATTGTTGGCGATCAGTAGCCACTCTTAGGGCAACTGGCCTTTGCTGAAACCCGCCCCTCACACAATTGACCTCACCTGAGCCTCCTGGAGGCTGAGCTTGACGAGATTAGCGGCAGGCCCTGCTCGCCTGCCCTCTGCCAATCTCTCTCCGCACTCCATTTTCTGCTTAGGTCAGGCCAGCGAACAAGCACAAGGCGAACAAGGGGTCGCGGGGGCCGTCATAATGACAGGACGTCCCTGAAGATCCCGGCCATATCCCACGACCGTTAAGCCGCATCCCCATGTCTTTCCTGGTGGCCTATTTTCCCGATTAAGAGGCTGAGTTGAAGTGTGGCACTCGTGCACGAACCAGTACCAGCGGCATAGTAGCATGAAGTTGATGAGTTAAGACAGAGAATACGAGTCGGAAAGCTTCAACCTTCTCCACGCCGTCGTCGTCACCGGTGCTAGAGCCACCTGCTGCGCCCATCGTCGACTGTCAAATTTCCTTTCATCCAATGCATCTATGCTAGCCACAAGTCACAACCCGCCAGAAGCATAACTACTATAGCTGATTTTGCCGACTTTGTCGATCTATTGGCTTTCAGATGATTTCAGTCTCACAGCTCGGCCAGGACGACAACCCACATTTCCCATCCCCACCCCACCCTTCTTCCATCGACACCCCCTCGACCCCCCGAATCCCCACCACAGTTCCAGGTTCGTCGTCGACGTTACATCCCCTAAAAATTCTACACATCCTTTTTGGGACAACAACCTTTTCTTCCTTGCGGCAGGTTTTCTGGGTACGCCAACACTGCTGCGTACCTGACTTTGCCTTGCGACTTCACAGCAAAAAGCACAAGCCAGAGAAACCTGCAAGAACTTTGCCCACAAGTTTGCAACCCCTGCACTTCTGTCTTGAGTCTCTTTGCCTCCGGGCTTACATTATGTTTCCCCCCATCCCATCTTCTCATGTGAGAGCCCACAGACGTTTGCCCGTTGGCTTGCTCTTCAACAACATGTAAACCATCCGTCCGTGTGCCCATCTGACTGGATAACTGCCCTTCAAAGTCAAGGGTAGAGGATACGTACCCACACCACCCCAGCCCAACCAAGCCAAACCACCCGACTAGGCTTTGGTTTGAGGACGAGGGAAACAGGCCAATCAGGTACGCCAAAACGTTTCGACTTGAAACAAGGTGGGCGCTCCTCGGCCAATCAATCCTCGATATCAACGTGACAACGTAAGACGATCACCGAGAGAGGTGAGAAGAGTCCAAGTTTCCGAGGTGGGATTGACTATATCACAACGTTCAAAATCCGAACGCAAGTTGTCTGACGGGGAGGGGGCAAACCGGGACGGACAGACCGTCTCCTCTCGGCTCGTCTGGGGTTTGCTGCTACCAGGGGGTGGAAGGAGCATCGCGATATATCCCCCTCTTCGCAAGGGAACGCTTTGGCCTTTTGGGATCGGGATCGCTAAATACCGCTGTTTGTTTTGTTTCCTCCTTGATAAGGGGGCCAGGAGCGAGGGGGCGGTTTCTGTCTGCGAATGATGTATGATGTGCAATATGATGCGCTATCCCATCTGATCCGCGCTTAAACCTGGATGTCAAAACCCACGAGGGGGGAAGAGATGGTCCGTGGACACGCTGCATGCCCTGCAGATTGGGGTTGGGTTTTTCTTGTCTCACCGAACTTATGGTCCGTAACCTGGCTGTTGGGAAACGGGGAGGACGGGGCCTGCTTCTTCTTTCTTCACGGCTTTCTTTACATCCGGCCGAAGGAAGGGGGGGACATGCGGCCTGGCCCTGTGTTTAATACCCTCGCTTGGTCGCAGGTTGAGGGATTTCGGCTGGCCGGTGCATCGTGTGATGTCGGATGCTGGATCACCCAATGCTCATCTTACAAATCTACTACATCTTGCTTTTTTTCCCCAGGGACAGATCAACCCGTCAGACTGACTGGAAGCCGGCGATTACTCAGCTTCAAGTTTACCCCCAAAATGTGTCGAAGTGAGGTGTCCAATAACACAGAATCAAAACACGCTCACCCATACGCGCAACACCCCTATTGTTCTAAAGCTGCAGATGCGATAGGTTACCAACACATGCAGGGTGATTGGGGGGGGGGGGGGGGGGGGGGGGGGAATAAATATGCTTGGTCACAGCCTCGGAATGAAGACAAAAAAGCCCACGCGCTGCTATTGTTCTCGAATATGACATATTGCTTCCAACGCAGTCAAATCCCCGGTCTCTCGTCCAGTTAGATTCGCCCGCGTTTGTTGTTGGTGCTGCTGCTACGGTGGCTTTTTTGGTGCGTTCAGTTAGCTTGTTTGTTGTCGTTGGTACTTACTACTTTGTACCGAACCTGTCGAATTTGGTCTGCATCTTGCCGCGCGCCACCGTATTTCTCAAAAGATCTTTCTTTTGCGGATGGTGAACGTAGCATCAGGACCAACGGGTCGTTGTAACATTCAATATTCGGGTATCAATTCTTGGCAGCAGCTTACAGAATCTCTTGGAGGGGAAATGAAAAGAAAAAAAAGTTTGAATTTGCCGAGAGACACGTCGGAAGTATGTTCCTTTGTGACTCTTCAGTTGTGGCGTAGTGGTGACGGCGATGCTTGACAATCCTTGATGCGATCGCTCCCTCCTTCGGCCGAGTTCGAGGTGTGATCAATCATTCAGAATATATGCTTAAGTAAGCATGGCTTTTGGCCGGCTGGCAACACCTGGTGAGCAAGTTGGCTGGACTGGCGGCGGTGCTGGGGGGGCTTTGCCAGTGCCCGCCAGCCTTGGGGCTTATCAAATCGGCGCCGGGGCCGTTATCAGAAAATTTCGAGAATCGGATGCAAGTCACGACTATACTGGAGGCGAACGACGTACCCAAAGACAACGAACACACGCAATAAGTGAGATTGGTTACCCCTTGCGACGTCAATCTGAGAATATCACCCTCTATATATATCTTTGAACAAACCCCATAAAAGAAAAGAAAAAGACGAAATGCCCAGCAGGACAGAATCCGAGGACGTCGCCATGGACGAGGCGCCCCCATCTCACCAGCCCGAGGAGAACTCCCAGGAGTCACCTGAGCAGGACGAGGAGGAAGAGGAGGAGGAGCCCCAGCGTGTCAGAATTGTATGTATTCTCACCGGTCCTATGCTTGCGCTGTGAGCCAAGTGAGACGGGAGTTGATTGACTGACTGACTGACTGACGCGCAGCTTCCCGGTTCAACTGATACCGCCGCCTCATTCGAGTTCATCGATGAGGGTCACACTCTCGGCAATGCACTGAGATACATCATCATGAAGAAGTAGGTTTCGCTCTGTCTCTCACGGCACTCTAGTTTGTCTCTTTCCTTCGGTTTACTAACGCCACGAGCAGTCCCGACGTGGAGTTCTGCGCCTACGCCATCCCTCACCCCTCCGAGGCCAAGATGAACATCAGAATCCAGACCTATGGTAAGACTGCTTAAGCCCTCCCGCATCGTTCATGTGGTTGCCCGCCCTACTAACACACTCTCACAGACGGAACTGCCGTCGCCGCCCTTCAAAAGGGCCTCAAGGAGCTGCAGGCTCTCAGCGACACCGTCGCGGAGGAGTTCATTCGCTCCAAGGATGAGTTTGGCCGCTCATAAGTGAGAGCAGCAATATGCATGTCAAATGGGCGTTTAAAGGGGTGGATATTTTAGGTCATAGACAAAAATAAGCAGAAACTAATGGGAGTCCTTTTTTTTCCGGCAAATTGAAGTCGTTTGCTTTGTGGGCATGTTTTTGGATTGGGTTCTTATATACACGAGTTTCAAGTCTCTTTTTTCTCGCACTCAGTTGCGGCCCTGGGGGTATCATGGTTAGCATATATCTGACGTAGATGGTACCCGGCCCAGTGGACTCACCTCCAAGAACCCAGTCATGAAGCTGTTGGGCAACCGCTTGTCTCCTCTAAAGTTCTCCTCCTTGAAGTAAGACATGATGTGCGTAGTCTGCTTCCAGAAGTTCATCGTCTCCTGTGATTGTGTTCATTCCCAGTCAGCCTTTTTTCTCTGCACTTTCCTTTGCACTTCCCCCCGGTCTCCTCGGGGGGGTGACAAGCCCTCCCCTCTCAAATGGCAGAACAGCGCGTACCTGGTATTCGGCATGGCTCTTGAAGAGCAGGACGTCCACGACGGGGAGCTTGTTCGCAAACCTGTGGCGCTCAAACTCCTCGCGTATCCGGGTGCGGAGGACGGATACGGGTAGGGGGACGTTGTACATCGTCTGGATCTCAGGCGCCTGCGTTTTCAACCCCCTCAGTTAGCGAGTGCCTTCTGAAAACTCTTTTCGGCCACATTTCTTCTCTCTCGTCTCGGTTCAATTCATTCATCGGTCGTCGATCGGAAGGAAGGGACATACAGCTCGGATCCATTCTCGGTACGAAGCGAGAACCCGTCGCTTTGCGTCGTTCCAGTTGGCCGCTACACGTCATGTCAGCGCGACACAGAGGTCAATCGGGCTTCTGTACATACACTGCCTGGTCGTCTTGGCGAATTGGGTCGGTGTGATGGCCATGGTGGGCGCGAGGTGCTGTTGAGGGTTGGTCGTGATATGCCCGGTCCGTCTGGCCTGCTGGACTAACGGTTATCTTGCGGGAAGCACAGCTCCAAGGTTGGGAGCCGCCCAATCACGTGTGGGACTTAGTCATCCTGGCTGTATTGTGTAAGTATGGTAGCACAGGGGTGTCAAACTCAGTAACTGGCCAGCCACATCAGCCACACTGCAACCAGATGGACGACACGCCAGACAGAGAATCATTTGTAATTATCAAGCGATAGGTTTCTACCTTCATCTTGCCCTTTCTATCGGCATTGTGCGAATTCTTCAAAACATGTATCAAGACAAGTGAAGCCAGAAGTCTTTCCACAAGTCGAAATACCTCCTACACAAACACTAGCCACATTCTGAGTACGTACCTCAGGCGCCAGGGGAGGGGTGAGCCAGCTGCGAACAACCGGTACTATCGCCCCACCATCGAACTTCAACTCCTTCGTCATTCAACATTGTTTCGCGACGCGACCGATTTCAGATACGAGCAAATTCGCAAGTAGAACACGATACACCGCGAACCAACCCGAAAAATTGACGAGGCATCAACTACTAAACCACAACCATGCCTCCTATCCGTCACTCATCGAAGCGCAAGCCGCCCCCAGAGGGTTTCAGCGATATCGAGGACCAGCTGCTCATCTTCCAGAACAAGATGAAGGACGCACAGAACAAGCCGCCACCAACAGGCCCCAAGCACCAAGCCCAATGGGAGATTTTCCAGATTGCTCACACGCGGAGCCGCTACGTCTACGATATGTACTACGAGAAGGAGGCCATCAGCAAGCAGCTTTACGAGTGGTTGCTCAAGAACGGATACGCTGATGCTATGCTCATCGCCAAGTGGAAGAAGCAGGGTTACGAGAAGGTACGTAATGATCTCTGATGTATTTCTTGCGACAGAATGATCTAACAACTCTCAACAGCTCTGCTGCCTGCGCTGCGTCCAGACCAAGGAGACCAACTTCAACTCGACCTGCATTTGCAGAGTCCCGAAAGCTCAGCTCAAGGAAGACCAGGACGTTCAGTGTGTCAACTGCGGGTGCCGCGGTTGTTCATCGAGCGATTAAAGCATGAGAGAGTATCTCACAAATTACACAGCGGAGGAAAGGCGTTTTTGGCGTCCTGGAGGTTTGGGTTCGACCGAGAGTACAGACGGTACTCAGGTCTTCATTTGCTGCAAAGAGGTAGTGATCCTTTCAATTGACCGTTTTGGTATCATCATGACCTGAACGCTAATCAAAGTAGTGCTATGCTTCGTGACTTCTTCATCGTTTTGCAAATCCTGCTCGCCCCCCGCCTCGCCCAAACCGTACACTGTTCGGCACGAACTGCAATGCCGACATAGCGCCTGCAAGGTCGTCCATTTCTGTGTCTGGCCGTTCTGTTGGATCTGCTTGTGCCGTGGTTGGCCGCCTTGCTGTCGATCCCTTTGTTGCCGACTGCTTCGAGGCCGATTCCTGATGCTCCGTTGCCCCACGCTCCTCCTCTTTCTGGCTGCTCTCAGCTATAGACGACTCCAGAATGCTTGATTTACGCTTCGATTCCGTGGCACTGGTAACGTTAGACGACTTCCGTCGATGATGACCCCCTTCAACCAGCAGTGAGCGCCGTCCATCTATCCCTTCTTTGGTCACCGCGAAAAAGAAATTCTTGGGGTACATGTGCTTGTCGATGAGATGCATGCGGCGTTTCTGCGGGGTCATGCACTTTCTCTCGCAACCCTCCACGAAGCAGGAATACTATGGGCTGTTAGTGAACTTCTATAAAAGCTCAAGGGATGGGGCTGCAATACGGTGTGCTCTCCTCTTTCCCGTCGGACAGCAGCGAAGGAGTCGTGGCACTCTTCGTGATGTACATTGAGCAGATGCTCTGACGGCAAGTTCCTTCCGCATTCTAAACAACGGTTCATATGTGCCTTGATGTAATGAGTCTCATACTCGTCGTATGACTTGAAGCTTATGGCCTCCTTGTGAGGCGGCAGCGAGCATTTCATGGCAAATTCCTCGGAAGACCCCTCGGCGGAAGACTCCAGCTCTGTAAATTTGGCCGTGCGATCATCTGAATCAAGGGTTCTCGGGCTGCTGTGGTGATATGCAGAAAGGCCAGTGGAGGGCTCGCCTTCGTCCTCTCGTGAGCGTTTCATCTTGAGTGCATCCGAGTGAAGGGGATTGTTTACTTGCAGGTTGCCACAAATTCCCCCCAACTGTGCCAGGTAATTACGCTCGATATTAGAACTCAGTGGGAGCGCGCAGGACCATGGGTGAGGCTCAGGCACGTTTGTCAGAATTTCGCCTTACAAAAACAAAAAAGGCCTGCTTCTAAACCGCCCTATCTTTGTAAGAGGCTCAGCGAACAAAAGCGATACTTTTGGAATGTTTGGGGCGGTGGAAACTGAAAGACCGGAGTGGTGGTGGGGCACTGATGGTCAAAGGCAAGCCGATCAGGTCAGTCATCACTCATCAATATCAACTCTCCAGGTTGCCGTTGCCCCAGGCTTGGGCTCCTAACAAAGGAGCGGCAGTTATTGGTGCGCGGCAGAGGCTGTGCAGAGGTACCTCCGTTAAGGCGCTGGGACCAGGAGGGACACTCTGCACGGACCAAGTGCAGCTGTTGAGGGGCTCCATCCAAAATAACTGATTTCCAGCTGGAAACACACTTTACCATAATATACCCTGAGGTTGTTCTCGTCCCTGTGTCTTTTATTGAGACTCGATCTCGTCTCTTTTCTCCATCTTGTTCTGTCTGATTGCGCGACAGCCCTGTTCAGTCCGAGTGCTCCGTCCCCTTTTGAATGTCTGCTACGGGTGGCGCATCGCTCGTCGCTCCTTCTCTCCGAACCTCCACCCAATGTTTTCTTCCTCGACTTCTTCACCCCGAGTACGTGCCGCCACAAGCCTTCGATCCGACTCCCCGATCTCGTCGCCCTCTGCCTCTCCGTCTCCTCGACCACGAAGCGCCTGCCCCTTACCAAGTTATGGATCGTGCGCGCACTCTGGGATTGGTTTCGAGAACGTGTGAGCACAGCACGTAGCTACAGGCTCTACCTTTTTTGGCCTCGTCTTTTTGTCTATTTTGATTTTTGGAGTTCCGCCGCTCCCACCACAACACATCGCGAAAAATCGCAACACAACCCCTCCAGCTCAGGGCCTAGTTCTGCCCTCTCCAACATGGCGGACCATATTGAGGCAGCGAAGGAATGTTGGCAGTGAGTCACATCCTCTCACCTGCTGTTTTGGGCTGCATATCTCGCTGGGCGCATCTTCCCAGAATCTCTGCGCCTACATCTTTGCCATCCAATACTGACCAGCTATAGCTATGCGCAGAAGGTCCGCAAGCAATTGCAGAAGGAATTGGAGAAGCTCAAGAATGATTCTGAAGGCAACGAGCTTAAGCGCTTCGAGTTTCTGGAGAGTATCGTTTCTAGGTATGTGACCGGCCGCCACTTCCACCCTGATGTCCTCCTAATTCACTGTCCAGTCTCCGCCTTGCCTGTATCCAAGTCATATTTCACTCATTTGAATATGGCACCAATGAGAAAGTCGATGCCAACCTCTGGCAGGCGCACAGCCTTGTCAATACCGAATATCGGAAGGCCCTCCTTCGCCTGAAGGGCACTCAACACAACGTTTTGAAGCGCAAGCTGGACAAGATGTACATTGGCTTCCTTAAGACGGCCCAGGGTTTCTACATCGCATATATCCAGCGTTTGGCTGCCGTCTTCCCAATTCCTGAGCTCTTGCGCATCGCCGAGGGCATCAAGGCCGAGAATCTGGTGGAGGAGAACCCGATTGCGAATGTCACACCCATTGTGCGCCAATGCATTCTCAAGTTTTGCCACGCAGCTCTCATTCACCTTGGCGACCTGTCAAGATACCGTACGCAGAATCGCCCCAAGGTGCCCTACGAAGCCGCCCTGACGTACTACTCGCTTGCTCACGATATTATACCAACCTCGGGCTTCGCTCATCACCAGATGGGCATCATCTACCTGGATGAGAAGAAGCACTTGGACATTATATACCATTTTTACCGCGCTTTGGCTATCGATGAACCCCATCCAATGGCGTCGCAGAATCTCGAAGCCGAGCTGAAGACCCTCCAACAGCCGCCCACACCGGCTCGTCGCGCGGGAGCGCCCCCTGACCCCCAAGAGGCTTTCGTACTCTGGTTTGTTCGTCTGCACGCCTACTTCTACAAGGGTGAACCTTTCCCACAGCATCAGGAGCTCGAGGATGAAGTCATTCATAGGCTGGAGATGGCAACCAAAGCCCCCAACACTCGCGAGCTTCTGCAGAAGATGGTGCTGCTGAACATGTCGGCCTTTTACCATTCCAACAGAAAGATGACCAGTAAGTTTTGCGCCCATGCTACTCATCTATCAACTAACTTGATATAGACAAGTGGTCTGTTGCGGCTTCGCGGTCTTCGCATTTCGTCCTTCGCCTGAATGCTCGCTTCTTTTCGACATTCTGCCGTCTTCTTAAGAAGGAAGTGGATGAAGCCCTTGAACAACAGACAAAGGGTGAACAATCATCGGCAGATAGTCTTGGAAACAAGGAAGCTGACAAAGTTACTCCCCTGTTGGAGAACATTCTCCCTTTCATGCGCCTGTATGCAGCCTGGTTGGTGGCTTGCCGCGTCGAGATTCTGAACGCACAAGACGCCTTGGAGCCCTTTATCAAGGACATGTACAAGGGCTTCGCAAAAGCCCTAACCGTTCTGTGCGAGATGTACGGCAACGAGAATCTCAAGCTTACTCCATACATGCTTCCCGAGGACGAGGAGGCTATTGGAATGCGTCCCCTCTACGACTCGCAGTTGCCAGAAAGCTGCCGCCTTCATTATGACGAGGATTCTCAGGTCTTGAAGCCACAAGCCGCTCACTATGGCGGCCAGCGCTTTGATAATCTTGGGGAGGCGTTTGCCAGAGTTCTAAGCACAATCAAGTGCGGATTCTTTTTGGCTAGCGATGACACTAACTTTCCGTTCTCATACGCATCGTCTCCAAAAGGCCTTAACTTCACTTTCCAAGAAGATTATGTTCCCAAGGCTTCGGTTGTTGAACCAAAAGGCCAGCCAAAGGTGGAACAAAGCAGTCCTGTAAGTGTGCCAGCTGTGGACAAGAAACCGCAACAGCCGAAACATGTTCAGAAGGCACCTTCAAAATCAGCGTCTTCTAAGCCGCCTCCTGAGGCAGCTCCGCCACGGGCGCAGCAACATCCTACTCCTGGTCGTAACAGGACGCGAGGCCAATCTGACTATGATTTCAGCTCTGACACTGACATGCTCAATATGGTTAATGATTTCCTGATGCCTCCTGCGGCCCACCACGAGTCCCCGATCGACAGTCCCGACGACACATCGTACGGAATGAATTCGACCATGGCAAATGAGGTATTTGGAGTGCCCCAGACCAACAGCCCGCCCGCACTCGGATCCGCCACTGCAAAGACATTCCCCAGCCTGCCATGGAATATGATCTACACACCGACACCGCACAGCAAGAACTCTGAGCTGACGCCACCAGACCGTGCCGCAAGGGATGCAGCTGCGAGGAGGTCTTTTGATGCAGGCGCTCTTAAGAGTAACGTTCAGGTGTCAAACTCCGGCCTGCTTGATGACCCATTTGGGGATGGACAAGAAAGCCAATACATGGCCCACCAGCAGCAGCAGCAGCAACAGCAGCGATATGCTGGTACTCCTGATGGTACTAGGACAGCTCATCAAGACCGCCTGTTGCAGGCCTTTGGCAAGCAGCCCGTTGATCCGAGACCGATGGCCCGTGACTTTTCGAGTGGCTACGGACTATGGCCCAACCCCTACGCCGAGGGCAATCCGAATGTGCTTCTGCCACGGGCAGCGTCCACTCATGCTCGCTCGCTAAGCGGGTCTCGACCCCAGTATCCTCAAAGCCCCGTCATGCCGCTAACTGGAGAGAACTTTCCCTTGTCTTCGGGTAGCCAGTTCTCCAACACCAGCGGCATGCACCAGAGCACTCCATGCAATGGCATTGCGTATACCGCAACGACTGCCTTTGGACGCGGCCCAATTGCACATATGCAAGAGGATCCTACTCACTACAAGAATTTGGTCAGGAACAACGGAGGTGCCGCTACTGACGGCTACACTGCCGGATACAATGACATGATTCTTCAGTCTGCTATGGTGGACGAGATGAGACGCGCGTCAGGCCAGAACCTGCGTCGTTGAAGCATGCGACGGGACGTGACGGGAACTGACTTACCTCTGAAAACAGCCAAGTCCAGTCTGTAACGACCTTTCAATAGGGTCGCCCGGCTGGCAGATGAAGACATCATCTTTGCTATTGCGATGTGAGCAGGACGTGATTTCGTACTGATGAGAATGCAAGCTGACCAAGCACACAGTCAAGGCCAGCCCAGCTGTTGCCAGGCAATCGCCGAATTATCTTTTGCTCTCACAAATAATTGCTTGGAAGGGTTTCACTTGACACAATGGAGGGAAATGGTTTAGGATTGTTCATCCGGCTGTCATTGTTACAGCCAAATCATTCCTTCATTGTTTTACTATATCATGACCCAGGGCTCGGATCGTGGAAGATGTCAGGCCCAGATTGCAAGTTGATGCAAGTGTTATTGCCACTCATTTGATGCTCCTCAGGAGCCAACGCCGTTGTTGAAACCTTTTCCCATTGACCCCTCAACGCCAGACTGTCAAAATGGACGCAAATGCTCAAGGCATTAGGTGTAGGCTAAACGCCTTAAGAAGACGAATACGTCTGCTTGGGGAAGGGGTAACTGAGAGATAGTTAGCAAATGATGAACCTCATGAAAACCCTTGTCTGTTTGTAAAATTTGCAGGTGATGACGTGGGCTAAAGGCCGCTTGTGTAAGAAGTATTAAGGGTAACTTACGAAGGACCAAGCTCCTGAATGCTGAGCTTAGCCAACCACTGGCCCATATCGATGGACTCGTCAAGAGACTTGCCGTCAACGAGACCAGCCATGAGACCGCCAGCAAAGGCGTCACCAGCACCGTTGGTGTCGTTGATTTGCTCCTTGGCAATGGGCTTGACGGGGTACTCCTTGACGTTGTCCTCGCCCTGGACGGCAACGAGAGTAGGGTCGGTTCCCTGTGTGATGATGGCAACACGCTTGCGCTGCTTGTTCTCCTTGGGGAGGTTGGCCAGGTGCTTGGCGATCTCCTTGAGGTCGGTGGTACCGACGTTGTGAGACTCGGCGTAGGCGGCAGCCTCAGTCTCGTTGCCGATAACGTAGTCCCAGTAAGGGGCGCTGGCATCAAGAGGGTCCTTGAAGAACTGGGGAATGAAGGGGGCAGACAGGCTCACGGCGAAGATCTTGTTGTTCTTGGCGGCCTCCTCAGCGAGCTTCTGGATGGCGGGGGGGCAGACGGTGAAGTGGTAGCCGCCGATGTAGTAGGCCTGAGCACCCTCAACGAGAGCCCAGACATCTGGGCGAGTAAGATGCTCAAGGTCGTAGTGGTTAGCGGCACCGAGGTCGGTGCACATGGAACGGTTGTGGCCGGTAATGACAACACCGCAGCGGCCAGTGGGGATCTTGGGGTCGACACGGTACTCAACGCGGAGGCCGGCGGTCTTGACGGCATCCTGAAGAATGGAGGCGTACTTATCGTCGCCAACGCCACCAAGGTAGACAACGGAGTTGGGGGAGAGAATGTACTGAGCTCCACGGGCGGTGTTCTGAGCGGCACCACCGGCGATAAGCTTAGCGTCGTAGTTGTTGAGTAGGTCCTCGTAGATGCCCAGATGCTTCTCTTCGGCAAGAATAGCGTCGTTAGCCTTGAGGCCGTACTTTTCGAGGAGAGCCTCGTCGCCGACTGCTTGGATGTCTGTTGGTTTGCGGTGTTAGTTTCAGAGCTCGGTGTTAAGGGATGAGGGGGAGGGGTAATTCGACGCAGAAGGATTGTGCAATACCCCTCCCTGACTAAATTAAACCCGGATAGTGAGATCTTACCAAGCAGAGGGTTCTCGAGGCAGAGAAGACGGAATTCCTTAGGAGCCATTTTGTTCAATTGGGGGATTCTGGGGTGTATGGATGTGGTGTGAAAGAGACGGTGGGATGGGAGGGAGCTGTTTTCAAATATGTTGATTTTGGTGCTCCGGCGGCAAGTGTTGTAAGAGGTGATGGTGGGGTTGGACCAGTAGGAGGAGGTGGGGTGGTGGAAGGAACGTGCTTGAGGGCGGGCAGCTGAGCTTTCCGAAGGGAGCACAGTGGTAGGGATGGTGGGGCGGTTTGAAAAGGTTCTTGTTGCCGTTGCATTGAGTGAGATTGCCGCTGTGGCGAGTCTGCTTGATTTGGAGGGCGCGCAGCGGTGTCGGGTGAGACACCTTGTCAAGGCGGTGACTGACCGGCTGGAGTACATTGGTTTGGATGATTGGTCTGTTTAGCGGATATGCTATTTCATGGAGTTGATGTCGATATCAAGGGAGCACGCAGTGTAGTACAATGGGAGCGCAGTGAGTTGGGCGCGATGAGGGCGGGTCGCGGCTTTTGTGGTTGATCACTAGAATCAGAATCAGATCATGCCACTGGACAAATGACCAACTTTGTCACGAGATGGCGCGGTTTCCTGATGCGACAAATTGAGATAGACGAACCCATGTTACCAGGGCATCTCGATCCATTGAAGGAACCACAACTACGTAAGGCAGCTTTGGTTGGGATAGAGCTAAGAACGCTGCTCCCTTCCTCCTGCTTGACAAGTCCATAACCCCATTTTCATTTGATCAGCTCGTGCGCACAAACTCCGGCCTTTTCTCTCTTTCACTCATCACATTTTTGATTCCGAAGTACACGTTCTCCCTCTTGACGGGGGGAATCATGGCGTGTTCATTTCAATGCTCAAAATGCCTTTTTGTACTTGCCGAGCTACCAGTTGAACTGCCCTCGCGAGTACCCTCAAAAGATGCCAGCCGCGTAACACCATCCCAATGGAACCCTGAAATCCAGCCAGACTATGACATTTATTCCTTGATCTTCTGGGTACCACGGAGCAGACCCGTCCGTCTGGCAGCAATAAGACCGGCCTTCTGTCCCTGGGCGGCGTAACGAGAGATGGTCGAGGCCTTACCGATATGCTGGTGGTTACCACCACCGTGAGGATGGTCAACGGGGTTCATGGCAACACCACGAGTCTTGGGCCAGGAGTTGCGCTTGACAGCGAACTTGTGCTTGGCGCGAGAAGCCTCTGTTCGGGTTTGTTAGCGGATCCGCACACATCATATGGTCAGAATTCAATTCAAAACCACAGGCAAAACGTACTCAGGAGGGGCTTGTCAGTACGGCCACCACCGGCAACGATACCGATCATGCCTCTGGAGGAGCTGTGGACGACCTTCTTGGCGCCGGAGGGGAGCTTGATGCGGGTCTTGCCCTCATCGGGGTTGTGGCCGACAATGGTGATGTAGTTGCCGGAGGTACGGGCCAGGGTGCCACGGTCACCGATCTTCTCCTCAACGTTGGAGACGACGGTACCCTCAGGCATGGAGCCGAGGGGAAGGACGTTGCCAACGGTCAGGGCAGCCTTCTTGCCGGCGTAGATGAACTGGCCGGAGTACATGCCTTCGTTGGCAATGAAGGTCTCGGTGTGCTGCTTGAACTTGTAGGGGTCGCGGAAGACGACCTGGGCGAGGGGAGCGCCACGGCCGGGGTCGTGGATGATGTCCTTCACGACACCGCGGACGTATCCGTGTCGCTCGGCATAGTCGAGGTTGCGGAACTTGGCGGGGGCCTAGGAAACGAAATCGTTAGGATTCTGAAAAATGTCGTGCGCTGGAGGCGCAGTTCGGTAGGAATTCGGATCTCACCTTGTTCAGGCGGGTGTTGGCCGTGAAGATGCTTCCACGGCCCTTCCTCTGGTTGCGGATCTAGAGGATATTGTCAGCGCTCATTGTCCACCTTCATATTCCAAGTTCGAGAAAAAAAAAAGTTCGTGGGATTCGGAATCGACGATATCGGGGCAGCGACAGCGAGCCGCAAGTCGTAGATGCGTCGAATTGTCTAATGGCAATGATGATCCAGTTCAATAGAGCATTAACTTACAACGCGACCCATTTTGGCAGTCCTCTGGCGGTCGGAGGGCTAGGTGTTGTCGACGGTGGTGATGGTTGGGAATATTGCTTCGAAATTCCACGGCAAGGTAATTTTGCCAGCGGGACTTGCGAGTGTGTGGACTTCGGAGGGCTCTCGCTAGAGCACGTGCCTAGTCACCTGATGCGCTAAATGAAAAAAAAAAGTAATGTGAAGCTCGGGTAGGAAAAATCCAGGCGCGGCGCGCGACCCCATAGCCCCACTGTTGTTGGCCAGCCTCGACCCTCAAGGCCTGCGTCGCGTCACGATCTCCGCACTCACCCTCACCTCCGGAACGTCCTTATGACAGCTTCATTGGCCCATATTTGCGACATGGCCGACGACGACATGCACAGCAACAAAGTATTCGGCAGATGACGAGAAATGCATAATCGTTGATACAAAAACCCCTTGAATTTCAATAATCTCGTGGGCATTTGGACTGGTCTTCACGTTCTCTGCACTCCGTTCGTGGTTGCATTTGCTAAACTGCTGTCAAGGTTGATGAAATCGATTAATTACGGTGTGTGTTGTGGGCGGGTTCCGTTTAGAGACGCCTCGCAGATTTTCGTTGAGATTTACAAGCTTGGGACCATAGACGGTACATGATCCAGCGATCAACGTTCTCAGATTCCTATGGCTTGGTGGGACGCAGCCCTGCGATTTCATTGTCCAGACCTTTACGTGCTTCAACAAGTGCGGCGCTGAGAGCCTCTTTTTTTGCATGCAATAGAAAGACAGTGGTTCAGGTTGCAGATTCAACACATCTGGTTGCGAGGGATCGTCGCCGTGGCCCAGGTGCCTCTAGTGAGGCACCAATGGCCAACCATACTGACTTCACTACAACCAATGTGTTGGAAGTTAATCGCGGCACCGATACAAGGCATTTGCTCGTGGCAGTCATTCATTTGTTACAGAGGCCACAACCAATACACTACCTTGCACGCCACTCTTTGTGTTTGCAGGTGATCGCAATCTTTTGGCCTCGATGGTACTTCGCTTGCATCGCGATGGCTTCAACTTCTTGCCAAGAATTGTTTTTGAAGGGAAACTTCGTGGTGTGCAAATGGCTGGGTGAAGGGATTAAGCTGCACGGTCATGTGACATGTGCTCGAGACAGTGAGCAGCGAGTACGGTGACTCTGCAGGAATGTTCCGCGGATTGGATCACTCGCTTGGAATCGAACCAAAACAGGTTCATATTATCATACGAAAAATCAGCATAAAGATAACAAGAATTGGCAAAAAATATTCTCGTCGGTTGGAAAGGGGCGCCAACCGCAGGACGTGTTGGTTGCACAACGTAAGGGCTGGGTCAAGCGACCCTTCCAAGGAAAGTTCAACAACATAACGACGGCGGGAATAGCATCGAAATGGGAACTTCGAGACTGGCAGGAACCGGTGGTTGGCAGAAGAGGTGTCCTGCACGTAACTACCGCGTGCATCCAGAGGGCAGGGGTGTCATATTTTGTCGCCAACCTGCACCACAGATACTCCTTCACAACAACGGATATGGACTGCGAATACAGTCGTATAATGATGAAGATCATATGCTGATTCCACTGAGGGACTGTTAGCAGACGTTGATGTAAAAGAGAAGGTTTGCCGAGCCAAGGATGCTGATGGTGTGTATTGAGGTGGGGTATACCCGACGTGGGTGCTCCAAGATCTTAAGAGCAAGGCTGTTAAAGCATAATCCACAAGACGCGCATACAGGTAGGTATCCGGAAGGACGGCAGTGGGCAGCACAAGAAAGAGGTCAACGACGTGAAGGAAAGGAACCCAGCAGATGCAGCTTGTTGAGCCTTTGATGTTTAGCGGTGTCTATGAGAAAGGATGTTATAGGCATGTTAAATCCAAATGACTCGAACCTATCAGAGAGCCAGACCTAAAGGAGATGCGGCTCAAACGTGATTTAATTAGTTCCGTGGCGGGTGGGTGTTCGAAACTTCCTCACTCGACATACACTGTCGCGCCTAAACCTCCACCCACTTTACCTCAACTACCTCGATACCCACTCCAATCCAATTCCTAACACCACACACAACAGCCATCACCACGAAAAAAAACGCAGGATGGCTGACGACGATTCTTCTGAGCTTTCGTCGTTGTCGTCGTTATCGCCGGTCCCTTCTGATATCGAGTCAGATGCAGCTCCCGAGCCGGCGCCCAAGAAGAGTGGCATCCTGAACTTCTTCCCTAAGCTCGCCAAGGGCAAGAAGGCCACTGCCGTCAAAAAGGAGCCTTCGCCGCCTCCGCGCAAACGATCGCCCTCTCCTCCACATGAAAATGCGTTTGAGGATAATCCAGACATTGCTGTATGTCTGCCATCGCGTCGATAGGCGCGAAAAACGCGACAATTCGCGTCTCCAACGTCATCGGGCCTGCTGACATACTTTCAGTTCCTCGTTATGTTCCGCAGTCGATTCAACGATGCCTTCCCTAAATCTCTAGCAAACTTCGGTCCCCAAGAACTCGAGCGCGATATTATAGACAACCCTCCTGGCGAACGGGCTGAGGCTTTCCTCTGTGCCCTCTTGTTCCTGCTCCTCAACCGCAAACAGGACGTCAAGTACGTCAATGCGCCCATGCGCACACGGCTCTCATGAGTAGCTAATTGAAGTAATAGGGCTGGCCAATACTCGAAGGCTTTAGACGATGCTCTGGCTGCTCACAAATCGCAATGGCCACGGTCATGGGAAGGCGTTAACCCTTTGTCAGGGGGCAAGACATTCCATACCCTGGCACCTACTCAGAGAGTACGTACAGGAGCCTGATGCAACTGGAACTTCAATACAAGTTCTGTTCCCGTTGTCATATGATGCTAATCATGTCGCTAGCTTTCTTTACTCCGAGCGTTAGCTCTGTGGTCTCTCTCGGCATCGGAAACGGTGAAGACGATCGTTAACAAGTCATACAAAGGCAATCGACAAGAAGACGACTTGAACCAACCACTGTCAGTCCAGCCGTGGGGCTCTGATAGTGACAGGAGACGTTACTACTTGATTGAGGGCTTGGATGACACTGCTTTCCGCGTGTATCGAGAGAGCAACCCCGCCGGCTTCAACCGCACTTGGTGGTCAGTGGCCGGGTCAATCGACGAGATTAAGGCCCTTGCAGAGAAATTAGACATGAAAGATGGCGGCCCCAAAGCCAGGAAGCTTGTAGACAAGATGATGCAGGCTATCCCTCGTTTCGAGGCTACTGAGGAGGTACGTACGAGTTCTTGGCTGCGCAATTGAATGCCTTGATAGACGCAAGAGCTAACAGCCACAGAAACGCCGACGCAGAGAATACAGGCAAGCTCAGAAGGCCCGGTTCAAACGCCCGGAGCCTGGCTTCTCCAGTTACGAGGGTCGCACAAGAGGCAAGCGGGTCAAGTACACCTTCTCCGACGATGAGGACTTCCTCACAGACTCATCGTACAGGCGCTCGGCACGCAACACAGGCACTAACACACCTGTGGAACCTGCCGGCCCAGTCACCACTGCCAGTGGGCGCCAGATCAGAGCTCCCACACGACTCAACGCTAGTAGTGCAGCCGGTAGTGTCAATGGAGACTCTGAAGATTCCCGCCAGCCATCCCCCGGTGTTGGCCCGAGTGGGAGGCCGCGCAGAGCCGCAGCTGTAAACCATGGAACCAACGGATGGTCCGCTAGAGACACGCGCTCTCGTGCTCGAGGCTCTGTCGATGGAGACGACGAAGACGACATCAGTGAGCCCGATCTGGGCGATGACGAGGAAGAGGACCACGTACCAGATGAGAGTGAGGAAGAGGAAGATGAGTTAGACGAGGACGTAGAGATGGTTGATGACGAGCCGAAAAAGAGCTTGATCGTTAAGCTATCGGTCAAGAAGTCACCAGCAACAGCAAAAGCAGCCCTGATCAGTCCCGCACCAGAGGAGGAAGAGGCCAATGGTGAATTGGTGGACGAAATTGTTGCGAAGCCCAAGGAGAGAACACCGGAGCCGGTGATCAACGTGGCTGCCAACAAACAGACCTTGAGCCCTGCTGCTGTTCAGACTTCTCTGGCTTTTAGAGGAAGCCCAGAAAAGCCACCATCTCTGCCGCAGGTCTTGGATGTCGGCTCACGAGAATAGGACTTGAGAGATTTCCAGTGTTCACGGGTATTAAGGCGTTTTGTGATTACACATCCCAGGCGGAGTATGGTTAGATGAACGGGCACAACGAAATGATCGGGCCATTTTGTACGAGCAATTGCTCTTCCACGAAGAGTACCAGACCGGTACTGTGGCTATTTCACGCATTTATTGATGCGACGGGACCGAGGGGTACCCGGATTGCAGAAAGGTTCTGCTTCAGTTTAGTTAGTTGTACAGATACCACACCAATCGTGTCTTTTAAATCACATTTCTAATGACATCATTCCCTCACAATTCCTTCTTCATCTTCCAGCTGTTGTTTCTTTGCGGCGGCAGCTGCCAGTTGTTTACCCCATACCACCATCTGCGTACCCTTGCGCCAATGGAGCTGCCGTGGACCTGGGCATTCTTATTCCAGTGATGCCATCCGACTAGAAACAGATTGTAGATGATGCCCTGCGCCAGTGGCATCATTACCTATGTTCTGTTAAGACTGGTGCATCGTATCGTGAAACTGCAGAATACTGACCTGGTCTCTTATAGTGATCCACGCTACCCGTCCCCACGTATCTGCCTTAGAGATGCTGTGCAGGTAGCTCTGCTCAAACCGCAGGTCGGGCATGGGAGGCAGCTTTGCTGTTCGTGGCTTAGGGTTCAGCACGCTGTAGGGGATATCGTCATCGAGCTCATCATCGTCGAGGTCCTCGTGCGACGAGATGGGTTCTAATGTCACTGGCTCCTTCTCCGAGGCTGCTGTGGAAGGGTTTAGGTCGTGGGTTGGGGATGGTGTGCGGTTGATATGGGCGGTCTGTATCGTCTCCGCGACTTGGAGAGGTAGGTTGTCGGCCATTATGGGATGTGTGTCGTGCGTCCGGGGCGTCAAGACGGATAACGATAGCCTCCGTTGCGAGTTCGGGGTAGCTCTGACTTGTTTAGAGGTCACGATAGAGTTGGTTCGTTAGTTGCATGACTACTTTTTATGCATCAGAGCGAGGTCTCTCCTTTTAGTTACATGTAGGAGCCACTCGCTGAGGTCATCGGCGGCCACTGTTCAACTTGGGTCGGCAACTTTGCCCAACACTAGCGGCAAATGATCGAGTGGGGTTGGACGGACAACTAACATGAACAAAACACATGGCTTTGTCTCAAATTTTTACAGTTTCGATCCCTTGTTCTGCAGGACGCTGCTTGTTGCGCAATCAAAAGCATTACGGCAACTGTGCTTGCATCAACTTCCGTTTCCTCAATCATAAGTAGAAGATAAATGCCCAGTTCCAGTCACCTAAATCCGAACTTTTTACCTTTTGACGGTGAACTACGGGAGCGGCTCCAGGAATGACGGCGGCACGTGCGGGAGCCCCAAGGAGGGTGGTAGGCAGTGGTGGCTAAGTGGCCAGGCACCCCTATGACTCGCTTGCGGTTTAGCGCCCTACCACGGGATTGGGTGTGTCCCCAGTCAGGCCAGGTCCTTGTGCGGTGACAGCACAAAAAATTGACCTACATACGTGGAGCACCAAGTTTTCTTTCCTTGCAACACCGCATCGCACGCATCGTTCCCGCTCGGAGAACCGCGCGACGACATATCCCTCACCGTCACGCGACTGCGTACCTTCATTTTGTTTCCCGAGTCCTCCCATTTCCCTCTTTCAAGATGTCGGACCCTCAGGCGAACGAGGCCGAGAAGAACGTAAGTGTTTTCTGGCATCTTGCCTCTTGGAACCCCTCCTTGTGCCCCGCGTTCCAAGACATCAGGCTGACTGTTGCCCTCATCGGGGCCCTGCGATATAGATCGAGATATGGAAGGTGAAGAAGCTCATCAAGCGCCTTGAGGCGGCCCGTGGTAACGGCACATCCATGATCTCCCTCATCATCCGTACGTCCTCCTTCAACGATGCCGCCGCCGACCCCCGGTTTAACTAACCCCACCACAGCTCCCAAGGATCAGATCTCTCGGGCTGCCAAGATGTTGGCTGAAGAATACGTACGTCCTCGGCAATCGCATCCTTCTCGACATGAACAATGTCTAACGCGGCTTTTCACAGGGTACCGCATCGAACATCAAGTCCAGAGTCAACCGACAGTCTGTGCTCTCGGCCATTACTTCCACCCAACAACGTCTCAAGTTGTACAACAAGGTCCCTCCCAACGGCTTGGTCGTCTACTGTGGTGAAATCTTGACCTCGGAAGGCAAGGAGAGGAAGGTCAATATCGATTTCGAGCCCTTCAAGCCTATCAACACCTCTCTCTACCTCTGTGACAACAAGTTCCACACTGAGGCCCTGGCGGAACTGCTCGAGTCGGACCAGAAGTTCGGTTTCATCATCATGGACGGTAACGGAGCTCTGTTCGGTACCCTTTCCGGCAACACCAGAGACGTCGTCCACAAGTTCTCGGTCGATCTTCCCAAGAAGCACGGTCGTGGTGGTCAGTCCGCTCTGCGTTTCGCCCGTCTTCGTGAGGAGAAGCGCCACAACTACGTCCGCAAGGTCGCCGAGTTGGCCGTCCAGAACTTCATCACCAACGACAAGGTCAACGTTGCCGGTCTGATTCTCGCTGGTTCCGCCGATTTCAAGAACGACCTCAACGCTTCCGATATGTTCGACAACCGTTTGGCTACTAAGGTTATCAAGGTTGTTGACGTCTCCTACGGCGGTGAGAACGGCTTCAACCAGGCCATCGAACTGTCCTCTGAGACACTCGGCAACGTCAAGTTCATCCAAGAGAAGAAGCTCATTGGAAAATATTTCGAGGAGATCAGCCAGGACACCGGCCGTGTCTGCTACGGTATTGAAGACACTCTCAAGGCTCTGGAGCTTGGTGCTGTTGAGACTTTGATTGTCTTCGAGAACTTGGAAATTACTCGCTGGAAGCTCAAGGACAGCCAGGGCTCTGAGCATTTGCTGCACACCACCAAGCAGCAGGAGACCAGCAACCGCGAGCTCTTCCAGGACAAGGAGACTGGCCAGGAGATGGAAGTTGTTTCTCAAGAGTCCTTCCTTGAGTGGATCGCGGAGCACTACAAGGATTTCGGTACCAACCTTGAGTTCGTCTCGGACCGTTCCACTGAAGGAAACCAGTTCGTCAAGGGATTCGGTGGTATCGGTGGTATCCTTCGATACAAGGTGAACTTTGAGCAGTTGGCTGATATTGACGACGACGATGAGTACTACGACGGTGTGTTGCTTCACGATTCCATCCCAACCACAGAAGCTAACTTTTCGCAGATTGACCAATCGAATCCCTCGAGACAGAGGGATCGACTCAAGTACCGTCTCTGAAGCATAACAGCGAAGAGGAGTCCGCGCGCGCAGCGTCGCAGCCCGCTCCCGCGCCCGCGCCCAAACCTGTGGCCGCTCATCGGCTCTTAGCAGACAGATGCCCGACGAGCCCGGCTCACCTCACCCACCAAGTGGCGCGCCCGAGCCCGCTTCGGTCTGTTATGAAGGCCTCTTGAGTTGAGAACTAGTCTACAGGTAGGTTCTGTCGCAAGGAATAAATGAGTAGATGGCTGACTAGCGGTAGATATTCCTCTAGTAGATAGAGGACAATTCAAAGCGGTCGGGAGGCGGCCGCTTGTTTGCGATTCGATAGAATGAAGTCAATATATTGCTTAGTCACTCCTTAAACTTTGAACTTGGTGGCACGAAACCAATACGCTGCTTGATATCGCCTTGAATAGAACAAAACCCGTAGATTCTTCTGTCACCCCTGCCTTGTAATATTCATGTCTCAAGACACTCAACTCCAAAACGCCTCGGTTTCTCTCAAAATACGGTATTGTCGCCCAGCTAAGAAATGGAGCGCTCGGCAATGCGCAACACTTTCTCGAATGGAAACTAGGAACCTAGCATTGTTTGCTTGTTTCCGCCACAGGTAACGCAGGGTTGCTTTCACCTCGCTGAATTGGTGATCAGAGACGTAACGCCAGATATGCAATTATCGGGTTTCGACTCATTACCTGCATGATTATTTTGAGCATCTTGTGTTATCTCATCCACCCAAATCTCGTATAAGTCACCTAATACATCCTCAGTATGAGGCCTCTTGCCGCCCAATTTTGCGCCTCTCGGCGAGGCTATTCGACTCAGAATGTTACTTCCACATTGCAGGCGGGCATCGCCCAAATCCTGCACACCAGCAAAGAAATCCCCGATCACCTGTCCCCGACGCCGTCACACCTTCTGAATCTCTTGTTCTCCGATGTTCTTTCTTCATCTTCCTCCAAACCCCCACCACCAAAATATCCTCAGCCCTCAGCACATTCTACGCATCTCCCGCAGGGCCATCACCTCGCCTACTTCCCTCTCCAGTCTCCGCCCTCGGGGCTCATGCCAGATGGGACAGACCCCGACCACTGCCCAGGCGCGCCATTCACACGTCGTCTATGGGCAGGCGGCGAGGTCCGTTTTCTAGAAGGTTGGGAAAAGGAACTACGCTTGGACGGAAGGCGAGTTCAGTGTGTTGAAACCGTGGAAGATGTGAGGCCTGAGAAGGAACGGGTGTGGGTTGAGTTGTGGAGACGGTACGCTGCAGCCACAGGGAAGACTCCTGTGATTGAGGAGAGAAGAACTCTTGCCTTCTTGCCAGAAGTGAATGCGCCCCCTCCAATGAGGCGAAGTCTTAGACGTATGTTGATGGCGACTAGTGAAAACGAGAGATGCTGATCTGAGTAGCACCGCATAAACCGACATCGTCGATAACACTCACACCCACGCAGAACCTTTTGACAAATTTCAGTGCGTTGACGTACAATGCCCACGCGATCCATTTAGATTCTGCGTGGGCTGCGCAGGAGGGCCACCCAGCGACACTGGTCCATGGGCCTATGTCGCTGGCTCTCATCCTCGCGTTCTTGAATCAACAGGGCCAACGTGTAAGATGGTTTGGGTATCGAAACTTGGCGCCACTGTATTGTGATTGCAGTCTGACGATTTGTCTACGTGAGAAAGAGAATGTCGAGGAGGATAGGAAGTGGGATGTTTGGATTCAGGATGCCGAGGGTGGTATGGCTGTTAAGGGGAGTGCAACGACCGTTGATATGTGATGTTTAGTGTAGAACTTATGGCACATATATTGTCCGGCACCAATACGGCACTCTTGTATCAAGAATAAAATGTATGATTTCTCTATCGATTTACAATAACGGAGACTCAGTCGCTAAACCAGTAAAAGGCGCAATGAACGATGGTAAATGAAGTGGTTGGTGAATCAGTATGTTCCCCACGATTATTGGCCGTCCCGAGACAACGCAGTAGCAAAGTGTTTAAGTCGATTGCTGGGACATGGTTGCTCGTCGCTCCTCTTTTCCTTTAACCCACGTCTGAATGTTTGAAAATCACACACATTTCCTTAGCCACTTGCTTGAGATATCACCTGCGGATATTGTACATGACTCAGTTCATGATATTTATCCTAATGCTAAATACTTCTAATTGTTAGGGAAAGGTTTTCCTTCCCCTGCCTTGTTCTCGTAAGCGACTACATCGAAGTCCCATGACGCATATTACATATCTTGTCTACTTTAAAACCTCCGTACACCAATCCAGAGCTCCAAAACCATGTTCTCAGGAAGAAATTAATGATGGTTACCACCATGGGTATAAACGCCAAGCCAAGTCCTCCCGCCTTTCCTCAATCAAATTACCAAATATTCGGCTTCACAACGTTTCGTTTCTCATGAAGTACGCTCATCAAGTACCCATTTCCACAGCGTTCTGTCTGCCTGCGTTGTGCGCAGGCGCCTCGTATATAGGCTGAGGGGATGAAGTTGGCACGGGCTGATAGTACTTGGGGTATTGTGCGTCGGGGCCCGGGGGCTGTTGCTGTCCCTCATATCCGTAAAACGGCTGAGAGAAGTGGGACTGCTGGCCCGGTGTCATGGGTGTTGGTGCACTTCCAGCTTGCTCCTTCGCCTGCCTTCTTCGCCTTACAAGCAGCCAGACAATCACGCAAACTGCAATGGCCACCACAGCAACACCGCCTACCACACCTCCCGCGATGGCACCAGTATTAGACGGCGAATTGTCTGGAGGCGTTGGTGTTGGCGTCACAGACGGCGATGTAGACGGTGATCCAGACGACGTTTCGGAAGTGGTTGGTGAGGCAGAGGAGATACTGATATCGGTCCTGGTGGCGTCGGGGTCAGTAGTCTCTGTACCCAGAAACATGATCGTTCTGCTACTGTGTATACGCTCTCCACATCTAAACATCGTCTTCTGACCGTTGTCTTCTTTCAAAAGTGTAACGCAGAATGGGAGATAAGTTCTATCGGATTGAGTACTGCCCGTCGGTTAGTCTCAAGTTCCTGTCGCTAATCTCCTCGAAAAGAGATAACTTCATCATGGGTACAAAAACACACCAACAACGAGATCCTGGTCCAAGTGACGCAGCGGATGGCTGACACTGAGAAGCCGTGCCATCGAAACATTTCGTAGGGGGCGTAGTGTAGCATCCAAAGTACGAGCCTTGGGTCAAGCAGTTGATTCCCCTACAGGAGTAGGTTCCGAAGCCTGTGTGCAGGGTTACTTCGTCAGTTTCTGCGCGATATCATGTGCTCGGATAAAGCTACGAGCGAAGAAAGACAAGAAACTTACTTCCGTCATCTCGGGCACGGTATCCGCAGACCTCTGGCGGTAAGGATCGAGGGTTGAGCAGCGCGTTCCGGAGATCACGTCTCGGGTCTGCCGTGGGAACTGGCGAAAGGCCTGCATCATATTCAGGAAGGTCTGCAGGGGATGTCTGTCGCGCCGGTATGTCTCTCAGATCTCTTGCCACGGTCACGGATAAGAGACTTGTTGCAAAAAACAAAGCAGATTGGAAAAACATTGTGGATTTCAACCTGATCAGCTTTCTCCTGAGGCCAGTTTATACACCTAGGGGAATGTCGATTGAAACGCAATCAAGCTTCGGCAAGGAGGAATTAGAAAGTTAAGTTGCATAAGCAGAACCATTGTGAAAAAGGTTTCGGGACTTTGGTCTCTCTCTGTCTGCCTAGTGACGGGGATAAAGACCGTAGCAAGATTGACTTCTCCTTCGTGTGGCTTCTTTCGCGCTCAGCCGCGCTCCTGATTCCTTGGCATGTCCTTTAACTATGCACCTAGCGACAGCAATTTGATCCTAATGATGATACTAGTCTCATCCTTGAAATCTCATAGGACAATCTTTTGCTGCCCGCAGGCACCTTCTTTCTCTCGGGCGACTTAAGCCCTGCAAATTTGCCGATCGCCCATGGCTGTCTTACGCCAAGCTTGGCAAGCTGGGAAACGTGTGAGCAAACGTTGAGGATCCAGCCTTGCCATGCACACCGTAACATGGTGGCAATCTATGGTGGCCATCGTTCTAAATCTCAAGAATAGAAATGATTTCCCATCCTCCGTGTATCGGTAGTCGCCGATGTCATTAGAGTTGATTTGGACTGCAGTCATAGGGATATGCGTGCAAGGGAATATGTAGGAATCGGCAACGTTTCTCGACGTACAATGGCTTTATTTAGGGACAAGCAGTTCAGGGGTCCTTTGTTGACCCGAAATGTACTAGCTATGGCTGAAAGAAAATTCGCGGCTTGCATTACCATTAATGATAGTGTAGTAACCAGTACAAAAGGGTGCTAACCTGCAAAACCAACCTTCCAAGTGAGCCTAGATCAAATTAAACCCAGGACAGTCTTCAACAAAATATGCATACCATGGACTCAGCTCAACCCAGCTCAGCTGCATTATTGCCAGTTCCCCTAGTATTGGTTGCCGGCACCTCGTGAACCTGGTGATCTTGACCGCCACTCCCCTGAAAAGGAACAGTCTGTTGATACTCTGGAACTGGAGATGTAGGAGTCGGTTGCTGTTGGTAATTATTCTTGCCTACGTAATCGTAGTGTTCATGTTGGACCTCCTGTTTCTGGTATTGCTGGTACTGTTGTGGTTGTTGATATGGCTGATTGTACTGCTGGTTGTATTGTTGCTGGTTGGGCGGAGGAGCGACCACATACGGTTGAGCTTTTTGTGACTGATTTTGTGGCGGCGGCCGTGGCCCTTGGGCCCCATGACTGCGAGACTGATTTTTCTGGCGGATCAAAAACCAGATGGCGAGACCTGCGAGACCTATGAAAGCGATGCCACCAACTACACCGCCCACTATGGCACCAACCGGGGTCGACGATGACTGTGATGGCGATGATGTTGCCGTTGGCTGATCGAATACGAGAGGTGAAGTTTCAGTCGAAGACGAAGACTGGGTTTAAATCGATGAAGAGATGGTTTCCCAGTCGAAGGCTGATGGACTTGATTGCGTAGTAGTAGAGACGAAAGTTCTCGAGCTGCTTGTCCTAATGGACATGCTAGGAAGCTCGCTCGATTCAGACACTAGGAATATACTATCCGTGTTGAGACCACCCAAGAAGGTGTCATAGCACCCAATCAACGTTTTCGTGCTTGACATATCCCGCATCTTATATTCCACACACCATGGTCTTGAGGCGCCGGTACTGGCGGTACTGTTGCATTGCATTGTCAGTTGTCGTTAAGGCATACTTGGCGCTTTCAGAGCAGATCTTGACAAGTACAAGGGGACTGTGATCATAGCATAACATACCAGCATCTAGTTCTCGACCCTGGAGTGCCCGTACGACATATGCCCGCGCTGCCATCGAAACACGCCGTGTATGGTTCTGAAGTACATCCATAATATGACCCTGACGTCATACAGGTTGTATAGACACACCCGTACGGCTGAGGCTCGGCTGAGGAAGTGTTATTCAGGTATACTATATGGCAACAGGGGTAATTTTAATTTGATCGACTTACTTGCGTCGGGATCGACCAAGAAACCGCAAGTATCAGCAGACGCCCGTGGTACAAGGTTGGCATTTCGGAACCGTACCCTTGGAGGCGACGTTGGGGCCGGCGGCGATAAGCCTCCGCCGTGTCTGAAGCCATCGCCAGGGCCCGTTTGTCGCGCTGGAAGGTAATTGTAGTTTTCATCTTCCACAACCCTCCATGCCAGCCATGCTTGGGCCGTGGACAGCCAACACGAAAGCACAAGAGCAGAACGTAGATGCATCTGGGCAGGGCACATAAAGTAAAAGCCTCGTTTTTAAATTTTGTAGTTAGTCTACGTCCAGGCATTATACCGAGGCAAAAGGCAGGTGTTCAGATATTTATCGGCAATCATCTTAATAATGAATATACTGAACCGTGTCTGAACCCGGAGTACTATCCGAATCAAATATTGACATTCCTTTGTGGCTGTCAGCCGTAAATCTTGTCTGTCTCTCCCCAGACATTTTGCAGCCGATCACTACACATAGAGCCTGGGACATGGATATGGGCAAGGCTAAACGCGAAGTTTCGCATTCTAGCAGTAGAATGAGCCTCATCAAAATCGAGTCCTAGGTTACGAAAACGGACAGGCAGTCAGGTAGCTTGATGAAGCTGGTATCAACCACGCTTTAGTCGCAGTAGCTAACCCAGACCCTTTCAAGTGAGTAATACATGAAGATGGGGTTCGTGATGAGGTTAAATTGGTGTGTGAACAGACCTGTGGAGTCCTTTGAAGCGCTTCACAGGTGAAAGAGCACATAACCTTTCCGCCCTTTTCTGACCACTCTGCATACCGTCCCTGAACTGTGGACACTGACAGTAGGAATTGTCAGGAACAAATCCGGAAAATGGTAAGGAGAACTGTAAGGCTGACAGCATAGTGCGCCCATGTCTCAAAAATGAGCAGCCACTCTAACTTTCTTGGGCAAATTGAACCACATTTCGACAAAATGGTATTAACTTCGACGTAGTGGACATCTTTTCGGCGATGTGGAGAGAGTTTGGAGAAAAAGAACAAGACTTTGAACTGCGCATAAGTTCAAGTCACGTTTTCGATTTCCGAGGGTCACGATAGACGGTAACCGTTGCAGGCAATCCTCCCACACCCGAGACAGAACTTAGCCGTCCGGTGAGAAAGTGTAAGGATGGACATCTCTGCGAGTTTCGAGTGTAATACAAGGTTATCACTATCATGGCAGAGAATCCTTCGCTGGAGAAACTAGCAAAAAAAAAAGAGTAATTAGGAGGGTCAAGTCAGCGCTTGTGATAGCCAAATCTCTTGCAGCTGATTTTGCAGCGTACGAAAACGGATAACCGTCTTCTCCTGCACTGCAACTTGGGCTATACTCAGCCATTGAAGGTGCAGTACTTAAGATAGAAGCTAGCACAAAAGAGCTGAGATTGGCTATCGGAGCTTTCCAGAGCTCATTCGCTGTCTTGGGTAATCGTGCATGCCAATTGTGGTTTCTGATGTTAGTCGTTCCAACAACGCATGAGTTTCTCCGATGCACATCACTTAACTGATTTCGGCTATGTTGACATGCCAGCCTTTGAAGCAATTATTTCGAATGATAAAAAGCTACTTGGAAACCCTCATGACGGGACATTATGCCAGAATTCATGCGCGAACGCCCTTTACCTTCGAATTACTAACTGCTGACAACTCTCAGTTTTGAGGAGACCATGTTCGCAACGAAACACCTCAATGACTACCCTAGCTCCGCCGGTTTACAAGGACTCCCAACATTCAAGCCCTTCGGCAGCTGCTGTTTTGACTCAATTTGTTGACCTTCAAATTGCGACTCACTCAACGGAGATATCGGCGACAAGGGACAACTCTTTGAGTGTTCTTCGTACCCCTCTGTTTGCGGGCCATGTTGGATAACCGGCAGGTCCGCTTGAAGCTCCTGGGGGGGCGCTGGCCACTGCCGGCGCAGAGGACCCCATCCCCTACTACGCATGACAAGCCACATCACGGTGCACCCCGTGATAGCCAGTATAGCCATCCCCCCTAGCACGCCTCCCACGATGGTACCCACTGGCGACTGCGACGTGGATTTGCTGCCAACCATATCCACCGTGGGTGTAGATGTCGATGATGGTAGTGAGGGTGATGATGTTGACGATGATTCGCTCTGGGAAGTCGAAGAGGACGATGTCCCAGAAGATGAGGTCGACGACGTCAGGCTTACGCTGGCTGAGGTTCTTGATTCTGTCTTCACAGTGGTACTCAACCACACGGTTGGCTCCCAAGAGAGACCCTCGTCACGGCATCCAAGGAGCGTCTTCGTACCGGATGTGCCCTCATTCCGTAGGAAGGTCTGGCATTGCCCAATCCTACCGGGGGTTTTAGGACTATCAAGGTTCGTTAGTATGAGGACAGAACTTGTAGAGCCCCATGCAAGGAGTGGCTCCCCGTGGGTGTCATTGAGACGTACCAACACATGGTTTGAGAGCCCGGTACTTTTCCAGGTGCGCATTCGGGAGCAGAACCACCGAAACATTTGGTCGCTGGTTTATCTGCACAGCCAAGCCATGACCCTGAAATCAAACACTGGTTACGTAGATCGTCACAGACACGTGTGTAATAGAAATCTGCGCAAGGAATTTAGACCCGGCTATCCTCGTGCACTTCCGAGATCTTGAGGGGATATTGGCGCCGAAACTGACCTTTATCGACTGAAAGCGTGAAGAATCCGCATGTTTCCGTACCGAGGGTATCTCGATCCCGAGGATTCATGTTTCTAGGCAAAATCCTAGGGGCCGGCGTCGGGGCCGGAGGTGGATGATCATCGTAGGCACCCGATTTTGCCCCCGCAAGAGTTTGGCGAGGCAGGTTAATGTTATTGTTGTTCCAGTTATCGCGTGCATTTGTTAGAACTACCAGGAGAGAGGCCGCAGTGGCGAACAGCCGCGAAATCGAAGGCATCGTGAGTTTCGGCTCAAGTTGAGATATCGTAAAGGGGCGTCATGTGAAGAGCCAGGAGACGGGATGGCTCCAGTTGGTCAAGGGAAAAGGACGAACTTTGCGCAGTAATGCAAAAGGCCAACGTGCTTCTTAAAATTTAAGTATACTTGTTGGCTGATTTCTTTCATGAAAAGTGAGTGTTCCAACAATTTAAACGAAATCAGAGAGTACAGTACGAAGATTTGTGTTTGTTCCCATGCAGATCGTCCTTCATCTAATGCCAATCACACATGGGCCAACTGATGTATGGGGCGATGTCGTCTTGAAAGCCCAAACATCGTATCGCACATGCATGTGGTTCTGCTTGACATACACGAAGCTCAGCGACTCGAACTTGAAAGACCCCAGCCCCTGTTCGAGGTTGCCAGGACCATATCCCTTACATGATTGTACTTTAGCTAGGCGGTATTAGCACCCTTTTGTGATACCTAACGACTGTGCTGATAGAGTGACAAAACCGCCGAGCCTCCTTCATAAAATTCGTGTAAGTTGGTCAGTTTCGTTACCTTTACTACCCAGATACATCTCAACAAACAGAGCAATGTTGTGTCACCACACCAACTCAAGAATCCAGCTCAGCCGGTTTGTTCGGACTTCCAAGCTCACCGTCCGCTGGTGCCCTACAAGCCTGTAACTCTGGTATTGTCGGCACATGTTCACGCTGAATCATCTCCGTCAATCCCTCTGTCTTCGCCGAATCACCCGGCTGATCACCCTGCAGTTCTACCGTCGGCGTCGGTGACCGCCGGCCTGTCGACTGTGCTCTTCTCCGTCTCTGCTGCATGAATAACCAGGCGACGAAACAGACTGTAACACCTACGAAAGCAAAGGCCCCAAGAACCGCGCCTACAATGGCGCTAGTCTGTGGTTGCGGTGAGAAGTTTTGCGCATCATCGTTGCCTGAAGGCTTTCCGGAAGCTGACTCGGCTGCCGCGGTAGGTGTGAAGGCTAGGCTAGGCGTTGACGTTCCCATTGAGCTGGGTGTCATAGTCTCGGCGGAAGAACCAAGCGCTAGATCGCCACCAGAAGATGGAGTCGAGGGAGGAGACCTCGTAGGTGTAGAACTGCGGGCATTGACGAGTAGGTTCGTCGAATGGTGCAGCGTTACGGTGATATCCCACGGAATATCGAGGTCGCGACATGCAAACATCTTCTTCAATCCCTTTTCAGAGTCGTCTCTCATGAAAGTCTGGCATGCCGGTACGATACCCGAAGTTTCACGACTTTTGATCGTAGTAAAGACATCATCAGCCAATGTCTCCTACCATCCTCGCCTCAGGAGCACGACATAGAAAGAAAAGAAAGAAACTCACCAGCAGAGTGTCTTCTCATCCACCGTCATTCCAGAGCTGCAACCTTTGACCTCCCGCGCGTTCGCACACGAGGTGAAGACCGCCGAACCGCAACCGAGGAAACCATCACTAACCCTACATGTCTCGTTTTCCGCGCACTTTCGTGACCTAATTCCTGCGGTCCCGTCAGTTTCATGCCATAGCTTTTAATAGTAAGAATACCACCAAAAGAAGTAGGTCTATACCTTTATCGCCGGAAAGCGTAAAGTACCCGCATACGCTTTGCACGGGATCCTTATCTCTAATGTTGAGATTGGGTGGCGGTGTCACCGCTGGCGAGAGACCGACGTCGTAAGTGCCCAACAGGCTCGCTGTCGGCATGGGCTGCATGGGAAGGTGACTGTATTCAGGCTCATCGCCATGAGGGGTTCCTGTACAGAATGTTGGAAAGGCATGAATAAATACGAGTAGACCAGGAAAAAGTTGCATCATGAAGGCATATTGATGTGTCCAAGTGCCATACAGAGAGGATAACGAAAGGGAGGAGTGATAAATCGCAAGTTTTGATCGTGTGGCGATCTATTCTTCTGTTGCTTGAGTGAGCACGCACTTAGTAGCCGAGCAGATGAAAGGAGTTGATCAAGGAACGCTGTTTGTCATTGGGGAGTCGAGCTGTTGAATGTCGCCTGCTTCGCCTCGGTATCAAACAAGGAGCGGCCAGGATTGAAACGTTGTATTTGCGACCCTGTGTTACCCTAATCTCATGCCTTCAAGCAGCTATGGTCACCTCCCGTTCTCCCAATACTCGTCTTTTTTTTATATCTCTCTCTTAGTAGTCAAGCTGTCGAATGTGTTTATACGAGCACCAGCCTTGCGGTGACAATCCTTCCATTTGCGGAGCTTTCAAATACACCAAGTTTACTTCAATACGTGAGCGAGGAGTTTTCAGTAAAGTGCCAGATAAGGGGTTCAAGTTCTGATTCAACCCCAGCATAGCATGTTACATACTACCTGGCTGCCATGGGCTCTTGGCCATGGCTACTAACTCTCTACCCACTCCACGATGATGTCCGTGTATCCGGTCATTGACCACCAGGAAATCAGAATCACCCCAGAATGCTGCATCTAGCTTCATACTCAGGGGACATCCGTTGCCTTCTCGTTTAGCCTCAGTATCCCTGTGTATGGGCCTAGTTTCTAGAAACGAAGGCCCATTGACAAAACCGTCGCCAGAGTTGTTTACTGAGTAAAGCCCAAGGAAGAGGCAACATTATTGCTCTTGGCCCAGCCAGCAAGGTCAACCTTGGACGCAGCAAGAGCGCCGGAAAGCCCATAAGCAGTAGGAATGTGCTCGACGCGGTGAACAGAGTTGATGTTCTTGTGCATTACGAGTTGGTAACAGGTAGCGCTGCCTTGGCGCGAGATTATGGTGGATGAGGCAAGGAAGTACTCCCAGATCTGCGATTTCAAGACAGTCAGCATATTTTACAGGTGATGATGATGTACGGTATTAACTTACACGGAACCATCGCTTGCCGTACTTGGCCTCGACCTTCTCACGGTTGGCCATCCAGTTCCTATACCAGCGCCAAAGAGTAGCCGAGTAGTGAACGCCGATCGTATCGATGCCCTTGATCTCAAAGCCAGCAGCCTCGAGCTTGTCAGTGAAGAAACCTAGAGGAGTCGACGCGTCGGCTCCTGGGAAGATGTACTTGTTCATGAACAAGCCCCAGATGAGATCCTCATATTGCCAATACTTGCGAAGTCCAGCAATTTGCAGAAAGAAGACACCGTCATCGTCAAGCATATCGTAGACCTGACGTAAGAAGCTTTGAAAGTGACGGACACCGACGTGCTCGGCCATCTCCAGGCATGTAATCTTCTTGTAGCCACCCTCGACATAAGGGATGTCACGGTAATCCATGCAGAGAATCTTGGACTGATCCTCGGGAATGCCGGCCTTGCGGAGGGCTCCATTGCCCCAAGCAGTTTGGTTGCGGCCAAGAGTAATACCAGTAGCGCGGGCACCATAGTTGATGCTGGCAAAACGAGCAAGAGTACCCCAGCCGCAACCAATATCTAGAAGACTCTCATTCTTCTTGAGACCAATCTTCTCGCAGACAACAGCCAGCTTATTATCTTGGAGCTCCTCCAGGGTCTCTTCTTTGGTAATATCGGAAATAATACCTGAAGTGTAGATCATGCGGGGACCGAGGAACCATCCGTAAAAGTCATCGCCTCGGTCGTAGTGGTCGCGAACCTGCTCCTCGTCTGCTTTGAGTTAGACTAGATTGAGGGAAAGCCAAAGATAGTACTTGCCTTGAGAACGAGTATGCATGATGACCTCAGGAGCGAACTGAAAAAAGACAAATTTTGCCAAGTTGATGGTGAAGCGGAAGGCGGCCCAGTCGTGGCGGTACTCAAGAACTTCAAGTGCGTCACCATTGAAATCGACCTCGCCATCAAAGTACATTTCATAAAAGGTTTCCATTGGAATCTTTCTTCTGCCATAGTACTTATCCTTATCGGCTGCCTTCTTGAAGGTAAGATAGTGCTCAACGGGGCGACCGGGAAGGCGGGCTTTATCATTCTTGCGGGGGCTCATCGATGAGACTACAAGCCAGAAGCCCACGATGATAGGAACAGAGGTAAAGAGGCAGATGAAAAGGGCCGTCTCCAGAGATCCGCCAACTTTCCACGAAAGGTAGTAAGGAACGCCGAACAAGAGGGAGAATAGGGCGGTATTTGAGAACGAATCGGAGCCAGGTCCGTCGGCCGGAAGGGGGGCATTTTTAATAGAAGGGTACTAAGATCATCATGCCGGTTAACGATTCCAAACTTATCAGAAGCAGTCATGGATCCCGTCATCGCTGTATGCGTGTTCGGTGAACCAGGAGGCGACGCCGTGGAGAAAAGCTGGGGAAGGGTCTGTCTGAGCTAGAACCTGCGAAACCCAAATCCTGATATCCAGGGGGCCTGCCTGTTGGTCCCTTTTCCCCTGGCATTTTCGGCTTTTTTTTTTTTTTTCTCACGGTACACAAGTAGCTTACCTTGGTAGTGCGGACGCCACAATCCTCTTCCTTCTCGAAAGTAGACGTAGGAGCGGCAGGAGTCTCAATGAACTCGAAGCTCGACTCGCTGCCGTTGACGCTGCTGGGTCTAGACATCTTGAGCGAAATGCGACTGCGCCGTCGACATGGAGTCTCAGGTTGAGGAGTTGAGAGGCTTAGTTGGCGTAGTGGAAGCAAAAGCAGAAATAGAAATTGGGAAGGAGTTTATAAGAGGAGAGAGGACGACTGGATCTGGGCCCTCCCAGGTTCACCAAGTGGTGTCGAGCAACTTAATTTGTGCGTGGATGAGGGGAGGGGAACCACCAGCTCCCATTAACGACATCGAACGTTTCGTGGGAGGAGCTTGGGACACTCGACCGTCCGTTCTCGCCTCTCTTGTTCCTCCTTGACCGCCTCGTCCTGCATGTCGTCTTCTGCATGGCTGCATTAAGCACTGAACCCCTGTTTATGTGGCTCATTCAGACTCTTTGACAGGCTGTCTCTGGACTCTAAATCTGGCTATCCCCGGAGTCCATTTGGCCCTCCGACTGCGTGCTTCACTGAACAAGGCGTGAAGGCGAAGAACGTATTTGTTATTGAATTGAGCCGGACCACCACTGGACTTCCGGTGGCAGATGGTCATGAGCAGCCAAGAAACTGTCTGAGACTGCAGATGAGATGAATCATTTGCTTCTTTAGGCTGTATTACTTGAAAGAGACGCGAGAGGTTTGGCTTTGAGTAAGAATGCGGTTAGAGAGGGGTCCCGGAGCTGCCAAAATACCATACCTCCCTTTCTGTGTTGGTCCTTGGCAGATATCTGCACATCTCGCATCGACATATGCTTACAAGTGGGCGTTGGGGGGCAAGCTTAGATTGAGGGTTTCGACCCAAGTTATTTGATGCCGTGCTATGGTCTCCAGATGTTCCAATGTAACAGATCTTGTTGGTGGTACCGGCAGTGAACTTTACTTCACAGTATCTAAGCGCCTGGGATAAAATGAAGAAGAAACAAAGAGCTCCATGGGCCCTGAAATGGTCTCATTGAACAAGGTGAGAGTGATGATCCAGCTGACTTTCTGGGTGGTACAGTACGAGTTGACGTGAGGAAATGAAAGAGATATTCCCGTCAAATGTCACAGGACATCAGGGATCAGATAACAGTCGCGCGAAATGAGGAAAATATGACATGCACAGAACACGACCATGTAGAAAGTAGAAGGACAATGCGCTAGAAAGTGGGGGTGCGAACCATAAACTTGCACAGGCAAACTGGATGCACCGCCTCATCCAAAGCCGTCACCAGCCACATCAGTGCATCATATCAGGGAGAGGCAAAACATGATTGAAGCTTCTGACATCTCGGGACAGATAACTTGAGCTTCTGGGCTTGATATGTATGAGTAAACAATCAGAATGCCCTAGGGTGGTATATTTTCTTAAATCACTGTCTACTGATGCTCATCAAGACATTCTGTACCAGACAGTATCCGCTGCATGACCCCCTCCTCTTCCAAAATCGTCTGCACCCTTCAACCCTGCAAGTACAACCTCGCCTCCCAGGGCCTCAGAATCTTCTTCTCCCCCTCCGCGGCAACTCTCTCCTTAACATCTTCGTAGTTTCCAACTCTGATTTTAAGGTTTTCGCCGGGAACATTCACTTCCTGCTCTTCGCTGGTAAAATTTAACGCCACAACGGCGGCCCTTCCCCCTCGCAACTTCTTGAACACAAACGTCTGCTCGTTGTCCTCTTCAAATAGTTCAAACGCGCCGTGCGTGAGCAGATCGATCTCCTCTTTCCGAAGCTTGATCATCTCCCTCCAGAAGTTCAAGACCGAGTGCGGATCCTTCTCCTGCTTCGCCACGTTGATCTCGGGATACAGTTCATGGATGCGCATCCACGCGCCGTCCTTGTTATCCGTGAAGCCCGCGTTGGGAGAATCGTCCCACTGCATTGGAACACGCGCGTTGTCGCGACCCATCTTGTTGATGCTGTCCATGATGTAGTCGAGGAACTTGCCCTCGCCGTGTTCGCGCTTAATGTCGTTGTAATAGTTCTGGCTTTCAATGTCCTTGTAATCTTCGATCGGCCAGTCTCTGGGTACGTTTATCATGCCAATCTCCTGGCCTTGGTAAACGAAGAGCGTGCCCGTCATGGAACACATCATCAGCGCCAACATCTTGGCCGAGAGTTCCCTCCATTCGGGCGCATCACTAGCGAATCGTGACACGGAACGCCCCTGGTCGTGGTTCTCGCAAAAGGCCGTCGTCCACCCGTCAGTACCCTCGATGAACTGCTGCCACTTGGCCACGATGTTTTTCAGCTCTGGCAGCTTCCAATCCACTCCTTGATACTTATAGCTCTTTCCTTGGCCAATGTCGACGATGTCGAACTGGAAGACCATGTCAAGTTGTCTATCTGCCGAGCTGACGTACTTCAAGACGTGAAGCGGATCAGGAGTGTGGGGGAGTTCACCGACTGTCACCGTGTCGTAGTGGTTGAGCACCTTGTTGTTCATTTCGCGCAAGAATTCGTGTATTCTGGGGCCGTTGCAGTAAATCATGAACGCCGGCTGCTCGAAGGCGTTCTTGTTAACGATGGGGGCGTCCCTGTACTCGACGCCCTTGCTGTACATGTTGACCGTGTCGATGCGGAAACCGTCGACTCCCTTGTCAAGCCAGAACCGCATGGCGTTTTCGTAGATGGCCTCGCGCGTCTCAGGGTTCTCCCAGTTCAGATCTGGCTGTTCCTTGGCGAAGAGGTGGAGGTAATACTCGCCCGTCGACTCGTCCCACTCCCAAGTACTGCCGCTGAAGTGGCTTCGCCAGTTCGTGGGAGGCAGGCGCGTGCCGTCTTCGGCATATCTAGGGGGACGCCAGATGTACCAGTCCCGCTTAGGGTTATCTTTTGAGGATCTAGACTCTTTGAACCAAGCATGTTGGTCTGAGGTATGGTTGACCACCAGATCCAAAATCAGCTTCATGCCCCGCTTGTGGCACTCGTCAATGAGAACCTCCATATCCCGGACAGTGCCGTACGGTCGGTGGACGTCCTGGTAATCGGAAATGTCGTATCCCATGTCAACTTGCGGACTCGCATACATCGGCGAGACCCATACGACATCGACACCTAGGTCCTTTAGATAATCGACCTTGCTAATGATGCCGGGGACGTCGCCTAGGCCGTCACCGTTGGCGTCCTTGAAACTGGCGGGGTAAATCTGGTAGATGATGGCATCCTTCCACCAAACCCTGTCGACCTTGTCGGCGGTCACCGAGCCCATCTTGAAAGGCTGAGGCCTGGCAATAATGCAATGCTAGAGAGGTGTAAGACGGAGAGGAACAGAAGACGATATGACTTCTGAGCGTAATGAGACACAGCGAGTTGTACAAGGAGACTCGGAAGCTGGAGGTGGAGCCATGTCATGGAGCTTGGTGGTCTTAAATAGCTTCCCCATCTCATGTTAAACTAGCCCCAAAGCTCTCCCCGGGTCTGCGAGACATACGTAGGAGGACCCGGGGCGGAACACACGAAACGGCGTGTGTGGGCACGGTGCGGATGATCGCCCATTGGATCGCAGGCCGGTGCATGCAGGCGCCGGATGCAGCAAGCGTGGTGTCAACCTGGTTGGAGGGAGATGTGCGTGGGCTGTGGACTCATACGCAGGGCAGGGCAGTCAAGGGCCCTTGAGTGGACAGGAACACAGGGTCAGCCAATGACTGCGGCCTGCGCCAAAGTCAATTCTCGCTGGAAAGCGTGAAAGAACCAGTGACGCCTCAGACGCGGATATTGAACGGGCAAACTTTCGCTGAATTGCGGAACATGGTACCGTACCACAAACAACACACCAACATACTACGTATGTGAACCCCCATCTAATAGCGACCGCGATGACATACGGCGAACCTTGTACCGAGAATAAGTGCTTTGTGTTGCCACTCTAAACCGCGATGGGTACAGTGCCCGCGATTTGACCCACTATCGACGCCAGGGAGGGCTGGGAGAGAATTACGTTCCTCTTTAGCAAACAGAGTTCCAGTGTGTGGGCAAGGAACATCTCTGGTCTGATCTGCACTTGCGGAGTTTCTCCGACCAGATAAGCTGAACAGCAACTGACTTTTGGGACACTACCCGTACCGCCTTGCCGTGCTGGTCATCCGACGTTGCGACGGTCAACGTCTCGTCACCAACTACGGCACTGGAGATCTGTTAGTACATGCTGCTCATTTGACTAAGTCAGTAAAGTAGCACGTCTGTTTTGTTCGTTCGAGCTCCCTGTCTTATGTTCGAGTTTGAAACCTTGTCCGGCCCCGGCAGGCAACGTGGTCTGTACTAGTAGTTGCTTGAGTTCCACTACCATGTATCCGTACTTGTTTGAATTTCCCGCTTCATTCTGTCGCTTAAACCCCGGCATGGCGTATTCCAAAGATCTGGAGGAGCGGGGTTGATCGCTGGAATTGGGGTTGGGTTGCCCCCGCGCGCAAGTGACCCCCGCGGGGTAAACGCTACCATTGATGTTGAAAGTCAGACAATGAATGGCCTGGACGTATTAGTAGTGAGTGGGCATGCTTGCTATCGCGAGCCATTCATATGCAGAGAGAAGGTCCTTGACGCTCTCCGGAATGCCTGCGCCCGTCCGTCCGCTGCAAAGTTGCGACGTTCGATTTTGTTGTGATTCATCATTTTATGTAACTCCTATCCTATCATGCCTATACTACAACCGCCGAAAAAGACGCTTTTGTGACATCTGGCCACCTGTCGACTATCCAGGCGTTTTCATGTGCTCGCCTTTGGTATAACAAGGTTCAGTCTATCGGCCACCGTCCACCCTATTCCTCGTCGTCGTCGTCTGCCATACTGGTGTCCGCTGCCCGACGTGCCTTGCCTGTGTCTTCGTCACCAGATTGGGCTTCCGCGCCGTTCTTGGTAGGACCCTCGTCATCCTCATCTTCCTCGTCACTTTCGATAACTCTGCCCCTTCTGGATCGTGAGCTCTGTTGTCGCCGACTGATGCCGGTATCCTCATCCTCATCCTCATCCCCATTGTCAACGTCCATCCGGTCCTCGTCGTCTCCTCGCTTGTCTCCGGCATCAGAGAGGGGAGAGCTGGCCTTCTCCAGAGCTCTCTCGGCGCGCTCAAGAGGGTCCTCGTCCTCGTCTTCATCGTCACTGTCCACGACGATCTCAGCAGACTTGTACTTGGTGTTGTTGGTAGACTCCTTCTTTGTGAGACGACGCTTCTTCTTCGTAGGCCGCTCTTCTCCTGAATCTTCGCCATCCGTATCGGCCTTCTTCTTCCGTGATCCTCTTTTCGGGCGGCTCTCGCCGTCACCCTTTGCCGCAGGCTTCTTCTTCCGCCTAACCTTCTCGCCCGTCTCCTCGTCGGTAGTCATCTCTGCTTCTTGGCGGGTCTTCTCCTCTTCGGCACGTCGCTCTGCAATCTCTCTGTCCCTTGCCGCAATCTCCTCTCGCTCCCTCTTGATCTTCTCCTGCCTTTCGCGCTCCTTCTCGAGAGCCTTTTGACGCTCCTCTTCACGCTTCCGGAGCTCAGCTTGGCGTTGCTCCAACGCTGCTTGTAGCTTCTCCTTGTTCTTCTCCTCGTACTCCTTCTGGCTGGCGATAGCTCTCTCGAGTTGCTTGCGTTGGGTATTGCGAGCCATGTTGGCACGCTGCTCGACGTCATGCTTGGGGTAAGGAGTTTGCGGGTGGCCAGCAATCTCATCAAGTGCGGAGATTGCTGACTCTAGGCCGGCAGCAACATCTTGAAGTTGAGCTAGCGTACGCTGGTTCTCATTCAAGGCATAAACCGTTGTTGCCATCTGGATCTGCACAAAGGCAACATTGAATTTGTAGTGCACTTGCTCAGGGGCAGCTTCGAGGGCCTGCGGCGGTAATGGGTTAGTATGACTGGTGAGAAATGATAAGAATAAGCGTTAATTACCTTCTTGGCGTATTCGAGCGACTGTCGGTACGCGTCCAGGTCTCGCTCAGAACGACCCTTATTGAGCCAGGTACGGCCCAGACAGGCGAGAATGAGGGGGTCGGTAGCCTTGCCTTCCTTTGACAGCGCTGTCTCGTAGTTTTCGATCGCCTTGGTCCACTGCCTCAGCTCAGCATAGATGTGGCCAAGGTTGACGTAAACGTGGGCCTCCTTGATAGTGTCCCTAATCTTGACAAAGATACCAAGAGCCGTCTTGTAATCCTTCTTGTCTTCAACCATCGCGATGGCTATGCCTTGTGCTGCGTAGGCGTTCTTGGGATCAAGAGAGAGGGCCTTCTCGAAGAATTCAACTGCCTTACTGTATGTGGCACTCCGCTTGGCTCTGTCACTGTCAGACTCGCGACGCATTTCTCGGGCCTGGATCAGGTAGAGGTTGCCCATTCCAACCAAAGCATAGCGGTCGTGCTTGTCGTAGTTTTGCAGAGTGTGCTTGTAGTGACGGAACTCATGGTCCTCGTTGATGTTATGCGGTCGCTTACGCGAGTGTACTTTGCCCATATACCAGCCATATAGGGCACGAACTTCGAGGTCTTGTGGGTTTTCTTGGTACAACTTCGCCACAGCATCTGGTCCCTCCTTATTGGGGTTCTTTCTGAGCTTGATATACGCCAGCCTCGTACGGGCATCAGTGTAATCATCATGGCGCTTAAGCAGTCCTTCGTAGACCTCAATGGCCTCGTCAAGAAGACCGCGAGACTCGTAGCTCCGGCCAAGGTTGAAGCTAATGGTGGTGACCAAAGCATCAGTGTCAATTTCCGAATCCTTCTCCCCAATCTTCATGCATGCTCCCAGAGCAGCCTCAAACATCTCACTGGCCTGTTCATGCTTCTCCGATTGCGAGTGGAAACAGCCGATATTATTGAGAAGTTGCGGCGGCAAAAATTTGCGCAGAGCGGCGCGCCTCTCAGCCTCATCAGCAATTTCTGTTGGGCGCTCTTCCTCGGGGATCTGCTCAAGTTCCAGCTGTTCGACCTGAAGAAGACACTGTTGGGCCTTCTCAGGGTACTCGGTTTCATAAAGGCGAGCAAGGTTGAGAAGGACAGCGGCATCAGGCGACAGGCTCTTCTTGGAGTCCTTCCAGGCACCGCGCACTCCCTCGAGCAACCCAATTGCCTTCTTCATCTCTGCCGACTTGTCTTCCTTGCCGTCCGCGTCCTGGTTAGCGAAAACCTCCTCGGCATACAAGGTTCCAAGCAAGATCATGGCCTCATGATTTTTGGATTGTTGGATCATCTTCTCCAACCGCAGCTTCGCCTCACCCAGGTCACCCCTGAGCACTGCCAGCTGCGCAGCACCAAACTTGGCAGGCAAGTAGCCACGTTCCGAGCCACCGCGGGCATCGTCGGCTCTGCGATAGAAGTCGCTGGCGCGGTCTGGGTCTCCCGTGTAGTGCTCCTTTCGTGCTAAGAGGTACCAGCCATCACTGGCAATGGCATTCACATCCGTATACTGGATTGCTTTGTGTGCGAGTGAGTCGACTGTGTCGAGCTTTTTGCGGGATAAGAAATAGCTTGCAAATGTTGCACACGTAAGTGGCATGTTTTTGTCGAGCTTAAACGACTTTTGCGTGTATTCAGTCATCGCCTTCTTGTAGAGACGAAGGAATTCGGGGCTGTTGGTAGGTATGTGGCCGCTAGCGTCGAGATAGTAGAGACCAAGGAGGATGTTGCCAACCTTATGGTCTGGGTTAATCTCAATGCACCGCTCCCAAGCCATCTTCGCGTCGTCCTTGAAGCCCAGCTGCCAAAAGCAGCATCCGATGCCGATTCTTGGATCGGGGTCGACAAAATCGGGCATCTTCTGCAGAACCTCCTGATAGCATGCCAAGGATTCAGGGTACTTTCCAAGCGAGAAGAATGTCCTCGCCTTGCCCATTACCGCCAACATGTTCTTCCCCTGTGATACTCGAATGGCGTCTTCGAAAGCCTTGAGCGCCGATCGCAAAAGGTCTGCCTTTTCAGAATCCACCTGACCAGGGCCTGTCGCCTTTGGTGTCTGCAGCGAAGCTCGGAGCAGTTGAAGAACTCCACGAGCCAGGAAGAGAGGAGGGAACGCTGGATTGATTCGCGACGCATCGTTAAGGGTCGAAGTGGCCAATTGCAGGTAATATTCCTTCGTCTTCGCCTCAGAGGCCAATTCGCCGTCCGGGGGCAGGCGTGGGGCTTCGCGACTCTTCCACAGATACATCCAGCAAAGGCAACCGATCATGCTCAGCTTCTCTCGAGGGCTATTGTCGCGCATTGCGTTTCCGCCGCGCACCAACATTTCGATTGCATGGTCAATCTTCTTTTGCTTGGCGTAGGCCAGCGAGACGGTCATCCAATAAGTACGGGCGGCGCGCTCATTTTCGAAAAGCGTGCAAAGCTCGGTCGGGTCGTCGAACAGCTCGAGAAGATCGATTTCGACGGCCTCGTCTTCAGCTTCGCCTTGGACCGGAACGTCGATAGCGGCTGGGATGTCGGAGAACCGTTTGCTGACTGGTGCACTCGTTGCACCATTGGCACCATTCATCGCGCCGTTCCGAAGGGCTGACATTATGGCGGATGAGAGGCTATGACATGCCTCAGTGGAATTGGTGATGAATAGGGTGATGGAAAGATGTGCTTTGGAAATTCGAGAGAGCTGGGTGAGGCTGAGGAAAGGATCTCTCAGTCGCGTTGGCCTTGTGCAAGTGGGTCCCAGAGCGCTAGTGGGACGCTCCTGCATCATTTACCGAGTTGCTCACCGAGGGTGAGCTTTGATTGGATGAGACGTGTAAGTTGCGAGTACCTTTTCCAGGAGGTTAATATCGCTCAGATCTAGGTATCTGATACTTTTGCCGCTCACTTACACACTCCTTCAACACTATCAAGCAAGAAGCGTGATACTTCCTTCTCTCTCAATGTGAGATTAGGTTTCAGCAGCCGAAATCAGGTGAATGTTGTCGGAATATTAGTCAGGGAACATTATATGTTCTGGTTGTGTCTATTCTAACTCATCCTGAAGGGTCATGCTTTTAGTTGTGTTTTTATTATTTGATGTTTTCTCAAATGCGAATCTCAAATTGTGACAATTGGCCATCGTGTCAGGGCTAACTCCTGCTCCTGCCAATATTCTACCAGTATACAAAAAAGCTTGGGGTTTATTCACTGACGTTTTAGATTTTAAATCTGCTTTATACAATCAACATCACCCGTTGAGCTATCTCACTGCCGCAACTTGGGCGGAATGATCGATTTCTATCATGCCTGCCAACCCGAGCATAATGGCAAAATCCAACGAATCTAACAGCAATATCGCCGTTCATAATTGCGTGGAACTGGTAGTTCGACAAATCGAGAAGCCAAGCGGACCGCTACCCCCAATATCACCGGGCTCAGAAAAACCATGCTCTGGATGGACATGTCTTACCGAAGCGCAACAGGCCGGAATTATCGTTTGTATTACTGTGGTCTTTGTTGTTTTTGCGTTTGCAATTTTGTTCTTCCTACGATCAAAGAAGAAGAAGAAAGCATGGAAAAACGGGGACTTTGTCCTTATTCGAAGAGGCACTCGTCGTCGGCGCGGAAGCCGGACTAGATCCATCATCAAATCACCAACACAGCGGTTTAGTTCTTATAATTTCCCCGTCATACAACAGCCACCACAGACGTGGATGACTCTGCCTACAATCCTACATATACCGCCGCCACCTCCTCCACCAGTCCCGGTCCCGATCCCTATACCGACTCCTATGCCAGTGCCATTCCCCCAGCCTCAACCGATTTATCCAGCGACCTTTCAACCATATCAACATCACAGCTCATCTGCTCAAGCACATACCGAGCTCCCACTCCAGCCAACCCCCCCCTTTCCGATGTTCCCAGTCAACTTTCCTGGACAGCAGTCACAGCAGCATTGTCGAGCCCAGTTCCAACCCCGGCCTTGGACAAACCCCCATGGCCCCCGCGGTCATCAAGAACCCCCCAACAGACGGCCTCCACTTGCCCATAGGCTGTTCGGCATGTTTAACCCTCATGGTGGGAGAGCCTCGACGATTGCGAGCTCGGATTATGGGTCTCCTCGCATGTCATCGTCTGTCAACGTCAAAACGTCCATTGGCGCTCCATCTCCCTCGGAAACACGAGATGAAAAGAACAAGTCTCGAACAACCCAGGTTGGACAGGGGAAGCCAAAGCCAAAGCCAAAAGAAACATCACACGAGGATCATAACATAGAGGAAATTCTTAAAGCTAAACATATGGCACCGGAAGAAACGTCCAGCGAGGGGATGGAAAAAGAGACCACAAAGCCCATTGCCTCACAATGTGATTTAGACACGGCTCATAATGACCCAAAGCGGTCAGAAGAACAAGCCTGTCGCAACGGCTGTAAAGTCAAGCCTGTCTATATATATGAGGGCGGGGCCACGCAACTAGTAGCTCATAAAAAGGCCAACAGAAAGGCTCTCAAGGCTACAGCCAAAATTGGCATCGCAATGAAGACGAATAGCTCTCGACTTGAACCTCCCAAAGAAGAAGATCTTAAGTAGGGACTGTCACCTTTGAAGTTTATATCATCTGCTGACAGTTCAGAAGAGCTTATACAGGCTTCGAGACTAACAAACCTGTCACATCGTCGATGGTGGTAGAACGCACACCACACAGGAGCACGGAGTACTCGTGCCCACCTGACTTCCCAAAGCCTGAAACTAGCAGGCACAATGAACCACACAAAGCAGAAAAACGTGAGACACTAATCAGAACGACAGAGAAACCAAAAGAGCATCGATCGGAGCCATGGGAAGTGACTCTGCGCACCGTTGAGATGGTGGGCCGGCTTTCGGCTGAACAGCCCATGGGAGGCAAAGGGGGTAAGCAGCCCTATCAGCAGCGAGAAAATTCGAGACGAGTACAGGAATGCAGGTTGGTTTGACTTAAAACACCTGATACAGACAGAGGTTGACCACAGTGGTATTATAGCATCTCCTGCTACGAAGAAACCGAAACTGAAGATATACTGGACAGCAACACTCCGCCTCCATCTCCACCAAGACCAATCCACCAAGGCGGCGGCCAATATGCGCCGGATCAGCTCCGTATGAAGCGCACAAGAGAAATGTGAGTAGTGATGAGGAAACAGGATTCTATAGGCTCTTAAGGTTTAGGGGAAAAGAGAAATGGCGGAAGCGTGTGTCTAGTTCAACTGGCTATGGGTTGTCTCAATAGAAGAACAGTACCCTAAAACGCGTGGATTGACTGATAGATCAATAACACCGCCACGTTATGGGGTCTGATTGTTCTCTGGATGAACCACAGGGATGCATGTTTATACAAAGTAATACAAACAAAGCCTCTTCCTTGCCAGTGCACATGAGGGTTCATAATTCATAAATCTGTCGAGATGTGCATATTCACGCTAATAGAAATGCACGGCGGGTGCTAAAGCAGGGGCTTGTAAGCAGGGTATGGTAGTTGTGTCACTCTGGTCCGTGCACTCAATGAGGACCGGGTGCGTAAGGCCAGAGCAGGCCCCGGAGGTGGCTTCGTCATTGCCTGCTTCTCCGGCCAGAAACGCACTTGCTGCACCCTGGGGCCTGGAGCTTACCTTGGTCTAACCTCGCAGTCCCGATCGCCTCTCCCCACGCCTGACCAAGCCCACTGTCCGCATCTCGACCCCGATCAACTTGGTTCACCCAAGGGAATTTTCATTGCTGACCTACTTCTTTGTTTTTTATCGGACACCGGATTACTGACCGCTCGATTGTCGATTATCGCATGCCGACAGCTGCCTCCGCACCCCTCCCCCGCTACTCCCGGCTCAGCTGCGCATACTCCGGCGCGCCGCCTAACTGAGACCGCAAACCCTTTTGCGCGATTGAACCGCAGCCTGTAGCTTTGTTTGCCTTCTTCTTCAACTTAAAGCTTGCATCATGTGGAACGACGAAGACAACAATCCCTATGGGACCAGTTTTGACCGACGGGATAGCCTGACTTCTTCCTCGGCCAACCCGGCTTCACCTACCTCTCGTGAGTGTATGTCATGATTCTATCAAGCAAAGCATCAAGCGACCAGGAAAATTCACAATATGATGGAAAACATAGATCTGGATGATTCTTCAGAGAGTACTGATGCCGACTGGGAGACTCTAGACCAGCGATTCGATATACCCCAGACCCCCTCGACCACGAGCGACGAGGCCCCCCAGAATCGCGTCCAAGCCCACGACGACAGCGAGGTCGAGAGCAGCGACAATGAGCCTATTGCTAGAGACAGAGGCGATATAGTTCCTCGCCCGAAGCCCGGCGGCTACGAAAGTCGAGTCGAGCAGATCCTGTACGAGAATCCGTCCATGCCTATCCTTATTACCGATGCGGGAAAGAGCGCAGAGAGCGGCGGCAGATACATCGTATATACGATCCGCACTGGGGTATGTATGTCGACGGCTATGGTAGGGAGCAGTTACTAACAGAGATCCAGAACCTCGAGGTCCGTCGACGATACTCTGAATTTGCTTCCCTGCGAGAAGCCCTTACTCGTCTGCACCCAACTTTGATCGTTCCCCCAATCCCTGAGAAGCACACGATGGCCGACTACGCCGCGAACCCCACGAATGCGAAGCAAGACCAGCAAATCATTGACTTGCGAAAGCGTATGCTTGCTGTGTTCCTGAATCGATGTCGGCGCATGGAAGAAGTCCGGACGGACGGCGTGTGGTGGAGATTTCTGGACCCCAATGCTAGCTGGGTATGCATTCTGTCTTGGTAACTTGGTATCTCTTTACTGACCATATGTTAGAGTGAGGTCCTTCACTCCCACCCGGTGGCCTCTGTCCCCAAGTCCGTCCTGAAGGCACCCCCTCTGGACCCTGCGAACCCCACACCGGCTCACGCATTCCTCCCTGTCCCAGCTAGTTCGGCCAAGTTGAGGACAACAGGCGGCGCAGGTGTCGAACCCAGTGCAATCTCGGGCACAGGTTCTCATGTGTTTGGCCGATTTCCTCCCGACAGCCACAACCTCAGCGAGCAGGAGCTTGACCCTTACTTTATTACGTATGAAGCCTCGATCAAGGAGCTGGAGCAACTTCTTTCTGGATCCATGGAGAAGGTCAACCGCCGGACACTTAGCCATCTCTCCGCTCTGGCTGCAGACCTCTGTGAGTTGGGGTCTAAATTCAACGCATTTGCACTATCGGAGCAGGCACCATCACTGGGCCCTGCACTTGAGAGAGTGGGTCAAGCAGCGGACTCATCCTACATTGCGACAGAAGAGCTCTCAGGATCGCTCGGAGCGAGCTTTGCCGAACCCATGCGTGAGAATGCGCAATTTGCCGGCGTTGTCCGTAGCGTACTGAGGTACAGAGTTCTTAAGCGCGTGCAGCAGGAGCAGACAAGCGATGAGCTCAATAAGAAGATCGCTCTCCTTGACCAGCTGGAGCGAAGCGAGCAAGAAGCTAGACGCATCGAGCAGTATTTGAGCAGTAGTCAACAGATCTCACCTCCACCGAAGCGATCAACCAGTCTTAGAGAGACTGGAACGTCGCAGCACCAGCGTGAGGGTAGCACCGAAGACACAGCCTCTATCGATTCTGATTTCCCACCTACCCACGGCGAGCCGGCACCATCTGCAAGCCAAGGGGTTCCGCAGAGAAGCAACTCTACGCCAGGCCATAAGAAGGCGGCGAGCAGCAACTCGATTACGAATAAGATCTTTGGGCCGATTCGTCACGCTATTCAGGGTGTAGCGGACGTCGACCCCGAGAGAACCCGCCGTGATATGATTGGAAAGACAAGAGAGAGCATTGAGCAACTGGAGCAGGCGAAGGTGGTTTCGGAACATGATGTTAAGGAAGCTAGCGCAAGTATCCTTAAGGACCTGAAGAGATTCCAGGGCGAGAAGGAAGAGGATTTACGTCGCTACATGGTGAGTTTCGCGATCGCTGCCTGGTGACTCCAGCTAACAACATAACAGCTGGCGTATGCAAAAAGCCAGATTGAATGGGCAAAGAAGAACAAAGAGACTTGGGAGGATGCCAAGACCGAGGTCAGCAAGATTGAAGAGAGCTAGGTTCATTTTGAGAGAACAGGAAATGGATTTGCGCGCGGATATTAGAATGGCTCTGGCTCAAGGTCCTGGGCTGTTCCCATAATTTGAAGGGGCGTTCGTTGTCTGCAGGCTTGGTTGAGTATTACTCGTCAATTGACGTGAAATGATGATGGCCAGTTGGCGTTTACGAGAGCCTGCCGTTCGTAAGAGCCATTGAATAGTCACAAAAAACATAATCAGATTACTTCAGGCACTTTGCTATTTTACACTTTTCCCCATCCCATTGTGTACCTGAATATTTGGTTCATGGAGAATATGATGCCTCATCGATGTTATTGCATTACAGATGCACACCCGAGTTTTCCAGTCACCGTAGCTATAAAGCCAACATGGAGCTTGATAATTATGCATGTACATAGAGTAATCAATTCCAACAAAACCTTATCTTTCATACGAAGGCAGGATACTTTTCAGCAGATATTCGAAGCTTCATTTCGAGCAGGGGACCCCGCGAGCATTATCGCTTATCGATAAGGACCGATAAAGCTCCGAGACTTTTCGTCGCGAGGCTAGACCGGACCATCTTGTACTTTCTCCTTTGCGCAACACAACACACAAGATGGACGGCGTACAGGGTCCGCCACCGGAGGGCCCGATTGCCTCGATAGCAGAACCCGGCATCAAGGCCGAGGGGCAGCTGCTCTTCGACCTACGCCGGGAGGTTGCCAACATTTTGCACCGCAACCAGACGAGCTTCCCCGGCGCGCAGCCCGTCAGCTTCGCGCGCAAGCACCTCGACGAGCTGCGAAACAAAGAGTGAGTAGCGCGCGCGACCCGTCACCGGTGTCGGACAAGACGGAGTGATGGGTAGGAGAGCGATTGCTGACAATATGCGACCACAGTTACTACGTCTGCGAAAAGTCGGACGGCATCCGGTACCTCCTATACCTGACGGAGGATGATGGCCGCGAGATTCATTACCTCATTGATCGCAAGAACGACTACTGGTTCATCAAGAACAGCAGCTTTCATTTCCCGCGGAAGGACGACCTGACGAAATTTCATACACGCACTCTTATCGACGGGGAGCTGGTCATGGACGATGTGGGCAAGGGCCAAAAGGAGCCTCGCTTCCTCGTCTTTGACTGCCTCGTCCTCGACGGTCAGGACCTCATGTCGCGCACACTAGACAAGCGGCTTGCGTATTTCAACGAAAACATTTACAAGCCCTATCGGGACTTGTTCAAGCAGTACCCTGAAGAGAAAGACTTCCAGCCGTTCTTGGTGGAGATGAAGGCTATGCAGCTCAGCTACGGCATCGAGATGATGTTCCGCGAGATCCTTCCCAAGCTTCGCCACGGCAACGACGGGCTCATTTTCACTTGTGTGTCATCCGAATACAAGCACGGCACTGACCCGCACATCCTCAAGTGGAAGCCTCCCGAAGAGAACACGGTCGACTGCCGGCTTCGGCTGACCTTTCCCACGGTGCATCCCGACGAGAACTTTGACGACTTCACAGAGCCGTACGTGGATTACGAGAGCGTTCCGCGCTCAGAGCTGTGGAGCTTCATGGGCGATGGGCGATATCAGTTCTTTGCGGAAGTTTATATTACAGAGGACGAGTGGGAGACGCTCAAGGGCCTCGGTGATCCGCTGAACGACCGCATCGTAGAATGCCACAAAGATGATCTGGACAGGTGGCGCATTATCCGGTTCCGCGACGACAAGGCCGAGGCAAACCACATCTCGACGATCAAGAGCGTGCTCGAGAGTATCGAGGACCGCGTCACAGAGAAGGACCTGGCGGAAGCAGCTAAGAGCATCAAGGACAACTGGAAGCTGCGCAAGCGGTAGTCCGGTCAATGGTATCGGTGCCATAGGATCAAGATACGTTCCAAGGGGGACGCGTTTGGGACTTTGCGGTGGCGGTGTGTGTATGTGTGTGTGAGTACGTGCAACGAGGGCGTCTTGGGGTGTTTCGCTTGCAGCTAAGCAAAGAATGGATGGGAAACAAAAGGAAGATGAGAAGGAACAAGAAAAAAAAAGGGAGATGAGGCTCTCGGGAGCTGTTTCCCTTCACTCCTGTCTCTGCCTCTTTACAAACTCCTTTCCCATCTTGGTTTTTTCGTCTTTGGCACGTGGTATTTTTCGGCGTTTACAGCTTAGGATATCGGGCATACAGGAGGGTGGGGGTTTTCATGGATTGATTCGTTTCGTCTGGTTTTGTTTTAGTCCCCCTCGTACGGGACGTGTAAGAAGAAGTCCATCGATATCATCAAAATAAGGAAACACTATAAATAATGACTTTTGATTTTGATTTTTTTTTGTCTCCGCGGAAGACGAACGGGTAACAGTACGCCTCTCTAGATGTAACACTGTATTGTGGTCGAAAAAACCTCAGACGTTTGGTTGTTCCAGAATCACAAGCTTTTGTTCAAGTTTTTTATCTTATTGTATTTTTTTCTGACAGCGAGCCAAGGGAACGCCGGCGCACATCGTGTCTCGCCGGCGCGGTACTACCTTTAGTCTTGACTCAGCGTGTTCGTGGGAAAGGATCCCCCCCATACTCTCCCACTTCCTCTCGCTTTAACCATTGCATTAGCAAGGGAGTTTAACCGTACCTAGCCTGTGAGACCCCTCAACCGACCACTACCATATTGGCGGTATGATGATCATGCTTGTGGGATGCATATGAGGGAGCGACGCATGTTCCTGATGGGCAAAATGTGCACAGTATACTAGTAAGTGGCCTCTTCTCAACAAACTTAGTCTACACCTTACTCAAGCAGCAAACGCGCTTCTTTTTTTCCTTCGTATCTGGGCATCTGGGGGCGGGCACGTCCTCTGTCAGGGCAGCAGGCGGTGCTCTCACACCCACAGCCCCCCCTCCCTGAACAAACACCCATACCGTACGTAGTAGCTAGCTCCCCATCTCCCCTTTCAGAAGCCAAACTCATGCAGGCACGGGCTTCCGCAACCTCGAAGACGTCACAAACCTAAAGTGTCCTAATCTTACCTCAGCAACGACGACGACCGCCATCGGCGAAGGGAGAGAATGGATTTCGAGTAACAAACAGTCTTCAAGTCTCGATTGTCTTTTTTAGAAATTCCTTCCCCCCCTACGTTGACTTCTTTAATTCCGGGATATCCCGCTTGCACAAACGTCTTGTCATAGACTCAATTGGCACCGCTAACACGATCCGGTTCGGAAACACAACAAACTTTACGTTCTCGCTCGAAAGAGCTCCCTCCGCAGCCCGCCATGATCCTCGGCCCGGTGTCGCTGCTGGATTGCCTCGTCTTTTGCATATTTCTCACCCCCCAGCTGCTCTTCAATGTCGGCTTTTTCCCGACTGTGCTCGTTGTCCTGAAGGCATTGCCTTTCTTGGTCTTCGAGTTGCCGACTTCGCTGTTACGCGAGCGCTGGTTGTTGAGCTGGGAAGAGCGGTCCCCTTTTGTGCAACGGGCCACATTCTTCGAGGACCTTGTCATAAGATGTGTGCGCTATGCCTTTGCCAATCTGCCTACCAACATCGGCCGTGTCTTCTTCTCAAAATATATCTCGCTACCATTTTTAAGGTTCCGCATGCTGCGGCATGGCTACATCAGATCACCTGTTAGCTGGCGTGAGTATAAGCAACACGTAAGTGCAGTCATTCCCTTCGCATCTCATATGGGGGCTCAATATTGCCAACAGGGCCGGCACGGCTTCCAAGGTATCTGGATCAATGCGGACGCTTCTAAACCGCCCGATGTCGTTGTCTACTACGCCCACGGAGGCGGGTTTGCCATGGGTTCTGCCCACTTCTACCTTGAATTTCTTTTGTCGTGGCACGCGCTGCTGGTCCAATCGGGATACCGAAATCCGGCAATTTTTGCACTCGACTACACGCTTGTCCCCGACGAGATGTATCCTACTCAAGTGTATGAAACCTTGAGGGGCTACAAACATGTTCTGTCCGTAGCAGGAGATTCGCGGAAAGTGGTAATAGCTGGGGACTCAGCTGGCGCAACCTTGATGTTAACTCTGTTGCTGGAGCTGGGTCATATGAACGAGGCCAGGGCATTCAAAGAAAAGAACGATGATTCCGCCCCGTCAGAAGGCGAAAGCCAGCAGTCGCTGCGCCAGGCGTCCGAGTCACCGCTGCCCGGGCTTTGCGTGCTAATCTCGCCGTGGGCCAAATTGATATCAAACAAACACGAAAACACGGCTAGTGATTACCTAGACCGCGACACACTGTGGAAATACGCGTTGCAGTACGCCGGATGCTCGCATGCCTACGACCAAACAGCGTCGCCTGGGCAGTGTGCCGATCATCGGGTATGGGCGGAAGCTAGCCCGCCGTGCGGCTTCTTCATCACATACGGATCCGAGGAAGTGTTTGCGCCAGATATCAAGGATCTGATCAACGTGTTGGTGAAAGGTGCCGAGGTAGACAGCCGCAGCGAGGACGGCGGGATCCATGCGTGGCCTGTGGTATCGCTCTTCTTGTCAGACATCGAAGACAAGAGGCTGAAGGGTCTGCGGACACTAACGTCAGCCATCCGGAAACATATCCTGTGAGCCGTCTGCCAAAGGGCGAAGCGGGTGTCGGGTCAAGGTCAGATTAGATCAAGTAAAAAACCGTCATGGACCGAGGCGCGCCAACTTCGAAACCAGAGCTGCTGAGAACTCGGCTTCTGCAGTTGTGTCCTAGAGTTGGTCTCTAGCCATTATCTCTTCTTTTATCATCATCCATGACAACCAATAGAAGGCTGGCGCAGGTGCGCAATGAATAGAAAATTTTGAGGTTTGATTACCTGCATGATTGGAGGGTGTTCCTGCATGCCGGGCCATTGGCCTACTGGGAGATTGTAGTAGTAGAGTAGTAGTAGTAGTAGTAGTAGTAGTAGTAGTAGTATAGTAGAAGCAGTACCACTACCACCACCACTATTAGTAGTGGAATTAGTGGTATTTACGTTGGGGGTTGATCGCGACGAATATTTGCATTGCAGAGACGCGTTCAGTGATGCGGATAAGTTCTTGTACCTGGGGCCAGCCCCAGCGGAGACAAGTGCGACTCGCGAAAGGAGGTTGCCCGTAAAAAGCTCGGACGGACAGGGAGCTATTGTGGGGCTTTGGTGAGGTCATGACCCTCATGGGTGGTCCGGACGGCCAGAGACTTGGTAGTAGTTGATGAGGGTAAGGGACGTTTGGTGACTTTGGTGACGGGAAAACCTCTACGTGTAGGGATGACGAGGGCCCCTGAATGATGGGCACGGCGAAAGGGTCGTCGGCGCCCGAAGTACAGGGAGGGTGCCAGCTCCAGGCAGCATTAAAGAGGGAAAGCGCGGGGTTCTGCGATGTGTCTCATCAGACCAAAGCAGGTGGGAGTTTGATGCTGGCGGTCAAGATTAAATCAGCAGACGGAGAGTCCCCCGTCTTTCTTCTAGCTTTTGGTCGCTTTATCGACTTGGGCAAGATAGCTCAAGTTTTGGAGGGGAACAATTAGGAGGCGCAAGCTGAAGATGAGATAGACGGCAAGCTAGCCAGCCGCCTTTTCAGCCTGCTTGATGTTACTTCGGGCTGCTAGGTACAACCACATCTGCGAAGTTGCGACATGCAGCCCGCGCCAACTTGGATGAGGGTAAGCCGCCCATGCTGTACATAAGGGCGCATGACGAATGCGACAGCATGATAGAAATACTCCTCAACGTGGGTTTCCGTGGAGAAAGTTGATTGAATAGCCGGGAAACTGGTTAGGCTGGCGCAAAGTTCGAAAATGGATTCACAAAATGATGTAGAATAAGAAGATTCTTAGCAGCGGGATGACCTGACGCCATTGTAGCTAGGTGGCAGCTCAAGCGCCTAGAGAGAGGTACCCTAGAGACCAGAGATGCTTCGGAGAGCTAGCCGTCGAGGTACACTAGAGGCTGTGTTGGTGTGGGAAACGGCAAAGCGTGAGTACCTGTGAGCATCCCGGTCCAATCACAACTGCAGCGTGACCCCTGCCTGGGCGTGTTTTTGGAGAAGCAGAAGGGAGCAAGGGGAGCTCTGACCCACGACGCGCATATAAACGGTGGGCATTCCCACTGCAAATCCAGTGCCTTGTGAGAGGAGCCCGTCTACCGCAAGCCCTTGACACTTTGTTTGAAAAAAAAAAAAAATCAAGAAGGACCCAAACCCACACACTCTACTCGCCTACTCGCCTAGCCACACCTGCCAATACGGTCCTTCATTGCCGTAGACCTCCTTGGGCCCGTCCAACCAGAACGTCTCAAAATTGGTCCTGCGCACTTGCTACCAGAACAGCAGCAGCAACAACAGCAACAGTAGCACCTACCGTTGCTTCTCAAGTACGCCAGAAAGCTCGCCCACCAAGCAATCTACCTTGACTGGCCTCACTGGCCTCACACTGGGTGCTATATCCACCGTCAAACCACATCTGTCTACGAGTCTTTGACGACACAATCTGGGAATTCCAGTCACACCCCCCTCATTCCCCATTTTCGCATCCAATAACACCGGAACACCCACCCATTTCCCCTTCTTTTCTCTTCTGCCGCCTCTGCGATTTCTGGATCACTCCCGAGAATACCGCTGCCCCGCACGTCTGACCGCCGCACCAGCGTGCCCGCCTCCCGCTCTGAGCCCCCCCGAACCCAACAGTGTCGAATCCTGGTTCGCCGTTTACACCGAAAGCTTATCGCGTTGAGGGCCCTTTTGTGAAAAAGGCTGCCTGACTCAGCATTCATACTCAAAGCACACACCATCGATTTCTGCCTTCTGCGTATTGTTGCATACAGCAGCTTTACCGAGCGACTTGTCTTACGGTCACGCCTCTCGCTTCCGCCACAGTTTACCCATTGTTGCCTGCGGGACGCGTCAACCCGCCCTCCGACAATTGCCTGTCTCTTCAGCCCTACTAACAACACGTTGTTGTGGTCTGGCGGGACCCCCAGGCAGAGAGCTTTCGGCCCAGTCGTGAGCCTACCGGTCTACCCAAGCAAGGCTTTGAGACATTGCGCTTGCATCCTCGGTGCACACTGTGGTAGCCTTCGCTGTTTTACACTGCCCTCCCTCATCGTGAGCTGAGAAGGCTGCAGTGTTATCCCATTGTACAAGTTGCAAGTTTGCGACTTAGGTTGCTCGGGACCGCTGCCACTTATTGTGTGCTGAGGTGCCATCCTGCTTCTTTCGAAGCGGTCCACAACCCTGCTAGGCGCCCTCCTCTTCTTGGGGAAACCGGGCTTTCTGGCTGCTGTATTTGCCTGTTGGAGAATGTACGCTTGTGGGCGTTCTTGAACGTGCCCAGCTCTCTTCTCTGCCTTGTTGTGACTTGCTTGTGTAATCCAGCCCTGCCCACCGCCTTGGCTCAGGCTGTTTTGCACGCAACTCACATACAATTTCCCAGGAGATATTTCCCCTCCATCCCGTCTCGTCCTGTATTCCATATGCGAGTCGAGCTTACAGCACCTTTGCTGCCTCGTTCACTGCCACAACCAAGCCGACATTGCATTAGCTCCGCGTCCAACGGACTCCATCCCACCAGACGTAGCGCTGGGACGGAGCTGTCACTGCCTATACGCACGCGGCACCCAAGTTTAAATCAGACTTACGCCCCTTCCCCCAGGAAACACAGAGCGACTAAGGTCAGCCCAGCCCATTTCCATCCTGCTTTTGACGAGCACAAAGCTCACACACACCGAGTTTGTGTGTACGCGGAGACGTAAGTCATAAAAGACAGACAAGATTGAGTGAGAGGGGGACGCGGGTGGTTTTTGTTCTCTAAAAATCATTCCCTTGTCCTCGCTTAATCATCCTGTCCCCACGCTATCCGCTATTCGCTATTACTGGCACTGGAGCCCTTTGGATTCTTGGCCAGTGCATCGAGCCAACCAGCCAAGTCCCCTGTCATCCACTCGAGGGACCAAAAAAAAAAAAATAGCGGCCTTCCAATTTTTCCAGAACAGCGCCAGACAGGGAAGAAAAAAAATAATAAAAATGGCGGAGGACACTCCCTACGCCCCTAAGTCGCCGGACCTCTCTTCTTTTTTTTCGGCAGCACCCGCCCCGCCTACGCCTCCACAGCACAATCTGCAGCACAACCAGCAGCACCTGGACCTGAACAAGCTGCAAACTCCAGGACCTGTGCCGCCGGTATATGAATACTCCTCCCCCTCGTCGCGCGCCTACCAACCTCACCAGTCGACTTCTACTCCTGTACACATCAAACAGGAGCAGCCCCACTACCCACCCTCAGCGGCAATCAAATCCGAATATTCCTCTTATCAGCCACCACTGCAAACCCACCACCACCACCAGCACCATCACCAGCCGCATCAGCAGTACCTTTCCCCCCAGTACCATCAGCCGCCACCGCCGCAACTGCAGCAGCAGCAGCAGCAGCAGCACCTTTCTCCGCAACAACCCCCACTAAGTCCATATGGGCATCAACCGGTTAAATATCAAGACCAATCCAATCAACAATATCTACCACAAACACCCCAGAGCCAACCGCATTTCGATATAAAGCAATACGCCGGCACACCTGCACTCTACGACATTCCATACAACCCCAACCCAGACGCCCAGCACCTGCCTCAAACACCAGGTTCAGTCACAATGCCCCCCAGGAAGAACACACAGTCGGCTCCGTCGCCGCCCCCAATTGACCCCTCCCCAGTCCGGACAAAGTTCCCCACTGCGAGGATAAAGCGCATTATGCAGGCCGATGAGGAAGTCGGCAAGGTGGCCCAGCAGACTCCCATTGCCGTGGGTAAGGCTTTGGAGTTGTTCATGATCGCTGTTGTCAGCAAGAGCGCAGAGATCGCGAAGGAGAAGAACTCTAAGCGAGTCACCGCACAGATGCTCAAACAGGTCATTGAGACGGATGGACAATACGACTTCTTGGCCGATATCGCTGCTAAGGTCGGCGACGAAGAGAAAAGAGGTGGCCGCTCCAAAGCTGACACGGAGAGCGACGAGGAGATGGAAGTTGAGACAAAGAAGAAGGGCAAAGGTGGCCGCAAGAAGAAGGCCGCATAAAGCTTCCTTTTACATCTCGGGGCTGGGACTGTTTTGATGATGAGAACTATGAAAGGGTTATGAGGACTGGCGTTGGGCTGGCTAGCATCTACATCGGCGTTGGGTGACACGACGAAAACTTGTCACTTGGGGGCATACGGTACACGGCACGGAGGAACTTAGCGCTGTTTCCTCAACTTGCATGCCATGGACGGCTTGTCTTCCTTGTATGCGCATCGAGGCCTGCCGTTGGACAGCATTCACACATTTTAGAATGGAGATTTTATGTTGCGCATTATCTACTTTTTTGGCTGCTGCAATCGACTTACACCGTAAATGCCACCTGAAACTCACTTCTTACCGACAGGGTACACACACAGAGCAAACTAAGCAAGCTTTCTATGATCAATTGGGCATCTGAGATGATGATACAGATGTGAAGAGGAAAGGACAAGAGCCAAAAAAAGGTCATTGCCAATAAAATCGTTGACCCTTTCCTTCGGTCATTTCATCCCAATTTCATCGAAGATGGCGTCGCTGACTTAGCTCTCAAGGTGAGCTCCTCCTTCTATGCAACTACGTCACATATGCATTTAAGGTGATACTGCCCCGCAGGCAGGGGTTCAGCAGCAGCCCCATTGGACTTAGCGTGTCCTCGACCCCCTCGGACCCAGCGCTCTCAATGTGCGGCTCCCCTCCCCTTCTACTATACACACTATGGAGCGGGCACCGGCCCCCTTTTAGATACCCCTAAGGCCCCCCGTCCCAGGTTCATGCTCGCTGAGGTAACGAAGTGCACCTTAATTTGAAGCCAGAAAATTTAGGCACTAGAAACGGCGGGTCGTGCATGCAGTTATGGGGCATTCCTCCCACCTTCCAAGTCACGCCCTCACATTAGTGGACAACTCGACCTGCCCAAATCCACGGCCAGAGAGGGAGCTACAACTATTACACCGACGAGTAACCGGCCACCTCACCGCGTGTGTACCTACCTGTCCTCTGCTTGCTGCTCGCATCTGCCACTCCATTGCGCGCTGCTGCTCCCGCTCTCGAACCCAAGTCTTGCGCTTCCAGAGCCATGCGAAACCGTCCTTCTCATTGCGAATCCCGTTCATGTCCATGATCAATGAGGCACCGAGCCTCGCTGCAATTGCATCATTCTTTCCGCTTTGTGGCGTAACCAATGTCGTGGGACCTGCTCAAGCGATTCCTTGAGTCCGACGTCTTCAACTCGAACCCATTCCTTTCTGTTTCTTATTTATCGTGAGCTTTCCCCTCCTCCCATGAAGTTGTCGCACCGTGTGTCGCACACCCAATTGGCGCTGACACATGACGTGGGACATCTTTGACTAACCACTTGATCCAGCCGTTACGCCGACCATGTGGGCATCCACTATGTCCTCTGCAACAAGCTGCGACAGTTCCCCTACGAGGATATCGAGTTCTTCCTGCCGCAGCTATGCCACCTTATAATCAGCGTCGACAATGAGTCCATGGCCCTGGAGGAATTCCTCCTGGACCTTTGTGAGGAGTCTGTGACTGCCGCCCTCCTGGTTCGTCAGCATCTATCCTTTCGCCCCATTGCGTTCCTCTGCGCATTCGATGGGCTGGCTAACCTCTTTCTCTAGACCTTTTGGCTCTTTCAGACGTACTTACACGATTTATCGTCCAACCCACAATCCAAGGCGTTCCAGACGTGTCGAAGGGTGTACAACAAGGTGCAGCATATCGTGTTTGGCCTGCCGGATGCCGCGCGACATGAAAAGATTAAGGAGAACATCCTACCCGTCACGGTGCTCGCGAGTTTCGTCCTGGCCAGTGTCGCGGTTCCCCTCGTCCCGCAATGGGCAGGGCCCCTCGCCGTTGCACAGGCCAGGAAGCCTCAGCCGTCCGACGACCTGATATCCAACTCCCAAGACAACAATACCAAGATGACAAGGTCTCAGACGGTGACGGCAGGAAGTAGCACGAGGGCTAGGCGTACGAAAGATGGTGGACGTATTGCGGGCGCCCCAGACTTGGTAATCTCGGGCAACTTACCTCACCGGTCGACGGAGCCGTCCCCTTCTGGGCAGAATTCGTCGGGCTCGAGGACGCCAATCGAGGGTAAGCGGTTGCCATTACATCTTGAAATGAAAAATGCGGACGCACGACTTAGTTCCTCATCACTGCCTCTCCCCGAGCTGCGATCCCCAAGGTTGGCCATCACCAGGCCCGCGACGCCGGTATCGGCAGGACTCCCGCAGCGACCAGGCGACGCACTCAACAGGAGGCACTCGCATCACTTCAAGACCGGGGCCAGTGCTGCCGAGCTAACGTCGCTGCAAAAGACAAGGTTGTTAAGACAGCATTACTTTAGATGCGAGACCCAGTTCCTTACTGCACTCGAGGGCATCTCGAACCGGCTGGTTATTGTACCAAAGCCTGCCCGTCTTAGCGCACTCCGTGCGGAGCTGGCTCTCATTGCACAAGACCTCCCGGCAGAAGTAGACGTCCCCGTCATTTGCCCCCCTACGCTCGTTGATGGCTCTCCGGCAAAGAGCAGGCACCACCGAATCGTGCGCTTGAACCCGGCAGAATCAACAGTGTTGAACAGTGCGGAGAAAGTGCCGTACCTTCTGATGGTGGAGGTCCTGAGGGATGATTTTTCGTTCGATCCCGAGACTCCAGACAACAAGCGTCTTTTGGCCACTCTTGTGACGGACCAAGGGAACAACCGGCGCATCTTTGACCTCTCAGACTCGCCTCGCATACCCATCGCACCTAGAACGCCCGAACCGGTCATAGATAGCGTGTTCGAACCCGTGTCCGGTGACCTTGGAAGCTCTCCCATGCTGAAGCCGTTCGACGAAGAGCCCTCTCAAAGGTTCCAAGGCAAGCAGGCTGCGGCGGGACACATCCAACGCCACCCAAGTAGCAACACGACTATTTCTAGCACAATTTCCGATATGATCACTCCGCGCAGCTCGGGTGCATCTACCTCGAGGTCTAGCAGCCCACCTGGCCCGCTTCGCAAGTTAACAATGCCTACACGCAGCAACCCGGCTGTCGAACAGCCCGACTTTTCGGCACTCGCTACACACATGCGCACCGCCTCGCAGATGTTAGCTCAGCTTGAAGCTACGAGCGGCAAGCGTCCAAGACAAGAAGTACAGGCTATTAGGGCAAAGATCATCGCCAGCATGCAGAGTTTGGAAGAGCAGAGCTTCGACATGGACGAGCAAGGGCCAACGTTTGATACGATTATGGCCAAGGCCTCCACCGCGCAGGCCGCTGCGGCAGCACAGGTGACTGTCGAGCCCGAGATTGAGGGCGAGTCACCCATCGAGCCAGGGGTCAATGCCGGCGCTGGACTAGCGAGAATGGAAAACGATATCAAGACAGGAGGTATTCAAAGCAAGGGAGACCGTGATGATCCAAGTGCGGCTGTGTTTGGTGAAGCATGGCAAGCGAAGAAAGAGCGCATTCGTAAGACCTCACCTTATGGTTGGATGAAAAACTGGGACTTGGTCAGCGTTATCGTTAAGACAGGAGCCGATTTGCGACAGGAGGCGTTTGCGTGTCAGCTCATCGACGTCTGCCACAAGATTTGGGTGGACGCCAAGGTTAACGTTTGGGTCAAGCTTATGCGCATCCTCGTCACTGGCGAATCATCTGGTCTCATCGAGACAATCACCAATGGCGTTTCTCTGCATTCGATCAAGCGAAGTCTGACACTCTCGTTGGAGACGGGACCGGGTCAAAAACGCCGCTTCGCCACGCTTAGAGACCACTTCCTCAAGGCGTTTGGTGCTCAGGATAGTGAGCCTTACAAGGCAGGAGTGGACGCCTTCAAGCGTTCTCTGGCCGCGTACAGCATAATTTCATACATCTTGCAGCTAAAGGATAGACATAACGGTAATGTCTTGATCGACAGCGAGGGACACATTGTCCATATCGACTTCGGTTTCATGCTGTCCAACTCGCCGGGATCTGTTGGCTTTGAAGCGGCGCCCTTCAAGCTGACACAGGAGTACATTGAGGTGCTTGGTGGCATTGGGTCCGATGATTACGAAGACTACAAGAAACTCTGTAAACAGGCTTTCCAGGGTAAGTTGCAATTCAATGTGGTATGTCGGGATCCTCAACTAACTTTTGCCAGCCTTGCGACGGTCTGCGGACAATATCATCGACCTGGTGGCCATGATGGGACGCGACTCAAAGATGCCCTGTTACTCTGCCGGCGTAGCCCAAGCTACACACAATCTCCGTCAACGTTTCCAACTGCAGCTCAGTGCGGACGAGGCGGAGACGTTTGTCGAGACCGACCTGATTGGCAAGTCCCTTGGCAGCTACTACACGAGGCTGTAAGTCATTGTCTTTTTGATACCAATTTCTTTTTTTTCCTTTTCTTGATTCTTGTGTGCTAACGCGGCCCAGCTACGATACCTTCCAGTATAGAACGCAGGGCATCTACTAGACGGTCGTTGTGAGAAAAGGGAAAGCTTGACCAGCAACTCGAGCATTGGGGGAACATTGACGTGCATCTAGGCATCTGGGCGGCGTTGTGGTTGAATAGACGAAACTGGCTAGTAATGACAAGCCGAGGAATGATCTCTCGGTCAAAACATGTGACTTTGACGGGGAGGCAGTTTTTTGTTGCTGTTGGAGGTAGACAGTTTTTTTTTTTTTTCATCGCCTCTTGGGAAGAGATATAGGATACAGAATAAGATGAATGATATCCACGTGGAAGTTTTGTTTGGCTGTCATGAACGACGACGCGTGGGGTATGTCGGGCAAGTAAGCAAGTGTCATGATAGCCTTGAAAGGGCAACAAAACGACAAACCGCCGGAATACAGAAGTGGTTCAAAGGCGTTACAAGGCCAGTCGCTCGACTAGCCCATCATCAAGGTTTAGATGCTGGTGTTTCCGCTCATTTCATTTCAGAGCGAATACAGTCAGTCGCATGATAGGGAGGGCAATCAAATCTGTTATGAGTTCACCATGAATTATGTGTCTTTCTTGTACATACAAACCGCCTTCGCTTGAGCCTGTGTTGCTTCGCTCGCTTATTCTGTCTCACTAGCCATTTTTACGCACTCTTCTTAGTCTTAGTGACGCCTCTGAGCTGATCTAGAAGCCACTCAGATTTCTCGCCGCTCTCCAACCTGCGTTTGATGTGCATCACATTCTGGTAAAGCAAAACTGTCATTACGTCAGCATCAATACGCGTTCAACGATGGCGTAGATAGACATACGCGCAGGAACCACGACCCAGGGGCCATTGAACCCAATGTAGTAGACCCAGAAATACAAGAACTCTGGTCGACTGTGCGACACACCGTTAAAGTAGTACTCGGTGAGACTGGTCGAGTAGTAAAGCGCGACGCCGTACAGGTGGCCGACGCACATGATGATCGTGAGCGGGTAGCGAAAGTGGCTCCGCTTGGCGATAGAGATGACGATGGCCCAGCAAAGGGGACCCCAGACAAACTGGTTGCTTGTTAATGCGGCGATGTGGCCATGGGAGAGGTTCAGACTCACCACTGTGAAGGACTCGACGCAGAGCATGAATGGGTCGGAAGTCAGGTAGCGCGAGTCGGAGAGGGCATACTCTTTCCAGAGTTGGCCGAAGAGGGTCTGGAGACTTGCGAGACTCTCATGATAGATAATAAAGTATGCTGCCAGTGGTCAGAGCCTAATCGAAGAAGTCAAGGAAACACTGTCACGTACCCTCGAAGAAGCAGTGCAGGAAACCACCTAAACCATGGTATTAGCCATTGAAGGCGGGCTATTAGAGCTGGAACACACGACTCACAGAGCGCAAACCATGCAACGGTAAGCTGGTCGGCCTTCGAAAGACTGGGTAGAGCCCTCTTAGCGCTCACCACAGCCATGGAGACGCAGAGCGCGAGGATGCCGCCGAAAGCTATGAGCAGCATGGCCACGGGGGTCTGGTTGACGGTGTAGTGCCATAGCGGCGCAACGATGGGGTAGTACGGGTGAGCAGGAACCGCAGCCGAAGCCGTTGCGTTATCCATACTGTATAATGATCAATTGATACGTCGAGGTCACCAAAAACGCGCACACGACCACGTTAAACTCCAAATGATGAAGTCGAGACGCGTAAACTGTCCTGATGCTGGGTGCTGGAGTTCGCCTGTGGGGGGGATGATGCGTGGGCTTTCGTTGGATTTTAGTGGTCAGGTCACCTAAAGAAAGTCTCTGGAGCGCCCTGGTCCTGCCTGGTAGTTTAACAAGGGCAGGGGATCATTCCCAAGATAACAAGGGTACTTTCTTTAAATGTTAGGTGAAGGCAAGATGTGATCTTCTGACGACACGGACGCTGTATTGGGTAGGCAGGCGTGGGCTTCCTTATTATTGTTCACAAAGGCACTGGTTTTTGGACGAAAGGGCAGCTGAACTTTGTGGAAGAAGTTACAGTCCAGGGGCCGATAGTAACTGAACCTCAGTAGGTCCAATCACTTGCACTTGTCATGCTTTGTGTGTCTTCAATTAGTCTTTATTTAGTTATCTGATTGGAAATACTGGAGTTTCTATAAAGTTCAAAGTATTGGGATGTGTCTGGCATTGAAGGCAGAAAGTCACCTCTAGAATCTTGTGGACACAGATTGAACTGAGTAGTTACGCCAGTTGATGTCCCACTAGAAGAAGGTTATTAGGCGGCCTAAGACAGCGGACGGGTGCAGCTTTCCAGGCTTGCTCGAGGAGCTCGGACCGCTGATCTTCCGCTGCAAGTCAATCCGACGTCGTTCCTTACCGCCAATTGCTTGAGCCTGTGCCACTCAACATACCTATGTCGTGTCATCCTCCCACCTCTGAAGGAACAACCACGTTTACAGGTTAATCACACAATCCTCTCGGCTTTACTTGAGCTTCAAAGCTGCATTTCAGTCAATATGGGCGACATACCAGTAGAAGAATCACCATTCCCGCTGACAGATGTTGATAAGTGGGTCCTCTCACAGACAGACGAGGAGTTCAAGAAGCACAATTGGGAAGAGCTAAAGGACATCATTAGTGCGTGGTATTATTGCCCAAGCCGTCTACAAACGTCTAATTGTATACAGAGTCAAACAAGCTGGAGGTCCTGAAGCGCAAGCCCTCAGACCTGCGCCGGTACATGAAATGGACGGCCGAGACTAAGGCCCAGTATGGTTCCATGACAAACTACCTCATCGCAAACCGCCTGCCCAAGACATGGGGTGAGCCGCCTTTTACTCCCAAGTCGGCCGTTCCTTTCCAAGACCCCTCCGACTACCGGGTTCTTGTCAATGATTGGCCGTATGGACTCGACCCAGAAATCACTCACATCGTTGTCTGGTTGCGGACCGCCATCCCTACGAACCCTGAAACGGGAGACATGACGGTAGAGAGTAGACGCCTCGCGCAGGAGTTTGTTGACAACTACTTCGTCAAGAGCCTCGGTGAGAATGGGGCAGACCGGGTTGTCTGGTTCAAGAATTGGGTCGCGCTGCAGAGCGTCCGAGCTCTTGAACACATCCATGTTCTGGTTCGAGACGCAGACCCCGAGCTTATCAAGCAATGGGCGGAAGAGCAGCCATGGCATAGACAGAACTGAGGCAGTAGACTACACTAGATAGACATGAATAGACACGATGCCTCAGTTGTCGAGTCTCGTGGGCCAAGGTGACGCGCAGTCTATGCTGCGCGGCGCTGTCGGCGGTTGACGGGAGCAGGGGCCTCGTTGTTCGCACCCTGCATCTGGGCCATTCTCTTGCCAGCTCCAAGAAGACCAGCACCGGCGTAGACGCCATAAGCAGGGACAGCAAGCCACAGCAGCCAGCCCCAGTTGCCGAACAGAATGACAAGAAATACAGAGGCCCAGGTAACCCATATGACGTCGAACATGTACTCGGTCAAGCCGGCGGCTCCGAGGTCCTCGCCTGACGCCTTCAAACTTCCTCCCACATCGTACTTGGGGCGTCCGGTATTCTCCAGGATAAACTCGCAGATCAAGGCAGGAGCGGAAAGGAGGAAGAACCAAAACAAAGACCGCGACCTCAAGAGAAAATGGAAGAGAAGGAAGCCAATGTTGACGACAGCGGAACCAATGTGAAGGTTGTTCAGGGCGGCCGCGTTGGACTTAGCCCTATCCTTCTTCGCCTTATGCGCCATGTCGACAGAGGTCACTGGGTAGGTGTTGTTATTTGCTGACCGGAATGGTAAGGAAACGGTAAAAAAAAAAATGACAAATAACGTCAAGACCGTGAAAACGTGTGTGAGGTCAGTTGGTCTGGTGAGTCCTCGATGTAGGGTGGAGACCAAACTGAATGAGTACGTTCCTGGGGGATGAAGACAGGTTGCGAGCCAGCAGAATTGAGGCTGAAGGATGAGAGTGACGAAATTCCAGAAAGTGTGGCTCAACCGCGGGGGGTCCATTGACACGGAGAACGGACGGCGCATAGTGGGGCCCCGAGAAGAAAGGTGGCGGGTGGGTGTCTCTGGCGCAGGCGTGAACGGGGGCGTTGCAGCCTACGGTTACTACGGGGGCTGGCAGGTGACGACAGGGGGGTTGGTAGGCAGAAAGGCCGCTGACTGGGCGCTTGTTCCTGTTGCTGGGCGAAGTGATGGTGGTCGCTGCGGCATTGCATGAACCAATCAGGTTTACCGTACCACAACACCAAGCGCGACCGTAGAGAGAGACGCCTCCGTCAGGTCAACACAAGAGCCTGGAACCTGACCTGAACTGATCTTAGACAAGGACAAGGTTCCGGACTTGAGGTGACACCTTCACGACGACCCTGCCCTTTCATTGCCTCTTCTTCTTCTTCTCGCGCTTTTGGCCTTCCGCCATCTCATGCAAGAAGAGCCTACGGCTGACCTGGCCTAACGTCTGTTGACTTTTGGGATCCTCTCAGTCTGCTGGCCCCTCCGCCCCTCCCCTACGCCGTCTTTAACCTTCCCCTCCGTTCCCTTTTTTTTTTTTTTCCTTTTGCTTTACGGTCTCATTCAGTGTGCCCTATAGCCACGTTCCTGCCAGGAGATCGAAGTCAGTCAGATGGACCGTTGTTCTGTCTTGTGTTGCTGCGAGGAGCCGATACCGTGCCTTTTTGCCTGAGTTCACTGTTGCATCTTGCATCTTTCTCTCTCCCAGAGGGACCCAAACAATTCGCGGGACCCACCACGACAACGATCGTCTTCTACGGATACCTAGACAGACGCACAAGCAACAGCACATTGCCCGTTGGATTATTTCAACGACCACAACATTATCACGGTCGCTTTCCCCAGCATTTACGGCGTCAATTCGATTGTGCAGGTCGTTTATTACGGCTCTTAATTGTTAATGCTCCTAGTCAGCCGCCAGAACGCGCCCACAATACATTTCTTCCTGCTCTTGGCCTGAGGCTCCGCGCGACCTCCAACCTCGAAATTCACCGACGCAACTTTTTGCGCCTGCACAACACTCGACATCCTAGCTCGACAGAGCTTAATCACGCCTCCCAACCGTAGCCGCCCGCCCTCTCGGGACGTTGGCTCGGCAGAACCACTTCCCAGCCATTTGATCCGACGATTGTTTTCGATTTCTGCGCGATCCCATGGCCACAATCTCTTGTCGACGGTAACCCCCCTTCACCGAACCACATACGCCTCTTCACAGCGCCGTGAGAATGGCGCCCACGAGTGCAGCCACAACAGGGCTGCTACGACAGGTCATATACTACCATGTCGACAACAATGCCTACGAGAATGCCCTATTTTTTGCCGAAAGATTAAATGCCCAAGACCCCAAGTCGAGCGAATCCGCCTACCTGTTGGCACTATGCCATCTCCGTCTCGGCGACACGAGGACTGCATTTGAGGTTAGCAGGCCCTCAGCCTCTCGCGGCACAAACCTGGGCGCTGCCTGGGTATTTGCGCATGCGTGTATGAAGATGGAACGTTACAAGGACGGTATAAACGCGCTCGAAAAGGCGCGAGAGAAGTGGATTGGCAAGTCGAACCTGGGCAAACACACTACTTCCGGCCGTTCTCTGTACCCCGACGAGGCCGCAATACTTTGCCTGCTGGGAAAGATGTACCGAGCCTATGACGATCGCAGAAGGGCCATCGAGTGTTTTGAGAATGCCGTTAGGGCCAACCCGTTCATGTGGGATGCCTTCCAGGCCCTGTGCGATATGGGCGTCAAAGTCAGAGTACCCAATATCTTTCAGGTCACCGACCCCCTAACTCATTCTTTTGACCAAGACGCCGGTACCATGTCGCAGGAGCCCAAGGAGAGCACGGCGAACTCGTTCGAACCCAAGAAACATTCGGCCCGGACCATCATGGACTCGTCCGACCCTTTCAACCTTTACCGATCCTCAACCTATCAAGACATGCCTTTTAATTCGAACGTCTTCGCCCCCGAAACAGAGGAGAACGACTTCATGTCAAAAATAACAGCGGCGAGGTCAAGGTTAGCCGTGCCAGCCACAGCCAACGGCGACTCTGATCTTGTAGAAACACCCACTGGTCCAGTTTCGATGCCTGAAGTCCCTACCATGCGCTCGAATTTCGCCGCCGAACCACCCCAGGCGGCGCCGCGAAGGACGCGGACGGCCCAGGCCGTGGAGCCTGGCTTTCTGGAAGCACCGCCAAAAATGAGTTATAGATTGGGTGCCAAGAGAAGCACTAGAAGTCAAGATAAAGAGCAGCAGCCTGTTGAGTTGCACTCTGACACCGGGACTGGCACTGGAATTCTACGTGTCGCAGCACCCTCAGAGCGGAAGAGGACCGTATCTGGACATCCCGTTCAGACCAGGCAACATTCTGAAGAAGCTAATGCACCTGCGCAACGGAGAAGCGCAAGGTTAAATATGTTCAATAAACCATCAATCGCCAAGGCGAACTCCGGCGCTGCTACTATCGGCGCCGCGGCAACCCGCGAGCTGAAGAAGGCTAGACCCCAAATTTCTCGAATTATGCGACCTGGCTCTAGTGGCTCCAGCGTTGGGAGAGTCGTCAGTGGCAACCGCAAGCCCATTGAAGACAGCGGCATGGACGTCGATCACGCCGAAACTTCACGGGTGCGGGAACCTCACGCGGTACAACACGCTGCGCCGAAAGCCGTCTCTTCAGAGCCCGACAACGTCAGGATCGAAGAGGCTTTGAAGTGGATCATGGATCTGCTCAAGAAGTTCGCCTCTGGCTACTACGCACTTAGGCAGTTCCGTTGTCAAGAGGCTTTACAAACCTACAGTTCCTTGCCTCGTAGCCAACAGGACACTCCTTGGGTTCTGGTGCAAATGGGCAAGGCACATTACGAGCAAGGCTCTTACAAAGACGCCGAGAAATTCTTTAGAAAGCTGCGCGTTGTTGCCCCGACGCGGATGGAGGACATGGAAATCTATTCCACCATCCTCTGGCACCTTAAGCGAGAGACAGATCTCTCTTTTCTTGCGCACGAGCTGATTGATGCTGGGTGGGAGTCGCCGCAAGCATGGTGTGCCATGGGCAATGCGTTCTCCTTGGTTCGAGACCATGAACAGGCTCTAAAGTGCTTTAAACGCGCCACGCAGTTGAACCCGGCTTTTGCATATGCTTTCACTTTGCAAGGTCACGAACACGTCTCCAACGAAGAATATGAGAAGGCAATGAGTTCCTTCCGCCATGCAATTTCAGCGGACCGGCGTCACTATAACGCCTACTTCGGCATTGGTTGCGTGTACGAGAAACTAGGCAACTACGATAAGGCATACTCCCACTTCCATACGGCATCCATCATCAACCCAACCAATGCTGTTCTTATCTGTCGCATAGGAGCAATCCTCGAAAGGCAGAAGCAGCTCCTCCCAGCCCTCCAATTTTTCAGTAAAGCAGTGGAATTGGCTCCAAAAGCTGCGATGGTACGGTATCGTAAAGCCCGCGCACTCATGGCCCTTAGGCAAATCGAGGCTGCGGAGAAGGAATTGTTGATCGTGAAGGACATGGCACCAGACGAGGCCATGGTGCATTTCCTTCTTGGCAAATTGTATAGGAACATTGGCGAGAAGCAGATGGCGGTGCGCGCGTTCAGCAACGCCCTTGCTCTGGATCCAAAGGTAAGTTTCTTGATGCTAAAGTGAATGTTTTGTTCTTTTGATTAATCATCCTTCACAGGCCAGTCAGTCGATCAAGGATGCGATTGAAAGCATCGAAGATGACATGGGAATGGAGGACTCCATGATGACATAGACGTATGCCAACATGGCTTCTCACCTCCGAGTCTATTTCCTCTGCAGCTCGCAGAGGATAGTAATTATATGCATTTTTAAGGGTGCTGCAAGGATTGGACACGTATCTGGGTATGACGGAACGAGGCACGTTCGCCAAGCTTGGGGTTTGAGCAAATTACAACAGCACGATGACACGGATTCATGTTTATCGGCATGCTGCATGGCATCGGCGTTTAGGAAAGCAAAGCAGGGGAAGCATATTGGCTTGGAAGGGCGGACGGACCGCCCTTTTGTATATTAGCGCTCTCGCATCGTCAGTGCCAATCCTCTAAATTGGTCGTAACGAGAAAAGTAATGAATTATTCGATGGCGCCAACTCTTATCCAAAGTATCGAAGCTCGTCTCATTTGGCCACCGGTTATACCACTAATGCGTAATCAAATGACCGTTCAAGGCACTCTTGGTTTGAATGGGATTAATGGGTTTCGATGTTCAACACTTGGAGTGGACCTCATCCAAATCCGCCCACGGCAGAGGCTTACTAGTATGAGAGACTAGAACCAACACTTGCCCCTTAGAGAACTAGAACCCATCCCTGAACCATGTCACAGGACTGGATCGATACCCAATGGATGAGTCTATCAAGCTTTCTCAGCCAGCAAACACCTAACGCAGAGCATTCACGCAATGTGGAATGGCAGTTGGTCACCAGCTTCTTCCAGAACGTCCAGAACGAAAATAAGTGATGTGTGGGACCTTGCATGAACGCGACGGGGATGAAAAAGACGACCAATCAAAAATCGGATCGGCATCTGCGGACAGCTAAGCGGACGGCAGCCAGGAAGCGGGAAGCCACCTGACGCGTGACAGAAGGCTGGTCATGGAAAGCTCAGACCACTCAAAATTCGCCCTAGCCAACAGAGTGCCATCACCCCTGCGGCCCAAAGAAAAATGCCGTGCACGGGGCAAGTCCACCCCCATTGTAATTGACAAACAAGGCCCAACGCGACTACTAAAACTAGGCTTTGCAACAGGCTGCAAGTGACCTCTGAAATGCACGCCAAAAAAATTGAGGTCCCTACCGTTTCGCTATTTTCCAAAAATCAATCACTGTCCAAATTGGGACTAGCTTACTGATCCGGACCTGCCTCTGCTGTGAAAGCACCACACAATCAGTAACCAGTCCCCCGGACTTTCACTGCTGCCTTATTTAATTCTTCTCCCCCTCAGTCTCTCCCCATTTCCACACTTACTTTCCTCCCACATCTGAACGACTCCATCACCACTTTCAACCAACGTCATCGTATCGTCGTCAAGACGCGCCTATTTCATCCACTAAAAACAATCTACTTTAAAGAAACCCTTCATCATGACTGGACGTAAGTATATTTTCAGCTTTTGCTTCTTGTCGTCGCTGTTTTGGTGTCGGTGCGCTCCTGGGTATCGCGTGTACCCCGCGATTTAATGGGCGAGGATCCATCGGCATGCATCGCTGCATCCGGACGCGTTGCAACGCCTGCCAGAGCGCGTCAACACCACACTGCATCGTCACGACAATGTCGACTACATCTAGACGCATGTTTGCTAACTCGCTACAGGCGGCAAGGGCGGCAAGGGCCTCGGAAAGGGTGGCGCCAAGCGTCACCGCAAGATTTTGCGTGACAACATTCAGGGTATCACCAAGCCCGCTATCCGTCGTCTCGCTCGTCGTGGTGGTGTCAAGCGTATCTCTGCCAGTAAGTTTCTTGTCGCTGCTCAAGTCGTTTTCAACACGGTCTAACAGTAATTAGTGATCTACGAGGAGACCCGTGGTGTCCTCAAGTCCTTCCTTGAGGGTGTCATTCGTGACGCTGTCACCTACACTGAGCACGCCAAGCGCAAGACCGTCACCTCCCTGGACGTCGTCTACGCTCTCAAGCGCCAGGGCCGCACCCTCTACGGTTTCGGTGGTTAAGCGTGTCCTTTTGGCACGGCTTTGCCTTGTCTTGCGACTTCCCATCAGCTCATGGCTTGCGGGTTCGTCAAACATCAAGGCTTGCTTTGGATGGTTCATTGGTCTTTCTCAACGGTAATGGGATATGGATACATCACGTTGATTTACGGCGTTGGGGATCACACGAGACTCTGGGAATGATAGTACTCGAGGCGTCGATTAGGCAGACGCATTTGTCTGAATGGAAACACCACAATGGTGAATTGAACATAACAAACTGTGCCTGAAAAATCGTGACGCGTGTCAATGTTTACATTTTTGCTCGTATCCACTCCACTGGTCACCCGTGACCTTTGCGGGACCTGTCGTTGTTCCCTTTCATATTGGCATCGTTCCATTTAATGTCTTGGTCCATCTATTATAGGTATTTCCTTCCTGCTGCAGCCACTCGGGCTCTAAACACCGGGCTCTTAATCTCCATATTAAGTCTATAAAAAGGGCTCATGATAGCCTTAACCCAGTTCTCGTAAACCTCTTGAAAGAAGTTCTTGATGGCCTCCTCAGTCGCGGGGCTCGTAGGATTGGCGCCGATGGCCGCAGACGATCGCGATGACGCCGTGCTCGAAGGGGCGGAGGGCTGGTGCAAAAGGAGGAACTTGACATTGCCGGCCGTTACAAAACACGAGACGTAATTATTGAAGAACTTGTCGACGACCTTTAGGTACCTGATCGGAGGCTTCATCGTCAGCTTTTGACCCGGCGCGCAACTGGTGCCCTCTAGATGGCTGTCCCAACGAAGGCGGTGACGTACATTTGCCCCTGCGCCCACTGTACCTCCTCTACTATATCCAGACTGCTGTGCAGGATAAACTGATTCAGATGGCGTATCTGTTCGTTGAAGCGTGACTGGCCGTCGCCGCCCTGCTTGGAGGTGCCGAACTCATACTCAAAGAGGGGGTTGTCTTGCGTGCCGACGATGGCGAAGTAGTACGACATTGTTCACCGCAACATCAGTGACGACTGTGTAAACTTTTGCGCCGTCCTGTCGTATGCTAGAGAATGCGCAGACGAATCGTATGTGCCGTGTGCGCTGCGAACCGATATTCGGGGAGGCGTCGTCGGGGATGGGGGAAAGTCGGGTATCTCGAACAGTCTGGAGGTGAAGCTCTCGCTGGGGCTCCCCTCACCGAGTTCCACGCCCTGAAGCAAGCCAGCCAGCCAGCCAGCTTGCCAGCGACCACAGGGCCGCCCGCGGGGCGGCGGCGCTGCAGGGTAGTGGGTCCCCCGGCTGGTCGCTCTTTTGGCGCGCCAGAAGCCAAAGGGGGAAAAAAAAAGAGTGTCCACTGGGCCACTGGGAAATTCCGCACGGTAGCCTTGAGCCGCAACGCTCGCATCCAATTGGCTCCACTTGTCTGGTGCGAGCTCCAAAATTTCCCTGGGGAGTCGAACGTTTACTTGCACTTTTGAGGCTCTCAAGCTATCGTGACAACCACACCCTCTGACGAACCTACGGCGACACACGGAAAGACATTGTCCGTTTCCTCTGCCAACGAGTTACCGAACGATCGTTTACGCTTCGGATTGGCATACCAATCTGCTCGCCACACATCGAACGACACAGAGAGACACACACATACACATACACACAATGTTCGGGGCTTTCCGCATGACCTCGCCGCTGTCGAGCGGTCTTCTCTGGAAGATCCCCTGGAGGATGTCCAAGTTCCAGAAGCGCCGCCACAGACTCCGCCTCCGCGCCGTCGACAATGTTGTCGCGACGGTGGATTCGGCGCTTGCCAAGCAGGGGGAGACGATCGCTGCGCTGGAGCTATGGAAGGCCGAGATGCCTACCGAGGCTGAAATGTTGCCGAGGGACAAGTACACCATGTTCGACCGCAAGGAAAAGAAGTACCGCAAGGGCATTCACAGTACGTTGCATTCTTTCAGCTTTGGCGGTGATGTAGTTTATGCATGGCGGCGGTGGTATCAACGGAGGAGATGGCTAACCTTTATGCGCAGAGCTCCCCAAGTGGACGAGAGTTTCTCAGAGATTGAACCCTCCCGGTTACTAAACGACGAATACGGACGATTGAAAGATATCTTTGGGACGGGTTATTTCGAGGAAACGGAGCGGGAGACTGGCCCCAAGAGAAGACGAATGGGGGGGAGAACCAGATTGTACGATTATGTACTCTACACACTCTACCTCGGCGCAGTGGATGGCTTCCGAGGCTGCCGCGGACGAGAGCAAAGATATAGAGCTCTCGCAGCTCACTGTACATTACGAATCTGTATGGGGTTACAAAAAGTAGACACCCCAGTACAACTGCAGAGTCGGTTAGAATCACGCGTGCTCAGCAAGAGCACAAACTCCAATCTTGTCTCAAATCATGTCAAATTGAGGGTATCGATTCCCAAAGCCTTGTCCATTTGCAAAATGCGTGTTCCCGCCGAAAAAGGAAAAAACAAGAGAAAGAAAGAACAAAACACCAATATAGACCCGTGAACCTAGCGTCTTGCTACTCTTTTTTTTGTTTTTAATCCGTGCTGGTTCTATACAGACCTAACGCCCTTCGTCATACTCGCCGCCGCGCTCCCTGTCGGACTGAACCGCCCTTCCCAAGCCACCACGTCCCTCGTCGTAGTCCTCGCGATACTCGTCGCGCACCTGTCCGCCGCTCTTTCCGCGACCGTACTGCCGTCCCTCCTCGAAGCCTGGGTCGAGGTCTGTCCGAATGACACGCTCGTCGAGCTTGGTGCCGCCAATGTATTTCATACAGTCGAGGGCGTCTTGGTGGGTGTAGTACTCGACAAAGCAGAAACCGCAGGGGGTCTTGTTGAAACGGTCCAGTCCCATTACGAGGCGCTTGATCTCGCCGCACTTGGAGAAGAGCTCGTAAACCTGCTCCTCGGTCGTGTAGAAGGAGAGGTTGCCGACGTAAAGCGTCGTCGCGTGGGCAAGGGGATCCTCTGCGGGAGGTTCGGGCTTGGATTCTTCGTCATCGCGGTGGTCGGTTCTTCTGCGCTTGTTCTAAGCTGCTGTGTTAGCCTTGGGTTTGGTTCTACTAGGAATTCAGAAAGATCGGTACCCTGCTGTGGTAGTATGCGCTTGGCCTGTCGAGGCGCTCTACTGTGCTTCTCACGCCGAACCTCATTGTGATTTGTGAGTATGTATGTATACACGTAGTTGCTGAGTTCAATTGGCCTGGTTGGCGCAAGTGGGATTGATGTGAAGGTCTGGATCAGAAGGCGGCTGCTGCCAGTCAAGGCTGTGAGGTGGGTAAGGTAATGCAGGTAGGTACTTGATATGAAGTACCTCAGGCAGGCTCCAGTGGTTTGGCCAAGTGAATCTATTGGCCCGTGCGCCGTATCACACTGTGAAGTGATTTGAGCCATGGGATTGTATACCAATCTACTTGGGTCAAAATGAGCTTAGATATAAAGGGAAAACTGGAAAGTAGAAATTCATTCAATCGATAGCTTTACTCGGTTGTCCATGGGTGACATTCTGCCTATGAACTTGGTCGTCCTCACCTCCAACCCTGCGATCTCCGGCTGATCTCTTGGCCCAGATAGTCATTTAGATATTGTCAAGACCGAAAGATGCGTCATTCTTACCAAAAGATGGACATAACCAGAGTGTATGGCTTTAAAGAAAATTTTAGGTAGATAGGAGTGGTCAATGGCAGAGTATATGCTAAGAGAGACTAAGCTCCTCAACACTTCACTCCATCCAATGCCAGCTATAGCCCAATGCACAAACAAGCTGAGTTCTCAGCTAGAAGAATGACTATGCAAGAATAAGAATGCCTACGTGACTGTTATGACTAAACTACAAGCCTGTTGTTCTTCAACTCCATCAACCAATGGTGTTGGTGTAAGTCCCAGCTTGGGCACTTCCTATTGGTGCAGCTCGCTTACAGGCCCAGGCCGGAGCTTGATGTGGGTCTCGGTGTCGCTGCTCGCAGCAACCGCGTTTTTTGTCCATGACAATTCAGCGACCAGCCATCAAACCCATACGAAAAAATTAGCCAACAACCTCTGCGCCCGATTATCGCTCCCAGCGGCCCGCAAAACCACACACAGCTGCAGAGACGTTTGCCGACGGATACCACGGGTAACAGCCACGCAATGCCTAAGGTTAAGAGCTACACGGCTCCGTGGCTGTCCCATGGCCCGGGCCGCAGCTTGTTCACGCCCTCGAGCGATTCTAAGGCGCTGAGTGCGCCGTCGCTTTCTTCGAAGAAGAAGAGTACCGCCGGACCGAGACGTACAGTTGCCAGGAGAGGCACTGAGGTTTTTGTTGCCGTCGGTAAGGAACTGAGATGGGGTGACCTGGCGTATTTGAAGGAGAAATGGTCGACGAAATACGCACACCGTCGGATGGGCAGCCGCGTAAAGCGGGAAGATTCGACCCAAAATTTCGAAGATGCGATTCCTTCTACGGAAGAGGCGGCCACGGCGCAGGGTTTCCGGGTAGGATTCAAGATTGGATGGTTTGATGAGCGACCGCTAACAGCTTGCTGTAGACCATCAAGATCCCCGTCGCGGACGACATTCGACAGCTCGTCATCTCCCCGAACTCCGACTATCTCGCCATTCTGACAACGCACACCGTTCACATTTGCGTGGTCCCCGATTCTTCACATCTCACTGCCGAGGATACCAGCCCCTTGCGACCGAAGATCTGGACTTTGGGACCTACAACCCATGTTACCTCTCGCTCGTCTGTTGCCTCGGCGATCTGGCATCCGCTTGGTGTAAAGGGATCTTGCTTGGTCACCATTACGGCTGATGCTATCGTCCGCGTGTGGGAGCTCTCTCTCACCGACCGTTGGTCTTTTGACTCGCCTACTCTGTCGATTGATTTGAAAAAGCTTGTGGACGGCACGACGTTGGATCAGGACTTTACGGCATCTACGGCTGCTACAAATGCTAGTTTCTCGCAGTATTCTCTGGAAATGCAGGTCGCTTCGGCGTGCTTTGCCGCTCGCGGTTCGGGGGGTTGGAGTCCCATGACTCTCTGGATCGCTATGAGGGAAGGTGACGTCTACGCGTTGTGCCCCCTGCTGCCTCAAAAGTGGGCACCGCCCCCGACTCTCATCCCGTCGCTGTCGGTATCCATCGTCTCCAAGGTGGCCGCCTTAGAAGATGACCCTGCTGTGTCGGAGAAGGATAAGCTCCTCGCCCAGCAACAGCTTGAGTGGATGGGCGACTTGGACACCCAAGAGCCACAAGTCCTTGACAACGCCCCTGGAGAGCAGCCGGTGGAGATTTACACGCGCCCCTCTCGACCAGGTGTTGTGCCAAGATTACAAGGTCCTTTCGAGTTCGATGCCGATCCCGAGAGCGAGGACGTTTTGGACGGCTTGCTGACCGACATCACCGTGATCGGTAAGAAAGTTGAGACCGACGACCTTATGATGGGCGAAGAGGAGGACTTGGACTTTGACGACGGGGATCAGGAGGGTCTTTCTCTGTCCGTCGTCTGTTTGCTCTCTACGACCGGCCAGGTCCGAGTCTTGTTGGATTTGGAAGGCATTGAAGCTCAGTGGCTACCACCGCGCAACAAGTCCAGGCTCGGACGCCTGCTGTCAGCCGCCGACCCGCCGTCGCTGTTGACCTTTCAATCTATTGACACCTTGAGTCCCAAGGAAGTCAGCGATGACGCGTGGCCGACCTTCTCATCGGATGCCATGTCACGGTACTCGCTCTTTGTTACTTCACACGCCGGCATCACTTTTCTTTCTCTTTCTCCTTGGGTTTTCCGTCTCGAGGGAGAGCTCTCGGGTGAGTCCGAGGCGGGCTCTGACTTCCGTCTTGGCCTTCTTGTCAATGGGCAGAACTCTATTAGAGAGAGGCTCTACACTCAGTCCTCGAGCGACGTCGCCGTGCCCCTCGCCGCGTGTGTCGCCATTCGTGACCCGGATCTCGGGTATTTTCTCCTCTCGGCTACTCCGTACGAAACGATCGCTCTAACCTTCGAAACACCCGAGGACGAATTCACCCCGATCCGCCATGAGACACCCTACGAAGAGAAGCCTGCAGTAATGGAACCCCTGGACTTTTATGAGCCTCGTCCAGCTTTCCAGCCGTCGCATACTTTTGACCAGCAGTCAGACCTCCCTGAGCTGATCAACAGACTCCGCAGCTCGCGCCATAAGACAATCGTGAACCAAGAAATCCGCTTGTCTCCGGTGACTCTGCAGATCCTGACTGATGCTCATCGCATCCTGGGCGAGGATACCTACCGTCTGGGCACGGCCGTGGCTGAGATTTTCCGCCGCTGCTCTACGCTGCAAGACGAACTCAGAGAACAAATTAAGAAGGCCAATGAGGTTAAGGAGAAGATTGACAAGATTGCGGGTAACGAGAAGGATGGGGAAGGCGAAAGCGACGAGGTCAGGTTCGAGCGGCGCATTGCGGAGGCACAAGAGCGACAGAAGAGATTGAACGAGAGGCTCGAGGGCGTCCGAAAATACGTCGGCAAGGCTGCCACGCGTGAACTCAGCGCTAAGGAGAAGGCGTTCGTGGAGGAAGTCAAGAGCATGGAGGCCAGCGTGCTGGGATCATCGGCAAGCAGTCCGGGAGCGAAGCAACAGAAGCTTCTCAAGAAGCGATTCGAGGACGTGCAGCGATTACGGGATGAATTGGTTGCAGAGGTGGAGCGCATACAAAAAACAAGCGAGGGCAAAGACGGCCAGGAATCCCCATCCAAGTCATCAGAGCTCAAGATCCCATCAGAGATCCGCAAGGCCAAACTCCAACAGGTAATGGGACTCTTGTCTAGAGAGACGGCTCTCGTAGAGGCGGTCACCGCTCGTCTAGAGCGCCTCCAGACATAGCGTGGGGGAGGACAAGGAGTTGAGTAGATAGGTAGGATAACTGGATACCATCTGTTGTTACATTAAGCTTCGCCTCAGATTGAGCTCAGAGCGTCATTGGTTCTTCACGTCGCGTTCAAGCCATAGGAAGCACAGGGCAAGCATTCAAGGTCAGCTGCCCGTCGATATGACCCCAGGGCAGGCGACAAACCATGCGCTGAGTTATCACGGCCTGGCAGTTTCAAATGCAGCGGCTTGCCCAGCTTGGGAGGTATCCTCGGGTATTCTTGATGTTGGCTTACGATCGTCACTCAACTCGGGTAGCGATTATCATTGAGGCCTGTGTCTCGGTCTTGGACCTCTCAGCAACAGGGAGTATGCCAGGTGCGCCACAGCCCTGAAATAATGCACAGTACCATGGCCGTTGGGGCTTCAGCTGTGAGGGGGACATGTATTGGTCAACTAATAGAATTGGATCGGCATATTTCAGATTAGTGAGACGAACATCCAATGAAAATCCTTTGCTTAGCCGCTACTGCCGCCTTGCTAACTTTTCTACCTATGAGCATTAAACGTATGGCATATCATGGTATAGGCATAGGGCGGGCGGCGGCGTCGTCTCTTCAATATCACTCATTGCTACCCAGTCCCTTGAGGCAGGCATTGCAGATTGCGCACCAGTGAGGGGAAAAAAAGGTTGAATGGAAAAACAGAACAAGTTACCTCCCTGCAGCACAACTATTGTACGTGGCTCAGGCGCCGTCAACCCGATGCAGATATGCGGTAGGGCCTCAATGCCCTCGTGGGTGAAGTCTACGCATAGCGGCGCCCTCACGTCGAGCACGGCTGGTCGTTGCTTCTTCCCCCTTCCAGATGCGGTAGAGCCCGCCCTTAATTGCGTTATAGGGCAGCAGCATGCATGCCGCGGCAGGAATATCCTTGCACCCATCTCTCGGTGACTTTAAAATCAGACGGTTGAAGCATCGACGACGAATCTCGTTCAATGCTCAAGTTCTTTGGGTAGCGAGCTTCGACACCGTCCGCCTGCTAACAATCTGAGCGTCATCGCCATTTGCGTTATGTCTCAGCTGGGTCTCGAGAGGTGCTCAAAAGAGAGATTTGCAACAAGGCTACCAATGAAGGACAACCCTGCCTGATTATGGCAGTCCAAAAGAGAGAGAGAAAGAAAAAACAATTGAGGACATTTTTTTGGTCTTTGCCGGAATGGATTGCGTGGGAAACGAAGTGATGATGTTTTCGAGCAAAAAGACGTTCACTATTCTGCCATGTTTAGACATGGGACGCGTTCGGAATTCGCTCGGCTGCTGGGAGGATGGAATTTAGCTCCATCTTCGTCCGGAGTTCTTCATGCCAGAGAGGGACTGCCCGTTTTTATATGAGGGGGTTGGCCGGCCATGTTTGGTGAGACTGCAGCTTCGCATCGTGGATAAAGTGCAACTCTTCCTAACGCGTCCATCTTAGACGGCTCGTTCGCAAACAAGACACGTCGGAATTTGCACCAAATAATCCGGGAGATGCGATGAGAAAAGTGCAAATGCGTGGACGTGGGAATAGACTTGTTACGACGGGCGGTGCATGGTCTCGCGGGCTGTCTCTGGTTTGGCCCGAACCCAACATGGTTGGGTTTGCTTTTTTTGCTTTCTAATATTTCGCTTGCTAAACCATTTCCATCCATCCATCACGAAAAGGCTACTACGTCTTCCTTTTTGAGCATTCTCCCTGGCGGCTGCAGGTACATCTCCGACTATCAGACGACCTCAGACCGTGCGGCTGAAGCCTACCTCCTACTCCTCGTCTTCGAGGCTGGCATACCTCACCCTACATGAACTGGCCTTAACGCAGCCTCCCACACCCTGCTCGCCCCGTTATGACTACCCAAACATTATTACCGCAAGCATCTTTGGTGCGATATATGGGATGGTACAGTATTGTCGCCAAGTACAAGAACTATAAGAACGCCTCGTGCCCTACGCTCCCTTAGCTTCTTTACCTGGATCAAATATCACTCAGGCCTCGTGCACATGATAATCATCTTGAACGACCACCCCCGTGAAGCTATAACACCGTCAGACTGCCCTGTGTTAACAATGGCTCCCAATCCACTATGTCTCGCTTGGCGGGAGCAGATCATGGGCGAGTTTTCCCTCGGTGCTTATCGTGTTGATGCCTTCAACAGCAACTAATGCTCCATTTAGATAATCTTCGCCTCGTATCGGGACGGAGTGCTTTCATTGACATATACACTGCTCGTCATCCTAACAAGACGTACACCATTTATGCTGTTAAAGTCCACCGGGGAAAACGCCAGGAGGTCCTCTCTGCCACTGGACGCGACCTCGAAGACGCCTACGAGACGCTTCATACCAAATCCGCACAAGAAGTCTACCAGTTCGTTGAGTTGAATGGTTTCGGCTTTCCCCGTGGGACGAAGCCTGAAGATTCCGACTGCTCCGATAGTGATGGAGCCTCGACCTTGGATGCCTCTGAAGTGCTCTCTTTGTCTACCGTCTCTTCCGACAGCGAGAACGACAACATCGTTTCCCACCGCGACAAAAAGACCAAGAAATCTCATCGTAAGAGCAAGAAGAAGTCCAAGAGACATGTCTCTTCTTCCGAGGAGGACAGCGCTTCCGACACCGACGACGCCCCCCAGAGGCGCCGCCCCATCGCCATTGCGCGTCCTTCTTACATCCCGGGACCCCCCATCCCAGGTTCGCAGGTGCCCCCCCCTCCTCCCCCTCCAGGCTGGCGAGGGCCCCCCGTGCGGGTCGGCTACCCCCGTGCTCTCGGTCAAGGACCCCCACCCCCTCTGCCTCCTCCGGGGAGGTTCCAACCAGGGATGCGTATGACCCAAGGCATCGCCCTGCCCCCGGCTCCCGGCCCCGTTTCGGTCCCTGCGCCCCCACCACCGACGGGACCAGCGAAACCCGTTCGCCTCGACCTCAGCTGGGCTGGCCACGGGGAAAAGAAGATCGTCGAGAACTGCCACCCCAGCCATCGCGCGCTGCAGCGGACCGCCCTCGCCTACATTCGCGCCAACTGGCAGTCCTTCGAGAACGTCCTCCCCCAGGATATGACCTCCAGCCGCCTCTGGTCACTGACTGCTAGAGTGAGACGCGTCGAGTTCGGCAAGGACATGTACGCAATCTCGGCCGCAGCCGGCGACGACCTCACCATGTACTTCAAGGCGGACGACATTCCCAAGTTCGAAATCGAGATTGACCACGACCCCAGCGTCGTCGTTCCTCCCCCTCCTCCACCCCCACCGCCGCACCCTCACGTCCAACACTGATTCCACGGGAGACCCAGTGGTGGTGTGATGAGTGGTGTGACTTGGTTCAGGGGGGCTCTCTCGGGGACACTCGATACGTCTCACAGCCTCGGCTGATGCGGTCCTCTTAATCCTGATCGTATGAACTATCCGGTCCGCCCGGGGAGGAATGGTCTCACTGATTCACAGTGAGAGCATGTTGCTTTGTGAGTCCGCAGCCCTGCTGATCACTGCCACGATCGTGTCCCTCGATGGTTACACGGGGCTTCGGACTCGCATAGCGATACGTTTTTTGTTTTTTTTTTTCTTTCCTTTTTCCCCCCTCATTTTCATCATGTTTGATAAGAGCCTGATTTCCTTGGTCGTTAAGCCTATATACACTATAACATATTTTTATCTGTTTCCTTATAAGCACTTTTGCCTGGAATGTAATCATGAGAAGTATGTTCCACGTGCACAACTCAGGACGTTTTCAGATAGACGGACCTCTGTCGTTTCTGTACCCCTTTTCATTCCAGACGTTGTGGGTGACGTTGAAGTTCAGAATGTGTTTCTGAGGAAAGAGTCCGTCATGTGATATCCGGACTAGTAGAATGGAGTTTAGATTAAGAGCTATTCCAATTGATTGTTCTCGATACTCATATTCCGTTGCCATCACGGTCAAAATTCGTCAAGGTGTCAAAAGGCATGTCGAACCGCACCGTGGAATGAATTAGATGACGTAGGCTTCTTTCGCCATGTTACACCATTGGCCAATTTGACCGCAGAGAAAATTTACGTCTTGTGTTACATGGTTCAGGGGCAAAGAGCAGGAATTCGAGGCGGCTAATGGCATCCCATGGACTCCGCACCTCGGCGTCGGTTTGGGCGAACCATCAGAGACATCTGCGGCAGCCTCACGAAAACTAACCCCCCCCCCCCCCCCCCCCCCCCCCGCGAAGTGTGTTCGCCTCGTTTTCAAAGGGGCACTAACTACGTAGTATTGCATTAAATCCCTCCAAAAATCCAAGGGGGAAAAAAAACAAATTTCTTCCAGGTCCCGGAATCCTGCATATTGTAGGTAGGATGCAAGGGATTGCCGAGAGCCAGACTATTGATCATTGTCTCGGTCATCTAAATCTGCAGGAAAATGTCTAACCGGATTACGGGGTTCGGTGTGATGGGATTGTAGAGGCGAAGGCTTCGGCGTAGACGATATTGTTGCACTACCGGTTGTCTGGTTGAGAGTTGACACGATTGAATTACAGCTTTGACGTGGAGGGATATTGAAGATAAGGATTGTTTGGGGGTTTCTGTGGTGTTTTCGGTGTGTTGGTGGGATGCATTTTCGTGGGTTCTCATTGGGGGGGGGGGGGGGGCTATGGGGATGGTGTGCGGCTGGTGCCACGAAGGATTGATAGATCGAGGAGAAGGAGGATCAGGCTGAGGGTTTTACAGCGCTAACCAATTGTCGTGAGCTCAGAGGGTTTGTGCAGCAAATGCTTTGTGAGGCATTTTGCATTAGCTGCAGGTGAACAACATGGTGAGGCTCGTGGCAGCCCGGTTGAACTTAGCCAGAATAAAGAACAATACTTGGTAGTGGGATATTAGAATTATAATATAATAAACACTGCGTGTTGTGGGGGTAGGTATTGGACAAGATTATTCCAACATATGACAAAGCCAGCAGATGATCTAAATTGAATTTCTGCTGGAATGGTTTCGAATAAGTTTCCGCCTTGTTTCTCAGTTGCATCGTTGGGTCAAGACCCAAGCTGGTGGCGGTCTGAATAAAGATTAGTCGAGAAAATCCCGGAGATGTATGCTCGAACAATCCTTTACTCTAAGATGAAGGCTACGATTGCATCGAATCCATTGAGATTCTTGTCTATAAACAGATACCAGTATCATGCCCAAATACAATAGGCAATATTGTTGGTCTAGCACTGGCGAGTTTACCATAGCAGACAAGCTTGTAGAGAGCTCACGATGAAAGTAGAAATAATAATGAATTCACTCCTAGGACAAGCGGTAAATAGAAAGTAGAAGCCGGAAACATGCATCCAATCAACAGAAAATTGAATTACGCCTGTATGCTCATATTGAATGCACATGAAACACTTTTGTAATAAACACCATCAGGCGAAGAACAAGTCTAATCTATCCTTCCCGTACTCCAGATGTTTAGTCCAACTTTAACGCCCTTCTTAACAGGTAAACCTGCATGCCACGTCTCTTCATAACCAGCGCCGCTTCCATCAGCACGGAAGTTCTCCCAATACACGGCATTTCCAGGTACAGGCTTGAAGATAACGCCCTTGCCAGCCTCTTCGTTCGACTCTGCATCCGCGTGGTAGCTCTCCTTCTTGTTGTCGGTGTCACACTCCAAAAACCGGCACCACCGTTCCTTCTGCCCCGGTACATGCAGCAGAGGAAACTCCGTTCCACCTCCAATTAACTCCTCGCCATCTTCGTCACCACGTGCGTCAACCCAAGCCATCATGCTGCTCACACGGCCCCATCCCCCACGGTTGGAGCTCCAGTCGAAGTGGTACGAGTAGTGCCCCCCCTCGTGATACCGCTGAGTCCTTAGGCGCTCAATCCATAGCTCCTCTCGCCAGCCCTGCAGGGACCGGGCTCGGGCTTCGACACATCTAACGCTATCGGTGCGAGGTATCAAGGCTACCTCAGACTCCCTGATGGAGGTGTCACGATGCACGCCGGCACCATCATGGGTGATGGTCGATGGCTCGAAAATGGGCTGGCTGCATGAGTGTAAGTGAGTTATCCGACTTTCGAAGGTTTCAATTGCCGAGAGTTTCCTCTCGTGGTAAAATAACATCCAGTAACTACATCACGATTTCAATGATGAGAGAAAATGAGGAGAAATATTACCTAACGTCTAGAAGATGCAATCGCTCCTCCGGTGTGAGGAAGCCCTCAATGTATAAGACTAACGGCTCTTTGGAAAAGATATGCACCGCGTACGAATCGGGTGGACATGACAGTGCGGTGGCATTAGGTTGTTCGATGGCGAGGAGTGATTCATTAATTGGCGGCCGAGGCGTGCGGACGATACGGCTTCCGGATGGGGACAATAGCCGGGCGATGGGATCGGAGAAGAAGACGACGAACGCAACGAAGGCAACGACAACAGCAATCATGGCCACGGTGTATGATGCAGTAAGAGCCTCATCGAAGTTCAATGTGGCACAGTGAGAGAATCTCTCCCGCCAAGGACCTGACGTTAAAGCTGTCGGACGATGCTGACTACGAGACCAACTGCGCCGCGTCAGTGGGCGCGGCTCCGCCACATCCGGGTTACCGTGCAGATCCGGCACACACTGTATCTCGGGGCGATTCCGCAAACTGGGGGGAGGGAGACGATCATCATTTTAATTTGCGCCAGAGTTCTGGCCTGTTGCATCGTTTCAGAAATAAAAAAAACAAGGCAATTCTAATTACTGCGTCTTCTTCTCGGCAGCCTTGGCATCCCTTCCATACCCGGTCCGGGAATACGCCGCTACGAGCCTCCACAGAACCCATGCGAAGCCCACCATCACCGCGCCCGCGGTTCCAATCCGAACCCACTCCGCCTGGCCGGCTTCCAGTACCGGCACGCGCACGGAGCTCGTAAGCCGACTACCCGCCTCCGAAGCTCCAACCGGCCGCGGTTCGACGTGCCAGAACACTGTTCGTGGCCCAAATAGTGCATCGTAACCTAGGTTTACCCTTTCAAATGGGCTGCTGGGGAATTTGGTTCCTTCTTCAGAAGAGCAAGCCCAGAACACGGCCGGGTAGGGAATTTCGACATCTGTGTAGCCGCCGTTGGCGGGTTCCAGGTACCGCAGGTGTAGGGGGACCTCGGCTGTCCACCCCTCGTCCTTCCCTGTCGTAGGCGGTGCGAGCTCGAGCAGCACGCCCGAACCCCATGGTTTAGTTGCGTATGCCGGCGCCTCCAAGTCCACAGGCGAGCTGGAGTAACGCAAGGCCGTCAAATTCTTCGACTTGAGGAAGAGATCATCGGCCAGCTGGTATCGGTCCGCGAAGATGGTCTTGGGCAGCGTAAAGTGTGCATGGATGGCACAGTAGGCATCGTCAACGGGCGGGCGGGCGGAGCTGACCGTGAGCTGCAGCGTAGGATGCAAGCCCGTTAGCTTGAGGAAGGTCGCCGAGAAAGAAGAACCTGGGACAGTCTCGGCATGGTGGCGGTGGCGTGCGGGTACGTTAAATAGAACTGGGGAAGGCTTGGTGTGTTCGCCGAGGACGGTGAGACCGCCAGTCATACCGATCTCGTGCGGCTCAGGTTTGGAAGAGGAGTCGAGGGTGAGAACGCCGACCTCCGTCCTGTGGTTGGGGGTTGAGGCGACGGATATCCCGTGAGCGCCATAAGGCCATTGAGCCGTCACTTTGAGGGCGTGTGAGATAGTGTCGTAAGAAATGTCAAGCGATGATGCTGTCTTGAGATCCTCCGCGCGGGACTTGCAATCCGTGTTTGATGCGGGACAGAGAGTACCAGATGTATACTGGACGAGTTTTGTGAGGTCTTCTAAAGGCTCGTAATATTGAAGGGCTGCAGAGTGAGAAAACCTGTCATTTGGAAGGCTTGTGAATGACTGCCATTCATTAGCTGAAAAAGCTCAAGTGGAAAATGGCCGATTCTTGCGTACCTCGGGCGATGAGCACCCGTTGACGCCAAATGCATCTTTGAGAGCCTCACACAACTTCGTCCTAAATTCATCTTAATACCCAAAAAAAATCACATTCTCGGTGGCAACTTACGCATCCCATTGTCCCTCCTTTTTTGGCGTATAAAACAAGTGAAAACCCGGTGATACCCTTGAGCTCAAGGGACTGATGGTTCCGTAGGACTCAGGGCTGACCCATCGGATGTGCAGCTCATGCCCCTCACTCAGAAGCTGCGATAACTCTGATGGAAGTTCATCAAGAGCAAAGGTAACTCTGTCCTCACGAACGGCCTTAATCTGCGGGCCTTTGACGCCGGCATCGCTAATCTCAAGTGCCTCGAAGGCAACCCCGTCAGCGGGCTTGTGGATGAAGGTGATTCGCTGGCGCATGTTGATGCCCCGTGCTAAGGACGGTAATCTCGGCAGGTGATGACCAGCAGGTTCCTTGGGGGCTACTGAATAAGATCCAAGGTAGTACTGTCAATGAGGGGATACTCGGTGATGGAAACGGGATGATGCAGCCAGTTGATGACCAGCGTACACGAACAGCGAGTAGCGGGACCCGCATCGACGTCGGACCCGTTGCTGAGGACACCTCGCTCGGTGCCGAAAGAGTGCTGTGTAGATTGAGTGTGACCCAGTCGGATGCCTTCAGCGGGTTTTAGTGGCTGAACTCACAACCACAGCATGTCACTCAGGCACTCAGGGAGCTCGAATGGCCGATGACGAGGTCCCAAGCTCCATTGACAGCCACAGGTAGCCACAGTAGCTCTCATGCACGTGCCTGGGGGCGACGCCAGCTGTGGGTCGATCCATGCCGATTTGACCCCATTGGGACACCGGCGTCTGATAGGCGCTAAACCACTTTAGTTACCGACGCTGGCGCGAAGTGGGATGCCCTCAGCCCGCCCTCCGCCGACCGAAGACGACGGGGCCTTGTCAGAATACACCGCCGACAAACGTCTACCCCTTCTTTTCCACCGAGAGGCACTTGTCAGTCCTGCCCAACAATGCATCAGACGCCAGCCCCGAGACTGCAGATCTTTTGGCTCCTCGGCCTTCATAGTGCAGCTTTTCACTCGTTTACGCCATGTTGAATATCGATTTTGAATAACGACGATACCCCGCGCGCCGTATATCTCGAATTTTGCGACATTGCAGACCGCCCCCGTAGACGTACAGACCGGCTCCCGAAAAAGGCGGATATAGAGGCGAGAGAGTAATCACGGTCGATAATGGGCGACAACACGCCGTACGTAACCATTAGGTCGCGTCGGCCCCACGACGGGAACAGCGTGAGCAGTGCAGACTCGACTGTAGGTGCTAGAGTCACGACGCAACAGTCGCGAAGAGTACACTCACAAGCTGGTAATGGCCAGTACGGGTCCAGCTCCGGTGATGCGCCACGGACCGCCACCCATGACATTAGCCGCGTGAGCTACCATGTCAAGCATCTCAACAGCTTCGCGCAGACCTTGGAAGATGTAAGTCGGTACAGTACCTCTGTCTCCGCCACTCACTAACGCCTTGTTAGTCTGCCAACCGAGCGTTCCCGAACCGGGGTAAATCGTCACAGAGATATAAGAAAGTGCAGGCTTTGCTGCTTCATTGGGGCTCGGACGACCTGTTTGTCTTGCCCGAGCTTGAGGATCTAGAACGATGCCTCCGCGAGGACTATGCTTTCAACACAGAGATATTCCCTATTCCCTCTGAGAACTCACATCTTGAGCTTATGATGCAAGTGGGGAAGTTGATCAAGGATCATGAGGCACAGGATACATTATTCTTGGTCTATTACGGCGGACACGCCAGGATAGATGAGTCGAGGCAGAGCACCTGGTGCGCGTGAGTAACATGGTCGCCTCGCAGCATGAACTGAACTAAAATCAGATAGAACACGGCATCCAGACTCACCATGGCTACAGTGGTCGGCAATCCAAACCCTGCTGGAACGTTCGGCTTCTGACGTCCTTATCCTCCTTGATTGCTGTGCTGGAGCTGCAAGCGCAACGTTTCCCAACGGCAACAGCATTACCGAAACCATCTCCGCCTCTAGTTGGGACGCCATTGCACCAGATCCGGGCCGCTACTCCTTCACCAATGCCCTCATTGAAGTGCTTCAGGAATGGAGGCTCCGTACCTTTTCTGCAGCCATGCTGCACGCCGAGGTCCTCGCCCGTTTAAAGCATCCTCGTCCCATTACTATCAATGGCAAGCTTTTCGAGGCCAGGTCAACGCCCGTTCATTTTATGATGACTACGAATCACAAGGCGCCCAGTATCGAGATGTCCCGTATTGTGCCTGCAGAAGCACGACCTCCGTCGCCACCCCAAGAGACAACGGCCAACGAAAGCGACACCACCCCTGAAGAGTTGACTGGCGGGCGGGGGCCAGGAGCACCAGTCTCAGGGGAGCCGAACGAAGACACACCCCATGTTATGATATCGCTTGCACTGGAGGATAACCAGCAGCTCGATCTCAACGCCTGGGAGACTTGGCTAGCGAGCTTTCCGGCTCTGGCCAAGTATGTCAAAGTCCAGGGGGTCTTCAAGAGTCACTCCACGCTACTTCTCCTCTCGATGCCAGTAATGGTATGGGACTTATTACCAGAGGATCATGCCACCTCCTTCGTGGCTTTCATCAGGTCGAACAATTTGATGATGCCACAGCACAAGAGGGACGACGTACAGGTTCAAGTCCCAACGAGGGTTTCGCGTGTAGAGCATGACAGACCACAGCCAGATTCTGCGTCGATGAACACCTTCTTTTCGGACACTACTTATACCTATGCCCAGACAGATAACGGCAGCATGCTGGGCCAACAGCTAGCCAACATGCGGTCCTATTCATTAGGCGAGGGGCAGTCTTCAAGGAGGGACGGCGGCGGTAGGCAATTGACAACCACGGAAGCAATCTCACCGTCGTCGTCACCACAGAGAGGTGCGGCGGGGCTGTTAAGAGTGGACAATTCCGCGACCTCCCCTACGTTACAGCGTCAGCTCTCCTGGTCCTCTCAGGCGTCATCCGAGGCGGTCATATCCAGGACGGTGATCCCCAACCAGCAGAGGAGTGCTCGAAGGACTGTGTTCCAGAACATTCCTGAGCCTCCCAAGTTCTCACAGCACGTTGAGACGCTCCTCCAACAGTACTATGAGCAGGAGCCTTTGCCCAACGACGATCAGAAGAACTTTGTTGCCTCGAACTTGGGCATCGAATTGTGGCACGTCGAGGTAAGTTCTTTCACGATTTCATGTACAAGACCATGAGCTGACTCTGCAGGCCTGGTTCCATCATCGGAGGGAAAGAGACGTCGTCTCGCAGCAATTCCAAAATCTCAAGATGGACGATTTAGCACCCAAAGCGGCCCAAGGAGCCCAAATGATCTTGCCTCACCACCTAAACAGGATTATTGAGATACTACCTCCTGGTAGGATACTACTTATCGACCTCCGGTCACCGACCGACTTTGAAAGATCTCACATTCATGGCGCAATCAACCTCCGTGCCCCCCTAAAATTCATTCAGGACGCCTCCTTCGATATGATAGAACGTGCCTTCACCGACCAGGAGAGCAGACGAAAATTCGGAGAGTGGCAATCGACCATTTGCATGGTCGTCTACGCCCGCGCCGTCGACTACTCGTGGGAGTGCCCCATCGCAGACGTTCTCTACGAGAAATTCAAGACTTGGGGCTGGACCGGCCGATGCTTTGTGCTCAAGGGCCACTACAAGGAGTTCAGCGTTTCGTACAGCAGGTCCATCGCGGGGACCAAGACGGCAAAGACGGATGAGGCCAGTGCAGTATCAACCCGCGCGGAAGCGGCAGCGACGCGCCCTGGAGATGCCCAGAACAAAGCAGCGGAGTTGGTGTCGGAGGATGACGATGACGCGGCTAGGCGGCTCCAGTACGAGGAGCTTTTGGTCCTGATTGACAGCGAGGAAGGACGGGTGAATCCGTCGACGCCCAACCCGACGGCCAGTTCAGACCGTGCGCGAGCCATGAGCCAGCATGAACAAGACCTCGAAGCCGAGTTCCGGCGTCGCGTTCCGGACCTCTACCGCAAGGCCATGGACGTCCAGGGCGCTTCCTACTCCGCTCCCGAGACGCCGGCTGCCGCCCCTGCTGCGCATGCCCAGCCAGATGTGACAGGCCAGTCCGCCACACGAAGTGACAGAACCAGGTGGCCGCGTGGCGAGAGCAGCACATACTTTCCTTCCGACACGAAAGCGCCGCTGGTAGAGTATCTCGACCGAGGTCTCTCGCGTATACGACAAGGGCCCCACACTGGGACGTCTAACGTGGCAGGCAAGAGCACCACGGCCGACACGTCTCCCGGGTTGTCGAAACTTGCCGCCGAGGGCTGTTACTTGGACTCGGGGCCGGCTGCCACGGGTCCTTCAGACGATTCTTACGTGAAGGTCAATAGGGGAGATGCGCAACAGGCACAGGCGAGCGATCCGGGTCTCGGTGGAAAAGACGGGACGAAGGACCACAACGTCGCCGTTGGGGATGAAACGCCCAAAAAGGGCCGGGGCGGTTTCCTAAACAAGGTTCTTCGGCGAGCATGATGAGTTTTAACGGCCGATGGGCCCAGCGTCGGTTCATCTCAGTTACGATCCCATTTTCCCATGATTTTTTCGGAACTTTTTTTTTTTTTTTTTACCCCCTCAGCATATCTCGCGCGCAAAAGGTATACCCCCTTTCCTCATTCATGTTTGAGATTAGAGGCAAGCAAGGACAGACGATTTATATGTTTATGTGTGTGTATGTGTGTGTGTGTGTGTGAAGTACAGATGGGTACGGATGGGCCAAGTTCAGATTCGTGGTCATTCAGGTTAGGTTAGGTTGGGTTGGGTTCGGTGTCTGGACTTTAAAAAAAAACAACATCATGGATTGCCAATGTATTGGGTTCATATGTCGGGGTTTGGTGTATACAGTGATTTCTCCCCTTGCCATTTCATCTTCATTTCCCCACCTTCATCTACTCTTTTTTTTTTGCTGAGCGCTTTCATCCGTTGTGGGCGGGAGTTGCATAATTGTTTGGAATTATAGAGTTGAGGAAGGCAGCTGCTGCGCTGGTGCTTGCTTGGAATGATGTTCGCGATCCGTCCACACCCCCTTCCCCCCTTCTTCTTCCCCTCTTCGACTTCCCAGTGCCCTTTTTTGTCACAAGAAAGAACATGACAAGGAAGACGCCTGAACCAATAAGAGTAGAGCCTAGGAGAGAGATGCGATGGAGGGGAACCCCTTCCTGACTTGCCCTGTCCCACGCCCGCTCCTCCTCCCGTCTTTTCGGGATGTTTCTGTCTGGGCTTGTCAGGCAAAAAAGCCAACTCGGACGCTGCAGCCCGTTCGTCTCGAAAGAATGTCAAATCATTGCGGATTCTCCCCCATTTGGGACGTTTCGGATCCCCAATGCTGTTGGCATCTTTCCAACCTTCCCTGTTCCCGGATGCTCGGGTATCACGTCATCCGTTATCAGTCATGACTATTTTATTTTCTGAAAGGAGACAAATAAGGTCAAACCCGAGGCGGCGTCTTGCAAGGCTCTCCCTTCCATTTTGGCTTTCTACGCCTCCATCATTTGTCAGATGGTTCAAGGAAGGCGCGAGTAGGCTATGCGGAGGGCGGAGGGAAGGGGGGATCAGTTGTTAGTGTGCAGCAGTTACAGTGCTGATCAATGATCTGTGGTGATCCGCGTTTCTCAAGTGCCGTTTTGTTTATATCACGGATACATGGGAGGTCCAGTATAGGGCTCGTAAGGCAGAAGTCAGCGAAAGGGAGCTTGCTCAGGCCCCCTCGTCCACCTCGTGGCCCGGTCCGAATATGCAAGTTTGATCCCATTCATGTGAGCGCCAAGGGGTAATCACGGCACCTTTAATCTAGATCCGTCAGGTACGGCAGCTACCTGTCGTGTCTCGAGTACCTGGTCTGATGTATGGGTGTGTATGTGTGGTGTCTGTCTGTCGACAGTCTATGGATTTATCACGGCTCACGTACTAGTACGAACAAGGACGAACGTCTGGGGGACGCTTTCTCTCTCTCCCCCAAGAAGGCATCCGAGTGCATAAGTGCGCGTGGGCGTGTGTCTGCTGCCTTCCAATGTTCTTACCGAGCTGTCAAAGCCCGACTGACCAATCTCGTCTGCCGGCAAACGAGGTATTCAGACAAGATGATCAATGACAAATTGTTTGACCGAGTGTCAAAAACGGCCGTCACTGACAGGACACGCGAGTGAGAGAGATAGATCATGGGGGTGCGTGCTGCTTGTGCATGTGTGTGACAGGAGCATTGGGCTGTCTGTGACAAACTTCACCTCAAGACTCGCAAGTGTCGTCCAGAAGAGAAAGCTGTTCAGCGAACATCGGGGCCTTCGGGCGGACTGATGTTTCTTTTCGAGACAGGTCAAAGGGTGGCGCAGTCCGCAACCCCAACGGCCTGCCAGAAATCTACAAGTTGCGACTGGCTGACGGATGTGACAAGATGGTCCCCTCGCCCCCCCTTTTCTGCCAGGTTCTGAAGGGGCGTGAGGGGTCCGTCAGAAGGGACAAGCAACGAGATCCTGTGCTCTGTACAAACCATCCCATTACGAACGAGAAAAAGAAAGTTTTAGGCTTTATCCCTGTCAGGTGGCCGAGAAGGATGGCGAGGGAACCCGAACATCGACAGAGAGTGGTTTGACAGCGGGTCATAAGTATGCAGGACATAACATCATAACGATAATCACTAGGGAAAGGGGCAAAAGAGTCCCTCGGCAGTTCGAAGTTGAAGAACCGTTGCCGATCCGTTTTGAAGGCCCAAAAAGGTTTCTGCACCAGAGAAACATCCTATGCACATGCATTTGTGCTTTGTTAATCCCATCTTTTTCAGTTTCTAGACGTGCCCCTGACTGTTCCCTTCCAAGAGCGACGTGGAAGATTATGCCAGTGTCAATCAAGCCCGTTGCCTCGCTTTCTAGGCTGGATGCAATAATGGAATGCGATTCGCTCGCCAGAAACCGTGACAGGTGCTGGGGTCCCCCTTGACCTGCCGGGGGAGGAGTCCCCGGCTTACTTGAAGTTTTGATTTTTTACCGATTTTGACAGGACGCTTGGGCCACATTAAGGCTGGGTTTACCACTAGGGACGGAGCGAGTGAGACGAGAGAGAAAAATGAGAGTCAGGGTGAGGAGCTGCCTCTGGTCCAGCTTCAATCTCTGATAGCTCTCAATCAAGCGGCCGATTGGGAGCCAAATGTCGGCTGGCCAGGATTACGTCAAGACAAGCGAGTGGAGAAATATAATCGAATTGTCATCGGTCGGACCTGCCTGTTCGGTTTCAGATATCCGGAAGCAACGCCAGAACATTGATTGGCAATTGTGCACGGCTTCCGGGACATGGTCTGCCGCGAAGCCCAGGTTTTCCTTTGGTCTTTTGTCCGCGGGGCGTGTTGACAACTTGCGAGTGGATGAGATGCTGACCGGACCCCTGGCTTCGGCCTCAGGGGCCGACCCCAAGAGGAGAGCCTTTCTGACTCCCCATTCATCCTTGCCAGTCACGCCAGTCTTGCATTCAGCGTGATGAAGGTTGCTCCCCTCTACATGGCTGATCCTTGAATAAGACTGGGAACACATTATCGGCAGAGGGCATGTTTGGACGTTAAACCTCCTATCCACCTTGCCACTCCACTCAAACTGTCCCAGTCCGATCCATCAGCGTTGGATCTGGTGGCCCCCTTGCGGCTGTCAAACTTGACAGATCCCTTTGCAATTTTGGTGGGCAGTGGGGAGTAACGCATCGATATGACTCCCATCGCCGGGGGATGGGGCTTGCGCTGAACAGCGCGAATCGCCGCGGAAGAATGACTTCATAATGGGCCCAGATATCTCGTTAAATTGTCCCTAAAGATACCTGCGTGGAGTGTTAATATAGGCTATTTTCCAATAATCTTTGTTCGATTCTTTCGACTTTGCATCGTGCGTTTGGATCTGAGCTGGACCTCATCTTGTCGTTTTGCGGATCACAGCCCTGTGCCAACCCCAAAGATCTCAACCCATTGTCTTCCAACTGGCAGCCGTTACCAACAACGATGAGGTCCAGAAAAACATGCTTCTGCTCCTGTAGGTGGAGGATACGGGGGTAAGGTGGTGACGAAATTGGAGCCGCGGCCTGTCAGCGATACTTGCACCTCATTCCCTTCACGAGCGCCCGATGTTACCGACTGAAAGACGCTCTCACCCTGGCCCTGCAACGCTAACGCTGACCATGGCTGTCACTGTGAGAGTTTGCGCTTGACGTGCGGAGCTGGAAGCGGCTGCAATGGCTGACGTTGCCGACTTGGACGAGAGTACTATACGATGTAGTACGTTTGAGTGTAACTACCGGCCGGTGGACCTTCTGGTCTCCATCTGATATGTCCGTGTCACTTCAAGGACCCAGACAAGCCAGAACGGTACTGCTGTATTCAGCACGGCTGTGTTAAGCGGCTATGTTACTTAATGAGGAGCAGCTTGCGCGACGCGACACAATACACAGGGTTGTGACAAGGGTCGCTGCTACCGCCTAAAGATCCGATCTGGGATGCTTCAGAGGGGCAAACGTTGTCACAACCGTCAATCACCAGGCACGAGTGATGGCTGCCATCGTAAAGTACCCACTGAAATCCCAGAGCTACGGGATGGTTGGACAAAATGATTTGTCTTGATCGTATGTAGAGAGTCAAATGGGGTATAGGGCTCATTTGGATGCTTGCAGCTCGTACGACATGCCTGGACATTTTTTGAGAGTGTTCGTCCAGGGCCTGGCGACGGCCTGGCAGACGGCGGTTCCCGGCCGCAAGGTGCATGGCTTCTCGGTATAACGTGAGCATCAACTTCGAGCCTGAGGACCTAACGCCGACTTACAGTTAAGCATACAGAGGAACAGGCTAGATTCCTCGAGTCAGGCCAGATCTTGCCAGATTCTTTGGTAATATGGAAATATTGGAGATTTTCTCGAAGGATGCAGCCAGTCAGGCTCCAATTTTTTTTATAAAGTGGAATCGTCAGATGGTGAAGGGCATTTCCGAACTCCGACAGTTCCGAAGCTGTTGAGTTACGCAACGAACTGGACCTGGATTCATCACCAGAACAGCCGTTCAAGTGACCTCACGTATGGTGGTGAGTCGACAGCCCATCGTAAAAGCCGAGAGTATCTTTGACATGCATATGACCTGTGAGACATCGGCCAAAGTCCGCATCTCAAAAGAATAAGGGGGAGGGGCAAACTCCGTTAGATCATTGATCATGCCAGGCTGCATCGCACTTGGCGGCACAATGCTTGAACGGGACTTGTCAAAACATTGTTGTCGATCTAGGCCGCCAAACCTCAGGAAAACTAAAGGGTTGTGCAGCCATGCTTGAAGGAGAGTCTATCTTGTCTGCTTGTTAGCGTAACAGCCTTTGCGAGTGAGAGACTTCTGTTGGCCATTCGATCTTTGATGATTGACCCGGGCCTGTGGTCCGAAGATACGGAACATAGCATAACCGAGGTAGCGATATCTGGACGCTGGCAGCTAGTCTTTAACACACACAAAAAACCTGGCACCGTAACACTAACGTGCAAAGTATTTCTTGGCCTGGCCGAGCATATTATTGGTTGCTTCAGATACCGCTCTGAACATTGACTGGGGGTAGGAGCATGCTCTTTGTCTCCTGGCGAATGCGGCTGGTATACAGGACAACATGAATACCGGTCACACGCTGCTGCATGCCTTGCTTTTGTATGACCATGTATCCAGTTGAGAGATACCTAATGCTAAGCCCCGTCAAGTTGGTTTTCTAAGGACAAGACAGGCTGGGTTTGGTGGAGAGCACATTACAGACCCATGAAACCACGGTTCCGTCCGAGACCAAATTGTTTTCTTGGGGCCACAGCAGTACGTCTAAGTATGACCTGCTTGCGACTTCTTGAAGGCAAGGAAGGGGCAGACGATCGTAAAAATCCCAACAGTTTGACTGCCCAGAGGCTCAATTTTGAAATGAGCGGGTCATTATTACAGCACATGAAGGCGGCATGCGGTTCATCCACACTCTGACAGGAGGTGATTGGGGAATGGTGGCTCGGAAATCGAGAACCTGGCCAAGATTCAATGGAGCGGTTCTCCATTCAGGGTCGTCGATGGCGGTTGGGTTTCCCGACGCAATATGCCGGATACGGTCCCTTGTCTTCCTAAAGGACCAGACCCCCGGGATTGCCAGCCAGCCCACCAGTTTAATAACCTGGAGTTTGACATGGCAAAGATAGCAGAAATTCTCTCCACTGGATGCAGCTTCTCGGCTGTTCCCCCACGCTTAAGCAAGCACCGTCTGCTGCGTGTCGCACATATTCGTATGATGGGCGACCATTTCCAATCATTTGCATGGCACAGCTGAACTTGTGTTAAGGCGTCCGTCACCTGACCTGAAAGGTATTCAGGGTGTTTCGGTAGTGAACAACGGAGCTGGATCCGAGTCGAATCGAAACGTGGAGCAGAAAGATAACTGGGTCGGTGGAACAGCGACAAGGTAGCCCTGAAAGGACCCCAGTGGGCGGGCTCTGCCGTCTCATCAATGGAAGTTGGGCCCCTTGTCTTTGACAATGGAGATCCATTTGGATGGGAACGCTCACGACGGGTAATCTTTGCTTAGTTGGGTGATTTTTGCGAATTTGACCCCTGCTTATGCGGCCGAGTGGGCCACCCAGCGATCTGGCAGCCCGGACAGACCTGGTTTCCATCGAGAAAACGAGTCCCATTTCTTTTTCCCAGACACCATGGAGCTGTCAAACGTACGATGCCATGTGTTGGTGCGTAGCAACCTGGAGTTGAATCTCCACTCCAGCGATTTTCTCATTGCCCTTTTGCATGGTAGACCGGATATGCCGCCCAACAGATAAACACAAGTACGTATCATTGACGATGGGCGATGAAAACACGACGAGCACAACAGCTACGCCACTCGCCGACATAACGATACGCAGCATCTGGGATGCAATGCAAACAGATGAAGGGAGGCTGCATCAAAGTCGATCAAATGTTCTGAAACATGAGGCGTTGAGGCGAACAGACACTCCGTGACTGATCGTTCTATTTCTGTGAAGAAAGAAAAAAAGAGGAAGGTAAAAAAAAATAGATTAAAAAAGAATGAAAAGGAAGAGAGGGGAAAAAAAGGATGAGCTATCTTTTCGGCTATGTAGTTAAAGTTCTCGGGAGGAGGTCATTTACAGCTACCTGAAGCTTGTGAGGTGCTAGAGACGGTGAATAGTGCGCGATGTGAACGCTTTTCGGGAGCAAATTCGGAGGCTACCCGTTGTGGCACAAGGTATTTTTAGGGTTGCATCGTCGAGCGCGATATACCCTGTTGCCGGTGGAGGTCAAGACACAGACCTCAGACCTGGGCCGTGTGGGTATGACAAGGCGGTCTCCACAGTAGCTCAAACTCCCCTATTGACCCTTGAATGGCGGAGGATGAGGCCAAGGTGAACTCATCGGCCGGGCGGTGTTGTGCTATGATGTTGGACAATGTGACATGGAACTTGGCGGTGATGGTTTTGGTCGGAACAATATGCAGATGGGAAGCGAGATCGATTTGTGAACGGCAGGCGGTTGTGATCGCGCGTGCCGCTGGCGTCTGCAGTGCCTCCCGATTCGATTCCAATTGCAGCTGCCGCGTGGGCCATGGCGTCGGTGAGGCGGAGGGGCTGAGGGGATTCAGAGGCGATCCAAAAAAACAGCAGTACTGGCTTATGCAGTTTGCTCGACACAATAGTGGCAGGCCAATCAGGCAGGCCTGGTGCTTGGGGCAAGCAGGCAAGCAGGCACACAGGCAAGCATCTTGCATCGTCAACAAGCAAGGGCCGGCAACTCGATTGGCATGATCGTCCAGTCCATTCTGCAGGTAGGCACGCGCTCCGGCGCACAGAACAACCAGGGTGCACAGTACTATGCTGCTAAACGTGATTAATTGATGATTAGTGATGCTGGGATTACTGGATGGCTAGCGTTGGGTCGGTGGAATAGTGTAGATCAGTCAAGCTGGTCCAGTGAATATGACAAGCACGGTGGGATCCAGGCTCTTGTCTAAAATGAAGAGATTGTCACTGGGCAGCAATTAGAGTGGCTTTCCCCTGAGGCGTCGTAGAACGATCATGGACGTCTTCTTGACGGAGCTCGGCCCCCGAGTCCAGATCAGCATCAGGCCTTGTTTGTGTCAACGCGCAGTCAGTGGCGTCCAGTATCTGGACAGCACAACACGACAGTTAGCCAGGCGGGTAAATCAGCGACGGCGGCGGAGAAAGCTCCTTCGAGCAGACGTCTCTTCCATCGCTCCAGTAGCGAGGACCGAGTGAACAGCCTTAAAGGATCTTTAACATCGAGACTGGCCCGAATTCGAAACAGCACTGGGCAGTTGGTTGGCTCTGTGCGTGAACCGGAAGATAACCGCGATTGACCGGCTGGCGAAGTTGGGAGGGATGTGCGCTATGCATTGTGCAGTGTGCGTGAGGGATATGGGTGTTTGTGTAGCTTGGAGGACTCCGTACCTCTCACTCATCCGCCAGTCAAGCTGGACGGGTCCTCTAGGATTGAGAAGTACGAGTGCGAGCTCAAGGCTCGTATGTACGTGCGGCATTTGTGGGTGCGTAGGCATATGTGTGGCCCAGCTGGTACCCATCTGGTACCAATCTGCAGGATGGATTGTTGTCTCCTTTTGTCAGATGTCATATCGGAAAACGTTGTTGGCGGATATTCACAGCAGTTGGCAAGTCCAGGTCTACGGCACCGGTGAGAGGAAGAGGAAGGGATCTGGTAGGGGCGGCCAGCAAATGGGAATCTATGGATCGGAGAACTGAGGGGCTGGAAAGGAGTCAGAGCCAATGGGAAGAGTCCTTTGGCAGGGGTTGTTCCCCCCCAAAGACTTTTGAGAGACAGGCAAGGAGCAACTTTTGCAGTTGCACATTTGCTTTCGCTTGATAGGCGAAGATTTCAATCAATCCTCTTCATTCCCGAGATAGAAAGTGGGCCTGTTGACGCCGCTCATGCCTAACCTTCACTTCATTGAAATGCCCATACTAATTAAGACATATTTAGGGGTCATTCTTTCTCTCCTAGGAAGAAAAGACCTAGAATCTCGCCTCTTGAGGCAAGTCGGAATTGCACCGGACCAAGCTCAGGTAAAATTACAAATCTATTTTCCTCCCTGTATTCTCCACAAGACGCAGGCCGTCGGGAGGTGCCCGGATGCCAAGTGACACCCGGCGCGGGCTCAGGACGTGACGGCGTGCGGCACTCCAGGCTTATTTTGGAAGATATGGGGGGGTGGCCTATGGCGTGCGATGGCCCTTGGGGCAAGGTGTAGCAGAACCTAGCGCATCTGCCCGTCGCTGTCCTTTTGGAGCCAGGTGTGTCAGGCTGCTGGGCCCGCTGTCGTTGGCTTAGGGAAAGACAAGATGAGGTATGGAAAGCATCTACGAAGACGTACTAGCCCAGGCGACCTTGTCTGCTTGTGTCTTATTGATTCCAAGTCTAGTTATTTTTGGGGGTAGGAACAAAAAAAAAGGGCTAGCGGGAGGGGGATAGGAGGGGGAAAAAAAAAATAGCAAGCGCAGTGTTGGCAATGACACCTCTGTAGTTCTCTCCCCTTCAATTCCAACCCGCGTATCCACTTTTGACCTTAATGAGGACTTGTCATTATCTCCACAGTTCAATCAGCGCTGAGGGGAAGGAGAAGGCAACAATGGCACTCTGATGTGACTATGACTCTGACTATGACTGAGACCTTCTTGCACCCTATTGACTAGAATGCATAACCCAATGCAGATGCCATCTAATGAATATGCATTCCGATCGCCTTGACCATGAGGTAGCCAGCACCTCGGCTCCAGCGCTTGACCGGGCAAGGCTCAAGCACCCCCAAGTACACTCATCGCCACACCCCCTCCCTTTGGAATTCTCTTCATCCGCTTAAGCCATGGATTCCATGTGAGCGGGAGAGCCAACAGCCATGTGAAGGGCTGGGCAATGGGAACTGGCTCAGAGACACGCAGTTCCAGATGAAGACCAGTACAGTATTCCGAGGGGATCAGGTTGATTGGGTGAGCCAACAACGACGCATATTTCTACTACGTATCGCCCACCCCTCGATCAAGCAGATGCTTATCATCAAGAAACTTCCGGCCCCACCCCGGTCTGTCCCTCAAAGTCGGGATGATTCTTGGAGTTGGACACATTAGCCACGCGCAGCAGCAAACATGCTGTCACCTCGGGTATGTTGAGACAAGCCAGTGATAGTCAGTCTACGTACTAGCAGTGAGATCCCGTGTGAATGTGCCCTGTCGCTTGGTACTTTGGCGTGCTTGGCTTTCTTCACCTGAAGGCCCGCTGTCTTAGCTACCAGCCAGCATGCCCAGGCACGTACGGTGTGCTGTCAAGCGAGCTTGGCTTTGTTACGGCCGCAAGCTAAAGTAAAAACAATAATACATGGTAGTAGAGAAGGGGACGAAATACATTAAGATTAAAGTATAAGTGAGCATATAGCCAGCAGGGAAAAACAACGATCCATGCACCAGAACGCCACCGCACGCCTATGATGCTGACCGTTGGCTGGTGGCTTGCTCAAGCTGTCGTTTATTCCCCAGCCCTGGCACTGGGACACGGACAGGTGACCTTGTGGCATTGGCCGCTCTCAGCGCTGGGAGAGGCCGTTGTACCGCCGGAGGATCGGTACCTGCAGTGGTTCCAGAGTCCGGCTGGTTGCTCTGGCCGAGATGCTAGAGTAGCGCCCCTGCCGAGAGGGGGGATCTCCTTGTTGTCAACCAACAATGAAGCACGCACAGTTACATGGAATAACAAGAAGGTCTACAAAGGAAACAAAGTAGAAAAATAGAAGTAAATTGAAAATGAAAATGTCTTGTACGGGTAGCCGAAGGATGCGAGTTGATTCAAGGTTCGTTGATGTAACAAGGCTCGGGTTTGCTCTGCTCTTATCGCCTTATCAAACAAAACAATAGCAAGGGGGGTTTTAGAGGGACCTTGATACCGTCGACCGTCCGCTGCCATGACCAGAATGCGATCACGCTGTATCTCGTTGAAAGCAAGCCAGCCAGTCAGGGGCCGCCGTACTCGAGGCTAAGGTAATCGAAACTGTCGACCCAAAGAACCAGTGCGCTAGCGACGTGCAGCTGTATGTTTGGCACGTCTCAGATCGCCTTTCACAGCACAGGTGCAAGGTCTCTAACAAGAGTCACTCTCCTTCCTGACAAAGACCACATACTACTACCACTACTACTGCACACCTTCAACCTCGGACGTCAAGCTCACGATACAACCGTGGCCCCTGCCATCCATCAGTCAGCACCCGGGCTTCCGTCTCTCCTTGTCTCCCCTTTCCTGCCCCTCCCCCCTTCCCTTTGGGTGTGATGTGTACCACCGTTCCGACGGAAACCCCAACTCAACTTTCTCGTGGCGCAGCAACTTGAGGCGACACTTGACAAGGTGCCCATCATGACAGATCCTGAGGAGCCAATCGCAATTCAGGCTCGCGTTTGACAACCTGAGCAATCCCATCTTGCTTCCGATCGACCTCAGATTAACCATAGCATGGCAGCCCCAGACAACCAATCGCAATTCTCGTTTACCTAGATATCGACACGAACCTTCCAGCCCCTGAAGCTGTCATGCACACACCTTGGCTTGTTTCTGGGACCTGTCAAAGAATGGTGAGCAGAAAATTCCTCGTCGGACCCCAGGCGATGGTTTTTGACGCAAGGATTTTGCCACGGCCGCCAGGGCAAAACAGTGATGCTACTCGGAACCTGCCACTTCCTTCCAGCCACAGCTCCAATCAATTGTGGTACCGACCGGGGGCCACAGGATCACCGCGGTAGATCTACGTTTTTGACAGCTCTCCCTCGCTCGGGCGGCTTCGGCTCCGGAGGGTTACTGCCCGCCTTCCTGCCCCTTCCCTGCGACGGACGACGAGACAGGCCCAAAGACCACAAGAGGGAAAGGGAGAGGGAAAGATGGACAGAATCGCTTAACTCGGTCCTTGCTCGAACTGAGGCTTGATCGTTAGGGCGCGCCACACTCTCATCCTGTTAGCCCAGCTACCCTAAAAAAGCATCTTTACCAAAAGTCGAAACGGTAGTCACTACAGTCTTGGCCACATTGTCCTTAGTCCTGACGAATGACTCGGCGCTTCTTCCGGCCTCAAAAAGATGCTGATTAAAGTGGTGGCGTTTGAACGAAGCATTCCGCCATCTCGGATGCTGACAAGAAACGGGAGCCGCATGACTTCGGGTACCTTCTACCCTCTTGTGGGGAGGGAAGGGAGAGGCGGAAAGAGAGGGATGAGGGAACAAAAGTTACATCTGTCAAAGTTTGATCGCCACCAATCGCAGAGCAGCAACTCTGCTCAACTGGTCTCCAGCCTTCAGATATGAATCAAGGCCTGCAAACACTTCCAGATAAGGCAAATGTCAGAACGATCCGATAATGACCAGACATGTGGCCCGTCAATGGGGGTAGCCGCACCGCACCGCATGCGTCGCACGCAACTCTACTCGTTCCAAAACACTCGGACGGAAGAAAAGCATCCAATGATGATTGATGTTTCAGTCTGCATCGGTTGTCCTTGGGTCGACTCGCCTTGACTTTTCCCCGTTGTTGACAAGCACAGCCTCCGCCATCGAAGGTTATGGTCGAAGCATCAGAGCCATATTTGACGACTAGGCGTTATTTCCCATCATAACACCATGTGCACAAGACACACCTACGGGTTTGTTGTTCTGAGCATTGTCACATATGTCACCTGCAACCAGACGACTGATGATTCGCTTGACTGGTGAAGAGGAAGAATGATTGCTCCGGAAAGACTCGTGCGCAAGGTTAAGAATCATCCATCTTAGGAATCTTCAATCTACAGCCTGGGAGGGGTGCCTGAATCGTGTTCCCGCGCTTTAATCCATCGCCAGTCTCGCGCGGCAATGTCAAATACCTGCAAACCTGTGACACTCGCGGACCTGGTGAGGTACTGCACAAATTTCGATACTCGAATAGCGTTAGAATTGGGCTGAAGGGGGTGTGTCAGCGGCGGATGGCATAGCCGCTCTAGCGCACAACTCAACTTTGCTGTGCTTCTTCCCATCGAGGAGGCTTCCGGACCCGCCTTATTGTTTTGGGATGGCTGACGGGCAGAAATTTCGAAAGGGGGGGGCGTGTGAATGGGATCGATGGCAGACAAGCAGGGGAGCGCCGTCACGTCAGGGCCGCCCTGGCTGGTCTGGCTGACCCTCGTCCGTCCAGGCTCTGGCCCCCCTCCCATCCGCCTAAACATCCCATCCGTCTGTCTACCTTATCCACAAGCACACACAGCACATACCATACACAAATGCATATGTTCTCACACACAATGGCATACGGGCTCGAACCGGAACTTCAGCAACCAGTAGCAAAATAAATGCAGCTACTACAGTGATTGTAACACCACATCGTTTACCCTTGACTAGGAGTACCGTTCTTGTCAATATGTCTCCAATGTCATGATATACACGACGTGTCCCAGATCAAGGTTGTCTCACTCCCTGACCATGTGCACAAAAGGAAACAACAGGGATTTGCAGAACCAACGGCGCCTCACCGAAAGGCGGGCACGAGCGATGAATTCCTTCGACTGTGAACGTTCAAGCTGATATGGATATGTCCAAAAAAAAAAAAATCGAATGCCCGAGAGCCCTGCTAGGCCTTCTAGCTGGTGATCAGCTTCCCGAAGCCGCCACATCCAGGGATCACGGACGTCAACTAAACTTGGTATGAAGTTCAGGATAATTCAGGACTTGCCAGCGTCTTCTATTTTGGAACATCGAGCTCAGTTGGTAGCCCGTTGAAAGGTTGTTTTGTTTTTTTATTTTTACTTTTGTGATTGTAGGGCGTCATCTTGGGGGGGATGAGGACTATTCCGGGTGACTGCACCACCGTCTTGGACATTCAAGGACCGGACCGGGTCCCTCGCCGCGTTCGGTGAGATCCATGTTTCTCATCGGCATTGGTATGGAAACTGTTCTTGAGTGTAATCTACCATGAATCGGTTCTATATTGGCCGCATCTCCGGTTTCTCAATTTCGCTGATTATACTCCTATTGGGAAATTTGGCAGTGAAGACCTCGCTTTTCTCGGCAGGCACCGACACGTTAGGGAGCAAAGTTTGGGACCAGACCGTCAATGCTGCTCGCTTTCTGCTACTTTGTTTTGTGCCAATTTGCATATCTTCGTTTCTACTGCATGCTAGCAATTCCCTCACCAGCTCACCAGATCTGACGGCGGCCAGAGCGTTACAGACAATTAAGCAGGCTTGGCTTGGAAGGGCGAGGTAACTTGACGCCAGCGCGTCAGTTGCATATGTAATGGCACGTTGGATAGTCAGTCGTTGGAGTAATGCAGCGCCATTGAATATCTCCATATCCGCCAGCGTCCCCCCCTTCGGGCAATTTCATCTACATCACAACCGTCCTGGTCCGGGTGGAAACCATGGGAAGCCCTTGGGGGGGATAGGGGGGGGGGGTGCAAGTCGACCCCTGCCCACAGACACACTACAATTACCTAGTGGCTCTTTTCGTGTCACTGTTAGGCAGGCTAGTGCTTCTCCCATCTTTCCACTCTCCTTCTCACATCCTGGTCGACCTCGTCGTTCAGACCCCTATCCATGCTGTTGTCCTGCTGGACATATCCCAGTGCCACCATGAGCCTAGCATATCAGTCCGTTGCACGCCAGTAGAGACGCCACCTAAGCATCCTAGGAGTAGGCCCTGATGGGTGTGGGTACGGACGGCGTGGTCTACGACCCTGGTCGAGATGGGCAATCCTCTTCTTGTTCCTCATCGACGGCTGCTTGTACCCTGATCGTCCTCCTCGCCATGCCACCCATGCCCATGCCTCGCAGCTCTGGGCTAGTTCAGGTTTAGTCTCTGCCGTCAAAACCGTCCTCCCTCCCCCACATCAGCAAAGGCCTCGTTCCCAGATACATACAAGGCATTAAGCATCCGTGGGCTGTGCGCACCTCTACTCCTTCTCCAACTTCACCTTGCTCAACGCCTCCCACGGTCAGATTCACTCAAGAACCTACTAGTTGGGGCTCTTTCGTCTGAGGCTGGTTCGTGTCAGTTTCAGTGTGTTCAAATCACCGTCTTAATTTGTCCAATTTGGCCCTTCGCCGGGTCCTCCTCCTCGACACTTCTCTCCCATTTCCTATTTTGGCACCACATCTGTGCACCTCCCACCGTTAATCCACCTTACCTCTGCCTGCCCTGCACAACAGAAACCTCCCCCAGACCTCAAAGATATACAAAAGGACTGCCATCCCACCTTGCATCCAACTCGACCACTACCGACCATCATCCCATTCGAGCTGTTTGTTGATTCAGAAGAACGGCTGGGACCACCTGACTACATCAGCATCCTTTTATTGCTTCTATTTCTCTACGCCTGTCGTTGACGAGCAATACTATATCAACTCCGTTCAAAGTAGCCGTCGAATTCAGCTTTCGATCAAGCAACCTGCAGAAGCATTATCCTCGACGTGCCATTTCTCAAATACTTGGCTGGACCGACATTGGTATGGTGGCCTTCTGATACAAAGCCAACCAAGTCCATCTAGCTGACAGAAACAGTCCTTGTCCGCCGTGCGGCTTCAGTTTACGAGCCCACCACTCATTTTTTCTATTCCCTCTCACTTTACAAAGGGTTTAGCCTTCAGTGCTACATCCGCAACAGCCGTGTTTTAAAGACATTCATTTCCAAGAGAGAATACTGCACAAGATGTCTATGCTTGCCATGGCTGCCCCATCCCCCCATTCAGCGTTCAAGTCCTACCCCTGGGACGGGGGCAGGTCTTCCACAGCTGACTATGCCACGCGCCCTCGCACTGAGCCGGAAAGAATCGCCCTTCCCTCCATCCGTCAGGTTTGTAGCCCGTCTTGACATTGTTGAGCTCTCCCAAAGCTGACAGACATCAGGCCATCCCAGAGCTTCACCTTCGTCTCCAGCCGCAAGAGGCATCAACCACGAGAACCACTTCCTCCAACACATCGCCAACAGTGGGATTCGCTGGTGTAATGACGCCTCCAGAGTATGTTCACTCGCCAAACTCTAACAAGAGGAGGAGACTTTCAATCGACGAGGAGCAAGAAAGCGAGAGAGTCAGCCGCGTACCTAGACTCTATGAGAGCCCTGCTCGTATTCCTCAACGCCAGATTTCCCCACCAGCGCCCTCTCGTGCGGCGACTGAAAGCTGGACCGGCTCCGCAAGAACCAGCCCTTACATGTCTTCATCTGGCATGCCCTCCATGCGATCCCCCGCCATGGAGGTCAATGAGCGCCCTGAGATTCGCCCGACGCTCCCCAGTCTTCCTCCCATGAACTTCTCTGAGCGGGAGTCGATCCCCATGCAGCGTGTTCGTGGACACTCTCAGGACGAGTTCCAGCCCATCCGTCCCTCTCTGGGTATGCCTTCCGGTCACATGGTCGAGCCTGCCCCTGCCTACCGCGCCAGCGGTTACGCCTACGGATACCACCACCCCAGCCGCGTTCAGTCTCTATCTCTTGGTTCAATTCACCCGTTTGACCGTACACCTTTCTCTGCTGCTGGCTACGGCCACTACCCTGAATTCATGCGCATTGGTGAACTTGGCGCTATGGGCATGCACGGCGACAGCAAGCAACGCAAGCGTCGCGGCAACCTGCCCAAGGAGACGACTGACAAGCTTCGTGCGTGGTTCGTGGCTCACCTGCATCACCCATACCCTACCGAGGATGAGAAGCAGGAGCTTATGCGCCAGACTGGTCTGCAGATGAGTAAGTTTACACTTTCCGAAACCGTTAGACTCTCTTTGGGGCCAAACGCTAATTTTTTTCGCCTTCAACAGACCAGATCTCCAACTGGTTCATCAACGCGCGGCGCCGGCAGCTGCCCACCATGATCAGCAACGCCCGTGCTGAGTCCGACGCCATGTCTAGCCGCAGCGGCGAGAGCAAGATCCTGCCATCGACAGAGCGTGCCGACTATGGCGACAGCAAACGCTCCAGCGTTCCCCTCAGTGACGGAGAGGCCTTTGATGAGGACCTCGAGGGCCTGAAGCAGCGGCGCTCGGCGCACATCAAGAGGGGGAGCATCTAGACGCCCCACGATCATCAAAAGACAAAGAAACCGCGAAAAGCCCACGAATCATTTATCAACCAAACAAAAAAGAATTCATACCAGACCAAATTATCTTTAACGACGAACTACGATCGGACCTGACGCGAGACAAAAACAAAAAACGGCACCAGGGGAAACACTAATATTCATGAGCTGTATAAAAATACCACGGGCGCGCGGCAGCAACGCTTACCGCCACCCACTCTATTTTCTATGTCAACTGTACCTATGGGGATAATGTATTCTTATTCAATCCACAACAAAGGGTTTATTGGGGGAAAGGCGATTCACTCTGGGGGGGCTATTGGGGAACTGACTGGGGATGGTGGGCAGACAAATGCATTCACAGAGACAAAGAGTTATCTTGGGCATCTTGGTCAACTTTTTCACATTTGGGGTTAATCTGCTTGTGTTTTTCTGGAGCTTTTCTTCTCTTCTTCAACAGCCAAACCAGAGGCCAGGTTATTTTATACCACCACACAGGATACGTAGAACGATATCATTGTACCAAACATTATTTGTTCATTTTCATATTTTGGTCGATCTTGTTCGCTCTGTACATAGTATCCGACAAAACAAACATATTTATTCAAAGACTTTCTGTTTCACATATTTCGTGCTACTTGTACCCGAAAAAGAGACGTCCTCCATCCAACCTCCCGGATGGAGACCACCCCTCGAGGACCGTTCACGCAACAACCATCAGAAAGAAAGGAAAAAGGGACAGAAGAGATGCATCCTTCAAGAAAACGACGAAGGCCTCGAAGGTTCGATCCGTGATCAGCAAGCCTTCGGGTGATCGGGTCATCAAGGCCTGAACATGTCGGCCAGCCCTGCGAACAGATGCTCACCGAACGGCAGAAGAAGGGGGAATGGACGGACGTTTGACTGAATCCAAGCGCATTTGTTTACAGCATGTTTATCATCGCTCCGTAAGCAAGTCGGCGTCGAGGCCAATAATAATAATAATAATAACAAAAATGAAAGGGACAAACAACTGAAAACATAAAACGAAAAAGGTCTGTGTGGGCGGTTCCTGGATGACAGGCGATACCATCTCTCGCTCCTCTCTCTCTCTTCCTGTCTCTCTCATTTACTCGCACACATCACACATCCAAACACGCATGTCGCCCCCCTTCCCTTCACACATGCGCACGCACACACACACATACATACATACATACATACATACATACATACGCGGACTTCAGCGCAAAACTCAGTGTTACACTCAATGACCGTTGGTCAGTTGATGGGGAGGAGGGGTGTGTGTGCATGTGTGTGTGTGTGTGTGTGTGTGTACTTTGACATTCGAATGGCCAAGAACCCAAGATCCTGGATGAGACTTTACTTTCCTCGGCCGGTTTCTTCTGCTCCCCGCCCCGCCTCTCTCTGCCGTTTATTTTTTTATTTTTTTATTTTTTTTTTGCCTGCCTCTTCATTGTCTGCTTGCTCGCTAACTGTTGGCTACCAATGCTACTGCTGCTGCTGCTTTGCTGCTTTGCTGCCTTGCTGCTGGGCACCCGCCCTTATCCGTGACCAAGCTGTTGCAGCATTGCTCCATCGCCGTACACGGATTCTGCAGCGGGAGACTGAGCGCGCGTGCGCCGCCGCCGCCGCCGCCGCCACTTATCGAGTTGAAGGCAAGTGTGTGTGTGTGTGTTTTCCCTCTGATTCCACCCCCTTTGTGGTGACGGACTATAGCTACGGCTACGGCCACGGCTACGGCTACGGCCTAGGCACGTAAGGCCACCAACAGGCTTGGCTGGGAACCCGTTCACCCCCAGCCACCCCTTTTATTCTTAGTTGGATTTCCAGTAGTAATAGTAGCTTTTTTTTCCTTTTTTTTTTCTTTTTGGCCACCAAAAATAATACACGACAGCTCAGATCTTCCTATTTTTTTTCTCTGTGGTGCTTTAACCGCCTTTTCCGTGCGTATCACATACAAGGGGGGAACGGGAATTGGAGGAGGGAAAATACTTTCGTACACGCATACACACGCACACACACACACATACATACGTTGTAAACTGTAAGAAGAAAGCATATATCACTTGGATAGAAAAAGAAGCCTAACTTCGAAAATCTAAAAGCAGGCGATGGGCATTCTGTTGGAACGGTAGGTAGGAATCTCGTAGATAGTACGATATCCTTATAACAGGGTATTAGAGTAAGGGAACTTGTACTTATGAAGTAGGGCTTTAATAGTAAAGAATGTATAGGCTTATATTGAAGCTGAGTTGGTTGAGGAACTAATAGTTAGTTAAGGGAGAGAATTAGGCTAGTTATATAGTAGTATAACGTCGCCTATAATAGCTAATATAGGAAGCTATAAGCTAGGTTTAGTATACGTAAGTATATACGTCAACTAGCTTATAAAGCAGCTTATAAATCAGACTAGAATCTTCTTTAACTAAATAGACTTTTAGATAAGGTTAAAGAGAGTATTCCATAGGGATCTGAATGTCATATGTTTAAACTAGCAAGCAGCCATTCTTAGCTAGTTACTTTTGTAAGTCCTACTAAGTCTTAGATAAGACTAAATAGGATAAATAAGTAAAATAGAAGTATAATATACTTATACTTCTAACACATTCTGTGCGTAATGTGTGAAACCTACGACTTTTTTTTTTTTTTTTTCTTCCCCTCCCCCCTCTCTATCTCTTACTGGGGGGGCACTTGGAAGCTAAGTTGTCAAAGTGATCAAACAAGGATCTACTACCAACAAATTACCCCAGGGTGAATGAAGTTGGGTGATTCGTTGCGTTTCCGAGGGTTAGAAGAATGCAGCTGTTGCTTGCAGCATCTGCAGCAAGTGCCCCTCTTCAGAACGAAACGGGGCAGAGAAAAAAAAGAAAAAAAAAACGAACCACCCCAGAGTCAGCAGCGTCAGTGCTTCCGTGTTATTCTCGAGGGGTTCACAGACTCTCAACCTGCCTCTCGGCCAACGCACGCGCTGGCGTAAAGTGGACTGGGTACGGTACTTCGGGATGGTTGTAGTACAGGATACGAGACGCCACGAGACCGGGCAAGGCAGAGGGGAAAGTGGCGCTGAAGGAATGTGGGAAGCAAACAATTCAACTTGCTACGTAGTATGCTGGTGAATGACAGTTTGGATTTTCGTGGTCCACAGGACTAGACACGTCTCCTCCGCCATTTGGGACTGTCCGCTGCCGCTGTGAAAGCATGGTTCAGAGGCTCGGACAGTGAGTTTCCCCCTCCAAGACCCCTTCTCTGACGGATGGACGAGCACCAGAAAGGGCGGAGGAGCTAAGAAGCTGAGCAGGAACTAGGAAATAGCGCCGGGCACGAGACGCAGGCCGGCTGCGCGCCCTGATGGGTGTACTGAGTGCATGCTGAGTAGGCTGCCCCGATCTTGATACTGAAGCTAGGAGATCTTGACTAGTCCCTGCGTGCGAAGTTTTTGCTCCTCGGGTTCTCTTTGCTGCCCATATCGCTTTACACCCCCGTGTATTACTCATAGTTGCTAATGACTTGCAGGTGCTGCAGACCTCACCTGACTGGTCTCAGGATGCTACGTGCAGGCCTGCAATGCAGGTCAATGGGGTATCGAGACACGTTCTGTGCTGTTGCTTGCTTCTGGCAGTTAAGGCAAACCTCCTTCTGTCTCTGTCTCACACGCCTTGGCGAAGAAGCTTTCGTTATTCTCTGTGGGGGCAAACATATCCAGCATATGACTGGTGATGGATTTCCGTGTCAACGGCCGAAACAATAGACTGCCGGTGTCAGCCTAACATTGAAGTCCATCAGGGTGTGACAGACATGCTAGAACCGCTGGCAATAGTGGTAATTAGACGGGCAGAAGCGCATTAGCATGGTCATCCGATGAAGTGACTTTTTTTTTGATCGTGCTGAGACGTTGACGTGGATCGTGAGCATATCTGTCTCCTTTGGATCAATGTCTGACAGCGAGATGCGACAGATCAAGAACAGAGAACGACAAGTCGGTGGCCTCTTGCCCCGGTAACCTTCAAATGGTTCCATGGGCTTCTTGCTACAGCCTTGACACCTCCTCCTTCAAGGAACTGCGTATGCCGAAAGTCTGAACGGTGTCCGCAGTTACCAAGGTCATCCCCTGGCGAGGTGCTGTGCACCTGTGGAGGTGCGGCAACGACCAGAAGGTGGCCAGGGCAACCCACGAGGTAAAGTGCTTCTCGCCGGAGCGACAATATCACTGGTCCTCGCGTCTCTCGTTGAAGCGTCGTAACTTTGCGTTGGATGACAGCCAGTCGCAATGGCCGCTGACCGGAGGAGGCATGGAGGGGCGTGAAGATTCACAGATTCACAACGTGCGCCATGCAGCACACCAGTGGGAAGAAGAGGACGTGCCATCACTGCCATGTCAGCACAACTAGCGCTGCTGGGCTTTGATGCTACAGCCATGTACTGAGAAGACATGGGATGGCGCGAATCACAGGGTCTGTGTTGCTCTCATTAGCTCGGCAGTTTTAGACAAGCTAAAGGGGGCGTCAGACACAAACTGACCTCGAGCTGTGGAACAAAAGTGTGGTCGCTGGGAATAGCAGCATAAGCCCTGTCCGGAAGGTGGCATGCCGTATTGCTCTTTAATGATGATAGAGCGACAATAACAACAGAAGGGGAGAGGTTTGGTCTATGTTGAAAGATGGAGAACGAGGAGCGGGTCTACAGCGGGGTCTCGGAGATCAGCGGGTCTGCCCTGGCGGCCAAGGATAGCAAGCTGAGTGAACGAAGGCGAGTGCGAGGGTGACCATGACAAAAAGATCTAGGGTAGAGCAGGGTTGTTTCTGACAGCCAAATACCGAAACACACTTGAGTGTTCCGTCTTCATGGTCAACTAACCAATTCCAAGGCCTCCATTCCAAAGAAGTTTGTAGGTGAACGATAATGTGACTCAATGGCGTACAGTCTGCAGGGCCGATTGATAAAGTCAAGATGACGAAGCAATTTGTTGGTACCAAGTTCAAGGCACCATACGTCACGTAGCGGCGAGGACGGATACCGAAGTCGCTTCGCAAAGCCAAAAGAAAAAAGAAGCCCCCCCGGCAGACGTTGCGCCGTGCTTCTTAGCCTCGCAAATTTCGGACTTTCGCTGTTATAGCGTGTCTCTCCGTCGGCCACACTCACATGGCGGGTGAACAGAGTCGACGGGGGCGTATTCGGATAGCATAGGAAAGGCCCGTCTTTGTCTCACCTTGTTCCTTTGACGGATTTAGAGTGTTCTATGGAGCATTCTGAACACTGCTTGTCATTGGAGGGTGTCAGCCACGCCGACGCTTGAGCAGCTCTGCACCACAACAACAGTCCCTGACGTTTCGAGGCCCTCGCATGGGGTTGTCATTGTTTCTCACCGTCCTACTTGAAGAGACCTAGAGACAATAACTATGGGTATCAAGTCGTGAAGGTAGTGATTTGAATTCCCCTTGCCCCTTGTTTTCAGCCCCGTGTCGGGGCTGTAAACGAAATGCCTCCTGTCAGAGCCATCTTGCAGCGGGCGAAAGGGGACCCGAGGGGGCGTGTGCTGTGCATGTTGTCACGAGGAGTGCTTTGACATGCTGGGGTTGGCCTGGCACGGAAGGAGGCCATTGGAAGCACGCTGGGGAATGATGTTGTTCAGGATGTAACTCCGCGATGTTGAAGTCGTCACGATACGGCCAGGGTTCGTCGTCCAGCTTGGAGATTGGCATTGGCAATGGCTCGTGCCCAAAGACCTGCGTGGATGTACCGACCAGCACTCCTTCCTCCCTGTGTAGGTATTTCATAGGTCAGGACCGGGGTCATTTCTACGGTACCCACTTAAGCTTCATGTTCCTTCCAGGTTTAGCAAAAAAGATACTTGGCTCTTGCCCAAAACTGCATAAGCGACGAGGTTCCTTCCCTGAAGTGGTGAAATGGCTTGACCATGATCTCCATCTTCAGGTCGACCAACGGGGAGAATACAGCAGGCCTTGGGCACCGTCATCCACTGCAAACACAGGGGTATGATAGGGAAGGAGGAACATGGGCCCTGGTCTTGCCAGTTGAGGCTGCCAAGACCCCTCTTTTTCCGCCTATCACCTACTATTTACACTACATTACACGAAGCCATAGTACATAGTGAGGCTAAGGCCTGGTCACGAAGATACGTACTTTGTACTTACTACGGCTTGCCAAGTTGCGCTCTCCTGCCCCGGAGTTGTGGATTTTTTCCACAATTGCTTCAAGCAACTCCCTCGTTCATACAGCACGACATCATGTCCACCGGAGTGTTTTTCCACCAGCCGCACTTTTCAGTGGGTTCAGCCACAGCAGGGAAACATTTTCACTTTATGTGCTCGAATGCAGGCTATCCTACCTATTCACATCCCAGTGCTTGGTCCGGGTATGATATGACTGCATTCCTAGCTCAAGGCACATCGTGTATCCGAGACTAGCTGCAGCTGCCTCCGCAGTAAGACCTCTCCACTGGGTCACTGAAGGCCTCAAAACTGTTCGACTTGATGAAAGAACGCATACTGCAGCGAGGCATGTACGTGTCGCCGCAGCTGGGTAATGTAAGGCAATGCAACGCTAATTCCCAGTCGTACATAGGATGCCCTGTTGGCAGCTCGCTAGTTTGCCTGTACATGCACAGAGTTGTGCTGTCTCCACGGACAATTACTCGACAGTAAGGAGCCTTCAAACTATCAGTGCTGTTGTTGTGCGTTTTGCCACAGGAATGGAGTCGTCCTCAGACCCTCCCTCAAAAGCACTGGCCAAGAGAAATCGCCGCGATGACCACAACTTGGCCGCCCTTCTGGCTACAGTTATGGCGGCTAACTTTTCTTGCAGCCAACCTTGACGGAAAAGTCGCCGCTTTACGACCACCTGGCAACGGGTTGTGGTATATCCTGGCACTACGCCATATGGTCATTACGTAGTAGGCAGGTCAAGTGCGTGACAGACCTCAAAGCTGTGAGTTGTCCATCCCACCCCTTTCAAAACATAGTTTGCCCTGACTTCCCTCCCGACTCACACCCGTCAGCCGCTGGTTCCACTCTGTTAGTACGACTGGTCATGCTTCCCCAACCTGACCAGCGCCCGGATCGTCTCTCTTCCACCAAGCTAGCGTCCAGTGAAGGGCTGCCCTGAATCGCAACGGCCGACGATCCCCGTTGCCCATCCGTTCCCCGACCTTGTAGCTGTCATCCCTCAAGTCTCATTAGCTGAGTTTTCAGTGCGAAAAGTGGCTGGATGGGCGATGTCGAGACCAAGAGGGCGCTCAGATGACAAGTCTGGTGGATAACTGGCAGCAAGCTGGGCAGCATATTTTTGGTGAAACCACCTAGCAGAGGCCCCTCTGCCCCTTTCATTCAACTTGAGTGCCGTGCCCTCGCCTGTGGTTGGGTGTACCGGTGCTGCCTGCGCACTGTCGCCGACAGCTGAGAAGGCTCTTTATCCATGCCGCAAATCTTCGAGAATGACCAGAATTACAGCTTGTCTGCGACCACGGGCCGAGAAAATCATGAGCCTGGACCGTCGTCGATCCTGATCTGCTAGTTGAGCACCAAAGACTGAATTCCCCGAGACCGGTGGGCTTGTCAAGCGTAGCTAGTGTTAACTCCCGTCAATCCCTCACGCCGAGTCTTCCTAGCCTGGATTCCCACAAGCCCACCAGCCATGCCCTTCCGAATCCACAACACCCACCGGCATCTCCTGGGTCGCGTCTGGTTCGGTTCCATGCGATGTTAGCCAAGTCATCAGGTGGCGACTAAATCCCATTCTTGTAGGGACTGAGGCTGTCGTTCAGTCAGGGTGTCATGGCCCCGTTTATGCAGTCATCAACCCCAACACTAATGTGTGTCAAATTCTCACCTGGGCCAGGCCTGATCGATCACCGGCCTTCAGCAGGAATCCCAATATTTCATCCGGCTCCCGGCGCTAGACCGGGATGCCGTCTGCAGCTGTCAATCGTCGGTGGCTGCGTGGTTTTATTTCCGAATGCTTTGCCGCATGTCCAGCTCCCCAGTCTCGCCTGATATGAATGCCGCCGTCTTCATGCTAAACAGAAGGGTTTATGAGAGTCACAGGCAAAAAGTGGACTCTGGCGCTTTCTTGAACACAACCTCTGCGCTTGTTTATGCGTTGGCTCAGAAGGGGCTAGTGACTAGTGGCAGCCTTTCAGGCGGGCTTGGAGGTCAATTTCCCGCCTTCGTTGCAAGAACCGCGTCAAGACGACTAGCAATGTGCGCTAATGGGGATTTAGCATGCTGGCCATCCCGGCGTGACACCCTCGTCAGCGGCTGCCTTTCTCTAACGACCTGTGCCGACAAGGCCGATGAGCTTCTCGTCATCCTTCGAGGACCAAAGTTTCAGACCACCAGACTCGACAAATGAGGGCCGATGCGATTACCCATTGATCATCCCACTAAGGTCTATCTGACCACCAGGGACGCTTGTCGAAGTCGCGCTGCACGCTCAGGTTGCTGCCACGGGCACAATTGGGATGGCAGTCGATCAGTACCCTGGCCTTGCCTGGGGGGTGCAGCGTGCAGAAAGTGTGCCCAGCCTTGTGGTGTCCGTTCCTGGGGGCGCCACGGAGAATTTTAGGGTTTTGACGAGTCCAACTCAAAACCTCGTCATCGACAATGCAGGATGTTTCCTCGGTTGCCACATCCACCTGATACATTAGCCCCTAGGAACACTGACAAGCCGGTTTTATGGTCCATGATTAGCTTTTGTCCTGTCGTGACAGATCATGGTGTGGCTAGGAGGAGTTGTCGTCGATCAGTCGACAGGTGCCTCAACCCCCGATAGTCTACGGGAGGCAATGTTATGATCAGCCCTGATTTACCTTGTGATCAGCGAATTGCCAAGGTTACTTGGTATGATCGTAATTCAGCAGTTCGGCCGAGACGGAACCGATATTGTCTAAAGTGATCGGACTCTCGCCGTGTCTCGGCCAGGCCATGTGGCATCCGTATGGAGTTGACGCAGACCCACAAATTCCCGGCGGCAGAGCGGAAGAACGGACGGCACATGGCCGATAAAGATCTTCAGCGGAACAACCATAGGCAAGTGAAGAAAACTTGGCGTAAGCATAACGGACATTATGTGGCTCGCGTGGGTCGCAGCTTGCTGGTTGGAATGTCCTCTATTATGGTGACTCATCATTTGCTCGTCAGCAGTGTTCAGACCAATAGGAGAAAGGCATTCGTAAGCGCAGAAACTCTCGGCCATCGGCGCAAAAACACTCCGTCTTTATCAAGACTGGGGGGGCGGACGCGCACTCCGCATTAAGACAGGCGCGACGACAGATAGGTATCTGCCTAACACTGACTTGCTGCTGCGAATGGACAAGTGACCGAAGCGGCCATCGTCAATGACTTTTACACTTCGAGTGACCTAATGTCCGTCAGTCTGCACACTGCGATTTCTTTTGCCTCTCTGTGACGAAGCTTCCCACTTTGGATGTAGGTTCGGACCTGAGACCCACTTCGGCACACTGATATCGCCTGCCGCAGTCTCGGATGCAAACTCTGGCCGCCCATCATGGATACCGACGGCGGCGAACAGGCGGAGCTGCCGGGCACTGCCGGCCAGGGGTCTGAGCCGTTAGCATGCGTCACCTGCCGTTCCCGGAAGCTCAAATGCGACCGTGTCAAACCGGCTTGCAGTCGATGCATGAAAGTAAAGGGAGAGTGCGTATATCCTGAGTCAAGGAGAAAACCTGCGTTCAAGCGGAGGAATGTGAAGGAGCTCGAGGAGAGGCTAGGTACCGCTCATGTCAAGTTCGGAAGGAGGACGTCGCTTACGATGCTTAGCCCAGGTGGAGGATCTGCTCAAAGAGGCCAGCAAGACTAATGGAGCTGGGCCAACGGCGGGAGATCTAGACAGTCGGATCAACGTCGGCATGGACGACTTTACCGTCGATGTGAACACCTTCCTTGCAATGCAGAATGGCTTAGCTGTTGAAACTCCCGACATACCGACCGGATTGCTAGGGGAACAAAATGTTCCGCCCACCGAGACTCAGGTTCCTAACCTTGGCGAGCCCTCTGGAGAGCTTATGGGGCTTGGGCTTTCAGAAGCCTTGCCCCCTTTTGAGATGATGGAGGATCTGTATGCTCAAAATGAAGCCCTTGTTATCAACGCATCTCTGACATGAGCAGTAACAAGAGTTTTTTCGAAAGGCAACAACATTTCATACCCATCATCCATCCAGGCCGGTATTTTCAGGCGTTCTATTCGGCGCCTCACAAACGACCGCCTATGTGCCTGCAGTATGCCGTTTGGGCCATGGCTTCAAATGGACACGAGAAGTACTCTCAATACCATGAGATATTTTACAAGCGGGCTCGGCAGTATGCGGATGCGGATGAGATGAGGGCGAGTGGCCATGGAAACTAAATTGAAAAGGCCAAGATGCTAACTGTGACCAGAGCTACGGCGAGCATTTCTTAACCGTCCAACACGCGCAAGCATGGGCTCTCATAGCCACAGACGAAGCGAGGTGCATGTTCTTTACAAGAGCAGCCATGAGTTCAGCAAAGTGTGTGCGTTTAGTAGAAATGATGGGTCTCCATCGAATCGATGGCGATGGCCAGGAAATGGCCCCGACACTCGCACCAGCAACGTCGTGGGTTGATTTGGAGGAGAGACGGAGGGCGTTCTGGGGTGCATACTGCATAGACTGCCATGCAAGTATCTCAACAGGTTGGCCGACTCTCATCGACCCCAATGAGGTAAGACATGTTCTCGCGTGCCCAAGGCTCATGCTGACCTGATAGATCACTACTCATCTACCGTCTTCCGAAGAAGCGTTCAACTCGGCCCGGGAAGAGAAAACTTCAAGCATGCAGGATGCTTTCAAGGGGGCATCGTATTCGACATTCGCTGGGGCTGTCATTATCTGTTACATCTTCAACATGCTTCTGAAGCACGTTCACTGGGAAAGGCCTAAGGATCGACCCGAAGACGTCGAGTATGGCGAGTTTTGGAAACGCCACAGAGATATTGACAACATGCTCTCAAGCGCCTTCATGTTCTTGCCTGAACGCTTCCGTCTGCCTCAGAGCATGAAGGATCCCACTGCGGTTCACACAAATCTCAACCTCCACGCGTCAATCATATGTTTGCACCATGCAGCGCTTGATAGGATCGAGGCGAACAGTCTTCCTGATCAACTGAAGGCTTCGTCACAACTTCGACTGCGAACTGCAGCGGAAGAGGTGGTCAGCATCGTTAAGCTGACGAGCCACATGAACTCTGGTTACGTAAGTGAACGCCCCTGGCTGATTCTGAGTCGCATGTCTGACGTCGTTTACAGAAGAGCCCTCTGGTCGCTTTGTCGCTGTACTGCGCCGCATCTGTATATGTTTACAATGCTAAATGCGACCCGCAGAACGGCCTGTCAATGACTGATTTACAAAACCTCAAATTCATCATCCAGGCAATGGAGGGCATCGGGCGCAGGCATCTCATCACGCAAGCCTTCCTCCAGCAAATTTATATGGACATTCAGCGCAACGGACTCTCGGGCATCATTGATGTGCCCAATTTGAACAATTACAAGAACACATTCGGCTGGACGTGCTCTAACATCCCGTTGCTTGCACGCAGCTCAATATCTAAACACACCGAGGTCCAGCCTCCTCTCCCTGGGAGGCTACCCCTCGGCAATCCCAGAGGGACTGCTTACGAGAACCACCCAAGGATGAACGAAAGATGGCACGGGTCAATGATACCCCAGTCGGCCTGCCCTACCTCTGCGGATTTCGCTCAGCTAGGCCATCCAGCATATCTCTCAGCAAGCGAGACCCCACCCGAGAATGCCTCCAATAAGCGGAAGCGGTCTTCGTTAACGGCGAGCCCCAGTGCAAACCATGCCAAGACTGGCGTCTTCAGCGGCACATTCTTTTCCGAGGGCAGTTCTAAAGCTGCGCCGGCGCCGACGTCAACAAGGAATGGCATCGACGGCATGGGCGGCTTCGGTACGGGGTTTCTGCGCGCCTCGGGGGTGATTCCAAAAAACGGGTCGGTGCCGCAGTTTAGCCTGCCGCACAGGACGAACTCAACATCACCATCTCCGTCTTCGGTTTTTAACAAGAGTACACCTTCACAATCGGCAGTCAGCAGCAACACTACGCCTCCTGATGAGGCAACGGGAAACAATACGCCAGATAACAGCGTCCAGAGCACCAATGGCAATATAAGAGACATGAATGGTGCAGCGAGTGGGAACGGCAGCAACGCCAATGGAAACGTGAACGAAATCATAGATATAACGAGCATCCAGACTCAACTCGCAGGCGCATCGTCGTCGACGTGGGACTCGAGGGGCCTCCAATATGCGCCTAGCATCGATCCAATTTCATTCATCGACTTTGACGCAGTAGGTGGGATCGATCCATGGAGCATGCTCACCAATATGAGCGAGATGGGTTGGGCAAATGCTGAAGGGGAAGTGACCGGTCCAGGGGCTAAGGAATGAAGAAAAGGGGTTGGTATTGTCGTAGGGGTACAAGCAGGGCATTAGGGCTTCCGGATTCTAGAGCTTATGGGATTCAGAGCATGAGGTTATTAGAAGGTTAGAGGATGGAAACGGGTATTACGGGCGGTGATGGGTGTAGGGGATGGATGGCGATGGATATGCGAGCGTACCAGTTCAGTTATTCGGGTGGTACGAATGATAGACAGCAACGTGACACGACGCATCTCACTCAGATCCAAAACACCACCAAAAAAAAAAAAAAAAAAAGTCTCACCACCATAAATCAACCTCCAACAGTGGAATGTAATTGCAGCGGCCAAGTTCAAAAGATTCATAATGATGCGAAAACCGCCGTTTTGGACAGACCAAACGTTAGCTTTGGCTCTTTGTCCCATGACAGGACCAGCGAATCCTTCGAGATGGAAGGCGCACGTGATCGGTCGAACCCATGACGACTGCTCCTGCTCCTCTTCCTACGCTCAACCCACAGCGCACCATCATATTTATCATCACTCTTTTGCCGAAACCGCACCGAGAGTTCTTACCACCCCCCATCTCTCTCCACACTTTCTCATCATCAATCACCAACACACAGTACTTGTGGCGGTAGAAACCCAACCGGAAACTGCGGAATGCAAATGAGCCGAACGATCGCGCTCAATTAATTACACAAAGAGTAATTCGATCGACTGGGTTCCTCAAGCCCCCCCCCCCTGGCTCCCCGTCCGGGCGCACGCACGCGTGGGCGCACCCTACTCAGCGCGCCATCCCCCCCAAGAAAAAAAGAGAAGAAGCGGCACCAAACAAACTCATGGACCCGCCGCTCAAGAGTCCCCCGTCTGTACATGAGGACGCTTCACCGAGTCCCCCCGTGCCGAACCGGATCCGGCGCAATACAGCCTGCACGAGCTGTCGCGACTCCAAGGTGGGTTATGCTCCCCTTCTCCAAATATCCCCGTGCTTGCCTTCGTGTCTTTTTAAGTTATATTTGATGCTTGGTTTCCGGACCAAATGCTCTTCCGGGTTCGGTTCCAATTGGTCTCCTGGGCATGGTACCTTTACCACATGGTCTCAAACATTACCACCATACCGATCTACATACCCTACCTGCCTTAGTTTTGATGTTTTAATTTTCCGTATTAGACAAGTACATGGTCGCTAATTGGAGCCTTTGAACGACCACAATAGGTGAAGTGCAACGCAAGCTTGACCCCGAATAAGCCGTGTCAGCGTTGCGCGAAGCTCGGGATCCAATGTGTCATTGACAAGTCCCACAAGCGCATAACCCGGAGAAGGTGCATAAACTCCCTCCCTAATAAGAAAGAACAAAAGGTCCCCTATGAATTTTTTTAATGGATTTGTGGTCTGATTCCTTGCGTGGCATGGCAGTAAGCTGGAGCAGCTGGAGAAGGAGGTCCAGACCATCAAGAATGCGGTGAATCCCAACGCCGTCTCGGCTGCCGGCGTGGCCCCCCCGGCCGCCCTCCCGCTGCCGAGCCCAAGTACCGCTTACCCGGTAAGTGTCTTTGCGGATCGGCCGCCTCCTTCGGCCGGTCGTGTGAGTCTACCTGCTTTGTCACCTGTGCACTCCCGCCCGGCCGAGCAAGTTCCCACACCTACCCTCACTTCGCATACGACCCCGACGGGACCGGTGAGACCTCCGGCACAGCCGAGGGCGTTGGGGTCCAAAGTACTATCCAGCGAGGATATTGAGTTCTACTTTGACCAGTGAGTATCTCGCCCCCACGTCGGCCAACGTCTACTGCAGAAAACTTATGGCCATAGCTACTTTGAGCACTTCCACCCTTACTTTCCAGTTGTCCGGTCCCAAGACCCGGATAAGCTGTATAGGCTGAGCCCCATACTGTTCTGGACCATCATAGCCGTGTCATCACGGCGGTACGCCAAAGATCCCGGATTGTTCCAATTCCTGATCGACAATCTACCCAAGGAGGTTTTGTCTGCCGTGTCGAATCCGCCCATCAGCATATCGACCATCAATGCGCTGCTCGTGCTTTGTACGTGGCCGCTCCCCACCATCAGGTTTCTCAACGACCCGTCATCTTCCTATGTCGCCATTGCCCAGAATGCGGCCTTGTTGCTTGGCCTGCACACAGGGCGTGGTACCCATCCCGAGTTTTGCATCGGACCGAACCGACAGACAGATATCACGGACGAGGAAGCCTGCTTCACCTGGATGGGATACAACATCCAGGCTCAAAGGTACGGTTAACGGTTGCGTGCGGTTTATGGTTGGCTGACTCGAAAACAGGGTGGCATCGAGTAATGGATTTCCTCCACCGGCTGGCTTCTTCAACGAAGCTGTCAACAGAGCAGCTGGCGGTCGGTCGCTACCAGACGCTTTGGGATATTTCGGTCTGTTGTACGAGATGCAAAAGTTTTCGAACCGACTAAACCGTACCATGTTTTCTGTCGCTGAGGATGGCGAAGGAGTGTCGGACTCTGTTATACAGCTACTGGAGGACGAACTGAACAAACTGAGGCAGCTACAAGCTCGGCATAATACAGGTAGGCCAGTTGAATGCGAGCAAGAGAGATGCTAAGACCTTTTTCGCAGACCTTGATTTGTTCGCCATCCTGGCGGTCCAGTTCGAGCTGCAGTCGTATTATTTTATCCCCCTGTCGACTGCTGACAAGTCCACGTTCCGCCACAACGTGAACCGAGCATACAGCACGGCACAAGCCATCATAAACCTAAGTCTGCGTCTCGATAACTCCCAGCGCTTCTTGCACCACACCCCTCAGCACGCCTTTCGGACCGTGCTCGACGCCGCAGCCGTCGTCTTCGACGTGCTCATTTCCGGCTACGCGACAGATCTTGAGCTCGCCAACGCCGAGGTATCCATCAAAAACGCCCAGGAAGCGCTACGGAGGTGCTCGGTGCAAGAGGGCGATTTCGCCATGCGAATCCTGCGCATGAGCGAGTCATACTGGAGCTTACGGCATATAGTATCACCACTCGAGGCGCCGATTTCAAACTACCCCCATCGCACAGGTGCAGTCGTGTCATTCGGCACGCTGCGGCGGTGGAAGAAGGAGCTCGACCAGGCGAGGATGGGCCAGGCCCAGGCGGGCGGCGGCCAGGCGGGCGCGGCGGGGTCGACGCGTGAGTGTAGGGGAAGGGGGTTCGGCGTGAGTGTTGCTGACCTTGTGGTAGCGGCGGCGCCGGATGCGAGCGCGAACGCGAACGTCTTGCCGACGAATGATTTGCTGCAGGATATCGACTGGTCGATGCTGATGGACGACTTTGACTGGACGGCGGGCGGTGCGGGAGAACCGAACTTTTTAGGATTATCGTAACAGGCATCTGAGTTAGGGCTCATCTTTTTTTTTTTTCTCCCTCTTCCTTTTCTTCTTATTTTTATTTTATTTTTTATCCCAGCAGAGCCGGCGCATGGTTGGGAAGATGGCATGGCTGAAGAAGACCTGGGATGAGATGGCCGATGGGTCATTTTCATGTACATTCCCCCCGAGCAGATTGGTAAATAGGTAATTGATGGTAATGTTATTCAAATTTTAGGGAGTGGAAGACTTGGGTTAAGTGAGAAAATTAATGCGGCGACTTAGTCCTGCGTCGAGGCCATCGGCCATCTCCTTTCGCAACTTCCAACCCACAAACCCCACCCAAGTACCTTGCCTTTGACGGCCTCGGCAACTTGCTCTCTTGTTGCCCTTGCCTCCAACATCGTCCTGTCCAGGGGTTCACCCAGTGCCACAACCTCGAAGAAGTCTGCCATCGTCAGCATTCAGTCATTACTGATTTCTTGAGTGCCTCGCGACTTACACCGATGCGGGCCGTGGTTCATTAATGGCCGTGGTGGCACATATACGCCCTCTCTTCGCCCTTTCCCCCAGTGAAAGCCACCTTTGAGGAGCGATTTGGTCTCATCCTCAATTTCAAAGTCTTTCGGACTCACTTCCCTCCTACCTGACGGAATCCCACCGTATACTCTTAACCAAACGTTAGGTCCTCCCTGTAACTCAGTGACGTTTCCACGGCAAACTTACCCATGGCAGATGGGCGTTGGCAGGGGCGCATCCGGGTCCTCGGAAACAATGAGCCACTCCTTGACCTTTGAGTCGATATCTTCAGGCGCAGTCCACGAGAGTGCGGGCATCCTGCCGCCTCCCTCATTGATGTATTCCTTGCCAAGCGCGGCGGGCGACGGCCCACAATCCGGAGACGTCACGGTGATGGTCTGCTCTGCGTGTGAGACGAATGCCGGTGAAGCGTAAAAAGACTTGGAGTCATGGCCGCGGGAGCTTTTCAGGATCCGACTTAGAGTCAGCTCCACGTAAGGATGCATTGCTAACGTAGAAACTGGAGACGATGAGCTGTCGAGGTTGTTGTTGTTGGGAGCAGCTAGAAATAAGGTCGAATTCAGGGATGCCGAAGCTTGTTAAACCATTGGTTCGCAAATGGTCTCGAGTAGGCCATATTCTCTCCGGCACGGGTGCGAATCGGAATGTTGGTTTCCCGGTAGGAACTGAGAATCTGAATATCAGACGAATTGAGGAGCGAGCTCCGATAAGGCGGCGTTGCCGAGTGGTTCATGCCACGGGTGACATTGCTAGAAGTTCGCGGTTGAGCGTAAAAAGAACCTCGAAAAAAAGAAAAAAAAAAACACTTTGATTCTTGCCTTCATTATAAAATTTGATTTTACAGTGCTAAATCTGGAATTGGCTTACACAGGAAGGGAACGGGTTGCCCCCTTTCGAACACATTTGGTAGTACCTGGATCTAAACAGCACAACACTAAGACAGAGCAGTCAAACTCATAGTTTGATCAAAACAAGGTCTACGGGTGCAATGTTATACTGCCAGAACGATTGATAGCTTTGGAAGTCTTAGCCCTCCAAGTTAAGAACGCGCCAACTCTCTCACAAATCAGCTGTTTCGTTTCGAACAACTACGACTACCCATATCATGTATTGGATTCAGTGGAGTGCTTCGGGCTATGACGGCGACGGAGTTTGCCAAGCATTAAGGGTCGGACCAGGCCTGCCGGGGTCAAAGTAAAGTTTTAAACTTGCAACCTTCCGCTCTCCAGGTAACCAATTGCAAGTCGGACGGGCCAGACATCCATTGTTTTTCACTGCTACGTGGTACACATTAGATGTGTTCTAAAATAAAATACCTTTGGATAATCGCACAAACACTTTTTAGGTCGAGGTGCAATCAGCAGATTTGATTATAATGTACGAATGTCACCTAGTGTCTCAACTCTCAATCACTTCTCTCCAAAATTAGGGACTATGAATACTTCTCCAGACTCTTGAAGGGGCTTGGGGCTGGAGTCAGAGTTGAGCGGATGCAAATTCTAGATGCCTAACGGTACAGTTTAGCCAAATTGCGGAGGAGCACATAGAGCTCCTGCATCTCCCAAGGACACTACGCCACCTGTGGCTCAGCACTTCCGAATCTGGCGTTGCAGACCAAAATCGACGCCTTCTGCTCGCCTTCCTTGCCAATCAATCATTCCACCTGGTGCACACACACACTTTGACCAGTCGCCGCAATGTCGTCCTGCGGATCCAGATACTCCTTCCCCACAGTATAGGAATATTCGGGGTCCGTTGACAGGTTCTGGGATACCGGCCCTTCATATCCGCACTTTTCACTCTGGACCTCCACCATAGTCATCCGTCTTGTCCTTCATTGGCACGAATAACCATGGTGCTCCCGGGAAACGGCCGGCGCATCATGCTGACTAAATTCGCGGAGCATTGTAGCCTCGTCGACTTCCCAAGTTACCCCGGTCTCACCGCTGTCGTGGCTTGGTGTCCATGTGGGCTACGCCTCGGTCTCGGTAGACATTAAATGTGGCAGCCTGTAATGGATTTCCAGAAGTCTTGGCGAGGAGCTCGTTGCGGCTTGGGTGATGAGGAATCAACGATTATCAGTTTGCTGCTTGGCGCCTTCGATACCGACACCCCTGAAGCGATTGTGACCCGCGCAGAACATGTGGAATCCGGTTCGATAACTGTCCCTGCTGCAACTTAACCGTGGAACAGAACGTTGAACCCTAGAGAAGCCAAGACGAGCAATATCGTCTCTACTGGCAATACTTGCGATTGGTTGCGCTTATCGATGGTAGTACCAGAAAATCATCGCTGATAGACGCCAGCAAGCCGAGGCTCGTACCCAGGTCTTGGGACCGGGCATTCCTTCCACGTAATACGTGATGCCACAGGCCGTTGAGGTAACCACATATTTGGAGGCTAGGTCGGACGAAATCCGTTGAGCGGGGTCTCCTGGGATAGGTCTGCATCCCCGATGTGGAGGAGGACCCCAAGATCGTAACCCTCACCACATACTACTGACTCGGGCCGGGGTCTATGTTAAGAGAGACGATACCCATTTATGAGCGATGCTAAAACTATGGTCACGGTAGGGGTAAGCTGTCAATCGAATTAAGCACTTGGAGTCTGCCGCATTTCGGACACTGTTGATTAGCTCCTGGTATGTACTTGATGGTCTTATCTGGCTAAGCAAACTTATAATACTGAATAGATCCTAACAATGAGTAGCCTCCACCGTATTCCCAAACAACCACGCAAACACCAGCAGTCGTAACTAACAGTCTACCACCACAAAATCTAAACTTCTTTCTCTGCTGCTTGACCGAGAAGTGGACAGCATTTCGGGGGGGTTAAGTGTAAATGAAATACAATTCTTATCCGGTGGTCCTTGTGGACTGCCGTAGTAACCCTCCCAATGACACTTAATCGCCCGGGGTCAATCTTCGCTGCCTAGAGACATCCATGGTCGGGCCCACAAGGCTGTTCCCCTGACAGTTGCACCGTGTCTCGGCATCGTTAGCCAGATACCGGGAACTCTCGCCTGTTCGATTGTTGGCAGCAGCAGCCCAAGAGGATTCACCCTCATTGGTCGTCCGGAGTGAGCAGGCGGACGCAGGGTCCACGTTCAAGGACAATAAACTCAATTCGACAGATCACCTGTGCAGCACAAGTTTCGACCAAGAGACAAGACGCTTTATACCCACCCACAAGACAGACATCTGGCCCATCTACATCTCCAATACTATCGACGCAATACCGTAGCGGGGCCGGGTTGGCTCGTGTACCCGGGCCCGAGGAAGCGTGCCCTCTTCAGAACAAACAACTTTCAGACAGACGCAAGCCATAGTAGTGACGGAGATCGTGGCGAGGCGAGGAGCACCCCTCGACGATGCATGCGGCTGCGCGCTTGCAAATACGGAATTTCCATCTCAGGAGCCCTATCGCCTACATAGTCGACATTCGTCATTGCTCCAGCCACCCACGCACGAATCACCAATTCATGATAGCGAGTTGTGGGGAATGCTGGCACCGAACGGAATGGCTTCCGTCAACTGATTGACCGGCCACCATGCCGATTTGGAAATAAGAGACGAAACTTCATGACGAAAGACGGGATGTGGAGTACCAATGCCGTGTGGTGGAAGTTCCGCCAGCAAACTGGCCGACCGCCGAGCCAAGTCGGCAATAAGATACATTGCGCCTCTTGCTATGCCCAAACGCCCGACGTGCCCTAAGCAAATCTCGTGACCAGGGACGATTAGATTCTCACTGCATCGGGAACCCTGGCGATAGGGGGGGCCTGTACTACAGAATACTAGTACATGGTAAATGGCTCAACTTCGTGTTGACGGCTCTAGAACCCCGGCTCGCAGAAACCGGCCGGGGCATCAAGTTTGACCCTGGTCCACACTGGGAAACCGCAAACTAGGGTTGGGAGACGTCGAGCAGGCAGCAGCATTCTGAAAACATCAATCGATAAACTCCCCATACAAACACGATGCGTGGTTCGACAAAAACGACTTCAACCTCCCCGCACACAACCATGCATCCCGTAAGTGCAAGAATCTTTTTTACCAGGAAATCCTCCGCACGGGGCCGGAAGAGGAAACTTTTCCATTCCGGGTATAGCCGCCAGCCCTTCGGCCGTTACATGCACTATGTCCTTCACTCTGTCTTGGGTTCTCCTCCTCATTGGTCGAGCGTATTCTACTCTGTAAGTGTGTTCACATCCATTTGGGAAGTGATGCCATAAAGAGATGTTTGTACCCGTCGTGATAGAAGCCGTGTAGAGAGCCGTTTGGCGTAAAGAGATCAAAGAGAGTTTCGGCAGCTGTCCAACTGCATGCAGTTTTTCAATGTTTGTTACCAACATGGACCACTTCAACGCAACTGTCCTTAATGGGAATCTTGTCTCGATGCGGAGGGGACTGCAAGTCTGCAAGACAAAACACCAGGGCATCCAGTTTATCAATACCTCCGCCGCTTCAGACGACGCCTCGAATCCGAACGGTGCCAACTCTGCGGACCTCTCCCGGCCGCTAGAGCGGCGGATGAAGTTTGTCGGCCAGCCGAAAGAGCCGCGGAAGGGCGGATCGAAACACGGCAAGGGCTCGGCACAAGGTTCACAACACGACACAGAGCCTCGAGAACGAAGGGGGAGGTCGCCAAAAGAGCCCCAGGAGTCCGTCTTCTCCTGGGAGTCTTCCACGAGAGGGTCTCCCGAGAATGACGTATTCTATCCTGCCAGATTCGATGAGGCTTCTCGCATACCCCGAAGCCCTATTCCCTGGCTGAACTCGTGGATGGGGAAACTGTCTGAGAACGAACAGCGTCTCGTCCACCTCTATCTCAGAATCGTCCCGACAAAGATGTACCCGTACGAGCAGATCCTGGAGCACAACCCCGTTCGTAGTTCTGCGTTTCTGGAGAAACTCAAATCCAGCGATACCAGCCTCAGCTGCGTCATCATGACGGCGAGCAACGCCGAGACGTTCCTCAGAGGCGAGTGGGCATCTCCCGAACTTCTGTACTACGTTTCCAAGGTCTGCAGCCTCGTCAACGGCAGGCTGTCGGACCGCACGATGAAGAGGGAATTCGATCAGGGAATCCTCGAGTGTGTGGCCTCGATGGCCATGACGGGATGGAACGTGGGGAGATACGATCACTGGCATCTCCATATGAAGGGTCTCAAGCAGCTTATCGAACTAGAGGGGGGCATGAAGAGGGAATGGGGCTATCTCCTGAACAAAATCAGAAGGCAAGTGATCGTCCGCGCATGGAGTGAAACTTTTACTGACGCCTCAGTTGCAGGGCCGACGTGCAAGGGGCTGCCCACCTAGGTCTCCTGCCATATCTCGACTATCCCAGGTTTTTTGAGGCTCCAACGAACGCGTTGCCTTACCAGCTGCGCTCACGAATCGTCGAAGAAGTATCCGCAGTTCTTACCCCTTGCAGAATGCAGCTGTATCTCGTTAATGCAATCGCATCCGCATCTCTTTTTGCCGGTATCCTGCGGATGGCTTTTGTGAGCCCCAACAGGGAGGTGTTGCTTCATCCCGAGGCCTTCATTGAGGAGTGGCTATGGTGCGAGTACCAGCTTGTCTGGTGCTCCGGGCCTCTACGCTCCGACTGCGAAAACACCACACTTGGAGAGCCCGATGAGCTAACCACCGCCGCGGACCTGGGCAGCTCAGACGCGGTCGCGGCGGCCATGGTACGAAACCTGCACACGATAAAGCCCATTCCATCCCCAGCAGACAACCTCCTGGAGCCAGCGCTGCGTACTGCTGCGCTCGTTTACCTCGAGATTCTGGTCCCAGACGAGCCGCGCAACCCGATGTCTCACGCGGTACCCCTAAACCTCCTTTCCGCCTCGGTACGCAAGATCGTACAGAAACTACAAGAACGACAGTCACGAAAGGGACGACCCTGGGAAGATGATGACGACGACGATGAAGACAACGATGGTCTGCCTCACACAGACGCTCTCCGGCCGATAATGATATGGGTGTGTCTGGTGGGATCCGTAGTCTCGAAGCTCTGCGAGATGGACTTGGTCACGATGGGTATCGTATTCGACCGCGGCTGCTACGGACAGTGTCTTTCGATGCTCGTCGGTCCTGAACCAGAGCACGTCGACCTCCTCCCCGAACAAGATCTTGCTCTATGCAGACTCCTAGATGCGAGAGGCATGCGCCTCAGACAGCAAGACGAGCGGGTTCTCCTCAAAGATCTCCTGAGAGAGCATGCGTACGGGGTACCCCTGTTGGATTTGGCATACGTCTAAACCAACATGTACACAGCATATGGGGTGTCAAAAGTGGCTACGAGCCCTGATGTGGCGTCAGGGGGTTACGGGAAGGGGGAAGGGAATCCGGGCATACAGGACGGCGTTCTCCAGGCGTTTCACAGCACAGGTTTCTCTCTCCTTGCAAAGTAGAATAATGAAATGGGGAAGAATATATGATGACACGTGTAATGGGTACTCTTTCCGTGCAAAGTCTAGACTATCCAGGAGGAAGGTTCCATGTCGAAAAAAGACAGCGGTTCGAACTGTGCCGCCAAATGGGTGCATAATCTGGGAATTCGCGCCGCGTTCTGGCAGGGCGGCAGGCATGCTGCAGCCAGCCCACACACCCCCTCCCCCTCCCCCCTCTGCCTACCTACCGTACCTACTACCTCCCCCTGAGGGGTTCACTAATGCATGTCCGGCCCTGTCAATGTCTGTGCGGGCCCTATAAGGTTGCAACCCCCGACATCCGTCGGTCGTGTTCCTCCAAAACCGGACATGGGGTCCCGGCATGAAGAAAAGACGAACAAAAAGCCGCTTATCAAGCCAGGTTCGACAAAGCTGGCAGTCGAAATGTCGCTGCCTTGAGTGTTTGTGACTTTTTTTTCTTTTTTTTTTTTGGAGGTCGGTGGCTGTCCGGACTATCTATATCGCTACCATTGATTTCAGTGGGAACAACTACTTTTACCCCTTATCCCCCCCGCCTCATGTTATAGATGTCCGCCCACTGCAATGTTGTTACCCATAGTATGAGAAATGGCAGTCGCAGGTATTGTTGTGTCTCATCTCCGTGCAGCAAAATCATTCACTATGCGAGAGAGAGGGTGTGTGAGGGAGAGAAAAGGGAGAAAGGGGACAAGATGGTGGTTCCATGGTTTGGGCTGTCTGGATTTCGCAAGCAGGCAACTTTAATTGGACGTTTGGAGAGAGGTGGTGATGGCTACTCGTCATGATGGCTACTGACGAATCAGATGCGGTGTGTGGTTAGAATCGGGCAACCAACCACAACCACTCCGAAGGAAATGGTTGGCGAATACGGCATCTAATGTTATATCTTGCTCAAAATAAAAAACCCCCAGATTAGAGGATTCAAAGTCTTGCCAGAAGTCGCAAAGTTTAACGAAAAAGAAGGAGAGACCAGAGAGATTTGGGGGTCAGAGCTGCTGTCCTTTGCTCCATGGGTGTTAGGCGAATTTGGTGGGGGGAAAGACAGGGCGGGGGAGCTCATGGGAGGTATGCTTCACCCCCGGTGCGGTTATAAGCGCTGGTCAGTGGCCCTTCCCGCCACGCCCCGAGGGCCCGGTAATCAGTTGGCAGACCGCTCTGCGTCTCTGCGGGTACGGTTCGAACCCCCGGCTCCTGCGGCCCATATGGCCTGGGGTGGTCGGTTCTCTGGTGGGTCCCCGAAGAGGAAGCCGTTGTAGGGGAAGAGGGAAGAGAAGAGCCAAGACAGCTTCCTCATGGCGATGCTGGGCCTCGAAGGATCGTGCGGTGGGATGGGATGGGGTTCATTTGTCGGGACGGCGATCATCTGTTCCCACATGTTCTCGTCCTGATGTAGCGGGCTTGTATGATCGCAGAGACTTGCGCAATGGAACTACAAAGAGTTTTGCAGGTTGATAGACCAGTTCCTTCAAAGTGGAAGGGTTTAGGTAGTTGTGTAGTTGCTGTTGGTCTAGACCGCCAAAGTCACTCTGCTAGTTCTCACTGTGATGTCTGTATACGTGCATTGCAAGGCAAACCACAACAACAAAAGACTTTCAAGTAGAGTTTCCAAAGATCGATTCTTGTTAATTACACTAGTAGCCTTATTGGACTTGCATATTCAACCTAGCCACGAGATGACTGCGCCTCGCTTGTCTTGGCTCCTCATGCATGCGGGATGTAGATATGCTGCCGGTGTACTGGCGCTAGCGATGGAACCAACAACATCATGACTGATAATACTTGCCCATTCTGAACGTTTGCAATTGCCCCTGTTCTCGGCGTGGTCTCGTGCCATTTAGAATACGGGATGTTCAGCTGCCATTTCCGGAAGCATTTCCTGAACATCGTTGCAGGTTAGAACTAGGCATGCACAAGCAAATGGTGGGCGATGCCTTGGAGCACTCTAGGGTGTGCCTGCCTAGAGCTATTGTTAGAAGCAGAATCGAGATGTCTGGAAGATGTACTTTTTATAAGCTGCAATCATCTGAGATGTTACACTAAATTATTGAGGCGATCTGTCATTACTTTTGTGCTACGGATTTTGGAGTTTAGTTACCAATCCGGGAAGGCGGCCGATATGTCAATGTTAGACGCGCGGCTGTCGCTCAACACGTCGACCTACATACACCCGCCAGCCCAGACCTCTTCTTCTGGTGGATCTGGTCTCGTATACTTTATTACTGACGTTTTAGGCTCGCCACATCACACCATCATGCATGCAACTCGACGGCGAAGGTGACTTGCGCCAAGGAACATTCCCTCCTTCGACAGGAATACTCGGGCATATATGTAGCCGAACACGACAAATATCATCAAGCTGTCTATGTATTCTCGGCCAGTCCCGAAAGGCACCCCGCTTCCCGAACTCTACCCACGACGTTGCCTATTCCTCCTCGCCCGCCTACAAGTGGGGTTTATCTCCCCGGTCCGGGGAGGCCAGAGGTATTCTCGGGCTAACATCCCGCCTTTACGGCCGTACAGTCTACTCACTAACCATAATGATTGCCCCGAATCTCGTACAAATCACTCCTAGCTCGCGGAAGTCATTCCGTTGCGGGATCCTCGAAATGCAGGTAGGAGGCCCAGCTGCCGTTTCAGGGCCGAACCCCTGCTCGAAATTCTAGGCAGACACATTTTCGCTACCCACGCATTCCCATTGGCACGATCCACCTTCCAACGTACAACACCAGTCTTCTCCCCTCACTCAAGACAGTTGTGTTGTTGATGGCTGGGATCCTGGTCTACCACCACGACGTACTAACTGAGCTTCTAGGACGGCCATCTGCATCTCTCCCATTGGGTGTTATGCTTAGGAATCATCATCATCGCCATGTATCCAACACATCTGGCTAAACACACTTCTACCGCCTAACAAGATGAAAATTCCTTCCTCAGAATCCTTAGAAGCCTGCTTGGTACGATCTCTTAGAGGGTTTTTTGTCCGCGTTGCTGCCGTCGCTGCGCCACGTGTTTGGTGGAGGAATCAAAAATCGCCGACAATGTCGCCGAAGGCACATTTTGACAATGACTCAACCAAGACGAGAACTGTTATTCATGGTTCAGTGGCTCTGATGAGAATGGACCCAGGTCGCCAGCTATTGCCCCTGCCTGACTCACTGCGAGAGCCCTATCGGAGGAAACAGCAGCTCAGTTCATGGCCATAGGAACGCATCAGTCGGGGCCACATCCAACGCATGAAGGATTATGCAATTCAAGGGATCCAAGATATATTGGAGGTTACCTTACGCAGCCGACGTAGTGTTATGCGATAGGGTGTTGGGATCGGAAGCAACATGACATCAGGGCTATACATCAGATCAAGGCCTCCAACGCTTTCGTATGCCAGGTTGCGGTTATTGATTTACCGTTGACATCTTCTGGCTCAATCTTGTGATGGTTCTAAGATAACGATGACGGCAAGCATTTTAAGAAGCACATGGAAACCGCAGCACAGCGTGATTCTGAACTCCTTAATGAATAGGGGACTAGAACATAACAGCAACATCAAAACTTGAAGCCGGTAATCCTTTCACACGAGTCCACCGAGACATGTATCCGGGAGTAAGTCAACTATCAAAGGCCAAAGTATTGCTTCCACTTAAATCAGTGCAGATCAAAGTATTGTAGGTCGTTAGTTTGACGACCGTTTTGTGAACATGAGCAGACGAAGCATGAGTCTCCCATATTCTGTCGGGAAGCCATGAAAAAAGTGTAATATTAACACTCGAACTAATGCCACCGAGCAAGTTGAGTCAAATCTAATAAATTACACAGAAAAGATGAAAAACCTCTAGTTTCTTGTGAACTATGTGAAGTCAAGCAGATAGCTTCTAATCTGTTACTTAGGCAACGTTGGTCGGGTCCTCCTCTATAGTAAGGGTTCATTGGCAACCTCATATCGGTCCACCAAGCTAGGCCTCCTCCCCTCGTATCATGGAACACATAACCCGGGTTTCTTTGACCTAAATTCCATTCTGAAATGACCGCACCAAATTTAACTCTAGCTCTTTCCGCGCGAAATTGGGTTATAAATGCGTTTTGCACAGGAAGGGTCAATTTGTTAAGTTGCGAAAACGCCGGTGTCGTCAATGTACCGTATGTCGAACTAGCCTTGGATTGACATAGACCAGGCCTCGAGCCCCTAGAAATTGAAGGGGTGTAAGCATTTGGTGGTGACCCGCAGCGAAGACATCAGTATCTCTCGTTGAACATGAATCAAGTAAATGCAAACCCAGGCACGTTGTAACGTAAGATTGATTGACATGGGAGACAAGCAATAGGGGGTCGTAAGCTGGCTGCACTTATCAACACTATCTTCGTGCTTATTCAATGAGGCTTATCCAGAAAAGGGCCAGTCCAAGCTAAGTGTGACGTACCCACGGCCGGAGGGAAGCGCCAAGAATCCGCGCCGGGCGGTGGCGTATTGCCTACTACGGAAAGTGGGGAAGTCATCAACGGCCGACGACAGGGGGGTTCGATTGACGTCTGCCGCCAATGAGTCCCCCCCTTGTCCCGGGGTGTGGCAGACGCACCTGGGACGAGCCGGCTGTGGGGCATAATTCGCTCTAGGGGCTCATGCTAAAGGTCAAGCTTTCGTGCGCTAATGTTGTGTTAATTTTGTCTGTTTTGGCCGAATCAGGCTGCCAGAGACGACGAGTGAAATTTGATACGAACTTAACCTGGAAGCGGACGATTGTGTGAAATTAGCGTGGCAAACAAAATGTGCTGTCGGGGTCCGTGATGAGCTGTGCCATAGGTCTTCCTGATGATAATTGATGTGCCGGTGCAATATCCACGAGCTTCTCCGGCTCATATTCTTACGTTCCTGCAATCTAATTTGTCCAGGCTTACGCCCCCTTTTCACAACCCCTTGTATACAGGCAAAGATTCATGGATAGCCAGTTTCCCAAGCCAGCAGTGCCAGGCTCAACGATGTTACGAGATGAAGAGGTACGAGCACCTTTTTTTTACTTATTTTTATTTTATTTTATGCAGCTCTCTGGACCGAGTTAATCCAGCACGGTGATGCGATAGATTGACGGAGGTAATGTGTGGTGTGAAGGGCTCAGCCACCAAAACGTGACAGGACGCCAATGGAGATGATTTTTCTATACACGGAATCGCCGACCTAACTTCCCAGCAGATTAAACCGTCTCTAAACAGTACTTGAATGTACTGGAAGTCGCCAACCATTGTTGAGTCGATGTTGTATGTCTGGGCGAGAAAGAAGCTGTATGTATGTTGTCGACGTCAGATTACCCTTGTCTTTTGGATCAATATGAAATTTCTTAGCTGCAATGTTTTTCTACCCGAAATCCTTCGATTGATTATTTTGAAACTCCTAGAGAAGGTGAAGGAAGCCCGGTTGGTATGTAGTCAACCATGTGCCTTCATATAGCAATGGCGGACTGGCGGGCTTTCACAGGTTTCTCCGTTGGTTGTCGACAATTTCATAGTATAACCTAAAAACCGATACCCTTAAAATTCATTGAGCCCTAGAAAAGCGATTTTGATAGGTTTGTTACGTTTTGAGGTCAATAGTTGCTTGCCATCGACGAATTCTGTTTAAGAAATCAGAGAACCATAATGCATTTAACTGTTTCATTTCCAATGAGATTAGTCGGTTTCGGACGCCATTTTGCAGAGGTAACCAATACTTGTTCATTTATATGTTTTTTTCAGCGACAAACAATGGATATGCCAAGCTGCAAAGACTGAGATGCATGGATGGTTGGAGGGTGTTGAGCATTCAAACCAGCTGAGAAGAATAACTCATCTGCCTAGCAAGCCTTTCAATTGTCATGTTGTACATGAAAGCCGTTCATGTCATCACCGTATTGCTATAAACGCAGCTTGAAAGAGATGAGCTTTTTTATCCACGAATGGTCCTTAGCCCTCGTGAAATTTTGCCTCATCGGATTTCAAACACGTCTTCCGCAAATTCAATTCTTAAATTCAAACTGCAAAAGCATGCCACCTAAAGAGAAAGAACGGGACGATAACTGTTGAAAGAGCTCAGATGCTTCCAATGCTGCCTGGCTATGCGCCTGTGGACTGCTTACAAACGTTGAAAGTCAGCATGCGCCCCGCATGAGCTCATCAACCATCTGCAGGCGTCTGACATAAACTTCTCCCTATCCACCTTCACCTCACAGTACAGTACTTGATTCACTCTACTGGACCAGGAAATTCAAACTATGAAAATCACACCCATGCCCTGGTCATCAACACCCATTGACGTCTTTTCCTAGCCTCACCACACCCATCAATCCTAACCACAACCGCCAACCATCATGTCCGAACCCCCAGTCCCCCGGCTCTACTTCGCCTACGGCTCCAACCTTTCCCCAACCCAAATGGCCCTCCGCTGTCCGTCTTCCGAACCGATCGGTCTCGCTCACCTCCCGGGGTACAACTTCATCATCAACGACCGACACTACGCCAACATCGTCCCGAGTCCGGGCCCCGCCGACCCCACCGACCCGGGCGTCTACGGCGTCGTCTACACTCTACCACCCGAAGACGAGGCCGCGCTAGACAGATGCGAAGGCGTACCCCACGCCTACCAGAAGCAAACTCTCGCCGTCGATTTGTCGGCTGTCGCCGACTTCGAGTCCGCACCGGAGCCGGCTGCCCCGCACGCGTCGGAATCCGCTGCAGATCCCACCACGGCAGCAGCAGCACCCCCGCTCCCCAAGGAAAAGAAAACGGTCAACGCACTCATCTACATCGACGGAGCCAGACAGACCCCGTCAACGCCTTACCCCGAATACATCGACCGCATGAACCGCGGCGTCCAGGAGGCGTCGTCCCGCTTCGGTCTGCCCGCATCGTACGTGGACGAGGTCATCCGGAAGTGGATACCAGCGTCAAATGCCCCCATCGTCGATGCGGGTGCCATCGAGGATCCCTTTCTGAGCAACGCTTGAGAGTTGTACCGGTTGTCGTGGGGAACAAATGCAGGAGGGCATGAATCGGACGCTGACCATCCGGTCGGGTCTCGATCTTTCTGCTCCATAATGTAGAAACTGCTCAAATCGTGAGCACGCCAAAAAAAGACCGAACCCCCCCCCCTACTCATACTCCGAATTAAACACATGGACATGATGCTCAAACGTGCAAACGACGCTCTGGAAACATACGACCTCTTGGCGCTCACCACGAGCCCATGCAGACCGAGACCTTCCTCCAGGGGTGAGCCCTCCACCGAACGCGAGACAGCAGCTGGAACCGGATCCCGTTTGGGGCTAACCCGCTTTCTGGAGGGGTCTCGGCCATCATCAGACGAAGAACTGCACTGCAGAAACAGTTAGAGTGGAAACGCGTAGAACCAAGAATAGAAGCAGATCATGAACAGGGGTTCATGGAGAATGGCGAACTGAACTGGGATAAGAAAAATCTTCTGAATTAGCCAATTATGTTGGCTCTAGGTATCTAAACTGGCAGCTGTGTCCGTTTCACCTTCTTCTTCGTCGTCTTTCGGCGCTATGCCCGCTGAGTGCTGCGCAAGTAATTCACGCTCCCCTCCTCTTGGAAAAGAAAGAAATAGGAAAAGTAAACGCCATGCTGATGCTCAGCTATGCCCTCCATTTTTGTAGTGAATTCCAACGCCGTCGCAATGCAATGCTAATGTATAATCGTAAACCCATTAAATCCTGAAATGATCAAAACAGTAGGCTGGAACCAGTGATAAATGCAGCGCCTGCTGCGAAGAGTGATGCGGCCATGGGGCCTAGTGAGGGCGCCGCGCTGGCACTGCCGCCGCCACGGGCAATTCCGGCAGTAGCAGCAACGGGGTTGGCGACGGCAACGGCGGACGGAACCGAGCCGCTGCCCTTGCCGATCTCTAACACGTTCGAGCTCGTGGCGTTGTACTTTGTCTGGGCAAGCGAGATCTCGTTGTTGTCCAGGTCGTAGACGACGTAGGCGGATCTCAAGAAGGTGTCGCCCAGAACGTTTGTGCCGTCGCCGGCGGGGGCAATGCCAAATAGGCAGGCCTCAACGCCGTTAGAGAAGGAGATGCGCTTGCCGGTGATGGGAACCAAATCCATGACCAGCTCGTCCATGGGTACCGTGATAACGGGGTCCGAGAAGGTAAAGGTCATGTTGCCGGAATTAGCAGCAGAGCACGGGATGAAAGCGACACCCTCGTCTTGCTGGTAGACAGCGCCCACCATGGAGAAAATGGTCGTTACCAGGTCATCGGGGAGGTATGTCAGCGAAGATCCAGAGTCGAGGAGGACGGCAAGCGCCATATTCTCGCTTAGCGTCTTGGAGCCCAGCGTCACTTTCGTGAGGGTGATGAGAAACTCGGAAAAGACATTGGACTGCTTCTGAACGGGAATCGTCTTGAGCTCGCCCACGTAGTGATCCGTGTCGACGCCTCCGAAAAGAATGCTGCCCGTGCTGGCGCTGAGATCGTTCAAGTACAAGCTGTAAGCATTGGATTTGATGAGCCCCTGTGCCACCATCTTGGCAGGTAGGTTGTCGTAGGGCTGAAGACCAGCGCGTCCGACTTGCACTTCGTTGACCCTGTAGCCCACACCCAAGATTCCCTGCGCGGAAGAGCTCGTGTAGCCGATACCGAACTGGAAGTCGGTAAGAGTTGACTTGCCGATGGAGAAGGTGTCGGTCGCGTAGTCGCCCGAGGCGCCGGATCCGTCGACGTATGAGATGTTAAACCAGCTGCCCACGTAGTTGTATGTCGAGGAAGAGTTGGCGCTGTAGGTGCCGGATACTGCGCATGGTGCGTTTTGTCCCTTGCATAGGTTGGAGCTGGCGGAGTTGACCCAGAGGTCGCTGCTGCCAGTGTCTAGGTGAAATCTCATCGGTTGCGCGGGTGTTCCGAGGGAACCATTAACAAAGTAGAGTGTTTCCTGAGCCTGTCAGTGACCGACATCTACATCACCAAGCGGAAGTAGACCTACCAAGTTGTCCAATGTGGCTTGCACCGTCCCTCGCTTTCTGAGCATATCCTTCTTGTTGCGGTTGTAGGGTATCGTCGTTCTGTGCAAATCTAGGCCAACCACCTTGGGCGCATCTAATTCATTCTTCCTCAAAACGAGTCCCTCCGTCGATAGCAACGAGGCCGCTAGGGCGATTAATGTTGTTGACCTCATCTTTTCCCTTTATGTTGTATACGTTTTCTTTTCGTAGGGCTGATTTGAACACGAAGGTCCAGATTGCCTGACCTACACAGGGGTGGGCCGGCCAGTATATAGCAAAGTGGGAAAAAGGATGACGGGTTTTCTGTCGTACTATGAAGTCATTGACGGCGGCACTAAGACAGTAAAAAGGAAGTTGCAAATGCAATGTTCGGCTTTCGATTCGGTCGCGGACCGGCACACGGCGGTGGGGAGAGGATTCGTCACCCACAATGGTGGCGGAGCTGCTTGTGATGATGGAGGCTTGGTCTTTTTGGGGGGCGAACTGTCACCGACCCAGACTAAGAGAGCGGAAGGAAAGGCACTGCATAAGCAGGGGGAAATCCGGCGATCCGGGGAATTTTAGTGATCGCCACCGATGAGGATTGAGTACCGTTAGTAAGGTCGGTAGAACAGAAGAAGGTTGGACGAGAAGGATGGTGCAACTGGGACATGAGATGCAGTTCCCCTATGTATCAAAGTTAAAATTCGGGGCCCAGTTCTTGGAATAGCAACAGCGCGGGCCATGCGAAAAGGCGAGAGCTGACACTGCCAAGCGCAGCATCTTGTCTAAAAGGTCTCACTTAGTCGCAGAATTGTCCATCGTCGTCATGCTCAGCGGGGCATCGGACGGTGCGCAGGCAGGGTCCGGGGTCGTGTATGTTGGGACGATGCCGGGAATGGTTGTGAAGCCACAGCAGTTGAAGACTGAGCGGAGGCGTCCACCTTAGTCACGCTTACACCGTGACACCAGCTTAAAGAAAACCTCTCTATTGGGAGGGCAGTATTTTGCCGGACGGAGCAGCGAATTAGTGCAGAGAGGCAGGGCAAGCAGGGGGAAAGCCCGAGAGGCTCCAGCTAAGATAACTGGGACGACCCCAGCGTCAACTTTTTCAAAGTACTGAGTTATCCCCTTTGGGGTTCGTGCGGCCGGGGCCATCGGGGGACGTTGGCAACGGAAGCTAGTCTGCATGTCAGGCGGAGCAGACGCGTGGACGCTGTGAAGTGGGAGGCCACGGGCTGGGCAGGAGAGCAATTCTGCAGTGCTTCCAAGTGCAGAAATCTGCAATAAGGAGAGAGGGAGAGAGAGAGCGAGAATACTGTTGTCTATGTTGCTTGTGCGGGCGTGAGGTTGCAGATGGCAGGGATGATGAAACGAGAGCACGATGGGGGGACCCCCCAAGCAGTATCTGACACGACTACGCAGAACATCAGACATCTCTGGAACCAACGGCACCAGCGCAGAGGGCGCCAGCGAGCACTCGCTTGCTGCGGCTTCTGCTGTGCTGTAGACTCCGGGTCCTAAGCAGGCGGGGGCGGCCTGTCAATATCTAGCTCAGCCATTGACACTGACGAACGGCGACGACCACCAACGATGGGAAAAAGCATGTAAGCACCCAAATTTGGTGTCACACGCTTACAGGTTGATGCCGCCAGAGCCGCACCAGCGTCACCTAAATGGCTGCGCAGAACCCCGTTCGCGGCCCCGGACGTCGGAAAAGGTGGCATTTTTCTTGCTCGTTGATTGCGCAATGAAGCTGTGTGCGTGTTAATCGCAAGCCGACAGAGCCGGTGTCCGTCGTCTGTTGCGGCTTGCCACGCACACGCAGCCCGGAAGCACCGAAGACGAAGAAGAACTGAAAGGGGGAAAAGAGTAATTAGGAAGAACAGGACAACAGGCCAGTCGTCATCCACCAGACTACCTTCATCCAAACCCCCCTCATCATTGATGCCGAGATCCGACGGCCGGGATGTGGCGTCGTCCGGGCCCCAGTGTGCCCCAACTCCCGGCGCTAGAAGAGGTATAGAGGGATCCAGTCAGATACCTAGTGCGCTGCGATCTAGCGATGACGAGGCGACGGGCTTGGCTATAATTTCTGTTCCTCGTGTTGTCGTATTTTCATGACCAAACAAAGTGGACAAAATCCGAGGAATGATTCACAAATATTCGACTTGAAGCTGATGACCCCCGCAACGCACAACACACCGAATAAGTATCCTCGCAGGTCGTGCAGACTCCTGACTCGTCAAACGATTGTGTTTGCTGCCCCCCCTTGAAGGTACGGGGGTTGTCTGACAGGAAGATCTTCCAAAAAAGGAACCTTTCGCAACGGATTCGATTAAGGAATTTCTCCATCCACTTGGTCCGTGCATCTGCTCTTGTCCGAACAAGTCATCAATTCACGTGACCCAGTAGTTGGCCGGATTAACCTCTCCCGAACCCGAATCACGGAAACCAGGAACTGATCGTTCCTTCCTCATCGTCGTCGCCGCGAACCAATCACAGCATCACTCCAAGACATGTAAGCCACGCGTTGCACTCGCCCGACGGCTGAACTTGTCACCTACATAATATTCGGACGTGGATTACGCCGCTGTACAATCTGCGCCTGTTGTTGGACTAGAGTACAAGAGCCAAGAGGTGCTATGCAGCCTTGATTGGCCGCCACAGGATGAATCCTCCAGCAACATACACTACGTAGCAGTAAAGAATGAACAGAAATGGCACGAATGACAGCCTCGCTGCGCGTGCGTTTAGGCAGCCAACCCGAGCACCGCAGCTCTGGCTGAAGGCCTCCCCGTAAGCGTAGATATAAAGTATGTGACGTGACAAGCACAGCCGCGAAAAAAAGGCAACCTGTGCCGTTCCTCACTCCCCTATCAGATCAATCAGATTACCCTCTGTCGACTGCCCGTCGTGAATCCCACTGCATTTTGCAGCACAGCCGCCAAGATGGACGTCGACTACATCTCTTTAGATCTCTGGTACGCGACCTGATAGATCCCACATGGGGCCCCTCCTGACCAAACTATGCTGACCTCTTCCTCCAGCCCGGCCTACTCCGTAAGCAAACCCCTCTCCAAAATGTGTCTAGCGCTGCGTAGCCGTGTGCCATGAAAACCCGGCTCACCCTCCGCAGTCCTTCTTCGGAGCCATGGGGTGCGCGGTGGCCATCATCTTCACCGTCTTCGGCGCCGCCTACGGCACGGCCAAATCCTCCTCCGCCATCTTCCACTGCGGCGTCCTCCGTCCGGAACGCCTGATGCAAAACATCATCTGCCCCATCATGGCGCAGATCCTCTCTATTTACGGTCTCGTCGTCGCCGTCATCATCTCCGGTCAGCTCAATAAACAAGGACTGGCCTTGCATAACGGCTTCCTCTTCCTGGCTGCCGGTCTCAGTGTCGGTTTGTGCGGTCTCGCTGCTGGCTTCGCCATCGGTGTCATTGGGGATTCGGGAGGTAAGTCTCCTCGCTCTTCTTCACTTGCTATGTTGTCTCGAGCTGTGCCATGGGTCGAGGTCTGGTTGTTAATGCACCCTAGTGAGGGCCAGCACCCAGCAGCCCCGTCTCTACGTCGGCATGATTCTTATTCTCATTTTTGCTGAGGTCCTGGGTCTCTACGGCACCATCATTGGCATTATGTTGGTGTCGAATGCAGTCTCCAATTGCGCAATTTGAGGGATCGACAGTACGTCGGACTACACGAATTCTAGCCCTCGCACACAAATAATAGCGTTTCAGGAGGCCGAGGATAACGGCCTGAAACATGCGGATTTTCATGGACTAATGGAACTGAATTAACGCCGGGTATTGCAGCCATTCCGCGCCTGCTCATGCAAGGGTACCGTACATGTACAAAAGATATGCATCTAATAGGCCCCATCTAAATCTTCCATTCATTCAGGTTATCCTGCGGCGTAACAAACGGCTCATTGATCCTCTTGATGGCGAATTCGCTGCAAAGAATACTACAGATCGTTAGAAAAGAAATTATAAAAAAAGGTCGATAAAGTCAAGACAAAAACTTACCACGCAGACGCCACCAACGAATCCAACTCTGTAATCATGGCCTCCCGCTTGGTCCCGCTGACCAGTCCCTTGCTAATTTGAACTTGAAGCTCGCGGATTCTCTTACCCGTGCCCACGCCAGCCTGTTCAAGCACCCTCTTGCCCAGACAATCGGAATGGAACGAGTGCTGACAAGGGAATACGAAAAATTGCCGGCTGAGTAGTGGCAACCCGCAAACATAGCACTTCTCGCCCGGCTCGACAATTGCATATCGGTGGTCCAGCGCAGCAATATCGATCTTGATATTAGTCGCCGTCTGAGAAGATTCGTCCATCTCCTTCTTCAGCGTGTCAATGTTGCGGCTGTAGTCCTCTAGCGCCGTGCAAATCTCCTCCTTGAAGTCGTCGATGACCACGAAATCAGGGAAGAAGGGAATAAGGTCCTCGATCTTGAGCAGCTCACATCGCTTGAGGAAGTCGATGGCCGTCTTGATGCCGTTTGACTGCGAAATCACCTTGCGGGCTACAGCGAGCCACAGCTTCTTCCGCAGAGGTGAGTCATTCATGGGCCGATCTGCAATGACCGATGCCAAGTCTACTTCGTTGTGCGACAGAGCCAAGTCGACGGCCTGCAGGTACTGGCCCATGCTGGTGTAGATGTGAACGCAGGAAAGCGTCCTGTGGTGCTGAATGCACAAACGGAGAGCAAAGTCCGGGTCGTAGCTTGGCTCAACCCCCTGCGACTCGAGATACGACAACAGGCCTGCCTCATCCTTGGAATTGTGTGATGCGTATATGGAGATAAGTGTGTTGTGTACTGCGGAATCCTTCGAATTGAGCTGGTTGATAACGTACTGGAGGTACCGAATAGCCTGATTCTGCAGCAAGCTACCCTCAAAGTTGCGGTTGTACTCAAGCAGCGCCGGAATCAACTTCCGAGGCTTCAGGTCCGAATGGCGCATAAGTATCTCAACCAGGTCCGAAGCGACGTGTGTCAAAAGAACGGTGCTGTACCTGTAGAACACCTCTGGGTCGGTCTGCTTCTTCAGCACCTTCAGCACCTCGTCCCACCTCTCACGCTGGACCCAGTACGAAAGAACGTAGTTGTAGTCGTTGACAGCGTTGGCAAAATGCAGCAGCTCCTGCTCGCGGCCGTGGCTGCTAATGACATCGTATACTGTCCGTCGGTCGAGATCGGACTTGTACTTGTTGACGAACTCTTGGAACTCGCCCTGGACAGCTTGCAGCTGCTCCTTTGACTGTGCTGGGTTTAGCCCATCCGCCAACTCGGCCTGTGTGATAATTGTGTCGTCCAACGAGTTGAGCTTCGCCATAAAAATCTCTACCAACCAACTAGCAATCATGATCCTCTGCATTATAGCAGCCTTCTTCAGAGTAGCCAACTTGGCCAAAAGGTATTTCCGTAAAGCATCGGGCTCGGCATTGTCGATAAAGGTCAGCGCTACCTCTTCGAACGGCTTGTTGCTCCGGCCGTATACTGCTGCCGCCTCCATGTACTGCTTCTTTTTGACGAGATAGTCGCCGTATGACGTGGCCACGGTTTCCCTCTGAACGGGTGTTTTAGCGTGCTGCAGAGCCGAGTCGAACTGTTGCAGTCTGAGCATAATCTGCCAGATATTTCGGTCCTCGTCGTTAACGACGACCTCAAAGATTTCTTGGCCGGTGAACAACCAAAATGTATTCTTTTGTAAGTCAACACTCAGGCTCACTGCCTTTTGCCCAGGCTCCAAAACAATTTGGTCATAGACCACTTCCCCAGTCAAACGATTCGTGGCGACCACGCGGCCACCAATGAGGCTGACAATATGCCATTGCGTCAGCGCTATCGCTTCGATATAATCCCCTGCGTTGTTGCGTTTGCCTGGCCCGTCAGACAAGCCGAGCTGTGATCTTGGCAGCATGCTTGATTCGCTAAAAATCTTGCTGCCTTCTGCACTCGAAGCAAGTTGCCCGTGGAAAACTCCTTGTGCGGACAGCCAAGCATAGGCTCTCTCATGTGCTTCGTTCTCGTATGGATTCTGGTCGGGAGGGTCGGGCGAGACCACCAGCGCCGAAGCTGCTGTGGCGGACGAGCGCGACAGCTCGTGAATTGTAGGCTGCTCCGACTCGAAGAGCTTCGTGTAAATTGAACCTCCACTTTCGTGGCCACTGCCAACCTTTCCAGCTAGGTGGAAGAGCCGGCTATGCGTCGCAATCAGCACCCGGCGCATGTCTGGCCGACCCGGAAGCGTGTCCGCCCACAAGCCTGTAATCGGCCCATCAGGCAACTTGTGTAGATTCTTGAGCTTAATGTCTTTTTTGTAGAACTCTGAGGTTGTTTCGATAAAGGCCTCGTAAATATTGCCGTCGGAGGCGCCGAGAAGGATCTCGCGGGTCGAGGCCGTCGGGAGTGAGGGGTTCCAGGCAACACTCTCGATTGAGACGCCGCGGAGGCGGGCGAGGGTTTTCGGGTGCTTATGCTGGGAGTGAAGATAATAGTTCTCGCCGAGCGCCGTGCAGATTAGGAGATGAGAGGCTGTAGGGTCGAGAAACATACGGCGGATGACGCCGATTTCTGCGGGTTTCTTGGGCAGGTCGATGTCTGTTGTGGAAATCAGCCAGCCGCCTACGAGCACACGCACGCCATTGGCGACTCACCATCAATGTCCTCAGGCCTGTTCAGATCTATACGCAGGATGCGACCGTTGGAAAGAGCCAGGACAAGGACGTTGTTCGCGACCTGGGCGGCAACGAAATCGGCAGCGATGGAGAACTGCAGTTGAACTCGCTCGACAATGAACATGGGCAACGCGGCATCTTCCAGGTCGAGCACCGCGTTGCCGGCGGCGAAGCCGTCAGACGGATTGAGAGCCATGATCGGATACAGAGCGCGTTCATGCAGTCATCGTCGCTCGGGTTGGGCTTTGTCACGAGTGCTGGCGAGGTCGCCCGCTGCAAATGCGCATGGAATGCAGCTCGTCGGAGGCTGGTGTTGATGCCGATCCGTCGCTGTTGGTTAGTGGAGGATGACATAGACAAGGAGCTCGTCGGCCCCCACTGTAACTTGATAGCTGTGGTACGTACCTACCACGCCCGGCCGAGCTCCATATGTGCCTGAAGCGTCAGTGTCGTCGAGTTTGAGGCAAACATTCGGCTTTACGTCCCAAGACAGTGGGATTTCTAAAGTGAGACAGACATCGGCTAATATTGTTCATCCATTGACTAGCTAATCTGACATGATGCCTGACATGAGTTGCCAAGGTCTCATAATGCGCCATCGGTCTGTCGACAGAAGGTCCAGTTGACCGCCGTGATGCTTTTTTTAGCCCGCCTGAGCCAGCCCAACCCAAGGGGAATATGATACGTGAAAAGAAAAGAAAAGAAAAAAAAAATATGCTAGATAGAATCGCTGATATAAGCGGCCATCATCAGCCAGCATGAGATGCGATATATGCAAGACATCAGAATAAATCGTGCTCTGCCGAGTTGCTCGTCACTCGGCGAGAGAGAATTACTTCACCAAAACTGCTCCTCCTATCTTTTTCCAGACTCAGCTTTCAATATCCGCCCTTGGCTCACGGGGATTATCCTCGCCCTTGTGTCGGCTGTGGTTATCCTCTCTGGCTGTATCGTCCGTTTCTGACGCATCGTCAAAGGACCTTTGGAACACCCTCGGCGGCTGCGGCGTCACCACGCCAGGTGGCTTCCTTCCGACCAATACACGGGCCTTGATAATGAGTCCATGGGATTTGACAGGGTCCCTTGCCAGGCGGGCCAGCTCCTTGGCGACATTATGGCATGCGGTCTTGACCCGGTCTGGCTCCCAGCCCATGTACTTCGTCAACGGCCTCAGGCACTCGGCCTCCAGTCCGTCAATGCATGCAATCAGCCATAGCTTGCCTTCGTTTGCCTCCACGTTGATTGGAATCATGTGCTCCGTCAACTTGATGTCCGTAAATCCGGCATCAGTCAACAGCTTTGGGTTCATGTGCGCGACACCGCGTGCCCGGCCCGACTTGGTGCCCGCGATCGTAACGTCTCTTGCCAGTTCGTGGATCTCGGATGTTGGGGGGAATTCCGACAAAAACTTCTTGAAACCTTGCTGGTCATCCCAATCCAACAGCTCAATCCAACCGCCGGGACGGATGACTTTGAATGCCTCTTTGTAGATGAAGCTCCAGTCCGTAAAAGATGCCATCATATGTCGGAAATGCACAAGGTCGAACGAGTTGAGTTCGCGCTCCCACTCCAGCTCAGCATCGTCGACCTCGAAGAAGCAGTTCATCGGTATTGACGTGGGCGCAATGGCGGAAATATCCGTGCCAATGACCTCGCAGTTGGGGTACTCGTCCGCCATGCCTATCGCCCACTCGCCGATGCCCGTGCCGATGTCCAGTATCCTCTGAGGGCTGTCCAATGGCACCGTGCTCAACTTGCCATCGAAAACGTGTAGGTAAACTCGGTGAATCAAGCTCATGCGGCACATTTCCCACTCGTCGTTGGGGAGATGGTAGTGCGGGCCACAATACCGACGGCCGTTCTCCCACTGGTAATCTAATTCTCGCTCCATGAAAGACCGCGTCGATGACCTACAGTTCAGTCAGCCGGGCGTTCTTCAGAAAGTCTCTTGAGACAGGTTCCACTTACATGTCTTGATGATTCTGCATCATACTATAGGGCATCTCGGACCTATGCGACTCGCTCGGTCGGGGATAGTGACTGGGCGCGAACACGGAAAAGTTGTCATCGTCATCTTCGGCCTCCATCAGTTCTTCCTCCTGCGAATTCCAGTCGTCGTCGGCCTCGAGACCACCCTGCGACGTCTCTTCGGTGCCCATAATACTTGTCATCTCGGTGGCAGCACTCTCGCTCTCGCGCAAGCCGCTCGATAGGCCGTCGCTCGAGTGCGAGGCAAGTTCGTCCGTTGTCGACATGCTGGAAGATGCGCCCTGGGCGGGGTCTTGTCGTGTTCTGGTTCCCTTCCGCTTCTTGGTGCGCCGCTTCTTGGCCATGGGCGGCGGCCGATACCCGTGTGTCTGTGCCACCCGCGGGTCGAGATCCTATCGCAGTCAAAAGTGTCGGCGGCCCCGGAAAGTCATGTCATGGCCCACGAGGAGGAGGCAGAGGGGTATGTGCAAGCGGGCGGATGGACGGCCAGGCGTCGGTGGTGGTTTTTTTTTTAACGGAATAAAGGGGCGGGTGGGTTCGCCGAACTCCTAGAAGGGACAGGACTGCAGATGATTTCTAGTTTTGGACGAGTCGAAATATGAGCCGTCGGCTAGTTCGGTGGGTGGACAACGAGCGAAAGGAAGCTTTGTGCGGATGGCGTCGATGAACAAAGAAGAAGCAAAATGAACGGGTGCGGTAGGAGAAGAAGAATACAGTTGAGAGGGACAAGATCTAGAGAGAATCGGGGCCCGTTTTGAGGATAATCAGGCGACGACTTGTCAATCGGGTAGGATTGGAACTGAAGAGGAATGGCTGCTTCGGGGGAGACGTCCTAGTGTGGTGACTGATGGTGGCCAATGTACGAACATGCGGCGCAGGATCCTGACAGGTGCTGGGATAGGATGTGGGAACTAGTGAATGGATTAGGAGTAACGGACGGGGTTTGTATGTGGAGAGAGAGGGCCTTCAAGGGTCCCTTTTGGCTTTTCGGGTGTTGGACCGTGATGCGTAAAGGTGCCAAAGGCGGCAGAGGCCGTGACTCTGCCGTGGAGATCGTCGGGCTACTTCGGAAATCTGACTGGCTGATGAGGATATTTCAAAAAAGGAGATGAATGATGCCCATGTCAATAAACGGCCTCTTAAGGGGGGAAAGGGAAGGGAGGGGGAGAGAGCGTAGACATGAGGTATCATTTTCCAAATGCTGGGTTAGCTCTGCTTTTGTTCTGCGCAAACAAGGTCGCCAATATGCAAGGTCAATCTGCAGCGTCCAGGACATGTGCAAAAACGACAAAAAACAAACAAACAAGAAGCTGTCAGTACCACCATAACCAACACCAAGTAATCTTCCAAAAGGGCCCAACACATGCAATGCTTGCAGCATCACCCCCTCGCGTCTGGGCCTCTCAACTGCATGAGAGAACAGACGAGAGGGGATGCTGATTCGATTCTTTGCAAGCGGACGCAACGGGATAAAAAGCTACTGCAGTCTGATGCAGCTCCCCTATGCACGATGAAATCCTCATTCCATTTCCCAAGGCAGGGCCAGGGCCTAGCCTCAGCGCGTTCAGTGAGTGGTTCAGGGTCTCCCCCCGTGAGAGATGCGCTTTCAGTGTTCCAGCAAGCCCCGAACGACGGGGAAGCACCCCCGCCGTTGGGAGCCAGAACTGCTCCCTACCCGGCCCCGGAGTCTCCACCGCAGCATCTCTGGTTGGCCCGGCTGGCGGGGTGGCTGGGTCCCGTGTGTGGGTAAACCAAGTGCACCCCCGCCCACAGTCACTCGCTACCTGACAAACACCAGTCCTACAAACCACCAACAGCAATGACTTCAATGACCAGCCCTCCCTCACCAGCACACCCAACCCAGCCAGCACGAGGAAGGGCAAAATGATCTGTAGTTGCATGTGTATATGAAGTGTTCTTGAAGTCTAGATTGAGTCGGGGGGCGAATGGCTGTGTGACTGCGCGCGCCTTTAATGCCGTTGCAGAAATGGCACCCTGTCTGTTGGGTTCCAGTAGCGTCGCCGGGCGTCAAATACCGGGGTTTGACATTCTTTTCCTCTCCATCAGCGGAGATACAGCCACAGGCAGATTCGACAGGCGCGCCAGGGTTACCAACAGCGCACACACACCAGCAGGAGCAATAACAATAAGAAAAGAGCGAGTCTCTCCGCTGGTAAAATATTACCCCGTTCCTGCGTAGGAATACGACCCGTCTGCATGGTTCCCAAAATGAAGCGAATACCGCCCGCGTGGGCCGAGGCCCTTTCTGCCATCGTTCCCTTTCTAACCCCCCCCCCCCCCCCCATCTTGCTCTTCCCGCTTATGCTACGCCGCAGGAATTAGAAAAAGTAATTATGCTGCGCGCAATCAACAAGGGGGGAGGGCCCGAACGGACGGCCGGGTGTTCGGAAGGTCTGGATTTGTGTGGACGATCAGCAACGTGGTCTGGCCATGCCTTAAGAAGAAACAATGAAACACCTCACAGCACGAGGTAAAAGTCTCCGTGTGGCACAGCAGACTGCTCGCTGGTAGTACGAATACAGGCCGAGCAGCGCCAGCTCTTCCACCAAATCAAGCAGCCAGCCCTTCGTCGATTACCGGCTAACGACCTTGAATGCTACCTCGCTTCTGTGATTAGATATTCGCATGGAAACAACAAACACTGGCGCAAGAGGGATGACAGTGCAGGGATACATACAGGTGGACTCATTTGTTGTGAGGCGTCTCCACGACCTCGCATCACGAACCAAACAAAGCCTCGTAGCGGAACCGTTACCCATCATCATTATTATTAGAGTCTACACGCCCCGTCGCTTGCAAACGCCCCGGTCGAACGGGCACCGCCAGGAGGGGTTCGTGTGGGTGGCCAGATCCGCATTTGCACGGTCTTTGGTTGAGATGAAGTCATGGCTCACATGGCAAGATCGACTCTAGCCTTGCCAAACCTCTTCATCGACCTCAGTTCATCGACTGATATACCATTCGATGCCGGATTAACATCTGTTACAGCCGATCAATTGAACGGTGGGCAACCCTACTATGAATATCCCGCTTTAAACATCCTACTTCACACCTGTGAAGAGCTCTCTACCGGACGACGACTTTGATCGCAGTCGGTGCAATGAGTCCATTCTAACTGTCAATTGATCGGATAGTTTGAAATGATGTCCATTCACTCTCAATGAATAACTCCATAGGGTCCATATGCCTCCTTCCAGCGCCAAAATCACATGCAAATTGCAATGCAAACCTTGTGGCCCAGTCACAGGCTTCGCAAGTCTATAGATTTACATCATAATGAACCGGGCATTTCGTCGTCTGCCCTCATGCCTGTAGCCCATGTCTCCTCAGTCCATGTTAATGATACCTAAGCCGTAACGGCATGGCCATTTCCGTGGCCGTTGACCCCTTCAACAGCCTTTCTCTTTTTGTTCTCAGGAGTAAGAGGCGAGTCACCAATGGGCTCTTGGTCTCCAGACACGTCCAGACCTTGAACAACTGGGAAAGGTGTCAGAACCTGGCTGATATCACCCCACCATTCCTCACCGAACTGGCGGTACCAGTTGACAGTGATCTTCAGACCTTCGGCGAAGCTGGTCTTCTGGTCCCATCCGAGCTGACGCAGCTTAGTGCCGTCAACAGCGTAGCGATGATCGTTGAAGGGACGATCATGGGTATACTTGACCCAATTCTTGAACTCTTCCTTGGTGTTGTGAGGGATACCCATCTCCTTGAGGAGGTGACCGCAGAGATCAATGTTGGAGATTTCATCATAGGAGCCCACATTGTAGATCTGGCCCATCTGGCCCTTGTGCAGAATGGTATCAAAGGCATCGGCAGCGTCTCCTGCGAATAGATACCTCCGAGTGGGACTTCCGTCACCGTGGAGCACAACGGGCTGGCCCCGGTTCAGTAGGCAGGTGAACTTCGGAATGATTTCTGCGCATGTTAGTCAGGATTCTCAAGATTAAATTGTGCAACCTACTCTCGGGGAATTGGTGCGGTCCGTAGACGTTGTTACTGCGAACAATAATAACAGGAAGCTTGAAGCTCTTCTGGTACGATTGTACCAACATCTCCGCGGCGGCTTTGCTGGCGGCATAGGGATTGGTGGGGGCGAGGATGCTCGTCTCAAGGAGATCGTCATCGTCGTCGTTTACTTCTCCATAAACCTCGTCCGTTGAGATGTGAATAAATCGCTTAATATTGACGCTCTTGGCACTCTCCAAAAGTACGTGAGTGCCATAAACGTTGGTGTGTGTGAAGCCGTATGAGTTGCCAAAGCTCAAGTCGACGTGGGACTGGGCGGCAAAGTGGAAAATAGTATCGATGTTGTATCTCTTCAAGCAGTTGACGACTTCCGTAGGGTTGGTGATGTCGCCGTGGACGAAGGTGAAATTGCTCTTCTCATTCAGGACACGAGTGTTGTTGAGGGAGGAGCAGTAATCCAGCTTATCAAAGGACACGATGTTGTAGTGGTCAGGATAAGTGAGAGTGAGATGGCGAACCAGCCAGCATGCGCTGAGGCATTTGTTAGTCCAACAAATCGGGACGATGCCAAGACCGCGACTTACATGAAGCCAGCACCACCTGTAATCATGATGTTCTTGACATCGGGAAGAGGCTCAAACTTGGTGCTTCCCTTTAGGAGAGGTGCCTCCTTCCAGACACCAAAGTCCTCGAAGAACTTGCGGTGGCCGTTGAGGTAGGCTGGAAAAGTCTTAGTTGCCATTTCATTAACTGGCGTAGTATCACGACAAGACTTACTGCCTGGCTGCCGGCTCTGTCCGTTAAGTTGAGTCATTTTGACCGTTTGACCGTCGATACTGCCTCTCGTTTTGATTGCTCAATGAGTGCGGGAAACCGAAAGCTCTTTGGTGTCGGAAGCTCGAAGAAGGTTTGAGGTTCGGGGTAAGCTGCGAGTCAGTTCGGGCGATCTGTAGTACAAATACGCAGAGCGAACTGCCTTTTTTTCAAGGGAGGATGAAGGTGGCCCTAAACTCACTTTAAGCCAGATGCCCACACACAAGACACGCTCCTGTCGGGAATTAATCTTACCTCAGATATGGGATATCCCTATCACGTCTAGAGCGAGGCCATTGGCGATCTGTGCCCGGCCTGTCTCACACCACCCAAGTCACACTGAGGCAAGGGAGGTCCGGTGTGGGCCACGATGGTCGGTAGTCCACGGGATAGGTCCAAAAGGATCCGCTGACCTCAGCAAACCAGGCTGGTTTGCACTCTTTGCGAATAACGGAAGGGCGGCAATGGTATGAAAAAGAATTTAAGAGGCTCGACTGAGACTATTCCGTCACTGACAGCAGTTGGTTCGTATGGTTTGTGTTCTGTCGAGGGTATGCCCATGCGTGGAGATAGGTGGCACGGAGGGTTTTGAAGGCAAGAATCGGTAGCCCGGACACCTGCCACCTTTTTTAAGTACGCGGCACTGATAGGCCAAGTTCAGGTAGGTTCGGCAAGGTACGCAAGTACGACGTCGGTAGGTGGCCCAGTCGCGAGATGGTGTGTAGCCAGACTTCGCACCGCACCGAGATGAGTTGGATGGTGGACAAATAGATCAACAAGGGCCGAGATTATTGGCGTAAGCTGGATTGGGACAACGGAACAGGAGGACAGGTACAGCTCGGGTAGTTATGGATATAGAGCAGAAAGTACCGTGTCGAGCTGTGGGAAGTACTTGGCAATGATTTTGATGTCGCCCTTTGGTGTAGGTTTGGTGCTGCAGATAGTAAAATGGAGTTGTTCGGATACGGTTGCGTAGGCAGGGCAGGTACAAACAGGTCTGTCGTATGCAAAGCGACTAGGTGGCTTCCTTGCGATTACGACTGCGGCTACATTTGGGACGGGATTTCAATAGAGTGCAGACGCAAGCAAGTGCAAGTGCAGTTAGCTGCCGTGCAGCGTGGGTATTTGCCCCGAGTACTTGGGCACAAGAGCAATAGCAGCGGATCTAGCCTGAGTGGAAGGTGGGCGCGGCCCCCCAATAACTTACTGGTAGTAGTAGTGGGTGGATGGGGGATGATGGATGGTGGGGGTGGGCTTTAAGAGGGTCTTGGCAAGGAAGCAACATTTTGAAACATGATGCTCACTGTGTTTCTGAGGCAGCTTCAATCCAGCATTGTTTGCTTTTCTCTCTGTCTCTCTCTCTCACACCTCTCTCTCTCAATTTCTGGCAACGAGCCATGCGTGAGCAAGGGCAACCTTGAATGGCTGTCAGGCACAGCATTACATTATTACCCCCCTGCTTGACAACCAAAATACTTGAAATTCAGCAACACGAAGTAGACCACAAAACTGGTGCACCAGTTCCAGTTGCTATCACCATGTCATGTTACCCGTCCTTTGGTGACTTGGAGGACAGCTGATGGCGATTGCGGGCGCTAGTATACGATGCTGCGTATTACAGTGCACGTCGAAATCAAACTAAAGCCAGGGGACCACTGGCGATGAGAAGCAATAATCGAACGCATTATGAGTCCTGCCAACCAGCCAGTCATCCACCTGTGGAATTTCCCATTTTTGATGTGGGTTGCCAACCATGGACTGGACTGGCCTACGTAGTTTGAGGTACGTACCCCTCTCCTAGTTCCATATCCAATACTTCGTCGGTACTTAGACCCTTACCCTACAGCTATGCCCGTCCGGAGCCGCTCTATCTAGAGATGCCGTACTCTTGACAGATGCAACCTCAATCTAACCGAAACTCCCAGTGGAATGGGGCCCTTACTTTCCGTGCAAAGCTAATGGAAGCTAGGGAGAGCGACTACGTACCTCCCAGGCGTGGGTTTGACGGGTATCAACGCGGCGCAGACCACCACGAGGTGTCGACGCTGATAGTTAGTGCTAGTGCAAGACTTCGTCGAAATCAGGTCTCAGCTGCCCTCAGCCGTGGAATGTCGCAGTTTGTCAACGCCTCCAGACCGGCCACTAAATCACTTTCGGCCTACACAGTCATTTGTTAGTCTGTCAGTTACTCCGAAAGGGATAAGTCTGCGTGTCCACTCTCTTCGTTATTCTTCTAGCCTCCAAGAAGAAGGAGAAGGAAAAATAAAATAAAAATCCTCCCCGTTTTGGACACTTGCTCGTCAGGGAGACTTAGAATGGCGACACTAAGATCAGGGGCAAAGGAATGTTGGACCGCTCAATCTGCCATGCTCCGATAGATCGCCTAGGTAGCTTTCCAACCACGCGAAGGCCTTGGTTTTGTTTTTGTCAAGCCACACGCAGCTGACTGCATCGAACCTACAGCCTCCAACATGGCCATGTCCTCGAATCTGCAGAATAGACGAAAGAGATCAACTCGTACTTTCGAGGAGGCTTCCAAGACTGTTTGTGAGCGGTCCGTGACGAACGCCACAGACAACCACAAACATTTGTAAACATTTAACACGAACAGCCATGTTTTTTTTTCGATGTTCGCGGACAAAACTGCAAGCCTTCCCGCTAGTTGATGATTCTTCATTGGGCGACGACTAACGGGTCGGGGGCTCCCACTCTCCCGGTTTCTCAAGTATACAGCTGCGATAGACAGAACCGTCACCAGCTCCGGCAGCACGCGCGGACGCTATCAGGACCGGGGCGGCTGCGCGTCTCTTGTGGCTTTCAATGGTCCATGTGGGGACTCTCTGCGCAAGAATGCGGTGCTTATCCTTCGCTCTCCCCTCCATATCTTCAAATAGGCCCATCCACTTACACAGCCTCATGGTGTCCGGGGAATGCTGAAACGCTCGAATATGAATTCTTGGAGCGACAGGGAAACATTGGCCTATCCCATTAAGATACGGAACGAACGGTAATCAGATTCCACGCAACCACTGACATGTTCATCGCGAGGGATATGCGCCTGATGATCCGACGATTGATTGCCAGCAGGAAAGAAAGGGGGGCACATCCAAACTCTGACAAAAGTCAACAGAGTCTAATTTTGGCCACCGACTTCCAAGGGAGCCATCGAACGAGCCCCCCGTCTTCCCAGCGGCGTGGACTTGCATGCTTGCGTCTTCAGACGAGATTAACGCAGGGGCATTGATGATCATGGATCAGGAGATGGCTCTTTCGTGGATGGCCAATAATGCTCGATGCACTTGTACGCAACATTGCCAGTAGTACACAACACTCTGCCTGATCAGATGTTTCAACTCATTATATCCTGAACATTCGAGATTCTTGTCAACGGTTAACCGTAGCACGATTACGCCAAACAAATGGGGCAGGGCGGATATACGGGCGGGCAGACTGTGCCGGGTTTTCATGTCATTGCTGTTGCATTGCTGGAATGAGGTGCGACAGTGGCCAAGACAATGGGAATTTTCGTGCGGATTGAGAGACATCGAGTAGCGAGCTGGTAGACAGGGACGGACGCTTGAAAGCTGATCGCTTGGCAGTACGAGCGTTGCTTGACTCTCTGGAGATTCGCTGTCTCAGGGAGTAAACTTTCCACTCCGGGCGTTAGTTGTTCTGCCAAACTCTATCCAACGATACAGATGGAAGTGATCGACTTCGCTGGGAACGTCCAGCCCGAAGGTGCCGAGAGAGGCCAGGAAAACGGCAGCGACAGAACAGCAGCCATCCTAGGCCAGCCAGGTCAAGTTGCTCCGTCGAAACCAACTTTGTGTCAAGGCCGATGGCCACGGTCCACAGGGCGACGTGGGTCTATATTGGACCACTTCACAGAAGGTTCGCCGGGATGGCAGCAAAAGCGAAAGAGAACAATAAAAGAGAGTTGGCGTGGTTGCCGCAGGCAGCAGGGCGCTCGTCGGGCTGTCCGTTGTATTGCGCGTTGCCAGACCCGTACCTTTCAGGCGACAGCCATGCTGCGTTCATCGACACTCTTTGGTTGGTGTAACAATGAGGTAGGTGGTCTCGTATACTGCCCTACGGTCCTGCGGCCCATAAACCAGACGGAACGGTGACATCTGAATACCTGATATGTGTCTTTCGTATGCAGTAAACAAAAGTGAGGGCTGCCATCCTGTATGTTGCAGAGTTGATGGGGAAAGAGAAACTTGCAGAAGGGTCTGCCGAGTCTGATTGGGTTAGAGGAGGGCTGAAGGCTACGAATTGTTAGTTGGCTTGGCGCTAAGATATGCGGTGCCACTAGAGGGCTCTGTTTTGGGAGGAAAAGGAAGCCATGAGTGGATAGACATTATGGAACTGGAAAAAGGAAAGAAAAGAAAATCCCTTGGAAAAAATGAAACAAAAAATAATAATAATAGGGGACGTCAGGCTCCGAGGGCCCAAGTGCTCCGTCAGGGACTCGTTCGGAGTCGGGTCTTGTGTGAGGTCTGTGATCGCGATCTAGGCTAATAGTCGAAATGGTTATCCAAGCTATTCGTTTACTCGTACTACTACAAACCAACGTCCGACAAATCCCACTTCACAAGTTTGCTGTCCCCAGTTTCAATCCCAGGAAAATGGACAGCCAAGTCGCGTTTTCCGCTCTTCTAGGGCCCAAGAAGAAAAGAGCCGGACGTGGGCCACCAGGCCAGTTCAGGCCATGCAGAGCCTAGCCTGGCCCCCGACGCAATACCAGTAGTCGCCCGCTCCCACGATACAATGTCAATGCCCAGTTCCCTTAGACTGAACAAATATGCGCCAGAGCTTGCGTGCCAGAATGCTAATCCCCCTCCCAAGTCCCAGTACTCGTACCCGCTCTTTCCCTGCCCTACTAGGAACTTGCGTCTCCCTCCCACCTTCCACGTCCCATACCCCTGCCCCTGCTGCTTTCAGCCCGGGGTAGGTGCGACTACGTCCGCCGAGACCTGGCAAGTGAGCGCCTCGGACCTTCTCATGCGAATCATTATATCTGCACCCGTCTACTCCTCCCCGTAAATTCCGCCATCTGCACACCGGAATTTGATAAGACGAGCCGCCTCCCTTTGCTGCATTCCAGCACACACCCGATACTCCCTTGGTGTCACTACTCATGGTGGACTGAAAAAGGACCGCCAGCCCCCGGTGATCATTTTGTCCTGCACCAACCACGCCTCAAATCACGCATCGTCGCTCAGTCACCCAATAAACACAAACTGACAGCTTTGCCTCACAATGACTGACAACTACCGAACCGAGCGAGCGGGTTCTTTCGCCTCTTCCTCTACCGAGACCGCGACTCTTCACGAGCTGACCAAATTGGACCCCATGGAGGACAGCGTGCACAATCTCAAGGCCCAGAACGATGAAGAGGCCGCTGAGGAAAATGAGAAACTGTTGCCCAAGGCGAACGAGAAGGAGGACCCCGCGAAGGCCAGCTTTTCTTCCGCCGTCGTGTGGATGGTTGTCAACACCTTGGCGACTATCGGAATCGTAAGTTGAAAAAAAAATCTCCTACTTTTGCGACTGCGGCTAACATCGCGCAGGTCTTCACAAACAAGGCCATCTTCTCCGACCCTCAATGGAAGTTGTGTCAACTCACGTTTGCGAGTTTTCACTTCCTCGTTACGTTTCTGACGCTCCACATTCTCTCGCGTCCTACCTTTGCCTACTTCACCCCGCGCCGGGCTGCGATCAAGGACCTCCTCCCCCTGTCTATCGCCATGTGTCTGAACGTCATCTTGCCGAACTTGTCGCTGGCCTTTTCCTCTGTTACCTTCTACCAGATTGCACGTATTCTCCTGACGCCAACCGTCGCCCTTATGAACTTTATCTTGTACAAGGCGACCCTGCCTCGAAATGCGATCATGGCTCTCATTCCTGCTTGCCTCGGCGTCGGAATGGTGTCTTACTACGACTCACTGCCTACCAACGACGACAAGATCAAGGCGACCTCGGGATTGGGCGTTTTCTTCGCCTTCTCTGGTATTTTCGCTTCCTCACTGTACACAGTTTGGATTGCTAGCTACCACCGCAAGCTTCAAATGTCGAGCATGCAGCTCCTGTACAATCAGGCGCCTATTGCCTCGTTCATGCTGCTTTATGTCATTCCCTTTGTTGACACCTTCCCCGATTGGATGACCGTTCCTGGCAACCGCTGGCTCATGATTGCCATGGTGAGTCCGATTTTCCTAAACAAGACGTGCAATCATGCTAATATCTGCAGTCTGGCGCCTTTGCTTCGCTCATCAACATTTCTCAATTTTTCATTATCGCTCAGACCGGACCAGTGTCAAGTACCGTTGTTGGCCACCTCAAGACCTGTACCATTGTCGCCCTCGGTTGGATGGTCTCTGGACGGGCAATTGGTGACAAGTCGATCATGGGTGTCTTTGTTGCCATTGGTGGTATCATCGGGTAAGTCCCCGTGCAAATTGCGCGGATGTGCACATGCTGACATTACACAGCTACTCTGTAGTCATGCTTCAGCACCAGAAGCAGCAGCAGCGCAAGTAGGCTGTGAGCATTGCAGTCTTGCCTCACTTTATAACTTTTTTCTTCTCGTGCATTTGGAGCGCACATGTCGTGATGGCGTTGTGTAGATTGGGACCGTCGGAATTAGAAAGGGTCTATGGATGATACCTCTTATGTGAAACCAAACCTATCATGGCTCGGCGTCTGGGGGATAAGGGTAATTGAATTAACACAATGGATAAGAACTTTTATTTTTCGGTCCGAGATTATACACCTGACTTCGTACCGTTCGTCTGGTACGGCCTATTCAATGCAGAAAAACGCCAATACGGGGGTAGTCCCTGACCAAAACCATGCATACTGTATCTGAATCTTGCATTCCACATCTCCAGATAGACTCCCGTTACAAGTTGAAGCGCTTCCGGTCTTTCTCCATCCTGGCCTTCCACTCCCATGGCTGGGCATCATCACCGTCGCTGCCTGCCCTGCCAATACCCTTATCCACTCTCCGAAGCTTTGCCGTGAAGCGCGGGCCAACCTCCTGCAGACCGACACGGATGCCTTCGACACCCTTCATCTCATTGCCTTCCGCTGTAACAATGTTTTTCTCCGTCTCACGCTTCTCGCGGAAAACATAGCGGTGGCGCCGCCAGAAGAGGTAGTCGCGCTGGTTGTGAATCGTCAGCACCTGGCGGCCCTCAAGCTCGGGCTGGGGCGGGAATAGGCGCTGGAAAAGGGCCGCCGTCAGGAGACCAAGGGGTGTCTTGAAGTTGTTGAGCAGTAGCTCTGGGTAATGGTTTGTAGGGTTTCCGTGGCCGGGCAGCTTCTTTCCCTCCATGAAGTTTGTGATGGAGAATGTGAAAGTCGGGCCGGTGGGGAGGTGGACGATGCTCATACCCGTGAGCTTCTTCTGGTCCTCCTTCAACAGGACGACGGCTGTGTAATCGCGGTTGGCGGCGAACTTGCTGATCTCGCGGAGGGAATACTTGTGGCCGTAGCGATGGGCAGAGCGCGGCACGTAAGTTGCGTTGGGGAAGACGGTGCGGAAGATGTTGGCCTCGTAGTGGAGATTCGAGTTGAGGGAGGTGGTGATGAGAATCTTGGGAACGGGCGGCGGAGTGTCGGTGAAGAGCGAGGGGAACTTGAGAGAGAGGGAGGATGGCGTGAGGTCGAGGTTCGTGCTGGTCGTCGAGGGCGCCGTCGAGTCGTCTCTGCGCGCGCGCCTCTTCTCTTCACGTTTCCTTTCGCGCTCCGCCTTCTTTGCCTCTGCCGCTTCCTCGTCATCGTCGTCGTCGGAGGCCAACATACTGTCTGCGTCATCATCGTCGTCCCCTTCCTCTTGGTCCAGCTCCCGGTCCAGCTCTGCGTTCGCCGCCGCCTCTTCCTCTTCTATCCTCCGCCTCTTGAGCTTCTCTACGTCCACCTGCATGCCCAGGCTGTCGTCGTCGACATCGTCCCATACTCGTTTCGAGTCGAGCGTTCTGGTCTTGTTCTTGGCAAGTCTTTGAGCTTTCAACTCAGGGTCCTTATCTTCTTCCTTCTTTCGGCGGAAGCGCAATTCACGCTGCGCCTTGTCCTTGTCCTTCTTCTGTAACACGTAAAGCTCCTGTCGCTTGAGCTTGTTCGACGTCTTGGTTGAGAGCGAAGCCCCCATGGACTTGCCCGGCTTCGAGTAACCCATGTTACCAGTTCGATTGGAGGCTTGCTGAAATATTCTGTAACCAATTGAGTGTGTGTATGGATTATTATTTGAGTTGGCAAGACAGTCGTAAGGAACGTACTGAGATGCCCAAAAGAGAAAGGAAAAAAACCGTTCGAAATCGAGTCCTGGCCAACGCTCGGTGAAAATCAGTTTAGAGAAATTTTGGCGGGGCATCGACCAATCCTTGCGGTAGATGCATCTGAACGGGCCCAGGCTCGCGGGGGCAGGGGTGTCATCGGCGAATTGAATTTTCCGCTATAATTTTTTTTTTGCCCTTCAGCTTTGCGGGAGGGGTCTGTTCGGTACCTGAGGTGGGCTGGGTCGATCGCACGACAGGGCATTGATGGGCCAATGAATTTTTGGGGGTGAAAAGAAGGGCAGACGACATTAAGAGTCACAGTTTAGACTCGAACCGCAAACCGCCCCCCCTCCAGATAGAGAGCAACACACAGCACGCGCGCTTGCTTTCTCTACTCTTGAATTGACCCTTACAGCTGTCGCAGCGAGCCCTCCCCCTCCACCTTACGGGGGACTCATAGGGACACACAGCGCTCTGTGGCTAAGGCCTCTGGATGACTCACGCTCTGTAACCCCACCAAACCAGCGTTGATGAAGCCTTTTCGCTTTATCGCACACCAATCACCTTCTATTCGTTCCACAGCTAGCTTCTGTGCAATTCGGCAGGCCGCTTTTTCACATTCCCACTTTCAGAACTACCCCTCCCCCTCCTCTTCCCTTTCCTCCCACCACTACCTCTTGCGCAACCGCAACCGTACCCTCACCACCTCACGTCACCTCTACAGGGCCGAAGTCTTAGTCTCCAAGAAGAAGCCCACCGCTGCCTCCAAGATGACGACCACCGCGACGACCCTCAAGGGCCAGCCCCTCGACCGGCCGACGCTGGACGCCATGCTGCGCCGCCGTCTGTTCTTCACGCCCGCCTTCGAAATCTATGGCGGCGTTGGCGGTCTCTTCGACTACGGCCCCCCTGGCTGCTCTCTGCAGGCCAACATTATTGACCTATGGCGCAAGCACTTCATCCTCGAGGAGGACATGCTCGAGATCGACTGCACCGTCCTGACTCCTCACGAGGTTCTCAAGACCTCCGGCCATGTCGACAAGTTCGCCGACTGGATGTGCAAGGATCCCAAGAACGGTGACATCCTGCGTGCCGACCACTTCGTTGAGGATGTGCTTGAGGCCCGTCTCAAGGGTGACAAGGAGGCTCGCGGCGAGAAGGTCGAGGAGGCGGACGACCCCACGAAGAAGAAGAAGAGGAAGCAGAAGACCGTGGCCGTCAAGCTTGATGATGCCGTGGTCCAGGAGTACAGCGAGATCCTGGCCAAGATTGACAACTACAATGGCGAGGAGCTCGGCGAGCTCATCAAGAAGTACGACCTCAGGAACCCGGCCACCGACGTCCAGCCCTCCCCTCCTGTCTCCTTCAACCTCATGTTCCAGACTGCCATTGGCCCCTCTAGCAACCTTCCTGGCTACCTGCGCCCTGAGACCGCCCAGGGTCAGTTCCTTAACTTCGCCAAGCTCCTCGATTTCAACATGCAGCAGATGCCCTTCGCATCCGCCTCTATTGGTCGCTCTTACCGCAACGAGATCTCCCCCAGAGCCGGTCTCCTGAGAGTCCGCGAGTTCCTCATGGCCGAAATCGAGCACTTTGTTGACCCCGAGGGCGGCAAGAAGCACTCCCGCTTCGTTGAGGTCGAGGACCTTGAGCTTACCCTGCTGGACCGCAACACACAGCTTTCCGGCAAAACGGATCTCCGCAAGATGACGATTGGCGACGCCGTGCGCAATAAGGTCGTTGACAACGAGACTCTTGGCTACTTCATCGCCCGTATCCACCTCTTCCTCCAGAAGATTGGTGTTGACATGACCAAAGTCCGCTTCCGCCAGCACATGCAGAACGAGATGGCCCACTACGCTGCCGACTGCTGGGATGCCGAGCTCCTCACGTCCTCCGGCTGGATCGAGTGTGTCGGCTGCGCTGACCGTAGCGCCTACGATCTGTCTGTCCATGCCAAGAAGACCGGTGCTCCTCTGCTCGTCCGCGAGCGTCTCGACGAGCCCCGCGTCATCGAGGAGTGGCAGGTCGAGATCGAGAAGAAGAAATTCGGTCCCCAGTTCAAGAAGGATGGCAAGACCGTCGAGGCCGCCCTCGAGGCGACCACGCAGGAGCAGCGTGAGAAACTCTCCAAGCAGCTGGCGGATAACGGCGAGCTCGAGCTCGAGGTCGCCGGTGTTGCCGACGGCAAGGTTAAGGTCAGCAAGGACCTCGTCAAGATCGAGTTCAGGAAACGCGTTGAGAACACCAGGGAGTACACTCCCAACGTTATTGAGCCGTCCTTCGGTATCGGCCGTATCCTCTACTCGCTCATTGAGCACTGCTACTGGAACCGTTCCACGGATGGTGGCGACGAGGCTCGTGGTGTAAGTTAAACCACTCCTCCCTTTTCCCCTGATTTACTAGAACGATAGATGATGGACATGAGACGCTGACATCTTCACGCTTAGGTTCTCTCCTTCCCTCCCACAATTGCCCCTACTAAGGTCCTGATCGTGCCCCTCTCGGCCAACGCTCAGTTCAAGCCTTTCATCAAGAAGATCTCGCAGAAGCTCCGCAAGATTGGCATTTCCGCCCGTGTGGACGACTCCTCCGCGACCATCGGCAAGCGCTACAGCCGCAACGACGAGCTTGGTACGCCACTGGGCATTACTATCGACTTCCAGACTGTCAAGGACAGCACCATCACGCTCAGAGATCGTGACTCCACGAAGCAGGTCCGCGCGGACGAGGACACCATTGTGTCTGCTATCCAGAGCCTGGTTGACGGCTCCAAGGAGTGGAAGGACATTGAGGCCACTCTCCCGGCGTTTGAGGGTCAGGAGGTTGAGGTCGCTGTGCGATAAGCAGTTTATTTCATACCCCTCGATGTAATGAACTATGAAGAGAGAGACGGAGGAACGAGAGGAGAGAAGAAGAAAAAAAAGGCGGCAGTAGCAAAAGTCGCATGTGTAGCGGCATCTGTAGACATCTCAATTGAGCAACGTGGACTTGAAACTCCAATTTCTTTTTTTTTTCCCCTTTCCCCCTCTTAGGCACGTGTGCATAAGCCGTGTTTGTGAAAACATCTCTATAAAATAATGCAGTACTACAAGCTTTCAGTTCTGGTCGAACAAGAAGGAACGAACAGCAACGCCGCACCTAGAAGCAACAGTTATCCCAGCGTGCTTGCAAACGTCCTGTGAGACCACTTCCCGCATGAGTATAGATGAAGTAGATAGAACATGACTGAGAAAGCTTGTGCGGTGGCTGGGCTGGCATCAGTTTTGGGATTGGGGCCAATGAGTGGTGACGGCCCGCGCGGGAGGGGGGAGTGCCGGCTTGAGCTTCGTCAATGGAGAGGGAGGGCGAGGGAAAGGGAAAAAGGAAGATGGAGTCATCACCAGCGCCGGCATGACGTGCAGTAGTCACATCGCAGGTAGGGTAGCAGAGGTATTATGGCCCCGGCAGTTTTTCGCATGGGAGGCCTAGCACAAAGATCAGGCACTCTCTCATGGCTCGCTTGTGTTCTCGTCAGGCGCTTTCCCACATGGCACTCGGACATAGGATCAAGGTAGTAATAGTGGCGGCAAGGCCGACTTATACCATCCCAGGACGTCAACAAAGATTCCAGAAGAATATGTGATAATGCAAAGAAAACCGTGACGTTGGCAGATCATACTTCTTCGTCTCATCGCTGTCCTTGCTTCCCGGCACCGACGGAAAACGATACGGGGGGCTTTTCCCTACTGCAGGTGAACTCAGGGGCGAACCGAAGGCATGAACCTGCGACAGATCCGCGCATTGGAAACAAAACTGCGCAGTCTGTTCACACATCGTTTCGGCTGACCTCTGCCAGAGGTAGAGAGGCTGCGGTGGACGTTTGTAATCGAACGTTGGCAACATGGGTACCAAACATTGCATTGCTTCATTGATAAATTGATATTCAGATAATATAGGGAAGACGAAGATAGAGATACTAGCAAGAAACAATGTCTTCTACGCATAGTCTTCTCTATAGGCCACCCGCTTATCTTTCAGCAGGCTTTCTTCATCCGGGCAGTCTGACAAGGAGCACCTCCGGTCCACCTTCCGTGGAACATCTGCTTCTAGAATACGACATGGATCCTGCTCATCTCTAAGGGGTGGTGTGTTCTTGGGCATATATATGTTCGACAGGTGATTGATCTGCTTATGGCTTAGCTGCAGGCAGTCGATCTAGAAACATCAATGCTGATGATGCGGACTGCAGTGCTGCGTGTTTAGTATGTACGCTTTATAGCTAGATCTGCGGGGTCCGCAGGAGCCCTCCTGTCCTGTCCTTACCCTGATCCCCGCTTCTCTGAACGGAAATGGTGTGGAAAATTGTGAAACATGCCCACAATCTTGGTGAGAGGGATGAATCGTTGGCAGGAAGACGCTACTCCCAACTGCAAGGCACGTGCTTCACACCCGGCAGGGTCTGGTTCAAGCATGTAGGTTAACCCACAGATGGGAGTTCAAACCTTCAGCTCTTCAGAGTAGGGTCCTGGGCGGTTGAGGTTCGGCCGATGCCGATTCATAGAAAGTTATTGATCTCGAACTGTGACTGAGAGCTAATCCGTTACGACCTCCTCTGGGCCTGGCCTTGATATCGGCTTTCTTTGTCGGCAACCTTGTCCGATTTTAGCATGCAAGAGTTTATTGGGCAAGAATACTACAAGTTGAGAGTGTAAATAAGAATGTCAGTCTGGATTCGTCAGTTCGGGCCTCGTCAAAGAATTTTCGATCCGGTGGTTCGCAGCCTGACTGGGCAGGTAAAAAAGGTGTGCGACAATAACTGGGAACAAGGATCAAGGACCCAACCAACTCCGGGGCTCCAATTGTCTGGCAAAGATTGCGAGGGCAACTAGATGCTAAATGGTTGGTATGGGTTTGAGTTTGAATTGTAGCCTGATAGCTCGGAACTGCGTCCGGCACGGCCTTGCAGATTGACAGCAGCCACGGGAAACATGCATTCTGCGCAGGCTGCTTTGAACTGGCGTGTCAAGCATAGGCTGGGTACGAGGTTCTTTAGTTGGCCCTAGGCTTGTCAAATTTGAAGTGACGACTGGTGGCTGGCTGTTGTCGGCTGCATACGGTCAACTCCTTTGTGCTTGTCTCAATTACAGCAATTGGCGAAAACAGGTTAACCGTTCAGGTGTTGAGTGCTTTCCTTCGTTCGGTTTTGCAGGTGATCGGTGGCTTATTTGGGCTGCTAGAAGCTAACCTTTCATGATGAGCAACGCAGTCTCAAGGCGATAGTTTGTTGATCGTCAAGTTTATCCTTTTTCGCACGTGCAATGTAAGGTGCTGCAACCTTCGGTTCACCATTCGGTATAGGCATTAGCTCATTCCTTCTTGCAAGAAACAAGAGAAGGTTCATATGATGTGAAATGGCCCGGAATGGCCTTAGTCAAGTCTAGAGAGTCATGGGCTGGTGCTGCGGTTACCCGCAGTGGGGGCCGCATTGCGTGGGCTGCTCTTGTCTGTGTCCGTATTTGTCTATTCGTAATTTGATGCTGGAGCTTTGAGTTTGTAGCTGAGCGGTTCTGACGTCGCATCAGCGGGAAACAGATAACTAACGCCGAGTCGTGTGGTGTTAGACAAGGCGTCAAAAGACCGACACCGGGCGAAAGGGCAGGCCTGACAACCGGCGATGTAGACCGGACGACAGTATGTTGCTGTCTTGGGAAGTTGGACATTCATGTCAATGTGTCTGGAACGCAGAGATGGCGGAGGCAAACAGGCAAACAAGCGTGTCGGAGTCCCAGCCGTGGGGGAAACGAGCAGGGACGTTGTCGCATCAAAAGTGCCCCCTCAGAATTGTGGATGCTCTGGGAGGATGAACGAAAACAGAGGGCCAAGTGACAAGTGGGTGAAGCAGTTGCGACTTGAGTCCGGTGGTGTGGCTTGCTTTGACACGACATCATTCCCTCACCGAGTATGTGCAGTAAGAGGCAAGAGGTTGAGAGGAAGCGCCGCAGGCATCAACCCTTGTCGCCAGGCAAAACTCGGATTGGAACAAGTCTGCCGTCTCTGAGGGAGGAGAAGCATGTACCCTGCACAGTGCCTGTCTCCCTATATCGGAAACAGCGTAGAGAGAAACGGGGACTCGCCTGGGGCAGCTTGAAGGACAGGACCATACTTGGGGCAGTTTGGGGGCAGTTTCCCCGCTATGACGTCCCACGACCCAGAGAGAGTTATCCGTGCCGAGACGGAGGGAGTCACTGTGCGGGATACTTTATTTAAATTCTCAGGGACCTGGGGATTGGGAGGGTCTGGCCGAGGGGTCAGGGGCCACATTTTGCAGCATAGATCAAAACAGGAGGAAAGCAATCAGCACCAGTAGGCGACAGCTAGCCAAGCTGGCAAGCTACCTTACAGTGTGATACGGCGTCAGAAAGAAGGAAGGAGGTGCCATCGCTCCTCCTACTGTTGCTGTTATTGGTGGTCCTACAGTCAGGAAAGAACGTAGCAATCGACGTTGGGGTAGGGGAAACCAACAGGCACACACTCGTTCCTGCCCAACCAGGGCCGACCATCAAAAGGGTGTCATGGTGATGGTCAGCGTTCCCCTTCATGTTCCACCACCTCCCGGCCGGACCTTGAGCTCCACCTTTGGATGCAGCTTTCTCATTCGCCAGCAGGACGGGAGGCCTTCACTTAGGCGTCTTGCCTTCCTCAGTGTGACTTTCCGTCGTGCAGCACCTCCACTTCCCTCCAGGGTTAGGCACGTCGCCTCCACTTGGGCTGTTCTTTCCTTCTCTTGCCCATGCCCATGCCTTTTGGCCTGGCTTCCCTTGGGGACGTGCCTCCTTTAGAGCGACTCCCCTGCATTTTCCCCTCCACTAGCTACCGCGCTATGTGAGGAAGCAGCAAGGTATCCCGTGAGAAAGGTACCAGCTGGGTCACCTTCCCGCAGCAGCGTCTACCAAATATCCGTTATCAGTGCCGTTCTGGAGTCAGATAGGCCCTTAATTCTCCTAGTGCTCCTGCCAAACGATCCATTTTGGCCAATCTCCATATCTTCGTAGTACTCCTGTTCCGTGTTGTCTCCTGCCGAGTCTTACTGTTCATAAACCCGTCCTTGTGTAAATTGGCGCATATCTGATCAGTCCTGACCAACGTCCCGTGCCGCTGGGTATTCTGTACGAAACGAGAACAGAGAAGGCCAAGACTACCAAAGATAGGTCCCTTGACGCCCTACGTCTCCCCCCCAAATAGCTTCGACGCATCAATTCTTGGCTCTGGGTCCAGTTCCCAATTGTTCAACTGCACCGCATCAGCCAGCCCTGCCCGGCATCACATTGCGGGATCCGACTCTATACCTGGGACTGAGGAAAAAGCAGTGGCATTCTTCATCTTGTGCAACAATCTGAAGCTGAAGTGGATAGACTGGAGTTGTACACCCGCTTGACTTGCATAGCACATGTCCCTCCCCTCCTTTTGGCTGATCGACAGCAACCAAAGGCGTCCGAGGCGTGTCGCCCCTTTCCTCCAGACCACAGACCAGACCACGACTAGACAAGAATTCCATCCACCCCTCCTAGAACCACCCGCCTCCGAAAGGGAAATCCCACCCCCATCCGATTTTCGTCCTTGAATTTCGCTGCTCGCTTGCTTACTCCCTCGCTCTCCTCTGTTCATTTCCTCCTCCTTTTCCTTCTTCTGTCTGCTCCTCCTTCGTCAGTCTCTTGCTAGCACAGCTGCACTCGTGGTCCGGCAATCACTTTTGGCACCCCCCTATTTGCTCTGCTCAGTGCTGTCGTCAAAGAAGGACAAGACACCTTCTGGAAGCAGGCAACATTGTCTCCCTCATTTACCCGCATACCCTTGTTCCATCCTTCATTCTAAAGATACCTGGGGGGAAAAAAAGAAAGCAAAAAACCAGGAGCTGGACATCCGAACCAAACCGTAACCGTAACCATAGCCCATAGCCCACAGCCCACTGCAGGCCAGCAGATTAGCGGAGACCCAGGAGGCACGAGTACAGAGTACCAACAAGTCTACGAAACATCGTGTGTTCCATACCTTAAGCCATTGCCCGGGGCCTCACATCCGAGGCCAGCCACAGAAACAACCCGCCTCTATTAAACTGTAATCATCTGCCATTTCCCTGCCCGACACTGGAGGAAAAGAGATGGCGACACAAAATAGGTAAGCATCTCTCCTGCTTGGTTTTTGCCCGTTACTGCTTGCGACTTCACCAATACCAGCACCAGCGTTGCTATATCCCGTCCCCATCCCACACCCATCCCCCCCATTCCTGTCCCATCTCCACTACAAACAAGCAGGTCTTTCAGGCTTGTAGGCACCACTACACAGCACACAGCACACATTAGCAGCAGCAGCAGCAGTGGTCCTGTGCCACACAGCAGCACACCCACCCACAAATAAGCAGCGACTCGACTCGATTCCTCCAGTGAGGCTAGAAGTGGGGTTAATTTCGACTCGAACTGTCATGGCGCACCTCACCGATTGTCAACAGCCAACAGCCTGCTAATTGTGCTGCTCCCATTCCACACTTCCCATCTCTCCATACTCCAAGCCCCCTTTTCGCCATCGTTCGCTTCATTCGCCCGTGGTCGGCCATTTCATTGCTTCCTTTCCATTTGATTGCAACCACCGAGTCAAACCTCATTTCGAGTCCTTTGTCGCATGCAGATCAAACCAGCCGCCGTCGTCGTCCACGCTGCGCAATCATGGCTAACGAACGCAGTGTGTACTCGTCCGGCCAGTTCATGAACCCAGGCCCGGCGCCACGACCACCGACCGATCGACCTCGTCTTAACCTCGTCCCCAATAACAACCTACCTGGCAGCATGGCGAATATGGCCATCTCGCCCATCAGGAGCACGGCGACCTCGACGTACACCGGCTCCACCATCTCCCTACCGATTGCCCGCCAACAGTCGAACCAAATGGATGGTATGGGAGGCGTTGCCGTCAAGAAGGAGGGTTGGGCATCGGTGAAGGAATCCAAAAACTTCATTAACCCATGGAAGCAAAAATACCTCATTCTGCGCAAAGAGTCGCTCGACTTCCACAAGGCCGAGGGCGGCAAGGTTTCGTACACTCTCTACCTAAAAGATGTTGTCAACGTCGGCCGTGTTGAGGCTGCGGGCACTATCTTTGAGATCAAGAGAAACCCTAGCGGCGCTTCCAACAGCCCCGGCGAGGATGATGGGCAGACCAAGACCCTGCAGATTCGCGTCAAGAGCGACGACGACCTGTACGAATGGATTGACCTCATCTATGGCGCCTGCCCTGGAATGGGCGGTGTCAGCAACCCCACCAACTTCTCCCATGCAGTGCACGTTGGTTTTGACCCCCAAACCGGCGAGTTCGTTGGCCTGCCACCCGAGTGGTCGAAGCTCCTTAATTCGTCTGCCATCACTAAGGAGGACTATGAGCGCAACCCCCAGGCCGTATTCGAGGTCCTCGACTTCTACTCCGACTTGACCAAGCGCGCCGAGAACCCCCAGCAGTACTCCAGCCTTACTCCCACCCCGCCTGCCGCCAGCCAGCAGAACAAGCAGCTGGGCTATGGCGGTGGCACCGGTGTTGCGCCGCCTCGGCCTCTCCCACCTTCACAGACGCAGCGTCAACCCAGCTATAACACCCAGCCCTCGTCACAAAACCAGGCGCGACGGCCGTCGCCAACTGAGCAGCAACAGCAACGCCAACAGATGCAGGGCATGGCCTCCAACTACCAGCCGGATCCTCGCGAAGAGCAACGTCTTAAGCAGCTGGAGGCGCAGCGTGCGAGGGAACGGGAGATTGAAGAGCAGAACCGACGTGACCTGGAGGTCTTCAACTCTTCTATTCCCAAGACGAAGACGCCGACGGCTCAACAGGAGATTGGTGGTTTCAGTGGCAGTTCTTCCATCCCCCCCACAGACAGGTACAACCCCTCAAGAGCAGCCCCCCCGGCGCCAAAGTCGTCACAACAGCAACAGGTCAACGGCCTTCGTGCCCAGCGCCCAGCACCTTCACCGCCCACTGCTGGCACCCCTACTCGCCCGCCAATGACGTCGCAGCAGAGCTCGAGCTCTATGCGGGACCCCAACCAGCAGCAGCGTGTGCCTCGGCCAGACCAGTCCAGTCAGCAGCAGAGGTATCCCAATGGAAGCCCGCAACAGCCCAGGCAACCTCCTCAAGCTCAACCTCAACCACCGTCTCGCCTACCCGCCCCTGTCAAGCCGTTGAATGTGTCCAAGGCCCAGCCCGCGCCTCAGAGCGATGCCGTCAAGGCCGCAGAGGCTGCTCTTACGGCCAAGCCTCCCGCACAGGAGCGCCAGAAGGACGTTCGCATGTCGACCATGTCCGAAAGCGAAGTCATGGCCAAGCTCAAGGAGGCTGTCTCCAAGGACGACCCGAACCTCTCCTATTCCAAGCAGAAGAAGATCGGACAGGGTGCTTCCGGCTCCGTCTACGTCGCCAAGGTCAAGGAGGGCGCTGTTTCGCCCATCGCTCGCGAGGTTCTGCGTGCTCAGGGTATCAAGGCTCAAGTCGCCATTAAGCAGATGGACCTTGCTCACCAGCCCAGAAAAGAACTGATTGTTAACGAGATTATGGTCATGAAGGACAGCAGACACCGCAACATTGTTAACTTCCTCGATGCCTTCTTGCGCAACAACAACGCCGAACTTTGGGTTGTCATGGAATACATGGAGGGAGGTGCTTTGACAGATGTCATTGACAACAACCCCAGCATCACGGAAGAGCAAATCTCCACAATTTGCCTTGAGGTAAGACATAACTTACTATGCAGTTACAGGCGATGACACTAACACCTACAGACTTGTCGTGGCCTGCAACATTTGCACTCTCAAAACATCATCCACCGTGATATCAAGAGTGACAACGTACTTTTGGACGCTCGTGGCAATGTAAAAATTAGTGAGTAGACCCCAAACCTCCCTAAGGCGCCTTGACTAACCGGGAATAGCCGATTTCGGTTTCTGTGCCAAGCTCACCGAGACTAAGTCGAAGCGTGCGACGATGGTGGGAACGCCATACTGGATGGCACCAGAGGTTGTCAAGCAGAAGGAGTACGGACCCAAGGTTGATATCTGGTCGCTGGGTATCATGGCTATTGAGATGATCGAGTCCGAACCGCCCTACCTGAATGAGGAGCCTCTGAAGGCTCTCTATCTCATCGCAACCAACGGCACGCCGCGCCTCAAGAAGCCCGAGAAGCTGAGCAAGGAACTCAAGGCCTTTCTGTCGGTCTGCTTGTGTGTGGACGTCAAGAGTAGAGCATCTGCTGACGAGCTCCTGGCACACGATTTCCTCAAGCACGGCTGCCCGCTCGGCAGCTTGTCTGAGCTTCTCGCCTTCAAGAAGCACGCGAAATAAGCTGGCATGCAAGGGACTGAACATTTACAGTTCAGATGCACTGCATCCATAGTGAGAAGCGGCGTTTATGGAACCGGTGATTTTGTGCAATATCTGGCACTGAAACAAGGCCTCAATCTGCGACCTTGCATGAGACTTCCCCTCGCCCATTCACTATGACGTACTCATGACTTTCACCATTTGAATCGACGCGGATATCCTCAACACCCTTCGGACTCACGGGGGACGACAAAATGTTTCGTTCAACCCATTTTTATGGCGGCATGGGAATCTTTTGCTAATGGTCTCGGTCACATTGCATAGTTGTTTAGTCACTGAAGGGGAGGCGAGGGCGAGCGGTAATTTAAAGGGAACGAATGGCCCGTGATATCTGTGACTCCATTGATCGAGGGGAATAAAACAATCCGAGACGGGCGAAGCGGACATGCTGTTCGCGTTTCACAGGAGCAACATCATGAGTAGAGGGGCCAGGCAGCGCTGATAGATAGTCTCAATGAAAAGGATCAACGAATAACGACCCTAGTTGGTGAGAAACAAAATGAGATGACTTTTTGTTTGATAAATAATCCAGTGTTGTAGATGCCACAAGGTTATGTCGGAGGTGAGTTGCTTATATCTCAACCTAGGTTTATACCGTACTGACTGACCAACACATTTGCTTGGTTGAGTCGAAGAAGATCTAAGCAACCCCTCAAAGTCACCAGTCGCGGTAAAGATTCGGCCCGCTCGGCCCCTGTCTTCGTCTTGTGAAACCCCGCTGGTCTCGTATTCGCATTTCCTCGTAGTGCGGCATCCGAGAAAAACGAGGCCGCCGCCAACCACATCCAACGAATTGTTTCCTTCTCTGCAACTTGAACCCCGGTGCCGTTTGTTTTTACCAGCTGCCTGGCTGCCGAGTGTGCGCCAGTCGATTTTCGATCACTACTGCAGGGCCGATCCGCTAGGTGGCATTAGATCGTACGGCCCCCGGCTGGCTGACAGTTCAGCCCCCGGGATGGAAAGCCCAATGGATGGGTCCGGAGGGTCGTCGTGCTCAGCGCCGGACTCGACACCGACAGCCATGGCGACGACACCTAATGCGGCCATGACGGCCGCAGTGAGTGGTTCCGCCATAGCCTCGACATCAGTAGGGAATGTCGTTGGCGGTTTGGGTGCGACATCTGTCGTCTCGCGACGCTCGCATCCCAAATCAAGGACTGGGTGTAGGACATGTAAGAACCGGAAAATCAAGGTGAGTTCAGACCTCGTGCGAGAGGCTTGACGGTGGAGGAGTGAGACCGTTCAGCCATTTATCTCCAAGGTCTCTCATATCACCGTTATGACGCCCCGATCGAACGCCGCTTGTCTCTCATCAAGGTAGCACAGACACAGACTAACACAACCCTAGTGTGATGAACACAAGCCATCCTGCCGGAACTGCATCAAGCACGCCGTTCCGTGTGACTTTCTCCAATCTCAACGCCATTCATCATCGTCATCTGTTCCCCGTTCACCGGGCGGTACTCAGACGTCGGGTCCCAGTAACGGCACACACGGCGCCATCACGGGTTTCGGAGGTGGCGGCGGGATTGACGACCTTTCACTTAATCTTATCGACCTGGAATTGATGCATAACTTTACTACGTTTGCCTACAACACGCTCTCGACAGACCCCTTGGTGCGGCAGATGTGGAAAGTGCCTGTTGTCAGACTCGCTCTTGAGTGTGACTATGTAATGCGCGCTTTGCTGGCCGTCTCGGCACTTCATCTCGCCCATCATCGGCCGGAGAGGCGCGATTTTTTCATCAGTAGGGCACTGACATACCATCAGATGGCAAGTCGAACAGCCATGGGCCTGATGGGTGCTCTGGATAGCGAGAACTGCGAGAAGCTTTACCTTTTCTCAGTGCTCACCATTTTCTTTGGTATGCCTTACTCCCCCCAATAGTCGTCAAGCTGGCCATAGTGACTGATGATTGCAGCTCTTGCATGTCCCCGCAGATCCTCCGATTCCCTAATTATGGGCGAGTCCTCTTTTCCGGATTGGATGTTCCTCCTTCGCGGCACCCGAGGCCTGATTAAGATTCTGGACCCCCGGTCTTACACCGGCCCCTTGCTCCCCATGTTTACTCACGGCCGTGAGCGGTTCATACACACTCGCGACGAATCCAAGGTCCAGTCGGACTTGTTGGCTGACCTTCAACGGCTCGTCAACAAGACATGCGCGAACCCGGAGCTGTTGCCGATCTACAACCGCGCCATCGATGAGCTGCGGCGGACGTTGAGCGTGTTTCTCTGGGACGGTGGGCGCGGTATGGACATCACCGACGCGTTCGTGTGGAAGTACCTCATGGCCGAAGAGTTTTTACCCTTGTTGAAGTCACCAGGGGCGACGCAAGAGGCCGTGGCCATCTTTTCGCACTTTTGCATCCTTCTCAAGAGGCTCGAGAATGAGTGGTGGCTTCAAGGGTGGGCGACGCATCTAATTTCGAGGGCGTGGACCTTGTTGGATCAGGATCATCGGCTCTGGATCCAGTGGCCTATTGAGGAGCTCGGATGGGTGCCCCCGTGATGAAATTTGTTTCGTTGTGGTGTGGCTGATGTACTATGAATGAAGTATGTATGGTGTTCACGGCAACATGTATAGGCGGGATGCCAAACGAGGCTGAGGCAGAGGCGGTCTTGCTGCTTGATATCGTCGATGTATTTTATTCCCTTTTCCAAAAAACGTCCCCTTGACGCCAAATGACTGTTGTTGCAAGGTGACATGAGTGATTGAGCCGGGTCTTGATTATATTCTCTAATGGCGCTTCAACGTTGAGGTTTTTAAATAAATGCAGCTCGACTCCTCCGTTCCCCCCCTTTCCCTCGGAAATATAACTATGGAGACGCAGTTGGCGCAGCATGAATCTTGGATATACGCGGTTAAATGGTCGGTTCCTGACACACAGGGGAGCCCCCATTCAGTCAAATCGTTCAGTCCCAGAACGCCACAGAGACGATAATAGATCGTAGAAGGGCTAAGCGCCATTACATTGTCACCGTACAACAAGCTGGAATACTGGTATATGCTAGTGATTTTGAGACATGCCCAAGTGCCCTTCAATTGCTGCCTCAGCGCGTCGTCTGCCGCGCAGATCCATACCATCAATGACCTGGTACCATGTATTGAGACTGTTGGTATACCCCATGTCTTTCCGACAAGCCATCAACCATGACGACTTCGGCCTTAAATAAAGCCAGACAATACATGTGTGCATGCCATCTATAAGCCAGAGATAGTTGCCAGTTGTTCTCAGTATTATGTACGTATAGTATTATTATTCAGAGGCTTGTAGATTGGAACAGCCAAGGAAACATGTGTGGAATTTGAGTGATGCCACCTAGCCTGAGCCTGATTGTTTCCAACTCCACGCCCGGCCCGTACTTGGGAAGGCGGGTTGGACGGGGGAAACATCATTTACGGTATCTCCCGATAATAAGCTTTCATATAACGTTTCTTCGAAAAAATGCAAACTCGGATTTATGACGGCAATATCTGTTAGTTCGGTTTTCTTTTAAGATTCCGTTGAAACCGAGACTTGCACCATGTTTGCCAGACTTTGCATTGAACGGGCAACCACTTTACCTTTAATGAATTAGCAACAAGATAGACGTTTTTATTTTATTTTTAATAGTGTTGAGTCAGACAAACAAACATGAAAGAGATGGGTCTCGACCATGCCACGCACACCATAATATCAAAATCTTCATTGACGCGTGTTCACAGCACATATGCCGTATTTTCGCGGCCCTGGTGCCATTGTTTCTTAGCTTTGCAATGGGGCTGGCCCAAGTAGTTCAGCCAAGAACACCACGGGCCTGCGAGATGCTCGTTTCGGAAGTATTCTTCAACCAGTTCAGAGACCTTTGTCTCAGCCTTCAAGCTACCGCCAAGTTGCCTCTGTTGTAGCCTCAATGGATACGGTAGCTTCCTTTCTTTTCTTCTTTATCAGAGACCAAAACGTCACTCCAAAAACCCATAATTTCACACCTTCAGAGCGGGCCTTAGAGGAAACATTATCTCAGAGGTCTGAGACACTACCATGATTCGTAGTAATTTCCGCAATATAGCAAGGCATGTAAGGGCACTAGCCATTCTAGGGATGAAACAGAACCCGAGGTCATTGTGCTGGATGAATTTTAGGACATGTACTATTGAGACGCCAATGCAGACGATGGCCTTAGAGCCACTCTCGAGACGCATGCACAGCTGAACAATAGGACCTGAGGAGATCATACCAATAATTAGCGCTCCATTTACACGATGGCCTGCAGGGCTTTTAGTTGGACCCATAACCAGAGAGGCGAAAGGCTCGTTTTCCAACAAGCATGTAGTTGTGACGCCGGTGGTTTGTTTCTCTACTCGAAACGCCCCAAGAGCTGTCAAGTGAGCACGTTCCACTTCAAAGGGTGAGGGGTTCACGAAATAGAAGCTACTGAATGGATTCCACACCAAAAAAAAAAAAAAGGAAAAAAAAAAGGGGGGGGAGGTAGCATGTTGTCACTAGGTTGCAACGATGTAACCTTGACTGCCATTATAAAGTGTAGATTCCAAAATCCCATATCCTTCCAAGCCTCAATTTCCCGTCCGTGGATGGCATCAATACATGGTCCTCCAACTCCAAGCGCCTGAATGAAACAACAGTACCAACTAGACAATATCGCTAAGAACTTGTGCCACAAACATCGTAACTGCTGTAGCCCGAGGCCTGTTGCCACGTCGTCAAGTGATCAATAAGCACAGGGTCGATGTTTCGGTTGGCTTTGATGAAAATCGTCTCGTATGGATGCACGTTCGTCCCAAAATACGCGCCATTCCAAAGTACGTCCCCGTTATGAGAAGTGTCGCACTCCTCAATATACTTCTTGGAGCTGTGAAAAGCCGTCATCATCAGATCTACCTCATATCCTTGCTTCGTGAAGAGGCCCGTAGCACCAACTTCAGCATGCACCGCATGGTTCCAGCCATCGTAGCAGCCAGCGAGGCCAACCGCGTCATTTTCGTTGCCGAATTGATCAGGATCAGAGGAGTTTGGAGGAGGATGGAGGAGCAAATCAATGCCAATATCGTCCGTGGCCCAGATCATGGATTGTACGTGGAACCGGGGCCAACAGTTGCCGGTCATACCAACCAACTAGATCACATCAGGATCGGTGCGCAGTTGCACAGTTTCAGGGGGGTCTTACCTTGATCTTGTCGGTAACACGATCCAAGTACAGGTCACTCCAGCAGGATTTGGCCCAGTGAGGGAGGAATGGACCGCGAATGCTCGCATTCATCATGATGAATCGCTTGTATTTCTTGTACAAGTCATTCTCCCGAAGGACCTCCCCGTAAGCGCCGAGATCGAAGCAGGTGTTGTCACGTTTGACAACCCTAATGTTTTTCTTCTCGGGTATAATGCTCGATGCGTTTGTCTCGCCATTAAGGAGAAACACAAAATCGGCGGCGTCATGCAAACCCTGCTTGATAAAGAATTGGAGGTTGTCGAGGGCAGGAGCGGACTCGGCGAAGGCGTAGAGGATCAGTGTCTTGCCTTTGGCAGGCGAAGACGCGGGCTTGGACGAGTCAGAAGATGATGAGCCAGGCTTGTTCGAGCTGCCTGCCGCACCATCTACTGCGGACGGCGTCGCCTTTTCGGGCTGATTGGAAGCCTTAGCATCGGCCTTTTCATCATCTTCCTTATACCATGGCGGAAGCGAGACCTGGGGCGCCTTATCTGGATGGGATGCGCCCGGGGGTGACTTCGATTTATCTGGTGATGGCTTGCCGGTTTTACTGTTGGATTTGCTGTCGGACTGGGAATCAGGATTCCGTAAGGGCGCGATGGCGTCTCCAGACTGCTGATGTGTCTACAGAGAGAATGTCAGAGACCTCGACGGGAACGCCCTTGGGATACTTACAATACGCGCGGGCGTGTTCGGTGTTGTCTGCGTAAACGTTGATAGCGTCCAAAGGACGAGGAGAAACATGAGTAGCCCAACGACAGTTTGTTTGTTGGCCGGAAAGCTCGACGCCATGGTTTCGGCTGTGTTGATGGGCGAAAAACTAAACTCGGAATTCGAAAAAGTGCTCGGGCCCAATGCTCGCCGATCCAGAAGCTCGTGGCCACAGCCGCTGTTAACTGACCAAATGAGCAAATAAACAAAAGGAACAGGTGACTAGAGGGCTCGAAGGCAGAAGCAAAAGTCACAAGGCGACTCTGTCTGGATAACGGTGGTAATTGGAAGGAGAGCACTCGAAAATGAAAGTGGAAAGTTGGAGTGAGTTGGTCTCTTGTCAGAGGAAAGTCGCATCAGAACAAGGGACCCAAGTCGATGCATGACGGACGCCAGGGAGCTCCATCTGGCATCCATCTAGCGTCCGCGTTGCGTAGCGTGTGTGACAGCAGCTATTTAGGGAGGGGTGGGCTAGACTGATGGGAATTAAAGGGAAGGAATGCTGTTTAGAGTTCATGGGTTGAAAGATGGTTCACCCTCGCCTGGGCTAGCTGGTCTCCCACTACTGGTAGTGGCAGCCAGGAAAGTCGTCAGGAGCTGTCACAGTGGTGTGGTACGTGGCCGGACGATAAGACAGCCAGCACCAACATCGAGAATGAGGATGTCCATAATCTGTGGCTCTGAAGGTTCGAAGGATATGCAATGTGGTGGGGGCGCTTCGTGCCGGATACACATCGACATATGACATCTCTCCACCCACCCGGCGACTTACCAAGAGCCAGAATTCTATGTACACCACTGTCCGCGTTTCCTGTGGAACCCTCCGATCTGGCGGCCGGGACACCCCACAGACCCGGCGGGGCGGCACTCGCAATGCACGTACCCTTTACCGAGGAACAGTTGAAGGTGATGTTCTTCAATGGGCTGTTCCCTGGCCCCCAATCAGCGGGTTTGGTCTTAGGAGCTTTCTTTTTTTCCCTTCGCGGGTGTTGTTGCACGCAGAATCCCCATTAGGGGTGTGCCGCCCGCTCTGTGATACCCCTGCATTCGTCCCTTGCATTCTGCATCTGGCCAGTGTCATATCGTACCAATTGCGCAACGCCATTTACACTAGTGATCAGGTTTGCAGTTCGCCGACGAAACTGTGCCCTATGAAGAACAAACAATGACATGTTTAATAGGGCATTGTGCCGAGACTCTGGCTAGCCTTGGCTAGTAGTGTGTTCCTGGAGTGGCTTATTATACCCCCTACTGGCGCCAAACTTTGAGAGAAACATTAGATGCACGTCAAAGATGTCATTGTTGACGACCGCCAACCATCACCTGGAAAGAGAAATCTGAATTGACACTACCCAAAATCCTGCGATGACCTCACCTACAACTGCTGCAGCCGCTAGTGAGCGATAGACAATGCAGACCGCGACGAACGCTGCAGTGGTCGGGGTAGTTGCATAGAGGGGTGCTTGCCGACCCGGAGCTGCCTTATCTGGAATGGAGTTGGAAGGAGTCGCTACGTCGAGCGGGGGTTGCATCAAGTGGAGGCCTATCTCACCTTCCTCTGGATGAACAGAAGAGAAGGAAGCTGCGTAACGACTCACGCTTTCAACACCAATTCTCGACGAACAAGGAATCTCTCGAAGCTGCAAAATCCGAATTTAATGTACCATGTCTGCCATCACGATCCAGCCGCCACTCTCCCGACGCGGTCACGGCCCCGGCCTCATCATATTGATTGAACAAGGGATCGATCTGACCAAGCATGATGAGATCTTGGATCCTCCGCCGGCTCAGAAATGGGCCGAAGAGGGTTATGCAATCGCTCAAGTTGTTGTAACGCCTGAAGACAACCAAGTTGCCCAGAACGTCAGTTCTGCAATCGAAAAACTCAGAGCCCTCGATAGCTGTGATGACAAGTACAAGTTCGGTGTTATCGGTGAGTTCTCTGTAACGATAAATACGCCGAGTTGACCACCTAATCACATTTGGCAGCCTGTCTTGCCGCACCGTCTCCGCATGTTGTCAAAGCATTGGAGAAGTATCCCGAAATCAAGGCCGCTGTATTCTTCAACTTCTCTCAGTCTCTTAACATTCCCACTCTATCACATCTTATCGGGGCCGAAATCGACATCCCTCAGACAAACCCACCATCCAAAGCATACTCTTATGCCTCAACTCGGGCAGGCGAATTCTTTTTAATCCCGAGACACCCCAATTTCAATGCCAATGCTGCCGGTTTAGCCCATACCCGCACGTTGACTTTTTTGAAACCCATCCTCGGAGGGCCCTATTTCGATCTTGAGGCTGTCTGGGAAGAGCACACTCTCTTCGAGTTTGGAGAACGAAATGTCGAGAAAACCATGGCCACCATGGTGGAGCAGCCCTATGTAGGTGTCTCGAATCTAGGTGAATGTATGCAGCACTGACAGCTAGGAGGTCAACCACATCCCTACGCTCACTGGCGGTATAGGTCGAGCCCATCTTTCCAGCTTTTACAGAGATCATTTCGTCTTCAACAACCCCGATGACACTGAGCTGGAGTTGGTAAGCCGTACAATCGGCATTGATCGAGTGATCGACGAGTTTGTTTTCAAGTGTACCCACGATAGGGTCATAGACTGGCTGTAAGCGCGCTCCGATAACATGCCATTCTGTTTGTTCTGATTTGTCGATAGCCTTCCCGGGGTTCCACCAACTGGAAAACACCTTTCCATCCCATTCACCAGTGTTGTCAATGTCCGAGGAGACCACCTCCATCACGAGCACATTGCATGGGACCAGGCAACCGCATTGCGCCAGCTCGGTCTGCTTCCGGAGTATCTTCCCTTCCCATACCAAACCAACGGTAACGGCCCGTCTAGTGGTAAAAAGTTCGAGTACCGGTTGCCCGTGGCCGGCGTGGAGTCTGCGCAGAAGCTTGTGGACGAGGGCGCGGTTAAGTCGAATAGTATGTTTGAATACAGGACGAGAGAAGTCGACGCTTAGTCGGCCCTTGTGATTTGCTCAATATTGAACGGAGGTGAGTCACTTTAAACGATGGATTGTTTAGTCTAATGACGAGGACTTTCTGTTTAGTTTATTAGGTTCGGCTATTGTTCTACATACCACTCATCAGCAAATCATGATCTACATTCTAGGGCCAGAAGGTGAAGTGCTTCTCGAGGAAGCCTGGTAATGTGACCCCTGATACTTCTTGTTTTCCTCGCCCCAGCGTACCTCCTGATCGACCTTGATGCGGATGCCGCCTTGAATCGTAAGGTCTTCGTCTGAATCAAATTCGTTTTGGTCCTTAACAGTCCGTTCGGTTCGTCCGGTGACACTTGTTGTGACACCGTACTTGCCGTCTTCAGTCCCGAGACGCTTGAAACCTTTATCGGCCGATTTGCCACCGGTCCCTCCGATTGTTATGAGTTCCGTAGGACCACGACTGCCCATTTTGGTGGCACGACCACCACTCTGTCCACCAGAAAGGTTGTATTTGGTTGCTATGCTTCCAAATTGCGAAGAGACCTTGACCATGAGCGGCCGGAGTGTTGGCAGGCATGCACTAATCACACCACAAGCGCACTCAACGACACACCATGTGCATGCCGTTGCAAGAGTCCCTAGAGAGGTTAGCACTGAGTATAGCCTCCAGCATCGGTTGCTTACATGTTGTGTCCGCGATTTCGAATTGCATAATCGTCGTGAAGCGGTAGATACTAGCGAACAGGACACTACTCTCGTTAGCCACTTCCTCCTTACCAAGAATTACCGGGACTTACAATCCACCTAACAAAAACATGAAGCATAGCGACAGGCGCTGCACAAGTGTTACCTGAAGCCTCCATACCTGACCGATGGGCAGGCAGAGAATCGCGACGTCCGTCAGGATGTTAGGAATGGCGTTCCCAATGAACGAGGCCTTGAGGTCTATACAAGTGCCATCTATCCATGGCATGTATGCTTTGGCTACTGGCGTACACTGGAAGACACAGACTAGGACAATCGATATCCACCAAGCAATGGTGATGGCTCCCAAAATTATGGCCGAGATTTTGAAACCCCTAGACGGGAAGATACGGCGATACATCAGCAGCAGCGAGAGCTTGACGAACATGACGGCGGTGACATATATGCACTCGAATGCTAGCAGAAGCTTGAGGAATTCCACCTGTTGGTTCAGGGATAGAGTTACGGCATGACGTCCCAGACCTTGCGCGATCACTATCATCAAGTAAGTCGATATTCCACCTAAAGGTTTTGTGGCTTCTTCGCTTACTAGCATAGTTGAGAGCTCCGGCAACAAAGGTAAACAACTGATAGACGATTCATTAGCCTCCTTTTGTCACTCTGTATAAGACCGCAGGGCGCACCAATCCAACCACCATGAACCAGTCATCGAGGCCGTAGTGAAACCCAACCGTCCATCGCGCCCAGAACCGCAATCCTACGAATACCGTCGCGAGAACAAGTAGCGCCGTGGTGGTGCCACTCAGTTCTGGCCCTCTATCCGCTAGAGGGTCTTGTAGAGGCGCAGTGTCGGCCATGTAAACTGAAACAAGGCAAGCTGGAAACCGGGATGGTCGGCGGAAAAACAAATATCTGAGCGCTGGCAATAAAATATAAAGAGATGAAATGAGACGTGGACGAAATCAACTCGAACAGGAACAAAATGGGCCCCAATAGGAGAGCTGTTGGCGCATTCTCCAAGTCCTTATACATGTTTTTGTCGACACCATGCTGGGATAAAAAGTGGTGAGGTGCAACTGACTCGACATTCGAAGGGCGACGGCATGCCGGACGGCAGCGACAGAATGGCCCATCGGCCCCTTTGAGGGGCATGTCGCACTGGGATACCCAATGACACTGCAATACAACGGCGATGAGGAGCCCTTGTCCTTACAAGGTGGCACCTCACGACCCTGGACACCGAATGCGACGTCTGATCGCAGCAACTATCTACAGAGAACGACCCATCGTCAGTACTACTGTCGATATGCCCCATTCGACAGCTCAATCAGGACGTCATCTCCAATATTCACTCTTCATTGGGAAAGGGGGAACATCATGGGTTGCGTGGACACATGGGCCACGGCATTGAGCAGATATCGGGCTTGGCTCAACTACAGTATTGTTGATGAGGATAAAACCACCTACTTCGTCGCTCCTGATGACAGCTGCTTCTTGGCTTTCTTCACGCTCGGCGCCCCTAATTGTTTCTCCTTTCCGCCTCGTCTGACAAGTCACTGGATTATCCAATCCCAACTTGATTGTTCTTTAAACGTCTCCTTGCGCCTCTACACCATACTTCTTAATTAATACGTCTTTATCAAGTATCGATCGGCAGTTATCTGTGTCATCCCACCCTTGGCAAACCACTCTATCCAAAATGTTCCGCAACATTGCCCTCCTCCTCACCTCGGCCCTTGCGGTGTCCGCAGCCGTTCTGCCCGCAGCCGAGCTGCCCACTGTGGTCTTCACCCCGGGTGCCTGGCACGGCCCGCAGTCCTTCGATCTTGTTCGCGCCGGTCTCACGCTCAAGGGATATGCCTCCGAGGCTGTGACGCTTCCATCAGTCGGTGCCGAGCCTGCTACCGTGGGTCTCGAGGAGGATGCTGCCGCTCTGCGTGCAACTCTCGAGACTCTCGCCGATGCTGGCAAGCAGATCGTGCTCGTCGTCCACTCGTACGGCGGCTTGGTCGGCAGCAACGCCGTCAAGGATCTCGGCTGGCAGCAGCGCGCTGCCGCCAACGAGACAGGTGGTATCATCATGATGGTGTACCTGAGCGCCTTTGCTGCGCCCAGCGGCACCAGCCTTGTGGATATGCTGAGTGGAGAGTTTCTTCCCTGGATGAGAATTGATGTAAGTCTTGATACGCCCCGCCAGTTTCTTGACGTTTTCTTGTGTACATTTGCCGTTCTGTATATCCTAGCCCTCGTACAACATGTAAAAATGCAGAGGCTGCAGGAGCGTTAACCAAGACAACTACTAACACCATCAACAGGGTGAGAAGGTCTACGCCGACACACCCGAGACCATCTTCTACGCCGATGTCGACCCTATTCTCAAGGCCAAGGCGATTGCTGAGCTGAGTTGGGAGTCGAAGCGTGTTTTCTCCGACCCTGCCACCTATGAGCCTTGGAACCAGGGCATCGAGGTCATGTACTTCCACTGCGAGGCGGACCAGGCCATCCCCTTGGCCACGCAGGAGGCTATGGCCGCTCAGTTCCCGTCTGGCTACACCACGTTCTACGCCAACACTTCGCACTCGCCCTTCCTGTCCCGTCCGGACCTCGTTATCGAGGGCGTCGAGCTGGCGGTCAAGAACGGCCAGGCCAAGCTCTCGTAAGCATGCGAAGGATGGGGCGGAAATAAGGCCGTGTAGTGGAATCCAGTGACTTGTTATTTGAAGCTTTGGGGCAGTATTTCCTCGGCGTTGCCGACCAGACAAGTTGTGGATAGAGGCCCTTGGTAGAAGGAATAATAAGCAATAATTAACCAGCTGCGCCTAGCCTAGTTGGAAAAAAAATATCTACTGCGGAATCATTCGTGAATCGTTCGAGGATAGCTTCATTGAGCAGTTCCCCAAATGTTCGTCTGTGCGTGAGCGCCGCCGGACGTTGCCCGTAGTATTTCCATACTGGTCGCCGACTACAAGGTATGTTCTCAGGATGCGGAAATGCGCCTGCGAAGCCTCAGAAACCTTCCCCTGCAGGAGACAGGGACCAGATGCAACCTGGGGAAAAAATAGAAAAAAAGATTGCATTGCCTCCCTCTTTCGTCCGGATTCCTCTTCACAAACCACCCAAAAAGGGTCCCGTAACCGATGAACAGACGATTGGGAGGCAGAAAACAGCCCACCTCTTCATCTCAGGAACCGGAGGATCGGGGAACAGTCGCAATCAGTAAGCTGGTACCCTACCGCCCACGTGCGTGTTGCCTTTTTTTTATTTCCCCTTCTTTTTCTTTCTCATTTTCAAAATTTATTTATCTCCTAAAGAACGGGTCCTTGCGAGATCTCCGGTGTCTATCCCCCGGCAGGCACCGCTCCACAATCCTCATGGCATCGTACGCAGTATATCCTTCTCTACGAAGGGTCCCCGGCAGTTTCAGTGGAGATGTGGAATCTTCTACCCAGGTTTCCCTGAAGAAAAGGGGGGTTTTTCCCGGTTTGATGGGTGGAACAAATGCAGACCAATGGAAGTGATATATGGATGGATGCAAACCCACCGAGAGAGTTCTTTGCACTCACCAACTTTTAGGGTTTGTGATGGAACGTACTGGTTGGTGAAGCAGATGTAGTTGGAAGAAAGGTGGCGGCCAAAACGGCTCGGCAGTTGTGTCTGGGATATCCGGAACCGAGTCTTGGTGGTGTTGGTTCGCGGTTCACGTCTAGAGAGAAAGAAGAAAAGGTTTCCGGCTTCTTTTGCTTTTTTCGGTTGGCGCCACGGCGGCCGCGCGCCGTATCGGTACACCCAAACTGCTGCAGATATGCACAATCACCTCACTATTGTGCAGCCAACTACATACTACGTAGTACTGCCAAAACTGGTGCTACACCGCAATCAGCAGAACAACAACGGGTGGGGGCGCCGCCAGGGGCCCGGCCCAAAATGGGACGAACCCCGAGCCGCAGACTACCGCATGAACGGTACGGAAATCACAACCCGCTTCGCAATCGTCAGAGCGCTCGCCATCGGTAGTATTCTTCACTGCTTTTCGATGAGCGACGTTACGTCGCTGCTGCCCTTGCTTGCGTATGTCGTGCTTCGTAGTATCGGCCCTCAGACACTGCTCCACCCCTTTGCCCATGAATCGAAATGCAGATACGACTGAGGATGAAGTCTAGAACGTGTGTATGTTCTCAGCCAACCAGCTCGAAGGCAGAGAGTCATGCTTCTGCTTAGGAATGTTTCCATTCAGGTAGACGTGTTGGGCGCATGCCTTGTTTCGTGCGGATCAACTCGTAATTTAAGTTACGGACGGGGAGGATGTCAGGCTTAATTCTCTCTACTAAAAAGAGATGGGGAAAGCATAAAGAAGGAGGAAAAAGCAGGCAACTGCCGACCGTGGCCCCTGGGGTTGCGTAGTAGACAGGCATCGATGCTGACAGTAGAAACCGTGATACCTGGAGATCAATCCTCGCAACATCCCCCCCCCCCTCTCTCTCTCTCTTTCCTAATACTGCTCACTCCTATACTAGCGCGGACGAGATCGTTTCACCAAAGATGCAGCCCAACCCGGTTTTAGGAACCTTGCTCTCCACGGAACAGGCTAGGTTATGCGCTTCATCAAGACCATTCATTTCCAATCCTGACAGAAAACGGCCCCCCCACAGACTTAACTTCCCCTAACCCCCCCCTGCTAAACTTCGCTGTCAAATCTCCTGTGACGTCGAGCTATCCTTTGACAGGTATATTGACAGGACGATCGTGTTTCAATGGATGAACCTACGGTGGTTCCCCGGGAATAGCGTCGGGATCCTCCGCGCGGCGGGCGCGGCCAGCGGCCTTTCGTGGTCCGTTGTGTTGATCTTCTGTAACCTAGTTTCTCTGAACCAAACGGACCCTTTTGGATGTGAGGTAAACGAAGCTTTAAGGCTAAAAGTTAGTCTTTTTATTCGTTTCCTTCTGCCGAAGATTCTAGTGTGGTTCTAGGTGATCTTCTCTCCAGGTTGAGCAGTTGCGAATGACGCCGTGGGACGGGTAACCATCCGTTTGATCAAATAGATAACGGACCTTGGGTTTTCACTTCGTAAAATAAAGGCTCTAAAGAAGCCCCCAAGTCTCTCTCTGCCTGTCATCCCTCCCCTCCCTGCCCTCTGCAAACCCCGGAGATATTCCCGCAAGACTCACACATGGCAGCAGCGGTGTGCTTCCTCCTCAACCGGAACGCGACTGCCGTGCTGCCCCCGTCCGACGAGGGAACTCCGGCACAAACAGCAGTGGCCATGTAAGAACAGGGGTCGCCGCAGAAAGCAAAGGCATCAGCAAATCAACCTTTTCCGACTCACTCGCGAACACGGGAAAAAAAAAAGCCCCACCCGCTTGAGCGCCGATCTGTATTTTAAACAAACAGCCGAGACGTAGCAACGGCGATGAAAAGACCAATCTTTACCGCAACTCATGTCGTTAAGGCTCCGAGGAAAACAAATTAATGGAGACATGAAATAAGGCCCCAAGGAATCTGACCAAACAGATAGGGCACATATTGAAGGCTAAAAACGGTCGCTGTTTAATCGCCGAAAAGGGCTGAAATGTCCTGCTTGGGGCTGTTTGATATTGACGGGTAATTACTAAGAGATGAAGTAAAGCTTGGCCTCGGAGGAAATGTTACTGACAGCTTGGGAAACGGAGTCTCTCTCGCATGGCGGAATGGCCGGGACATGGGCGATGCCCATATAGGCTATCATGTGGCTCGCTGTTCTTGACACAAATGTCATGGGGTGATGATCTCATTTAACATGACTGGGCCTTGAGCCCAAGTCACATTTGCTCGATTGAGTACATTCATGGCCCACTCACAGGTTACTTTAAAAAAAAAAAAGATTGATACTGCTGACTCAAGTTTCATTATTCTCCGTCTTGGTTCATTCGTCGTTGAGATATTATTATACACTCTTACTTCATGCCCTGGTGCACCCGTAAAATGCCAAAGCTTCACCTCTCCTTTCGCCAGCCCATGCGTGATATAAAAAATACCAAAGGAAAAAAAAAAAAAAAGAAGAAGAAAGCCCAACCATGTTCATGCTTCATCGTCGGGTCCTTCCAGCGGCCACTCGCACGTACAGAAACAGTTGACTGCCTCCTTTCTGGTATAGGGGCCACGGTTCGGGCACGTAGGTTTTCAAGGGTTGTAAGAAAAATAGATACAAAAAGGACTGCGCTACATGTCGTCAAGAGACATGACACCGCAGCCCAGAGAAGAGAAGGGGTATCGGTTGCGCCGCCGCAATTTATGTGATGGGCGTAAGGAAGGGGCTGAGCATGAGCTCATCCGCACTTGGGCGCAGGTTGTGATCGATCTCGAACGTTTGCGAAAGGAATGTCTTTGCGTCGTCTGACGCGTGGTCTGGAATCGTGGGGGCAGCTTTGCCACCGCCAATCTTGAAGATGGCTTGCAGCTGGCTGCAGTCAGGGTAAGGATGGGTGCCCGTCATCATCTCTACGACCAGGCAGCCAAGAGACCAAATGTCGGCCTTGCGGGTGTACGACGTCTGCTTAACAACCTCAGGGGCCATCCAGAATACAGAGCCCTGAAGCGACGGACGGTGCTTGTTGTTGTTGGCGCCACTGAGGATGTTGGATGCCTCAAGCTTCTTTGAGATGCCAAAGTCGGAAATCTTGATAGTTCCCTTATTGTCGACAAGAATATTGGCACCCTTAATATCTCGGTGGATGATGTCTTGATTGTGTAGATACGACAGACCGGTAAGAATCTGGCGCACGAAGCTACGGACGAGAGGTTCAGGCAGCGCGCCGTAAGAGTTGAGCATCGTCTGCACTGAGCCACCAGGAACGTATTCCAGGAAAATGTTGAGGTAATCAGAAGACGAACTGCAACCGAGATACTGAACAATATTCGGGTGTCGAAGGTCGCGGAGCAAGCTGATTTCCCGCTTAAGGGCTTCAATCATGCTCTTCTTGCGTGCGTCATTCTGGCTGTTGGCACCAGGAGCGGGTGCCTCAACCTGCTTCACCGCCAGGAGTTCACCAGTGACGGCGTGCAGAGCGAGGTAGACACAACCAAACGAGCCCTGGCCGATCATGGCTCCCTTCATCCATTTGTCGTCGGACCAGGACTCACCAGCGAGGAAGCTCTCGAGTTCCTCATCCGCGTCCTCGCCATCCTCGTTGAGTGCCTGAGCGAGATCCTTAAGAGATCCGGATCCGGTTGAGCCATCAGCATCGAAATAGCTCCGTCTTGTAATGTTGCCGTCGGGATCCGTAACGCTCAGGGCAGCGGCACTAGCACCGTCAGAGCTGTCTGCAAACGAAACGTACGACTTGCGGTTCGGCTCGACGGGAGACTCCTCCTGGAGAGTGTCAAGCATTGATGAGGCGACTGAGTCGCGGAAGGCATGGGTGGTGCGCAGGCCGGATCGCGGCTTGGCCATGTTGTTCGAGGCATTGAGCCAGCTATCGGCAATTGTAGGAATAGGAGGAGCATCCTGAATGCTGGAAGCAAAGCTTAGGTTGCTAGCTACACTAAGTCGACTGTTGACCTTGCTCATGCGAGTAGACCTTCTCATGGACAGGCGGGCAGTGCGATCAATCTCCTCTCTGGGGTGGTCAGGGAAGTAGGATGTAAGATCAGAAGCGATAAGCTCGCTGGGAGGTCGGAGACCACCAAAGGATCGCAGGGTTCCTTTGTTCCTCCGTGGGCCCGATCGAGGGCCGTCGTTGGATGCCGGGCGCTCCAGTTCTTTGACAGTGTTGTAAACGTTGCGTTCTCGGTCATGGAACGAGACAGGGGATAAGGGGCTCTGGAGCTGATCGTTCCACCTCTCACCGAGAAGTTTCTGTACCTTCATCTGGCTTCTCTTATCGACGCTCTCAAGTGCCCGGCTGTGGTTCTGTTGTGCCTCCTCAATGGCGATGCCCGCGGCTCTCTCGAGCTCGGGCATGCCCGGCTCACCGGCAGGCACGCGGCGCAATATCAAACGGTTGCGCTCGGGGCGCTTCTGGTCCTTGATGATGCGCCAGAGCTCTGTGTCGCCAAGTCGTCTGCACTGGTTGGGATCCGGCTCGATGCCGGCCAGTACCCAAAAGCAGTAATTTCTCTCGTGGTCCTCTCGCAAAGCGAATTTCCTCAAGGTGACTCGCATAACTTCTTCACACGTATTGCAATCGGCAATTTTGACAACTTTAGTGACGCCTCCCGTTGAAATGACACGAATGACATCCTGATTCTGCGGTAGGCCGGCCATCAGTGAACCATCCATACTGGAGTTGTTCCTCGTATGGGAAGTTACCAATCGGCCAGTCTGGGGGGCTGAAGCTCCGGCGTTGCTTGCATAGCCGGGGCTCTGTCCATATCGCGGACGTAATGGGCGTATGGCATCTGAGTTGGGTAGCGGGGATGTAGGGCGGGAAGATGACGTGCCCTCGATGGGCAGTGTGTCGTATTGCCTCGAGTACCGCTTGTTGAGGGACGGAGTCGGCATGGTCCGGGCACTCGTTGCAGAGGGCCGCGGAGAGCCGCCCGAGGATGGCGTGTACTGCTCGAGTCCGCCGAAGGAATCCTATTGTGCGTCAGCAACTGTCAACAAATCGGGGGTTCACGATGACCTACCCTATTTCGTTTCTTCTGGTTCGCGTATGCCTTGGTCCTCAACTTCTTAATTCCCAAGAACAGGCGAACGCGATCGCCGACCTTTTCAATGCCCATCTCTTTGAGCACATCCTTGTCGAGCTCGAGAAGGTTCTCACCGTTGATGTGGTTCTTGCGGAAGAGCTTCTCGTACTCGCCGCATTTTACGCTTCTGAGGTATTCACACACCTTGTCCTCGTCCCAGTTCTTGACGGCATCGGGGCCATCACTGTCGGAGAATTCGGATTCGGTCGGGCTGGCGAAGGAGGTAGACTGGTTCTGGATTGTGGGCGCCCGTCTCGAGGGCGGGATGCCGCCGGCCGAGACGCTGGGGACCATGGGGTTGTTGGTGTTTAGGGGTGCCGGAAAAGCGGCGGTCTTGGGAGCCAGCATTGCCATCTTTGCAAAGTTTTAAATATTTCAGACAAGCATTGACTGGGTTCGAAATGACTATCGTGGTGTCTTCGCGCGGGGTTTGTCTCAGCTGCCTCTCCTGGAGCGCGTTGTGCCGAGAGAGAGGATTCCGTTAAACAGTGCAGGTGCCCGAGACAAGGAACGAGACGTGGGGGCCGGATAGGCTGATGTGAAGTCGTTGGCGGGGGAGGAATGCGAATTATCGAGGATATAGACGAAGGAAGGTTCTCGCTGTGCGGAATGTTGGCCTCTCACTGCCGGACCGCGAAGGTCTGGTTCTGCTGTGTCCTTGCAGCAGAAGAGAATTTGGAAGAACGAAAGTCGTGTGTGGAATTACGGGTACGCCGGCCGGTGGGAAAGAGAGGAGGGAGAGAAGGGTTAATGACGGATTTTTGGGGGTGCAGGGAAGCTGTAGGGGGGGTGTCTGGGGGGGAAAAAGTATGGGCGACCTAGTCAGCAAGCAGCCTCAGGTAAGGTACAGGACAGGGCGAGGCCAAGGAGGGTACCCAAGACGCCCAGCTGTGCCGCAGCTTAAGGTAAGGTACCCAGAGATCCTTTCCCCTAACCTCAGACGGCCGCCGCGGGCGCGGGAGGCATCTTTGCCTGAGTTTAAAAAGATACTAGAAGCGAGCCATAAGCTTCCCGTGCTTCCTTTGTGAGTCTTGTGTGTGTACGTGTACTGTCGCAGCAGGCCGTGAAAGGAAAGCAACCCAATGCAATGAGCGTGGTACCACTGAAGCAAGCAATGGGTTACAAAGGACGGCAGAGCTACAAAACACAACGGACCGCACTGTCCTCCCAGTGATCCTGCAGCGTCTGTTCGCTTTGTCCAAGACTAAGATGGAATGAAGGAACAGAGCTTCTGGCAGAGTGGAAACTCATTTGCTCATTCTCTCTGTCTCTCGTATCTCTATTGCATCCTTAATAGTACATAACACATTATCGAGCGGCCGTTTACCGGTTTCCTCGGGGCCATTCGTTGTGCTGTTGTAGCGCCATGCCCTGCCCTGACCTGCTAGCAGAGTGGGACCGTTTAGGCGGTAACATGGCAATATATTACCACTCGATTCATGTGGACTTTTCTTCAGATTTGCATCCGTTGATCTTTCTGGCTTCTGTTCGCCACAGTGTATCCGTACTGAAGACTCACGGATAGAGTCCGTAGGCGTTCTCTTTTCTCGTGTTTCCCGAGCATGATGGTAATGGAGACCCCTAGTCGCTCGCCTTGGCCCTTGGCAGCATCCACTTGAAGGGGGTGTGTGGTGCTGCAAGGGTAAAGCGACGGCGGCGGCTTGATGAAACTGGCTCAAGCAGGGTAGGGTGCACGTCCCCACCTAAACTTTGGCTCTGCAGAGCATCAATAGCACCACCCACCAACACCGCCAGGTGGGTCCCCCCCAAAGCTGCCGCTATACCGCTGCAACTGAGGGAACCTCCCATCAAGCAGAAACACGCTTCCCCAGGCTGCTGCCGCCCAGAGTCCAATGTGCCTGAGGAATTACTCAGCCGTACCATTTTACATCTAATTTGCCCAGCTCAATGCATCCAAGCACCACTTCCCCTTTCCGCCAATCCCCGTTAGTCTGACATGCCGCGTTTTCCACTGCACCAAAAGACCAAGATAGCTCCATGCGACAGTTAATCAATTCCTTGATGGTTCCAACCGGGCGACATTTTGAGGATCACGACCCTCTGTACGCTCTCTCCTAGTACCACGAGTCATCAGAGGAGAGTGTCCCGGATCTGGTAATAGATAGCAAGCCATCTAAGCCGAAGGAACGCAGCGTTATCGACGTCGTTTTTGGACATCTGAGTTCACCCATCACCTCGTTCTCAAATTAGTACAATGGCGGCTTGATGAAGAGTCTGAAATGCGCCGCCCTACGTGAACACTGCTATTCTAGGATTTTCACGCCCCTTGCTGGTGCGAGGTTGTTCTCTAAAAGGCACTCAAGCGCCCTTCCGACAGCCACCGTTCAACGCCTCTGCTGTCACTGTTAAGCTACGACAAAGATAGAAAGAAAAGTTCTATCTTTGTCCCTCGACGACGGCTCCGGCCATACCACGGAGGGCGGACGGCGAAGGGCGGAGCAAGGGCCATGCGAAAATAGTAGATACGCCGTTGTTGTAACGCAGACGTCGTCCTGTCGTCAATCTACCCAGCCGCGATCATCAAACTTGACCAGACGAATATACCTTGTACGCGATACTCTGTTCCTTGCTATCGGCCGCGACAGGCGAGACGATCACCCACGATTGTCGGCATGGCATGGGCCATAAGGCATGGGATTCTGCCAGCTCCCCCCCACAATAACATCACCCAGCTGCCTGGAAGTCTCCATCGCAACCGGGAGCTTTCAGCCAAAACATCAACAACAACCGAAATCGCAATGTCTGGCCGTCTCGCCTAGATCAGAAGAGGGTCCCCGCCGCGATGATACCTCCGCCGGTTCCACCATCAGTGGGTGAAGGGGGAAACGACCAAAGACAGTGACGACCACCAACAAAGTCCGCCTTGTCCGTTGACTGGAGATACACTGACCCCGTGATCCATCTTCAGGCCGATCCAACCTGAGGGCCATACCAGACTTTCTTCCTTCTGCTAGGGGGAGCATCGCCACCGACCATCGTGAACGGTGATCCAAGGATGCCACGCACAATCAATCCACAATTTGCTGAGGACAACGCACTCGCAAACACGCCGTTGTAGAGCCAGACAACGCCCACGGAGGATTCGCCATGGTTGCAAATACTAGTATGATAGGGCCGCGTCTGCTGGTGATTGGCTCTAAAGGACCGCATTCACTCAAGGGCTGGCTCGCTTGAAACCAGTCGTGTCGCACATCTTGACACCCACTCCGCTGCCCTGCATCCCTTGAGTTCCTGGGCGCCAACGTCCGTCCTATGATGCGCTCACCATTGACACCTAGTCTCCAGACGTAAGCACGTTGGCTCGGCTAGGCTGGGCGCACAATTCTGCTAACCTTTCGGCGTTGGCGTCCTCAGGTTGATTAACACGACAACGCCAGTCTAAGCTTGTTGACACTTTAGCTGCGGGGAGAACGCTCACCGTTACTTTCGAAGTCGTGTGTTCGTGGATCATCCCGGCTTCGTGTCTTTTCCTGAGCCTCAGTAGGCATCTCTTACCTACATTTGGCCAATCATGACTTGCTTTCATTTACTGTTCCTACTGACTTTTTTTTTTTTTTTTTTCGTTCTCCTTCGTACAAGCCGCCATGTAACCTGCATGGCACGGCGTTGAGGAAGGAGACGCACGGATAGGTGACCTCGCGTTCGGAAACAGATGGTGACATTTTCTGCTTTTTTTCTTATTTTCTTTTCCCCATGGCCTGCGAAATAACAGTATCAGGCGGAATACTGCCCTGACGATGCTATTTTCAAAAAATTGCAACTATTTATGCCACAGTCGCACAGCATCGTGCAGTACAATCTAGTGGGCTTGCACATCGCCATCTACTCCGTATACTTTCTCCTGCTTAGCATCGACTGTGGGGATGTGGCAGTCACGCGAAGCAAATAACTTATGGCCCGATCATCGTCAAGTCGCCACCCTGAAAGAGGGGACACCGTGCAGAGAAGGGCTTGGCGTTTACCACGATGAGGATGACTCCTCGACTGACGGTATTCACGATGTGTACTGACGATGCACCTTGAACGTTTCACACTACATCGAAAAGAGCTTCCCTTCAGCTGAACTCTGAAGAGGAGCACCAGATGCGGCCACCTGGTCAGGTAATGAAGCCTAGAAGGCCTGGTCGGAGCGGGCGCCAGCCAGCCTGAAACATGAAACCTTGCAAGATCTTCCTTGCATACCCAGTCCCAACCCTCCAAAAAGCCTTCGTCCCAAGCTGCCCTGCAGACCAACGGAGATCGGCTTGTGGGAAGCGTCTCCCGGTGCGCCGGCACCTCACCATCCTTCCTGTCGCTCATCACAGACGGAACCCTGGCAATTTTTGCGTGTTTGCCTGGATTTCTGGCCTGTGCGACTTTGCACTTCCACGAATTCCACGTGGACGGAAGCTTATGGGCAGAAACAAGACGCGAGGCCGTGACGCGCCCTGTTCTCGCGACAATCCTTCTCATTTGGCTCTAGAGTTTGGTAGAGGGCAATTCGGATGCCGAAAGCGAGGCCCGAGCAAAATGGAGTGATGATTGTGTGATTGTTTACACTAGCATATGAGACTGCGACTACCAGCAGAGTGTGTGCAACACCAGTCGTTGCTCGTATTATTAGTTATGTCTGTTTCTAAACCATGAGACTGAACCAATTTCCCCTGCATTTGGGGTGACTCGTGACTCGTACCACAGAACGACCAAGATTTTTTGCTTGTCTAGAAGGCCAAAGGGGGCATTTCTTGATGCTTTTCACTAATGTATATGGAAAAGTTTACTAAAATTGCAGGACATGACGTGACGAACACCTGCCAGGGTGGAGGCGAAAGTGAAAACCAGGATAGGCAGTTCGGCACTCTCCAGAACTCCGCCGCCACCGATACATCATCTGTCAGGGCCCGGCAGCCATTTTTTGTAGTAATAGGCTTTCGGCATGTCGGGAGGGTCGACGGTCTCCGCACGGTCGGCTGTCGGACTCAGTCCCGGCCTCAACCGATCGAGTTTCGGCTGCCGAGGAACGGGCTGTTGACGGCGAATTGTCCGCTTACGATGACACCGCGCCGTACGCATAAGTCACCATTGTTTGTGACTCAACCAGTGTTTCGAACCCCGCAGCTCCGGATTCTTCGGTCAACGCCCCAGGGTTTCGCTCCGGGCCCAAATCCTAGAGTTTTCTGTCAATCACGCGTAGCTTCACTTCAGCGTTTACCAAGACCGACAGCCCGAGATTTCCACCATAGACGCCGCGCACAACTTCTGTCTCCCGGTGAAAATACTTGCCAATGCGAGAGCGAAACTTACGCCGTTTCGGGCACATATGTCACCCCGGTGGCTGATGATTCTCACTAGCTGTGGTATTTGTAACATGCTTAGCCGTCATGCTGCAAGGCATATCGAGTCTACAGCTGGACATCTGGACATTTATTCTCATACCATCCGGGGTCCTTATCATGATGTAGACGACTTCGTGTTCGGTTTCGTAGAGGGCGCATCCTAGGTCGACCTAGGCATGATGACATGTGCCATGATTGACAGGACGCGATCCCCATCGGCGAAGGATGAGGAAGGTAAGCTGGCGGGCAGGATTTTTTTCTTTTTTTTTTTTTGCTATCATGGTGACTGTTCACCGATGCATGGAAATCAGCTGTATTATCATCCTCCCCAAGTTCAAGCGCACGCATGTGACAACATATGCCGTCGGGCTGATGTTCCAAGAGGCTTTCAAGAGTCCTGGTGAAGGGGGCTTAAAGTGCTCTGTCAGGAAGTGCTCTGTCAGGCCCACGTACACACCGGCAACAGGGGCTCGGTGCGTCTGGCGGAGTGGATGGGCTTCCGCGAAGAAGGTATCAGAAGATGGCATATGACTGTTTCCTCGGGGCCGACTACAGGGTAAAAGAGGCAACGGCCAGCCGCTGCCGCCAGATATTGATCCGGATGACACCTGGCAGGACAGCATTTGTCTCTGCTGGGGCGATTGCATAGATGGGGTTGACAAAAAGGTGCAAGAGGCAATGGATCGAATTAGCTGACAACTCGTGCGACTATGCTGATCTTTTTTCTTTCCCTTTATCCATTTCAGTGTGTAGAGCGGCGACAGCGGCATGCCATTCAGGGTGGTGATTCGAAAGTTCAGCGTTTGATGGGTCGGATCAGAGCTTCTCAATGATTGGCCTAGACAAGTGTGTGCTATCAGATGACGTTCCCGTATTTTTTTTCATCACTGGCTACAACTAAATATGTTCATGATTGTATTTCGTATTGGCGTGACCAAAGTAGAGACAGTCGTAATTGTCCCCGTCTTACTCGCGCAAGTTTGGCCTGGAGTGCAAATAACGGTGCGGGCTCTTGCACAATCCTAACTGCGGGTGGAGCTTCCCCCGTGCCCCGCGAAAAACCCCTCCAACAGGGGCGCCCACTCAGTCGCTCAACCTCCGATGTACGGCTTGCTCAACCTCTTTCATCAAACCACAAACCCACCACCACCGCTCCGGCCGTCGATGCTCGCCAGTGAGACAGTACGGGCTTATTAAATGAAGCTGCTTCGTATTTACGACATCACGAGGAACGTATGTGCAGTTGATCGACCGTAGGTGGTGCTACTTTGACGCCGCCACCCGGGGACGAAAATAGACACCTTGAGTTCCACGACACTTGTGATGAGCCATCAATTCATCTGCCACTTACCGACCTCGCACTGAACCAACTCGGGGAAAGAAAAAGAAGACGAAGAAATTTAAAGGCCGTCTCATCGGAGGAGAGATCTCGAGCCATGGGTGACACGTCTCAGGTTCCGGTAGAGCATGCAAGTGGCAGCAAGCCGCTGGTGGCCTTCCTGGGCCCCCAGGCCTCGTACACTCACCAGGTATCACGAACCTGAACCACATACATCGCATGGAAAGCGCAAGAGTTATCCTCTAACAATGTCTCCAGGCTTCATTGCAGGCTTTTCCTGAGGACCAGTGGGACCTGAGGCCGGTAGTCACCATCACGGGTGAGTAGCCTTCCCTACCTCATCTTTGCTTCGTTACCATGTCTATCCTGTTTCCACCGCCGCCCCCTCCGAGAGCCGACTCCTGATGAGACTCAGACATTTTCGAGGTCGTCCAAGCCGGAGAGGTCGCCTTTGGCGTCGTGCCTGTCGAGAACTCGACGAATGGCTCCGTGGTGTTTTCGTTTGACAACTTCGCCGACCGCAACAGCTTGTACCCGGACCTATCGGTCTGCGGTGAGATCTACCTGGACGTGCACCACTTCCTTGTCGGCCGCCGCCCGCCCCGTGCCCTCGATGACGCGACCGGCCCAGGTGACGGCTCCGGTGCCTGCACACCGACAGCTTCGGACCCGAACCCACTCAAGCCTCGGACCAAACCGCTGTGCAGTCTCAAGCACATCCAGCGGCTGTACTCGCACCCGCAGGCCTGGGGCCAGTGTGTCGCCTTCCTCCAGACATATCTGAAGGGCATCGAGGCCATTGACGTCAGCTCGACGAGCCGCGCCGCGGAACTGGTGTCCATGGATGAGACAGGCACGAGCGCCGCCATCTCGAGTGAGATCGCCGCGCGCATGCACGGCATCGACGTGCTGGCGCGGAGCATTGAGGATCGCGAGGACAACACGACTCGCTTCTTCATCATCCGCAAGGGTCTCCAGGGCAAGATGCCGGACCACTGTGAGCGGAAGAGGGGCAAAACCAAGTCGATGGTGTCATTCACGGTCCCACACGAAGCCCCCGGCGCGCTGGCCGACGTGCTCGAGTGTTTCCGCAAGTTCAAGCTCAACCTCACGAGCATCAACAGCAGGCCGAGCCTGACGGGGCCTTTCACATACGTCTTCTTCGTCGAGTTTGAGGGGCACAGGTTCCAAGACCCCGAGGGAAGGGTAAAGGGGGCTCTCGAAGGGGTGGCTCAGGTGGCGGAGAAGTTACGGTGGCTAGGGAGCTGGGAGGACCAGCGATCGTGAAAGGGGGCGATACTTGTTTTGACTACCCACCGTTACAAAAAGTTTCTCTCTCTATTCCTCTCTCTCTCTCTCTTTGTTGCCTCCCCGAAGTTCCTCTTGACACCCGGGAAACCCCCACGACGCATGGCCCGGCTTCGGGGACTTGAGTGGATGTCGGGATGGTGGCGAGACCATCTGATGATGCAGCAGCAGCAGCAGCAACAGCACCCCTCCCCTGAGACCCTGAACATGCTTCAGGGCTACCCGCGAATATTTTCGGTCCTTGAGGGCGCTTTTCGGTGTCACACAAGGAAGTCGATTGGACGGGACAGGGCTGAAGTGGCTGACGATATTGAAGCTATGTCTATTCGAGATAAAGAGGTACGTCGTGGGCTCGACAAGGAGCGTGGGATTTCCCACCCCTTTTAGCCATTGTGTAATGGAAACAGCGAGTGCCGCCGTGGAAGTCTCTTTCCCCCCCCCATGAGCTCGGCAACTTGTTGAGGCTTTTTTTTGGGAGGGGGTGTTTTGTGTGTTTTTCCTTGTTTCTTTCTCTATCTCTCTGCTACCCCTGGTTCCGTGATGGATGCTTCTTAAGAGAATTTTTTTTCTCTCCCCATCTTGCGGCGAGTGGTGGCGTTGTGACAACCTGATCAGAGCCAGAAAGGAGGCCCTCCGACAATCCCACCCAGCTTAGGAGGGGCTTAGTCAAAAGGTAAGAGAGAGCGGCTCGGATGAGGTGTCATTTTACATTCCGCAAGTGGTTTTTGTTGGAAGAGTAAAAGCGACGGAGGACCGACGGATCAACTTTTACGGCTACATGTGATGATATCTCAAGATGAACGAAAGCTGGTCGCGTGCCTATGTGTCTCACAACGCCCATCCCGCGGGGCTGGGCAGATAAACGAAGGAGGAGGCCGTCCCAAGCCGCATGCAACTTCTATGCTCTACGGCAACCCGGCGCGGAGATAGGTGGTGTGAAGGGGATAGTAACCCACCCCTTTACTTCAGCTCAACTAGCTGGCAAGGTTTCCTTTCGAAGCTCTGTAAGGTAAGGGAGGCAGGCAAGAGGAAAGGGGAGAGGGAGGGGGAAAAGCTCTGCAACTTTAGCGCGACTGGTTGAGGGGGTTGCCGAAGCTCTTGCAGAAGCTCTTGCAGAAGCTCTGCAAGTGTTGCGCGGATTTTACCAAAACCATGTCACTCACATTTGCCAACCACCCCCTCCCTCCCTTTCTTACTGCTCCTATGTCGGCCACATATTACCTAGACCTTTTGACGGTCCCCCCTTCATCTTCTTTGTTGATAGAATGGGTTGTTCCGCTGAGGGAACATTTCCATGGTGGACCGATAACTCCACGTCCATTACGTGCACATTACATGGGCATCGAAGAGGACCCTGGACGGAACTGGCCGCTTTTTTTCTTGTGTGTTCCCCGTTCAAACTGATGGGTTTGTCCCATTTCTTTCTTGCCTGCTGGCTCTTGTTACAAGCGCAGATGCCGAGCATGTCCCGCGATGAGTTGTGGAATGCAGGCAAGGGGAAAACAGGGTGGCCCAGGCCTCTCAGAATACTTACCATTACGGCCATTTCTGTTGCCTGATGGAGTCTGTTGGAATAGTCATGCTGGAGTCGATATCCACCCATCGACACACGTTCCACCGCGGAATGTCTCCATTTGCCCTGTATTTAGCATGCAAAACCCCATCAGATTCAGCAGAATTCCAAGCGGAATCCCAGTAGGAAACCCCACCGTTTCCCGCATTTACCCTTTTTTTTTCTTTCCTTTTTTTCTTTTTTTCTTTTTACCCTTACTCTTACTGCATTCTCCTTCAGTGTCCTGCAGCTCAGAGTTTGGTACAGAGTTTTTCCAACTCTCATCCTAGTCGACAAAAGCGGGCTTGCAACACTCGGCACCGACCCTAGCGTTGCCGGGCGCAGATGCGCTGAGGTGCAATTGGACTGTGTCGGCTCAGGTCCTTGTGCTATGACGTGTAGTGCACGTAGTAAGACAAGGTTCGCAACAAGAGCGCCTCAAGGTACCAGGCGAGAACCGTCTGGTTTCCGGGAACAGGTACCTCGTCGACATGTGTCGAAGGACGTTTTTGCCCATACTCAGTCGTACTTTTTGCCTGCGCCGCAGCTGGGTTCGGTACTTTGATCCCACCTCTCTTGTACATACGCTGGGCTTTATCGAGTGACTTACAGGCACAAGGCCAGGGACCCGAAGTGGGAGAGAGAGTGGGAATCTTTGGTTTTGAAAGAGGGGTGGGCGTTCCATGATCTGTGGCCAGACTGACAAGATACGCAGCCAAATGGACTCTCTACGTAGCTACTTTCTTGAACCGGCTGTCGGCTAAGGCAGTCGGGAAGACGAGGGGGGAGGGCGTGAAGCCGTGAAGGTGTGAGGAAAGAAGGGACGGGCAAACGTATTGCGTGTGAAGGGCAGAAAAAAGAGTGACTGGCCGTCGGCGGCAATGGCGAGTTGCAGAGCTTCGGGCAACCTAGAAGACAGCTGAGCTGAAGAAGGGACTTGGTGAACAATTTATAACCCAAAAGCCCGCACCTCTCGTTCCCTCCCCCATTCCTCTCTCTCGATTTCGCCATCGATACCTTGTACTGTCGACATTGACGATTCCTCCCATTACACCAATTTGTTGTTTAGCCTCGACGACAAGAGCTTCTCACAACGGTCCGGTCCGCATAGTGTTTGCTGCAAGTTCAGCTTCCCCGAAGCTCTGCAACTTCCGGATCCCCTGTTCCGCCCGCCCGCGCAGCCCTGTCTCTGTGCGCCTATTCGATCTTTCCCATAGTAAATTCCCCATCTTCGTGGTGAGGTGCTTCATCATGGCTATCACGCCTTCGAAGCCAATCTTCTGTGCGACCCACCCCAGGGCCTGCTCTACAGCCTTTGAAAGGGTAAACCTCCCTGAAAGCAAACTGCTGGCGCAATGCTTACCGCACGCCAAATCCCTCCTAAACCCCCCAATTTCCCCTCCCAAACTCCCCTCTAAGACAGACACATGGAGAGACAGGATGGTGAGCACGCAATCGACCGGCCCTGCGAAAACAAGGTTCAGGGTCCTGAATCGTGTGGAAGCAACCCGGACGAATGGTGTTTTGCTGTGTCTCGTCCAGAATCTATTCTACCGCTGGCTGTCTGCCCGTAATGGTTGAAAAAAGCTTAGCTGACGATTGGTGTTGTGCTGCTTCTACAGGTTTTCATGGCCCGCCGAGACAAGTTGGCGTGTGTCCATGAGCCTTTTGGCGATGCATTCTACTACGGTCCCGAGCGTATGGGAGAGCGTTTTGAGAATGATGCCGACGGAAGGGAAAAGTCTGGCTTCTCTGGAACGACATACGCCGACGTTTTGAAGCAGATTGAGGCCGCTGGTAAAGAGGTTAGTATTGATCTTCCCCCCTTCTGTTGCAATCCGATCGCATTTTGCTGCCCACCACCACTACCACTACCACCTACTATTACCCCCCCTGTGCCTGTTTTTGGGGGTTGCAGAGCTTCTGCCAACCCGCAAATATGGCAGTTTCACCCCATCAATCCATTACTTGACAACCCCCATCGAAAATCGATCAAATTTTAAATCGCAGAGGTTCTTGATACCCCCAAACAGAGCTTCTCGAAATTCCCAATTGAATTAAGCTGAAGTTCGGTCGGTTGTGGCGGGTCTGTCGAGCGACCGTGGAAGCTTTGCGGAGCAGCCACCAAGTGCCTACTGCGTCCCCCCCTCCTTTCCTTCCCTTCCCTCCCTCAAACACCCCACCAGCCTCAGCGGGCAGTCTTGGTAGTGGATTATTCCCATAATATCCCCCCCTCGATCAACCAACCAGCTTTCAATCACCAGAAACAAGAGATGCATGGAATCGGTCCCATCAGCCGCTAACATGAAAAACAAAATGACAGGGCAACAAGCGCGTTTTCGTCAAGGATATGGCGCAGTACCTGCTACCTCCCAATGATGGCAAGGCCGCTATCGCTCCTTCGGTCGGCTCCGTGCCTGAGCCCGGCAACCCCACCGTGCTGCCGATCGACACCCTCCGCAAGTTTCAGTGGACGTTCCTCATCCGGCACCCGCGCCGCTCTATCCCCTCCTACTACCGGTGCACCGTCCCTCCCCTGGACGAGATGACCGGTTTCTTCAACTTCATGCCCAGCGAGGCCGGTTACGAGGAGCTGCGCCGCCTCTTCGACTTCCTCGTCAAGGAGGGTATCGTCGACCAGAACAACCTCATGGTCGTTGACGCCGACGACCTGCTCGACAACCCCGAGGGCATCATCCGCGCCTACTGCGAGCATGTCGGCCTCGACTTCACCGACAACATGCTCAACTGGGGCGAGGAGGACACCAAGATCGCCCAGGAGAAGTTTGCCAAGTGGACCGGCTTCCACGAGGACGCCCTCGGCAGCACCTCGCTGAAGCCGCGCAACAAGGCCCATGTAAGTCACCCTATTCCCCCCGCACTAGTTGCTTTCCAGCCTCTGCCCTATTCCTTCCTAAATCCGTTGGAATCCTCTCTCTCCCCCAATGCCGTTTTTGTGGTTTGCCCACCTCGGGGCATGCTGGACGGCGACCGTGTGTACTACGCACGATGCTAATTCCCCGCGAGAAAAAGGTCATCACTCGCGAGTCCGAGGAAGCCGAATGGAAGCAAAAGTTCGGCGACAAGGGTCTCGAGGAGATCCGCGAGTGCGTCGACGCCAACGTCAAGGATTACGAATATCTCAAGAAGTTTGCTATCCGCGTCTAACTGACAACCTGGGCTGTGTTGGCGCCTCCTCCCTTTTTTTTATGATGTTGATGACAAAAGAGCACTATTACGATTTTGTTCCAGGGTCTACAGGGTCTTTTTTCTTTTTAAATTGTTACTTTTTTTTTTTCATGTTTTTTAAACAGGGAAATGGGTTTTTTCTCTCAGGGGTTTCGGTCTATCATGGTTCATGTAACCGTATTGGTACAGTAGTCTACATGGCAAAGCCGCCCAGCCAACCTTTTGAAGGGGCTGCGGATGGCAACTAGTAAAATAACAACAACGTCCTTTTTTTGTCAAATGTACAATCCTCACACACACGCACATTCCTCTCATCCCACGTGACATGACTGGTCCCAGCCAACTTAGATATCAGGAGGACGTATTATCTACCCCCTTCTCCGTTTATGCCTTGGCTTCAACGACCTTGTAATCCATCACCGGGCTGTTGGCGATCTCCTCCTTCTGCTCGACGACCTCCGCCTCATACTGCGCCGTCAGCTCGACGGCGTTGTCCAACAGGTCGTGCGTGACGTTGTCGGACCACTTCTCCGCAAAGTTACGGTCAGTGTCGATGGCCCAGTATATCGTCGCAGGAAGAAGCTCGTCGGGGCCATCGGCGACCTCGACGACGTTGCCTTCACTGTCGGCGACAGTCTCTGTCGCGGCTCCCTCGACGAGTTTGCTCGCGGCCTCGGCCTTGCCCTTCTTACCGGCCACCGCCGCCGTCGGCACAGGGGGGATCTTTGACCACTTGCGGCCCAGCAAGGGCACGCCCTGCTCGAGCAGGGCCTTCTCCTTGGGGCTCACGTGCAGGCGGTTACCGCGGCCAATGCCGGCAAGGACGGCGGCCATGTCGGCGATGGCGTTGTTGCGCTGGTCGTTCAGGGCCTGGCCACGCTCGAAGCGGCCGCGGACGCGCTTCGTCTCGATCTCGGGGTTCGCCTCGGTGGCATTGGAGGCGAAAAGGAGGGAGTCGTCCCAGCACAGCTCGTGCAGCCTGCGGAACTCACGCAGCTTCTGGAAGACGGACTGGCCTGCCGCACCCGCGCCCTTGGGCAGCTGGATCAGGGCCAATGGTTGCCAGTAGTCGCGGCGGAGCTTTGCGGGCTTGGACTTCTTTCCGTTGAAGGGGAGTTGGCGGAGTGCGCGGTTAGACTGTGACCAAAAGAAAAAGAACGTGTTAATATCGTGATACAAAGAAGCTGCATGGCGACATCAGGAACCCGATTGCGTCCCCAACCCCATTGAGGGTTGCAATTGAGCCCGAATGGCACTTTGGGAAATTGTAAACGTACGTCGAGTTGCTTTGTGTGAGAGTAGATGACCTGGTTCGAGGTCAGGTGGCTCCAGACCCAGATCTGCTCGCCGTGTCCCTCCGGGAACTTGGTGAGCTCAGGCTGAGGCACCCTGCGGCGCGACTGTACGTGGCCATGCCGTATGCTTGTCCGGGAGACGCCGAAGGACAGCTGTGAAAACCTAAAGACCGGAACCGAATTCATCTTCGCTTTCTGCGTGCGCCGTCGCGTTGTCACCGGCGATGTCGCTGTCGGTTTCGTCGTCGTCCCCTCGAGCTTCGTTGCAGCTTGACCTTGCAAAATTTCCCGAAGCTTTGGAACCAGGGCGCGCGAGAGGCGTGGCTGAGAGATGTGGCTGGTGCTACAGAGTCACCTGACTTTTGAGAAAAAGCCACACCCCACGAGAGATTAGATAAGATAACTTATCGTTATCGCGATTGGTCGGCGTGGGGCGCTGACGGACCCGCGCCCAATGCGACCCCGCGGTTTAGGCTCGGTGGTGCACTGGCTTCCAGTGACGTCGCGGAACTTCCACAAGTTTCTGGTCGCTGCCCTACAACTCCCGGCCTTACCAGACAACTCTCGATCAGTCGATTCTACGGCCCACTTCCTTGGTTACACCCAAGAGGAGCTTCACTTTCCAAGCATAAATTCAGCGTCGAGAACCGTTGTGCAAGTAGCCTTTTCTTTCTTCATCAAGCTTAATTCTGAACATAGAAAGATACCCCAGTTGATGATAGACTCTTCAACTTGAAGTCTCATATTTCTGAGCTTCGTCTACCTACCTACCTACCATACATACAACAACACAACTCAACACTCTCTTAATCACCACAAGAAACAACAACCGTCAACATGAATTCACGAATGGAATTCACCGACAGAGGCGAGAAGGCCGTGCAGGATGCCATGGCCCTCGCCGAGCAGTACGCACACTCACAACTGCTCCCCGTACACCTAGCAGTCTCGTTGCTCGACCCTCCGGCAGATCAGTCAAAAGATCAACAAAATGCTCCGCCCCAGACGTCTTCAATGTTCCGACAGGTCATTGAGCGCGCCCACGGCGACCCACAACTGTTCGATAGAGCACTCAAGAAGACGCTCGTCCGCCTGCCGAGCCAAGACCCACCCCCGGACCAGGTCTCTGTGGCGCCGACCTTCCACGCCGTATTGAGGAAGGCCCAGGACCTTCAGAAGACCCAAAAGGATACCTTCATTGCAATCGACCACCTTATCCAGGCCCTCGCTGAGGACCACACGATACAGGCAGCTCTCAAGGAGGCCAACATCCCCAAGCCGAAGTTGGTCCACGATGCTGTCTCACAGATCCGTGGCACGAAGCGGGTGGATAGCAAGAACGCTGATACGGAGGAGGAGCACGAGAACCTTGCCAAGTTCACCATCGACATGACGGCCATGGCCCGCGACAAGAAGATCGACCCGGTCATCGGTCGAGAGGAGGAGATCCGCAGAGTTGTGCGGATTCTCTCCCGCCGGACGAAGAACAACCCCGTCCTCATCGGTGAGCCCGGTGTCGGTAAGACAACCGTCGTCGAGGGCCTGGCCCAGCGAATTGTCAACCGCGACGTACCTGACAACCTGAAGGCCTGCAAGCTGCTGTCGCTTGACGTCGGCGCCTTGGTGGCCGGTAGCAAGTACCGCGGAGAATTCGAGGAGAGGATGAAGGGTGTCCTCAAGGAGATCGAGGATTCCAAGGAGATGATCGTCCTCTTCGTCGACGAAATCCACTTGCTTATGGGTGCTGGTGCCTCCGGCGAGGGCGGCATGGACGCTGCCAACCTGCTCAAGCCCATGCTTGCCCGTGGTCAGCTGCACTGCATTGGTGCAACGACCCTCGCCGAGTACCGCAAGTACATCGAGAAGGACGCCGCTTTCGAGCGCCGTTTCCAACAGGTGCTGGTGAAGGAGCCCAGCATCGGCGAGACCATTTCCATTCTCCGTGGTCTCAAGGAGAGATACGACAGACACCACCGTGTTACCATTCTCGATAACGCCCTCGTAGCCGCCGCCAACCTTGCCGGCCGCTACCTCACTTCCCGCAGACTTCCCGACTCGGCCATCGACTTGGTCGATGAGGCTGCGGCTGCCGTTCGCGTTGCGAGAGAGTCGCAACCCGAAATCATTGACTCTCTTGAGCGCAAGCTGCGTCAAATCATGATTGAGATTGCAGCCTTGGAGAAGGAGAAGGACGAGGCGTCCCAGACTCGTCTGGTCCAGGCGAGAAAGGATGCCAAGAACGTTGAGGAGGAGCTTGAGCCTCTCAGACAGAAGTACCTCTCTGAAATCAAGAGAGGTGAGGAGATTCACTTGGCCAAGCTCAAGCTCGACGACCTCGAGAAGCGTCTTGAGCAAGCCATCAATGATGGTGACCACGCCAAGGCTGCCGACCTCCAGTACGGCGCCATCCCCGAGCAGCGCGCAGTCATCAAGGAGCTCGAGGCCAAGAAGGCCGCGGCCGACGCTGCTCTCAACGCCACCGGCCAGGACCACGGAGCCATGGTCACTGATGTCGTCACTTCCGACCACATCAACGAGATCGTGTCCCGCTGGACCGGTATTCCCGTCACCCGTCTCAAGACTACCGAGAAGGAGAAGCTTATCCACATGGAGAAGCACCTCGGCAAGATCGTTGTTGGTCAGAAGGAAGCTGTCCAGGCCGTTTCCAACGCCATCCGCCTGCAGCGGTCTGGTCTTAGCAACCCCAACCAGCCACCTAGCTTCCTGTTCTGCGGTCCCTCGGGTACCGGTAAGACTCTCCTGACCAAGGCCCTTGCCGAGTTCCTCTTCGATGACTCGAAGGCCATGATCCGCTTCGACATGTCCGAGTACCAGGAGCGTCACGCTCTTAGCAGGATGATTGGTGCCCCGCCCGGATACGTCGGACACGATGCTGGTGGCCAGCTTACTGAGGCTCTCCGCCGCAAGCCGTTCTCCATCCTCCTCTTCGATGAGGTCGAGAAGGCGGCCAAGGAGATCCTTACTGTCCTCCTACAGCTCATGGACGATGGTCGCATCACCGACGGCCAGGGCCGTGTGGTGGACGCCAAGAACTGTATCGTCGTCATGACCTCCAACTTGGGAGCCGAATATCTCACCAAGTCTACCAACCGCGAGGGCAAGGTCGACGCTACCACTCGCGAGCTCGTCATGAACGCTCTCCGCAACTGGTTCCTGCCTGAGTTCCTCAACCGTATCAACTCGACGGTCATCTTCAACCGGCTCACCCGCCGCGAGATTCGCAGGATCGTCGACATCCGTCTGCAGGAGATCCAGAAGCGGTTGGCCGACAACAACCGCAAGGTCACTATCGACGTGTCAGAGGAAGCCAAAGACTACCTGGGCAACGCAGGCTACTCACCTGCCTACGGTGCCCGTCCGTTGTCTCGTCTGATCGAGAAGGAGGTCCTCAACAAGCTGGCCATTCTCATTTTGAGAGGCAATGTCCGCGATGGCGAGACCGCCCGCGTGGAACTTATCAATGGCAGGATCACCGTCCTGCCCAACCACCAAGACAGCGAGCTCAACACCGACGACGAAGACATGGACGAGGATGACGCCGTGGATGAGCTCGTTGCTGACGAGATGGATGAGGACATTTACGATTAAGGAGTGCATAGAGAAACGGAATGATTCATGAAGCATGGGTCTTTTAATGGATTAATGGGTTAATGTAAGGTTCGCATTGTTTATGGAGTTTAAGGGCATTGGGAATTAGGTAAAACTAGTATTTCATACCAAGTGTATAGAACTTTGGAAAAGTTCAATAAAATTAAAAAAAATTCAAAAAAATAATAATAATGCGTGTCTCTTGTTGAGTTGTGATGTGACCACGAGTGACCATGATTACCGGAAATAAAAGTGATGAAAAAAGAAGTAGGAAATCAAGAATGAAAAGGAGAAGAGAAAAAAAAAATAAAAAAGAGAAGTGAGGCTGAATGCCATAAACTTAGATATCTACAGCCTCACGGCAATACCTGGCTGCCTCTTCAGCGTGTCACATCTCCCTAAGCGTTTTGCTTGATTAGTTGACACAAGGTTCTACAAGAGGACGTGTTTTATACCATCGACTTTCCGCTTAAGTATATAGGGGGGAAAAAAATCGAGTCTCAAAACCTGGGGGTTCTCCTTTTCTTCTACTATGGCGACCGTGAGTATTTCAACTGCTTTCATGACTTAAGTCACATGCTAAATGTTATATAAATACACAAGACAACTTCTGTTTCCAAACGTTTTTAGTTGGCAAAGGTCACAATAGAGTTCGAGTTGAGCACTGAGGCGGTCTTGGATCACTCTAGATGCAGTACCAGAAGCATACCTGAATGCCACTCCACGCGCCTGTTTGTATAGGCAACGTCAAGATAACCGGTCCTCTTACAGAGTTGCGCCGTTTTTCTCACGCCAGAGGTTGGCTTTGATCGCTGGCAACATTGGAGCTATTTGTCATAACATACCGCAGCCGTTATACAAGGGCTCAGCTTGCTGGTATTTGAGAGGTCGATGCATAGCCGTGTGGTGGTAGGGAGTATCAACCTGACCGCCCTAATTACCTTGTCAGTGGCTTTTTCATTACCAAGTTAATCCATACTTGTGGCTCGTTTGCCCTGTTGAACTGGGGGCCGTCCCGAAATCGACTTGAAAACACACTCTTTGTTTGGTTTCTTATGTTTGAATTAAGTAACGCTGTTTGTTGTACGCCAGACTGTACATGGCAGTCTCGCTTTGCTGTTAATTTTCATGAAATGCAATGCGCGCGAGATCTGCAAAATTTAGGTGGGATGGCTGGATAGTCCAGCAATGGTTGCGATGCTATTTTTACCTGTCGCGACCCCAGTGATCGCCCTGGTCGGGGAAGGGGGGATCCCCGACAGAGAGGTTTGTCGGTTGTCACCCTCTCTGAGCCTCACCCAAGAAACCGGGGCAGTAGGCGAATGAAGGAGAGGGGGCCCTGCTGTGGCGCCCGCCCGTACCCCCATCCCCAAGCATGGGACCGTAGTGCATGAGGGGATAGATTGCTCCGTCAAGTGCCGGAGAATCGACTATTTTCCCAGTGTTGCATGCCAGGTCAGGATGAGCTTGGAACGGTTGCTGATCCCTTCATGAAGATGGAATAAGAGCCGCTTCGGTGATGCGGGCGATTATTGCGGCGTTGACCGACCGATCATGCCGCAGGCGGTAATGCATTGAAACTGCGCAGCGGAACGCGTCACTGGCAGGACGGACGTGGCGGAAGAGGGCACTGGCGCAAGTTTCGACGGAGGCCGCGGCGGTAAAGTTGAGGCTGGTCAGGTCCGTGTCGTGTTGCACATGGACAATGTGCGTAGGACATTTCGTCCTGAATCTGGGACGAGAGAGAGGGGATGAAGTCCGATGTCCGATGGAAAAGACAACGGAGTGTACGTGAACGGGGAGAAGGGCCCCCTTGCTCTCAACCGCAGGCGTAAAGCATCGACACACAACCTGTGGGGGGGCGGCACAGAATAGGGGTCGATGAAACGGCCTGGTGCAGAAGAAGGGGATTCAAAGTCTCTCATCAATATGCTCGTATGAGCTGCTATCGGTGTAGCAGTTTGACGACAAGTCCAGGTCCAAGAGCTGCGATGGCAGATGCCTTTTTCTGTCAATCCTAGACGTTTGAGGGCGGCAACAAGGACGGGATGGATGAAAGCCTGGCCACCAACCAGACCAACAAACCATTTCTCGGCGGACAGGTGTCCTTGGGATGGACACGTCGGACCGTAGTTTGTTCTACCATTTACCCGTCCGGCAGACGTCAGTACGGTAAAAGCTTAAAGGTCAGTAACAAATGCTAGACTTTTTGGGAATGTAGGTTCTCCCCAGCACCAAAGTCCCCGTAGCGTGCTTTCCAAGGGGAAGGCCAGCTCCTCCCATGGCTAAATCGGGGAGGGGGCTGCGGGTAGCCACCCAGTAGGCTACGAAGCGATAGTAGAATTACGACGTAGTATGTCAAGGAAACATTGGATACTGAACAGGCTTGAGTAGCTTAAGAACATGATTGTCATTTCCACGCTGTCCTTCAACTAGGTGAGGACTGAACAGTGATTACCTTTACAGCGACAGAGCCATATACAAGGAGAGAAGAGGAGAGCTCCAAAAGTGGTGGAAGCCGTTGGCGGGAAATCGTGGCGTGGGCGTGTGCATAAGACATCACGGCCGTGGATGTAGCTTGGATAAGGCAGGCTAAAGCCGTGTTTCAGAATTTTTAGCAGATCCTCTGACAAGAGCCATCCAAGCTCGTGATTGGACAGTGTGCCAAAGGGCGCAAAGCTGGAGCATAAATTACCAGCATCTCCATCACGCCTTTACAGTCGTGCACCTGGTGGCCTGGCTTAGGCTAGCCTTGGCCGTTGATGTCAATGGCCCCATTGGGAAACACGTCGCAAGCTTGCTGGCTCTCTGGCGGTGGCCCCTTCCCCTTTTTTATTTTTTTTATTCTCTGTGAGGGAAAGTCTCTTTTATCAGACTGATGATTCGACCGAAGACTGCGGATTAAAGTGCAGAGAGAGTGTGAGGGGCCGTGCTCGAGTCAGTAGATGACAGCGAGGCGCTGTCCTTCGTCAAGTCGTTTATGCATGAGAGTGCGGAGTTCGTGTTGCAGTGGTCAAATAGGGACGAATATTGTGTGCTCTGGGTAAGCAACACCCGAGGACCCGAGTTCCCAGTTTGAAGGCAGACGTGGTTCGTGACATTTTGCTGTTGAACCCCTAAATCAACTCAATCGAGGGGCAGAACAGAGCCTCCCAAAGATGATATCCGGCATGCCCTAGAGTTTGTGTTGGTACGCATGTGGCTTCGGTCAATTTATCCATGACAACAAGTCAGCACTCTGGCAGATGCTGCACAAAGCATTGAAACCATAAGACAGCATAACGGGATCAGCGAATCAACTACGAAGCCGTTGTGATGCACATGGGTTCGTGCTTTATGTTGTCAAAGTAGTCCTATTACAAGTTGACTGGCGATGACATGTCGCCTTGTTGGTTAAGCACAAACAAACTGTGTTCCTCGTTCCTTTTCTTTTTGGCCGATATCAAATTGTGAAGCTGGCCTAGTATTGCCGAAGGTGTCATCTGCTCATGGAACGAGTTTGTGAGATACTCCGTGATTCTCGCTTTCCGCATTTCCCCTCGGTCGGACGGTTTCTCGAGGGTCAGCCGTAGTTCCCGAAAAAGGTTGACGGACTGTGGGGGCCGGTCATACTGTCCTGAAGTGTCGCCTCTTGCTTTTGGCTGGGCTGGCGATTGTAGCGGCACCCCGGCTAGTTGATGAGGGATGACCGCACTGCGCTGTAACTCTGGACTGTCTCCGTGGGAATGAGGTGGTGTGGTAAGGGCCGACTTGTCAGTGGAGGACAGTTCTTTCTGACGGACGAATTTGAGCCAACATCAAGTCAGTTCGGCCACCATCTCGGGTCGCTTGACAGGCCGGACCCCTATTCTTCAGTTTGAACCGTCCGGTCGGCTACTCAAGCTCGGTGAAAAGTGAGGCGCTGTTGGCGGGGACGAATCGGGGCATTGGGCAAGCGTGTAGGAAGTAAGGGACGGGATCCCAGCGACAATGGAGGGATGGCATGCGAATGACAGTTTGGAGGCTTTGGTTCCATCGCATTGGGTAGATGGAATGCGTTTAGGGAGGATGACGGAATAGGCGAGTTGATGGGGTGAGCGGAGGGATGCGCATCTTAGGAAGAGCCGGTATTAAGACAAGACTCAAGGATGGTATCGCAGTGTCGCGTACGACTGGAGCAGTTGAGGTACGTGAATCATCCTAGAACGTCCGGCTTATAGAAGAGACCGGGGTTGTAGGGCTGTTCATTCTGTTGTATGTGCTGTATAGTAGAAGCTCAGACTTCTTATTATTATTGCGTGCCGCGGTGATGATTGCGGTGCAAGGCAATGGAAGAAGGAAGGGCACCTTAAAAGTTGATGTCCGGTATTGGAAGGACAAGTGGCGCGCGGCCTGAGTGCAGCGAAGGTAGGTTATTGCCCACTAGGAGGCGTTGGTGCATTCCAACCAGATTAGCGTCTTAGTGGGCGAGGTCCTTCCCGAAGTCTAGACCAACTCTTTCTCAATGGCACACTCTTTTTTGCTGTGTGTTTTCTCCCTCTGTTTAGGTGCTACAAAATATCCCCTTTCTAAATGTTCATCTACAAGAAACGACCTTGGGCGGTTTCAAGCTGCATCTCACGGCAGAAGGCACCAGCCATGACCATGACCATGACTTACTACCAAGCCCATAGCCGCTGTTCTCGATTTTGTCCCACCCTGACTGACCATCTGTGATATTCTTTGGGGAAGCGACGTGGAAGGTGCAAAGTGGGAAAATGTGGAGAGCAATTGCGGGTACGTACAGGTGCCCACACACCCACGGCAGCCCTCCCTGGCCACTCACTCCCGGCTCCACTTCCATCTGGTTGAGGAAAGAAGGGGAAAGGGACGAGGGAGGGGGAAGGACAGGAGCAACAGGGAGAAGACGACGACGAAGGCGCGAAGGGGAAAAGCGGCAATTCCATTCCGAGGGGGCCTAAAACGGGAGAGGGACACAACACTATCAAAGGGCTGAAAGAAAAAGAAGGCCTCATAAAGACAAATTGACGAAAGGGCAAAAGAGTAGATTACTTGATTGGCATGACATCTGGCTGGACTAGGCAAAGCTGTGTGCTGGGTGCGGTTAGTGATGGGGTCTTTCCCCCCTAAAAGAGTGTGCTAAAGTCGATCGGCTGCCGTTTCACACTGACCTCAACCCTCCGCTTAGCCCCGTTGTGGGCGCTGTCGTGTCAGCCAGTCCCTGTCTGGGCTCCTCCTGCCCTGGTCAAACCGAGGAGGGGGAGAGAGAGAAGAGGAGGAGCGGTGCAAGGGATGTACCTGCCGTGGGCCGATAGCTGGGGAGGATACCTTGGATGTGACGGTGGTCTTCCCCGTAAAGTCATGTACCCTCTCCACCAGGAAACCTGATCCTGCCCTGCCCTGAGAGAGAAAGAGAGGGTATGTGTGTGTGTGTGTGTAGGAAAAGTAAACTGGCGGCGGGCGGCGGCGACTGCCCTGCCAGGCACACACCGGCTGGGCCAGGTACCTTTCCCTGCTTCGCCTTGTCTTTTGCCTTTACCTCATACTTGGCTTCCATGCCTGAAAGTGAACTAAACTGCATCTGCACTTGGAGCTGCGCTGCATGCTGCACTTGCACTATACGAATACTGTTGCTGCCATTCGTACTCTTACTGTTTGCTTCTCTGCTGCTTCGCTGCGCTGTACCCTGCCGCTGCTGCCACTACCGTCCGAGGTAAGGCACACCTCAATCTAAGGTAAGGTACCTGTGCCCTACCTTAACCCCCCCGTCCCCTTTAACCTGCTGCCGCATACACACACCTAGGCCTAAGTACCTTCCTTACCTACCTCAACTCTTTCTTTGCCTGACCGTCCCGTCCTAAACTGGCCAGCGACCCTGCTCGAACTCCAACTCGCATTGCACTGTACCGCACCTATTCCTTTCACCGTTCCATCAACCACCAAACCTCACACCTCTCTTTTTTCACTCCTCTCTTCTTCCTCATCTTCTTCCCCTCTCCCACTCCCACTCTTCCACTCCCCAAGCCCCTATCCCTTTCTCCAGGCCTCATCTACCCTATACTAATGAAGTCTGTATATTGAGATCGTTTACTTTTTGTTTCTTTCCCCTCTCTTTTTTTTGTGTCTCGCTCAAAAGAATACTGGAGGAAAGGACAGCTAGTTTGTATTGGCTCCTGCTGCTGCTGCTTTGCTATCTATACAAATTCGCCTGCGTTGGGAATTCCGGACCTGGTGGAATCTGATCCGAAAACCGACCAGACGACACCGCAACGCTCCGCAAACGCACTGCATCGCTTCGTATCGCAGCACCCACAATCAAAAGACCGCCCACCGCTACGCGACCACAACGGCTATCGAGTGACGGAAGGAGAAATCTTCCCTTCACCCCAGCGCCCAAAATCGTTCGTAGCCCACAAGTGCCCCGACATTCCTTGACCTCACAACTCAAGTCCCGACCGACGTCGAACTCTCCTTTTTATTTTCTCCGAGCACCCAGCAGCCATCTACCAACTGTCTGTCTGGCGTGGCGTACCTTGTAATACCTGGAAATACGCACACAAGACTTTTTTTCCCACCCCCTTGGACCGTTCGATCAACATTCCTTACGCAACTCCTCCCACCGAGTCACCTCCGTTTTGCGCTGCCTCTGCCCCCGGTGATTCTATCCCCCCTCTCTGCCCTCTCGTGCTCGACAGGTTGGCAGACCGCCCCGGACAGTCGCTCAACGCACCGCTCCACCGGAAGAAACTCTGGGAATTTGACGCAGCATCGCGCTGTCGCCCTCCTCGTTCGACCCGTCCAACTTGGTAACACGAGACGCCGTGGTCCCCCTCCAGGCTGTCCACAATTGGTCGGATTCAATTCTCCGCCGCGCGTGTCCATTGTCTCCTAGGAGGACACCATCCAATTCGACAGCCCCAGCATTTCATCGGGCTAATTCGGTTGTCACAAATTTCTCTGATGAGGTCCGGCCTAGATAATTGATAATGTCAACTAGATCCGATCACTTGGCTATTGGTTACCCGCCCCAATCTGCCACACAGCCCCAGTCGACTTCTCCATCCACAAACAACACATCCCCCATTGATTCTGCCGCTGGTTCCTCGGTCAGATCTCCGTTCGGCCTGCCAGGCAGTTTGAACCACACCAGCAAGATGGCTAGCACTTCGCGATCAGGGACTGGCTCTCCGTCGCACGAGATGCCCGGTTCCAGCAGGCTGTTCTCCAAGAGGTATGTCAATGACCTATTCCAATCCAGGCCAGCCTCCAAAAGCCGTACACTAATCCAATTCCCTCAGAGCCCGGGAAATCCAAGCTCAGGAAGGCGTCCCAGGACTGCCGTTAAATCCTTGGGGTGGTCCGCCCACCAGCGGCAACTCCACGCCTCTCCGCGAGAACATCCCCGAATCACCAACCGATGGCTTCCCCGACTTTGCTCAGCTCCCTACACCTGATTCTCTGCCTCAGGCGAGACGCGCTCGTGCAGGTACCGTTCCTTCGCGGTTCTCGCCCGGTGGTGTGGGCAACGGCCTGCTCAGCGTCCCCGCGATGGCTCCCAAGTCATCCCGACCGACGCCCTCCCACAGCCCTTTCAAGTCCTCATCTCCCGGCCTCGAGCCGACCGAAACTGCGTCCAATAACTCGGCGCTGCTTTCACGTCTTCGTGCAGGATCGATGCCTCAGCGCAGCCCTTTCGCGCAGATTCCAGGCACCAGCTCACCCTTCGGACCCTCCATTTTCAGCAGCTGGAACCCCACCGGAACCGGTCGTGACCGCGGAATGACACTTGCCAGCATTGCGAGCATTGGCTCTACTAACGGCCCAAGCTCGCCAACACAGTCTCAGATCTCCAGAGAAGGTGGCGGAGAGAGTGATGTCCATATGAGGACGCTTGATTACCTTGGACTGGCGGAGACCCCACAGCCCCCTCGCGCGCAGTTGGCGACTCCGTACATCCCAAGCTTCAACGGTTTTACTAAGGCTAACCGTTTCCGTTCGTACTCTGTTAACAACAAGGACAAGTACGCCGACGAAGAGGAGGATGACTTTGAGGACAACATGACTCTTGAAAGCCAGTATGTTGCCCATCTTCAGGACCAGCTCGCGGCCACGAACGCAGCGATTCACAGCCACAACTTGGCCGTGCAAGCGTTCGCTAGTCAAGCGACTCGTCCCCGAGCTCGCACTGCTGGTGTTCTTGACACTCCTGGATCCCGACTTATGCGCACCTATCTCTCTGGCAACGTCGGTATGGGCAACGCTGTCCCTCCCGCCGAGATCCGTCTGCCAGATGAGAAAGAATTTGACGACTTGCCTCAGGCTGTTGCTGCTATGAACCTTGGACGGTCAAGCAGCCGCAACGCAAATTTGCTCAATGCCGAAGACCAAGGCCTCGAGGGGCCCACGAGCGCGCTCTGGCTAGGCAGCATTCCTACATCTACCACCACGTCGACTCTGACCGAGATGTTCAAGTCGTATGGTCCTATTCTGTCTGCTCGTGTCCTTACACACAAGAACTGCGGCTTCGTGAATTTTGAGCGCATGGAGAGTGCCATCACTGCCAAGGCTAGCATGAACGGCAAGGAAATCTTTCCTGGAGCTGGCCCAATCCGCATCAACTTTGCCAAGCCTCCGTCTGCCTCAAACACTCCTGGCCACGATGGTGTCTTCCCATCTCCCAGCCCCGACCCTTTTGCGAAGAACCAGGACAGCGTATCTGGCGGCGCCTCCGGTGCTGCCGCTGACAATGCCCCCGCGGCCGCCCAGCCGGCGAACGCTGCTCCAACCGTCCCCCCTCTGCCCGAGATGACGAGCGACATCATGCGCATCGTGAAGCAGTTCCAGGCCTCTGACGATGATTCCGCCAAAATCTCCCAAAGTCTCCAATCTGCCATCCAATTCACCAACTTCATTGATGAGATCCCTCCCATCCGGGAGCCCGCCCACACACGTGTTCACGACGCCCCGAGACTCAGGGACATCAGGAAGCGAATCGACAACCAGAGCTTGTCCCAGGCCGAGATCGAAACTACTGCTCTTGACATGCTACCCGAAATTGCTGAGCTGTCCTCGGACTACCTCGGTAACACCGTCGTGCAGAAGCTCTTCGAGCACTGCTCCGATGACCTCCGGGATGCTATGCTTGCTGAGATTGCACCTCATATGGCAGAAATTGGTGTGCACAAGAACGGTACCTGGGCTGCCCAGAAAATCATTGACGTCTGCAAGACTCCTCACCAGATGTCCTTGATCGTAGAGCACCTGCGACCCTATACCATCCCGCTTTTCCTGGACCAGTACGGCAACTATGTTCTCCAAGGATGTCTCAAGTTCGGCTCACCCTACAATGATTTCATCTTCGAGACCATGCTTAGCCGTATGTGGGAGGTTTCTCAGGGTCGCTATGGTGCTCGCGCCATGCGCGCCTGCTTGGAGAGCCACCATGCTACCAAGGAGCAGCAGCGCATGCTCGCTGCCGCCATTGCCCTGCACAGTGTACAACTTGCGACCAATGCTAACGGAGCCTTGCTTCTGACCTGGTTTTTGGACACCTGCACGTTCCCTCAGCGCCGGACTGTTTTGTCACCACAGCTCGTTCCCTGTCTGGTCCACTTGTGCACGCACAAGGTCGCGTACCTCACGGTGTTGAAGGTTATTAATCAAAAGGCCGAGCCCGAGGCACGGGATACGATCCTCAAGGCTCTATTCTTCACACCCAATGACCAGGTTCTTGAGGCGATCTTGAGTGATCATGCCTGCGGTGCGACCCTGATTTTCAAGGTCCTCACTACGCCCTTTTTCGATGAGAGCATCCGCAGCCAGGTTGTCGAGAACGTAAAGAACGTATTGGTTCGTATCAAGGCTCAGCCGGGCCAAGGCTACAAGCGCCTGATGGACGAGGTTGGCCTGTCTACCCGCAACAGCGGCGGAGGTGCCCGCGACCATGGACACGGAAGCAACAACAACAACAACAGCAGCAGCAACAACAATGAGCCGCGACAGCGACCGGCCTCTCGCCAGGCCAACATGAACAGCCACCACCAGCAGGGGGCTCACATGAACAAGCAGCAATTCTACAACCCGCTGAACGCGCCTGTCAATGCGCCCAACTATGAGTTGGGCTTTGGCGGTCAACGCAATGAGCCTGCTGACTCCAACATGCCGCCCTTCCCTCCGTATGGTGCGCAGAACTCATTGTACAACCCGTCGAACTCACCGATGCCGACTCCTGCCAACTTGCAACAGTTGCAATACCAGCAGAACATGCTGAACCGCGCCACGCCACCCATCAACAATTTTTTCCCCCAGATGCAGGCAGGCTTTGGCGGCTACAACAGCCCGAGTCCGTCAATCGACCAGTACCGTAGCCAGAACTTGGCCAATGGCAGCCCCATCCAGCCGCCGACCCAACTTCCTCAGATGCCTCCCGGTCAGGCACCGTACGCACCTCCTGGATTTGGTATGAACATGGGCATGGGAGGGTTCGGCTATGGCAACATGGGTGGCGGTGGTGGCATGCAGAACATGGGATACATGCAACAGGAGCAGGTCAATGGAAGACGTGGCCGAGTAGGTCAACCCCTGCCTACCCCCATTGGTGTCAAGAGACATCACTAACTCGATAACAAGAGATGATCTGAACGTCAATTGTACAGACGCAATGCTGGTCAGCGACGGTCTGACTGGCTCATGCCGCTCTTTTTGCTTGTTAAGGGATGGCTTGGTATGGAATCGGCACAGGAGTTTGGTGGATCTGGATCGTCATGTAAGAATGTTTGCAGGAGTACACGCCGCCCAATGTGTCAAGAAAATGCGCAAGCCACTCCCATTGAGGAGGGGGCCATGTCTCGATGATAGACAGGGCACAAACGGAACTGCCCCCGGATAGTGGTCGCAGCAACGAGAGAGGGTTCTATTTTTTTTTTCTTTGCTTCACCTGGTGGCTCCAGTGGCTTCCAAATAGCTCTTCATCCTTCCTGTTGTTGTTCACCTGGAAGTTTCTTCTTTACAACTACTATTGCTGCCCTCAGTTTGCTTGTGGCGTGGTACATAGAATGAGCGGGCGGCGGCGGAGGAGGCGGCGGATGTACCGGGTAACAAAATCCCCCCAAGATCTTCCGCCCACCTGCGAGGAAGTCGGTCGAGAAAATCAATCCCCCACCAAAAAAAATGCATCGCTTTTGAGTACTGCAAAGTCATCAACGGAGTCTCAAACGATAGGCGGGCATTGTTTTGTTTGTTTCCCTGTTTTTACTTGGTTTATGGATTTTTATTTCTCTATTTTCTATTTTCCCTTTTTGAGCATCTCTCTTTTCTTGTAGAAACCTTGGGTCTTTGGGGCTTCGAGTCTTTCATTACGACTGTGACATCCTCCTGTCCGGGGTCGCTCATGACAGATAGATCCTGGGTTGTCTCGGCAGGTTGTATAGATAGATAGCAGGAGGTAGTGTTTGCATTGTAGTAAAAGCTATTGGTATTCCACTTTATCTATATGATTCTCCTTTTTCCCCTAGTCGTCTACTTCCTTTTTCTATGGCAGCCGAGACCGTTCTTGCTGCTTAGATCACCACATGGGGGAATTGGACCGCGTTGATCATCTCCCGGACTGACTGGTACAGAGAGGGCACACAGGCGGCGGACTTGGCTGATGCGGTGTAGCATTCTATTTGATGGCCTCTTCCCCCTCCCTTCCTCCCGCACCACCCCCCCTAACTCTGCATCTCCTGGGTAGGCTAGCTTAGCCTAATCTTTACCTACCAGGTCATCATCCATCTGTCTCCCGCTGCATATCTCTCCACCTTGATCGGTTGAATCTTGGCACCCAACCCTCCCGCGCCTTAGAGACCATACTTCATCCAGGACCTCTAAAAAAAAGAAGAATTACGACCAAGGGTCTGATATGTGTGCATGCGTGTGCGTATGATACAATATGAGGCACAAGAGTAAATGAAGAAGAGAGCGAGCACCAAAAAGAAAAGGGGGTGGGGAGGAGGGCCAGACCAAGCAACCCCCACGCTTTCACCCTGATACAGACAGGTCTTAACCAGAGTTGCCCACTCTTCCTTTTTCCATCCCACCACCACTGCTAAAAATCAGCACGCAGAGCGGACGCTATCGTGCTTAATCGCAAGACAAGACAGGAAAGGTTGAAAAGGGTGAAAAAAAGGGGGTGTTAATAATAAATGATGATAAAAATAAAAGAGAGACATAAAATGCCTCCTTCCGCCCCTCCCACTGTGCTCGAAACTTGTGCGAACTCGTTTCCTCTCGCTGCGATCCGTCTAAGTATGACCTGGCGTGTGTGTGTGTGTGTGTGTGTGTGTGTGTGTTTGTGTGTGTGAGTGTGGTTTTGCGGGCGGTCTGTCTTCATTCAATCGCTAATGCCTGATTTCCTCCAAAACTCCGGGATTCGCGCAAACGGATGTTCCTTGGGAATCAAATTGACAAAGATATGAAAACTGGAAGAGGAAAAATAATGGTGATATCAATGGTAAACGTGTCGTGGTTTCGCCTCGTTCTCGACGGACGAAACCATGCACTCTCTAATAATCATACATGAAAAGCCGTGTATGTCGTCATTAGACTTTCGCATGTGTTTTATAGGGTTTGAGGGTGCGATGATAATCCATATTGGACAGCTGTACGAATAGTGACGTTGGCCTAGTCGATATCCATGATGGCCAAGTCATCGTCGTTATTGTCGTCAGGCACCTCCTGTGACGACTTCTCCCCAAGACCACTGACGGGCTCTGGGTTTTCCTGGGTAGTAGTTGCTGGGGTAGGCAAGTCGGCCGGCGGCTCTACGGACTCGTTCTTTATAGACAAGACATCGTCGTCGATATTGTCGCTGTCGGCGGTCGCACCAATACCAGGCGTATTTAGTCCCAAGGCGGGGCCAGCGACGTCTTGCGGCTCGTTTCCTAACAAGTCCTTGATACGGTCGGACATGGCCTCCATGTGAGCAAGCATAGCGCGGAGACTTTGCTTGTCATTGGCGTTGAGGTCGCCGCTTGCAAAATTCTCCGCATTGCCACGCGCCATGAGGCCTAGCACATCGGGGTCGGCGCTCACCTGTACGCTTGTCAGTCTCGTTTCTTCCATATGTCATGTAGATTCTTACCAAGAGAGCCTGTGTCAGATTATCGAGCTTGCTCTTGGGTTGGGTGGAGGCCAGCTCAACCATGTTCAAAACTGCCTGTTGCTCTGCGAGCGTGCGAGCGTCCATTGGAGGGCTCCTTGGTTTTGGCTGGAGGCTGGCCAATGGTGGCGAACCGGAGATGTAGCCTGCGCCATCTTTCCGAAGCCTGTACCAAAGGTTAAAATCCCCGCATACTTCGGAAAACGTGGGTGGCACTGACTGAGAGATAAAATCCAGCACAACGCCCTTTGCCGGTAACTTGTAGACTCGGCCGAAAGTTTTGACATCGTTCCAGCCCGTTTCGTCCCCTGATTGTTCGTCTTCAATCTCGATGAATCCATTGTTTCTCATGCCACGGCTGAAGGCAGGAGTGATGGCTGGAGCTCCTTTGATCTTCCGGAAGCGGTGAGCTGGTGCGAGTTGTTCTGGTAGCGTGGCCAACAAGTCATCCGCGTGAACCGGACAGCGCCATGTCCGCACGACTGGCGGTATCGCCAAGGGAGGATCAAGGCAGTCCAGATGCCAGTAAAGGCCGCAGAGACTACAAGGAATGATGGCTCGATTGTCGGCTGCTGGGTGCTGACAATTATGGCAGAGGACAGGAGAACCGTCGGCATCCCTGACCTTGAAGAAGTCGGGTGCTTCCTCATAACCCTTTTTTCTGTAGTAACTGTCAGCTGACTCAGTCCCTAAAATGGCCGTGATACCAAGTGCCATGGCACCTGTGAATCAACGAGATTTAACACCTACTTGGGCTTAGTCGGCACCACAACGTCCTCGTACTCGCCCTCGGCGCCAATCTTGACGCCCTCGAAGTAAAGCTGGACTCGATGGGGAAGCTTAAAAGCCTGGGGGTTCGTCTTCTCCAGGCTGTTGAGCAGACCGCCAAAGGGACCCTTGTGTTCGGGCACCCTGGTGGGGTACCTATTGCTGAAACAGACGTTGCAAAACCACTCCTCCGGGAGAGTATCGCCTAGGCCAAGATCGACGCACTCAAAGTGGAACGATCTGGAGCAATTCTCACAGCAAACGAGGTCCCCAACACCACTGCAGGCCGAGCAGTAGTCGTCGTTCTCATCCTGGCGGGTTGTCAGCGATGCATTTCTTTGAAAGCAATTCATTACAAGTTGGTAAGAAAAGTTGTGTAGACAGTGTTGAGGAAAATGGCAGGACTGGCGTCGCTAGAGTCGGCGTTGCGACAAGCGCCTTCAAGACCTGTGTCCGGTCATACTGCTAAACGCTCTTGTCTGCTCTTATCGTGCCATCTCATCAACCAGCAGTGCTGAATGCGCGCAAGACAAACCGAAGGTCGGACTTCAGGTGAAGGCCTTGTATAGTGATAAAATACGCGAAATAAACCTACCTGATTTGATGGGCCCCCATTTGCGACAGAAGTGTTGCCTTCTCCGCTGGCACGAGGCACGCCAGCTGCAGTGCCTCCCTTCTTCTTCATAGGACTGTGATGGAATGTATTAGCAACTAGACATCTGCAAGTGTCGATGTGTCCTGCGACAGTCTTCGGATGAAATTGATGGCGACAGCGATGAGATCAATCCGCTGCCGTGCAACACTGCTCAGCGTGCCGCTCAAGGGCTGGAATTCTCATCCCATCACACAACGTCATCATCACCATGCATCGATAAAGGATGGTCAAAACTACAGTGCATCAGGGGCAAGGCAACTCACGACGTCTTGATACGCAGGCCAGTTCGCTGCTTCTTCGTCGGGCGCAGATTCGTGGGCGTCGCAGCTCTTGAGCTCGCCGTCGGTGTGACGTCCTCGATGAAGGATGGCGCGGTCGGTGAGCTATTGTCTATCTCGTCGTGGGTCCTCTTGGCTGATCTCGTGGTCCTCGTGCTTGGATTCAGACTCAGGTTTGGCGCAGGTGTCCGAAGCGACTTGCGCAGATGCACCGCCGGCGACGATGCAATCACGGATCCTGCCCTGCCTCTCATATCCGATCCGCGAATGTGGCTTTCTGGCTGGGGCGTCTGGCTGATGGTGCTGTCGCGTGCATTTCTCCTGCGAGTGGTCGTTGCATCGTCGCTGGGCAAGGTGCGAGCCGCCTTGTCCTTGTTGGCGTTCTTCTTGCCGGTCGCCTTTGTTGTTGTGGCCGTCGATGACAGGTTGGGGAAAATGGGCGAAGAAAGTCGACCAGGCATGTTGCCGGCCCCTGCAGCTTGAGATGCGTTTGGGGGGAGGGTGGGTGAGTTTGGGTTGGATGCGTCAGACACGCTCGACTTAGCAGCAAGGGATCTGCCGCGCCTCTTCAGTGGCTGGGGGTCGTTTGGCGGTGGTGCAGCGGTCGTAGTGGTGTCGGTGTTGGCCCCAGTAGCCGTGGCAGCCGTCGTGGCACTGTGACGGCGACTGTGGCTGGCCGCTCGAAATCCCGCGGGAACAGGCGGAGAGCTGGGAGATGGCGAGTCGGGTGGTAGGGACGGCGAAGCAGAGAGTTCCGACAGGGACGAGTCGCTGCTTGCAGAATCCCGTCGTGTGCGCTTGCGCGACGGCGTAACAGCCGTCGCAGTCGCGCTCTCCCCCTCCATCATTGACTCATCCATGTCAAGGGGTGATTCTGGTACCTTCCGTCGCCTGCCTTTCTTTTTTGTCGGCGTCTGGGTTGGACTCTCGGACTTTGCAGGGTCGAGGGAAAGAAGCCTGCTGTACGGCGCTGCCTTGGGCTTGTGAGGGGTGAACCGGGAGTTGGTGGACGGGGGCACAAAATAGTAGCAAGCTTGGTTGTCCTTCTTGCCCTCCTTCTTCTTCTCCTCCATGAGGCGGGAAAATTCGTCAAGCGTGTCAGCGTCGGCTGTTTGGTTGTAGACCTCCTCTAACATGGTTAAGAAGGCTGGGTTCGAAGAATTTTCGTCGTAGAGGGTCCTCAGTGCCCACGCGGTGGGATAGCGGTAATGCCGGAGCGCCTCGTCAACCGCGACCTCCACAACCTGATCAACAGACTCCTTGTTCTCGGGAACAGGATCAGGTGTAGGAGTAGGAGTAGGCTCCCGAGGCTGCACAGCATCACTCGACGCATGCTGGAGTGATATCGAGGAACGGCGTCCTGCCGAAGGTCGTGACAAGCTCTTGCGCGGCAGTGATGCACGATTCGCCGCATTCTTCCCTGTAGCCGCCTTGGGCGTGTAGTCCTCATCTTCATCATCGTCGTCCAGACCTCTAGCTGGCACCGATTTTCTGCCCATTTTGGGACCTGCCAAAGGTGGTGAGGGAAGGGCAGGAGGTGGCGTCTCTGAGCGCTTTGGTGCCGATGCACTCGCTGCCGTTGCCGCCGCCGCTGCCGCTGCAGCAGCAGCAGCAGAACTTGCCGAACTCGACTTGATAATGATCTTCCTGATGGGCGTCGCGCCCTCCTGGCCCTGCTTCTTCGGCGCTGCCGCCTTGGGAAGCGTCCCCAGAGGCGCCATGTTCTCCGTTACGCCATATCGCATCAATCCAGCCTCCTCAAAGCTCGGCTTGCTCTGCACGGCCGGCTCCAACCATTTCTGCAAAAACGTCTTTGGCGGCTCATTTGCTCCATTCGTCTTCTTGACCGGTTCCGCCCCTCCATTGGGGAGCTGGTGCGGACTAGAAAATCGCGACCTCGTGGCTCTTGTGCTTGTAGGCATCATAGCAGCTGGGCTCTCGATGGCCCCTGACCTCCTTGCCTTCGACCAGACTGGCAGACGCTCCGACTCGGTCGCCTGTGATCGCGTTAGTTCGTGTCTTTGTAGTGAAAAACGGGTCTTGATTACTTCTCTGGTCTTGGAGGGCATTCAATAATGTATTTCGGGCGCGTTCCCTCCACTTGCGACGCGAGTGACTTGGTGGGAAGGAGGAATGGGAAGAAAAAGGGTGCGAAGCTGCGGGATTGGCCTCGAGGATTTTCGGAGACAATGGACTGGGGGCTAAAGGAGCTACGGCACGATACAAAGCTACTTTACCACGGCGGGCGCGGGGGCAGCGCGAATGCCTGTGGCAGGGGGGTCGGGGGCGAGCCACAGTGCTCTTGGGACCAGTAGCTCAGTGCCAATAGCACTACCCTAACTCGCTGTCGGCCCTGTGACTTATACACACTTTACTGCACGTTGGCGTCAATCCCCAGGTTGCCTTCTCCGCCCTATTGCCCAGGCAAGTTGGGTAAACAATTCAAAGACGTCACTTGATTTTTTGTCTTCAGCTATATACAGAATCGGCGATCTGGGTGAGTATATGCTATATCAGGGCACTCCTGGCCTCACCTCGCTCTGCCCTGAAGCCTGATGTTTGGATGCTCAGGCGTCCAGTTTCGCTTTCCAAGGGGCTGGGTTCCGCGGGGGCTCACCACATTCGCCATCTGTCCAGGCGGGTCTCTGCCGTGTCAACGACGACCAGGGTGGGAAGCAGGAGACCTCTGGAATTGGGCAATTTGTTCCACCGATCCTCGTGGTAACTTTTTCTTCCCCCGGTCGACGGGCTCTCCTGGCGTGTCGGGTCTCATGAACAGACGCCCCCAACTCACCATGGCCCTTCACACCTATCACTTTGCGATGGCCCTGGAACACATCAATTCCCCTCTTTTCTACGCTGCTGGACAGTCACTCGGGTATCAGGTCAGCCGGAGGGGTAAGAATGGCCCTTGAGTTGCGTGTATGCATGCAGATGACTTGTATTTGTTGGGGAGAGCTCTTGCATCAGGCTTTCAACCTATCCTCTGCCTGCCAACCAACCGGCGCGTCAGGGCTGTTTATCTCCAAAGGGGTGAATACCCACGTTACAGGTGAGGCAGGCTGAGGCTCCCATCGAGCAGTTGCCTCGCCAGTATTCCAGCATACATTTACGAAACCAGTCAGCCAGCCAGCATTGACAGGCACGGTAAGGCGTTCATCTTCCTGGCCTCATTCTGGCCATACGGTCATATCGTCTGCCCCCGGAGTAAATCACACATTTGACTTTCACGAACGAAAAAATTTTTGTGGGTGCAAAACCGGACCGACCCCTTGCTCGTCTGATTGACAGTCATTGCCTTTTGACATTCTTTGCCTACTCTTCGTCGCTCTCCTCCTCCTCGCCAGCAGCAGCCTTCTTGGCGGGCTTCTTCTTCTTCTTCTTGTTCTTGCTCTTGCTACCAGTATTTCTGGCGAGGGGCTGCTCCAGAATCTTGAGAATCTCCTCGTCCTCAATCTTCTTGTCCGACTTGACCTTGCTGAGGTCAAGAGCGGGAGGCGCACCAAGCTTGGTGATGCCGTTCTTGGTGATGGCTAAACAAACGTTAACAGACTGACAGCAGGCAACTGCACATAGGAGGGGGGAGTCTTACCAATGGTGGTCAGGTAGCGAGCAACGGGGGAGTTATCCTTGTCACCAACGACCTCGTACGCACGGAAGACGTTACCACGGACGCACTCGACGACACCAGACTTGGCATCACGCTCATCTTCGAGCTGGCGCAAGCTGAAGGGGAAAGTTCCGAACTTCTTCTGGACCTCGGAGAGGATCTTGCGGGAAGTCGGGCGCTTGAGACCGTAGGTGTTGAGAGTGCGGCGGTGCAGAGTAGTTCTCTGGTCGAGGGTCTTGACCTTGCCGGCACCCAAGCTCACGCCCATCTCAACGCCCCAGACCTCACCGATCTCGGGAACGCCGTCGCCCTTGCTGCCCTCGGAGGGAGCAAGGACAATCTTCTTCTTGCCCTCAATCTCGTTGCGCTCGAACAACCATGACGTGGTGCTCTCAACGAGGTTGCAGTCGAAGCTCTTGACAACCTTCTCGAGAAGGCTGGTGATCTTAGCCTGGGTAGGGGCCTTGGCTGCGGCAGCCTTAGCCTTCTCCTCGTCGGTGCCGGAAGCCAGCAGGCCGGGGGGAAGCATCAAGCGGAGAAGAAGCTCATTGGCGTAGTAGTTGGCAAGGATCAGGTCGGCAGAGCGGCCAGTGATCTCCTCGCCGGCCTTCTCCTTGGGAGCAGCGATGATGGTGTCGCAAACAATGGAGCCGAAGCCGTCAATCTGGGCACCAAGCTGGATCTTGATGGGCTCGCCAGCCTGGATCTCAACGTTGGCCTCGGCCTCATCGGAGGTCAGAGGGGTGTAAGGAGTGACGAAGGAGGCCGGGGAGACCGTGGTAGGGTGAGAGAAGCCTGGACAGCACAATTGGGGTCAGCAAGACTCAAAAAATGGGCAGGAGGTCGGTGACAGACCCTTGTTGACCTTCTTTCCGCGGTAGACCTTGGCAAGCTCCTCCTCGATGAGCTTGTCACCCTTCTCGCAGATGGTGACAATCTTCTCGCCAGGAACGCAGAGCTCGGCGACGGCAGCCAGGACCTTCTCAGAGATCTGAGCGGCGGTCTTGTACTTGGTCAAAGTATCAGGGTTGTTGAGGGTGTAGTCTGGCAGGTGGTTAGCTTCATGATCAAGGTCGATGTGGGTGCGCATCTCGAGTTCCGCGAGTCTCGTGAGCCCGATCAGCCTCTCCTGTGGTTTGGCTCGGGCCGTGGCGGGGTAGCAGCGTGGGCTGTTTTGGTGTGTGACGCAAATGCAGCAGGACCAGAGTAGGAGCAGCAGCAACCACAGCAAAAACAGCAGCAACAACAAGCACCAAAATGGGGTAGCTTACCGATCTCCTTGTCGTCCGACATCTTGGCGGTGTTTTCGGTCAATGAATTGCCTAAAAAACCAAAATGATATCTCAAGCGATTGTGGTGCACTTGTCCAGGATCTCGAGAAAGAGGCTGGAACTGCTGGATGTGCGGGAAGATGCAGTGCAGAGTTGGTGTGTTCGGGGCTGGTATTTTTGACGACGAATACGTCGATTTTCTGGGCGGGGAAGGAGGGGCTAACTGCTGTTTGTGGGTGCTCGGGCAGGTCAAGCAGGTGCAGTTCCAAGGTCCAATCTGATGTACCTTTGGTGGAGAATTTGCGCCAGGATCGCTTAAAATCCGTTACGTAGGTTGGCACGCCTCATGTTCACGCGTGCCCGGCCAGGCGTCACAGACAAGCTCTTTTATTTTTTATTTTTTTTTATTTTTTTTATTTCGTATTTTCTCCCCTTCTGTTAATTTTGCCTAGATCCCTTGCATAAAGTATGCATCTTGTTCATTTCAGGTAACATACGGATACATCCAAGGTGAGAGCGGGAAAGCCGGAATAAACCTAATGTGGGCATCGGTGAACAAGAGCAACCTATTTGGCTCAGCTCAAGCTGAGGCTGTTGATGCTCAGGGCAACCCGTCATCCCACCAAGCTCAAACCGGCAAAAGCTCGGGCCGTACCGCCTCAAAGCCACACGGTATTTGCTCTGGCAAGATTCGACCTATTTTTCCCCCCTTCCCTCAACGGCTGAGCATGGCTGTGAATCTGTCGAGTATTAGTTGTCTAGACCATTATCAAGAAATATGCCGTAACGGACCACAATTTGGGCCGTGGCCTTGTAGTCGAATCGATATGCAAACGTGCTGTTGGTGCTCGCTTGATGAGATCACGAGATTGTTGCCCTGGGAATGGCTTCGTGGATCAGCCTCACTGAAAGTCGGTCAGGTGTGGCGCCATTGAGATTTTGAGGCGGTGCGATGTGGATGTTCATGTCGAGGCCAGGACGCGGTCAGATCGTAAAGACACGCTTGGTGCAAGCCATGCAGGTCGAAGGGACACAATGTACCCTCCACTATACTTTGTATGGCAGAGTACAAGTGCAGGTTCAGTAGAAAAAATATAGTGTAAGGTGTCTTGCAACTTCCCCTGGAAGCCTGGCATTGGTCCATCGAGACTAACATAGATAAGTCTCTTTGCCGAGTCTCTTGCCCACAAATACAGCCAAACACATGTCTGAGTGACTTACGATGCGTTAGCTACCTTGTGGTAGCCTTCCCATCCAACACCAACACGAAGCAGGAGGCTACGCCAGACGTAGCAGAATCCACCTCGCACCTCTTGATCGAAGTTTAGAGGCATCGCCAATTGGCATCCGCCACGACACGCGCGCATATCGAATTCGGGTCTCATTGCGCGTCATATCCACGACTTCGCGCCCGTCGCATCGCGGCGGCGATTCGAGACCCTGCACTTTTCCTTCACCATGGCTGCTCAGCCATCCACGTCTACGCCCACCGCGGCAGGCGCGACAGCCTCATCATCGGCATCCACGTCTGCCAACAACCATGATGGCACGCCGCAGTCCGCCAGCGCAAAAGCGCTCCCTGTCCGGGATAAGGACTCGTTCAATAAGTTGCAGGTCGAGCGCTATGTCACGCGCGATTGGCAGCAATCGATCGCGATGAAGGAGGCGCATGCAAAGTTCGAGAAGGATATGGAGCAAATGAGGGACAAGATTGATGACTACAGTGTCGTCAAGAATCAGCGCATATTCTTCCCGCCGAGCAAGCTGTACGGCGAAGGCTATCGCGGCTTTGGGAACGGCTACACCGACATCGATCCACGCATGAGAGCACCCTTCCCTGCTCAAGTCATCTATCCTAGCCAAAAACCGCGGCCGGGGAAGCGCCAGTCGCATCCGCTGAGGTGGAAAAAAAGGGACTTGAAGAAGCAGGCTGAACAGCACGAGGAGCTCGTGCCGATACGGATAGATGTGGACTGGGAGAAGATTAAACTCCGTGATACCTTCACATGGAACCTTCACGACAGGGTTATTCCAGCCGAACTATTCGCGCAGCATCTTGTCGAGGACTTGGGCATCCCACTGGACGCAGCGCACAAACCCGTTCTGGATCAGGTCATTTTGCAAATGCGCGACCAGCTCAACGACTTTTATCCACTTGTTTTCTCCGAAGAGGACGCACTCGACCCCGAGCTGCCCTACTCTGCGTACAAGAACGACGAAATGAGGATACTGATCAAGCTGAACATCACCGTCGGTCTGCACACTTTGGTCGATCAATTTGAGTGGGACATTAACAATCCTCTGAACTCACCAGAGGATTTTGCCGCCACCATGGCCCGTGACCTGTCTCTTTCTGGCGAGTTTACCACCGCCATCGCACACAGCATTCGAGAGCAATGCCAGTTGTTCACACGCAGCCTGTATAGCGTCGGCCACCCCTTTGACGGCCGCCCGGTTGAGGATCCCGACCTTATCGCCGCCTTTCTACCTTCCCCTCTCAGCTCTGTCTTCCGACCCCAGCAGCAAGCGAAGGATTATGCGCCGTATCTGTATGAGCTCAGTGATGCTGATTTGGATCGGAACGAGGTTATTTTCTCCCGTGAGCAAAGGAGGCAAAAGCGCTCCATCAATCGCCGCGGTGGTCCTCAACTGCCCGATCTCAGAGAAAGACAACGGACCATCAGAACCCTTCTGGTATCTTCGGTGCTCCCCGGAGCTGCTCCAAACATTGAGGAGACCACCCTGTACAAGCGCGTTGCTGGCGCCCCCAGCACCCGCAAGAGGCCGGGAGCCCGCGATGGCGAGATCTCCGACTCTGACTCCAGTGACGACTCCGGACCAGACTCACCCGGCGTGTCCCAGCTCGGCGGCACGGCCAGAACGAGAGGCCTTCGTGGCGCAGCTACTGCTGCTCAACAACGTATTACGAACCTGGGCCGTTCCGAAACCCCTGAAGCAAGCGTTATCCACCACCATGAGACGCGGCGGAATGTTGGTCGCTTTGGCGGCCGTGAGACTCGCGACGAGACTGAGGAACCGTCTCAGTTGATTGTGACACTCAAGGTCAACAAGGACAAGTTGCGGAGACTTCTCCAGAACCCCAGGGCCAGAGTTACGCCGAGCGGTTCACAGACTCCTTCGACACCCGCGCATACCCGTATCCCCAGTGCCGCGGCTGCAGCGAACGCAATGCCTCCTCCCACCACCCCAGCATCTAATAGCCAAGCGCTTCCCACAAAGCTTGGTACTCCTCTTCCTCAAGGCCAGATCGGTCGTCAACCTGCGCCGCCACCTGTTGCTGGCCAACCGCCACCACCTCCTGTAAGTGACCTCGAGCAATGTTGATGAACGAAGTATAGTGTGATTATGAACGAATTCTAAGACCGTCTAGCCTCCTCCGCCTGAGTGGCTCAAGAACTGCCTTCAGCAGCTCAAAAACACGTATACATACGACAATTTTGAAGGCATGATGAAGTACTCAGCTGTCAATCCAGACACAGAAATGCCGGTGCCTGTCCCGGCCGGCTCTCAACCACCAGAGGGCGTCAGGTGGATGTTCCTTCCCCGAATCCGCTGTCTCGATTGCCCAGGCAAGCTTTACACGCCTGGTCCCGAGATGACAGCCGGTAATTTTGAAGTCCATCTGAAGAACAAGCAACACCGTCAGAAGGTGGACGCCAGAGAAGGCAAAGACACCGCGCCTCCAGTCTCCGCAACTACATCTTAAAGGACTGCTGTTAAAGTACTGGCAAGGCCGATGTTGGAGAGTGACCTGCACGAATGATGGCAACACGGCACGAAGTATATGATTAGCTACCTAACGTTGAAGATATTGCTTCCCGGTAGCTCTTGCGGAAGATCAGACGTTGTAGCTCAGATGCGATTAACACGACCAGCGGCCAGCCTCCGTTCTTGGGGGCAGAACGCTGCCTCGTGCACCATAAAGTCCTGCTTTTCGCTCTTCACGGCCGCTGCGGTTAAGGAAGAAGCTACCTGTCCGACAGTAAACGATAACTTCCGACAGCTGGCGCATCCCCGCTTTGTACAAGGTATCTTGTTTTATTTCTCGTTCCTGTTCTTTGCTTGTAGAAAAAACACTATTACATAGGCATCACGCCTCAGCTGCCTTTCAAGCTGCGGAGGCAAAAGAGGGGTTCTAGAACGTTGTTTCTTTAAAGGAGCTTATGGTTAGGGAGTTCAGATCCTGCTGGTCTGGCAGGGAAAGGATGGTGGAGTTTCGAATTTGGATTTTGGATTGAGAGGAGCGAGTTCATCGGAGAGGTGCTAGCAAATGTAAACTCGACCTACACAAGCGTGGCTTTTGAGTCGTTGACGCTGCAAACCCGTAGTAAGAATAATACTACAAAAGAGCTGAAACTCCTCTATAGTGCTAATGTGCCATGTGCTTTTGGCTGATGTCAAGGGGGTGGGCCACTTTGGTCGGCTGGACCAAGCCATGCTGAAATTCAAGGAGTCGACATGCAGACTACTGTCGCTTCAGACATGGACATTAAGAAGCCAGTATTCTGACGCCCAATCGTTGTGCTCGCTCTCCTTCCCTTCCCGCGGATCCTGCCCTCTGCGTAAGCCGCAATGACTTCTTCCGGATGTAACCATCACGACGTGTCCCGCACAACACCCAAGACAAATGACCCTAAAAGTGCCGGACATTTTTCTCTACCTTTTCTTTTCCTGTTCCTGGAGGCAGAGGCAAATTTAAGCTTTCTTGGCACACAGTGGTCCTTCTTCAGAGTTTTCTTGCCAACCTGAACGAATGTTCTCCCCTCTGGACAGCTTCAGAATCGTCAAGACAAAATATGTGAAGAAAGTAACCGTCACAGGGTCTCGGGCCTCGACGTTTTTACCGATGTTATAATCCTACCGGCCCCCCCCCCTGGATTGAGCGATTTGAGTTCTCGCGAAACTAGCGGGGTCCTTGTCTCACGGCATACTTTGTTTGCTTGCTTGTGGGGTGGAATGCTTTAAACTCTATACAGGCTAAATTTCCCCGTCCGCCCAAATTCCCCAAATCACTGCCCTCGCCGATAGTGAATTGCATCGGAGGGTGCTGTCCGAATTAAATACGACGGCACAAATGGTCCCCTTCCAACGGGCAAGTCCCTGGGTTCTCGGTCCGTTCGGACGAGGTTCATATTGCTCGTGACCCTTTTATGTAACTGAATGTCTTTCCAGCAGTTCGCCATAGAGACTATTCAAGGTCGTAATTTCGGGGCCAAGACTCCTCCTCTCTTTAATACAGTATCAGTCAGAGATGGTATAAAGTCCACGGGTCTGCTTTCCCCGTAGCTGTTTGTCTGAATTCTGTTACTCATACCTTTCTTGGATCTTCATCAGAGCCCTCGTGACGCCCGCCAAAATATGAAGGCTACCGCTCTCCTCTCCCTTCTTCCCCTGGCCTCGGGCAAGGTCCTCTGGGACGGCCGGTTCAACGACCTCACCTCCTCGTCCGACCTCAACAAGTGGTCGTGGGCAAACCAGGTCGGCCCCTACCAGTACTACATCCACGGCTCGGGCGACGTGACCAAGTACGTCAACCTGTCGCCCAGCTACAAGAACCCCAACGACACGGCGTCGAAGCAGGGCGTCAAGATCACGCTGGATAGCACGGCCTACTGGAACGGCCAGAACATGCGGCGCACCGAGCTGATCCCGCAGACCAAGGCGCCCATCGCCTCGGGCAAGGTGTGGTACCACTTCTCCATCTCGCGCAAGGACACCAACGCGCCGTCCATCTACCGCGAGCACCAGATCGCCTTCTTCGAGAGCCACTTCACAGAGCTCAAGTCCGGCTGGATCAGCGGCGAGCAGGCCGTCAGCAACCCTAACCTGCAGTTTATGGTGCAACAGCGCAGCCTCTGGAAGACGGAGTGGAAGCCGAACGTTTGGCACAACATTGCCTACGAGATTGTATGTTTTCGATCTACGTCTCTCTTTTGAATCGACTTTCTGGTTGCTCTTTAAACCACAACGGATGATGAAAACTGACCATGTGACACGGCAGAACTTCTCCAGTGGCAGTGTTGGCTTCTGGCACTCCGAGGGCGGCGCGCCGCTGCAGCAGGTTGTCGCTCCTATTTCGGCTTCGACATCTTCCAACGGCGCGGACTGGCACTTGGGTGTTCTCGAGCTTCCCCGCAGCGGGTACTCCGATACTGATGAGGACTTTTATTTCTCTGGTGTGTACATTGAGGATGGTGCCATCACAACCTCTGTCACGGGACCTGGTGAGTCTTCACAAGAGTGTTGGGGTGACATTTGATATCTAACTCGAGTGACGCAGCTGCATAAAAGGGAATACACGAGATATGAGCGTGCAATGATATGGAATTCAACGACGTGACGGACGACTTCAGGGCGGTAATGCGTACATATGATGCCAACACGTACATAGTCTTTCGCTGCACATATGATAACTTGGGATTGTTAAATTTGATTCCGTATCAACTATCTGAGTGACGGCTGACTTCTCGAGCTGTCTTCGCCTGTGTCATGATCCACCTGGATTTCTGAACCCCCCCACGTTAGATTGGCTGAGAATAACTTCTAGCGGGTAAAGTCGTTAGCACGAATATAGGAAACCGTTTTCAAGAGGGTGAGATTCCTTGAGAGTCTTAGCAGGATCATAGTTATAGGCTGGAACATTGAGACGAGACTAATAGCTTACCTAAAATCGTTGGTAGACATAACTTTGAGTTTCAGTAGCGCTCTGGATGCCCAGCCTGAGTGGCCAAAGTTGACATTGCGTTGTTTGACGGTGTGAACGAAGGCGCAACTGCAATTGGAACTACGCAAGAGCCCAGTGAAGTGCGTGTCATGCCAGGTATGGGACCGAGCGAGATATCGAAGCCTGTAACACCAGCCCAATACATACAGTACTGGATGCTGTTGTCGCAGTACTTGTGGCTGCAGCTGATGGTGGACGTTGGGGCAGGAGTGATGAACGCCTTGTTTCCTTGTAACTCCCGCGGGACTAAGTCCATAGTGCCAGTGGACGAGGAACAGGAGCCCAGTACAGTATGGGTTTCGCCGGGAATGGGTCCCTGGAAAGGATCCCAACCGGTGACACCAGCCCAGTAGAGGCACATTGAGCTTCCATTCTGGCACCATCTGTGGTCGCACTTGATGGAGGGACTTGGCATTGCATGAGAAGTTATGGTGGCAAAGACAGGCTCGACTTGTGTGATTGTAGTAGGAAGAACGGCAGCCATGACCAATGCGACCATAGGAGCAGAGATAACGAGGGCGCTGAGAGGAGACATATTTAGTTTCAACGCAAGTTGGTTAAATAGTTGTTGAATGGTGCCGGTTTATTAGATAAGGTTGAGGGCCCTCGTCCCTTAGCTTGTAGTATCGTGCGTGAAACTGGAAACTTGGTAACGAATGAAATGTGATGGAGAAGAGAAGACCGGGCTTGCAATCTAAAAAGCCCGAGGAGCAACTTCAAGAGAGGTCTTGGGGGCTTTAAGGACGCTGCAAAGGGGGAAGGAAGGTAGTTGTGGCTGGGAAGGAGTAGCGGAAACAGTCGGCCTACATACCTCTCCATCGAGATGGGAAAGAACGCCTTGAGAAAGAAAGAGGGTTTTAGAAACATTACTAGTTATGTTTGTGTTATGGCAAGACACGAGAAGTTCTGAGCAAGGGGTAAAGAGCGTACGTAGGACACTACACTCGTCAAAGGAATTTAACTCAGATGTAAGTTTGCTTTGCGCATCAGATGGTACAATACTGTGAGACCTGTGGATAGTTTCTTTATACTTGTAAGATCACATCCTTGGAGCCGTTATAGAGTACGCTCTGATTGATCTGAGCCTAAGACAAGACAATTTTTCAAACCCTCCCTAGTCCATTCTGGTGTCAGGTGGCTTTCTACCCATTTGGGTAATAGAAGGTACAGGATTTCCAGCTTCCAGGAGGGCGGTTGACTACTGCTTTGGGTACGGTTGTGTGCAGCTTGGGAGGCACAGGGTTGACCAGTTTGTGTGAGAACTGAATGAGTGATTTATTCATGAGCCTTACGACAACAGCATGTCGCCTTCGTTCTGTGAACACGTCAGGCAGCATTGCAAGCCGAGAAACGTACAATCAATGGGCTCCATACTGCCGGCGGTGTTTCCTTTTACTGGTATACAAGCTTGCAGAGATTGCCAAGGTAGCTTTGTATTGATACGAATGTATCATTGATGGGACTAGAAATTAAGAAGCAGCAAACTTGGAAGCTGCCGCCAGGTATAATGAAAATGTGAGAGCCAAGCCGCTTATCCACGTCAGACTACGGGCCGGAGCCCAGGCGCGGTTGTCTTGCAGGCGTATGTAGATAATGTTGTACAAAATGCGGCTACCAATATAGCCGAATGACAACAAGTTGACATAGTAAGGGTCAACACCGGCAGCGTTGGCGGCGGCGACACCAGCCGAGAACATACCCAGGGTTTCCCAGGCGTTCTGAGCGGCGGACCGCGCACGGAGGATACGGTTCTTAAGCTAGAAGAAGGGTCAAACTGGTGCTCTGATAAGGCTCTGCCACAGACACTCACAATCTTATCCACCTTGTCGTCGCTTTCAATGGTGGCTTGCAGCCTTCGAGGGTTTGCAGGATCGTAGAGCTTCCCCGCGGCAGCGGCAGCATATCCATGGGCTGACATGGCCGACGCAAATGCGGCGGGTATCTATCTGTAGTGAGTATTGTGATGAAGCGAGACGATGGTGAAAGGCAGCTTACCGCGTACAGGGAGAGACCCTTTTGGGTCAGATCCAATCCGAACAAGGACATGATCACGGTTTAGAATGATTATAATTATCAATCAAATTAGATGCAAAAATACAATTTAAATTTGTGGTTGTCGATTTAAGTGGCGGTGATGTTAGTATGATGACTTGAATCACTCAACGTCTAGCAGGTCAATTGGGGTTACAGGTATATTTATCAAATGGAAACACGGCAAGTCGAAACGGACACATACACGTCCGCCGCAGTCTCGGAGGTCAGCAGGGGAGCGCTGCGGCACATATGTTGACCCGAATTGAGATGCATGCGTTTTCGAGCAGGCAGGTTGACTACGTACACTCGTATATGACATTTGCGTTATGCAACCCAATGTTTAAGCTCTCGAGTCCAGCAGCTCATTGGCAGCCAGAGCTCGGCCCCTGCACAGAGTCCATCTCCAAACGGAGCAACTGCGCAGGTGGGAATAGTGATGTCACACCAAAAAAACAAAACGACAATTGTCACACCCAGCCAATCCGTGGCCGCCGAGCTGAGCTCCGGACTTTCAAACACCATGTTAGGTAAAAAACATCTCTCATTGGGCAACGGTTTCACACCGTGGGACACGCGTAGATGCGATTTCTTTTCTCCGGACCTGTGGCCTGGAACACCCACACGAACAGTCACCAGCTCAAAGATGAAAATATTTCCTTGCTGATGAACTCAAGCTTTACAAAAGAGGCCAAAATAATCATTTCAATCATCCCTCCTCGCTGTTACTGTTTTTTTTTTCTTCTTTTCTCTCCTTTCTTCTCCTTCTCCTTCTCCTTCTCCTCCTCCTCCTTCTTTTCTTTCCCTTTTCCCTCGAAATATCCTCACTGCCTGGATGCAACAATAACTTGGCAAATGCACGAGCACATCGAGGCGGCATTGGCTCAACTTCCTCTAAGCCTTTCAGTTATTGATGGCCCTGCGGCAGCTGCCCGCCATAACACGACATATCATCTTAGCTTTACGACTATTACTAGATGACGATCAGCTCAGCCTAGCCCACGGGCCCTTAGGATGCAACCCTTGAGGGCACTAGTTGACAGCTTTGCCAAAATTGTGAGGATTTTCGGCTGCCCAGGAGTACAAGGTCCAGCCAATGAGCATCTAAGGACTCGACCCTGGGCGGTCGCTGCCCTGCAGCTCCCACACTCATACATCCATGGGGCCCCGGCGCAAAACAAAAGGTAGGGGGAAGGTTAAGAGGGAGAAAAAAAAAAAAGATGAGGGAAACCGAATCTCGGCTATGGGTTGGGATAAGTCATGAGCTGCCCGTGTGGCCAACGGTCTGATCACATACACCCGAAGTCCTTGACGAAAACTCTTCTGGAACTGGCGACTTTTCGCTAGGGCGGCTGCTCGGAGTGTTGGGGGTGTAACTGACTCGAGGCTCGCGAACCTTTGGCAGTACCGGTGTCGCTGGGCAAAGATTTGCTGAAAGTTGGGCGGTTTTTTACTCCCGAATCTGCGACTATCGGGAAGGGCTTCTTTCGAGTTCCCTGTCTCCCGACTCACGCTCACAGCCTATCCCCCGCTCAGGCCTCACAAACGTCAGAATAAACGAGCAGTCTTTTCGATTTTATCACAGCAAATCAAGCGATTTCTACTCCCAGGGCCTTCTCTCGTTAAGGCAGACTTTACCAGCCACACCCCAGATTCCAGCTCTCAAGTGATGACGGAGACCAGTGGTGGAGGACCCTTTGGCGTCATTGGCGTCTTTTCGTTATTCGTTCTTTTGCCACAGTCGCTCACTGCCCGTTTGCCATCATACGTATTGGTCAAGCGACCAGCCAGACACTTTCTAGGCAAAAGGGTCGCTTGTCGTCGGGTTGTGATGGAAGGTGGGTGCAAACTTCCGTGCCGTGCAAAATTTTTTGACGCCTGCTATCACGCCTGGCTATTGGAAGCAACCCAAGAAACAAGACGCTTAAAGTCTCCCCAACCACTACGCATTGCGCATAATGTGCAGGGAACAGCCCGACAATGCACCAAAGATATTGGTGGATGATGCCTGGTTCAATTATCGGGAAAGAAAATGTAAGAGGAGATCAAGTGAGATCCGTATTCGAACAAACAACATGCATGCTGGAGCAAAGTGAATCCGGATGCACCTGTGGAATGTAAATGGAGCAGGGATACTGATGAGATTGGCTGCTAGACTACACAGGAATTGGCTTGGTCTAGACGAATGCAGCACGCTTGCAGAACGCGTACTCTGAATTAGGCAGATGGGCTTAACTGACAGGCAAAGATACCTTCCAAGGTCGTTTTTAGGAACTTGTCTAGTAAGGTAGTCCAGGTACCTCTACCCAACGTTAATTAACTGTGACGGGGAACGGGCGCGTTACTGAGCGCTGGGAAAAAGCACTGAACATCCTCTACAGACATTGCTGCGTGGGAGAAGCGTGCGCTCCTGGAAGTTGGAGGGTCCGGTCCAGGCGTCCCCATTGGAGAGGCTTATCGCATGAGATATTAGCACTTGGCACTGTGCCGCTTCTCCTTTTTGCCCCAGTCTTTTATCTTGCTAGCGCCCAAGCTATATGGAGGAATGTTAAGCATAGACCAGGCGCGCACAGTGTCTTCTTCCCTTACCCCAAGTTAGCGATAACATTTTTTCCTTGGTCCATCAACACCCCCCCCCATCTGGCACCCGCCTGTCGGCCTGTGACTTCCAGAATCACCTACTCGCTCAGCGCCCGTAGACCGACAAAATTCTGGACGAGCCTCCACGCCTCCACGACGAACTTCAATCGCGATCAATTACCACGACTCAACACCACCCCTTCCATCACCTGCGATCGTTGATTTCATCTCTGCAAGTTACCAAAAATACTGTTGACAGTCCGTTTTTTCCCAAAACGGATGTCGCGGCAGCTCATGACATGACTGAGGTCGGGCCTGCCGACCGCTCCAGGCTTTTGCGATCCAAACGCGATGAATTTAGGTCCGTAATGTCACAGTTGATAGAGCTCGCTTTTCCGATTCCAGCGATACCGATTTCGTGGTGCTGACAATTTTTAGTTCAATTGTAACGTCGAGAAAGCGAAAGCTCCGTCAGCTTTTCGCTGTCGCGACCGAGGGCGATGCACTCCCAGCGAACGATTTCGCGAACCCAGACGCGCCGCCTGCCACAACAGGAGAAATCCAGTTTTTGCAGGGTTGCGACATCTTACAGTACGTGCAAACCTTTACTCGACGTCTTTGTGAAATTATCTTGGTCGCGTTTGATATGTTTGTCACCAGACCGTCGCTAACACGACTTACAGAGGAAGGAAACTCAATGAATTGAATATTCCTGCCCGGCCCCAACTTCGCTACGATGTCTTAAAGCTCTCCCTCGATAGCTCTGGTCTCTTTGCACCAGATGTTGCACCGACTCCTCCTCCGAAGCAGGATGCTGTCGCCGAACCACAAGCGAAGTCCGTACCTACGCCGTCGCAGCAGCCGTTTGTCGCATCTACCGACACGAATGGCGCCGTCCCATCCCCTCAACCTCATTCGAACCTTTCCGCTCAGTCTACCACTCCAGCAAAGCTCCCAACACCACCCGTAGCCATCTCGACTTCGAATCGGTCCGATGTCGTCAAACCGCCTGCAGTAAATGCTCAAAATCCTTCGCTATCTCCGGCAACTGTCACAACCAAGGACCCCTCACATGCGTCGCGACAGGAAGCAAGCGACCCGGTGGAGGGTGACGCTGTCGGAAAGTCTGTAGCATCTCCTGCGAGAGAAGAACCTACTGTCATCTCGAAGCAAATCGAGTCTAGGCCTGTCGACGCGCCTCCAGCGACTGCTACTCAGACGATTTCGGAACCTCTAGCAGCTCAAACACCCGCTCAACAGGAAGTGAAGAAATTCGATGAGGCAACTTCTGTGCCCATTAAGTTACCGTCTGATACTGCCAAGGCAGTGGATGCTCTCTCATCACCTGGGTCAACCACACAGACCGCCGCCACACCGATAGTCCACGATGTTTCTACGGATACCAGCCCTGATAACGAGGGACCTCATTATGTTGAACGCAGAGAGCCGAGAGATGAATTGGAGACTCGACAGAAGACTGGAGAGGAGCCCAAAGCCCCTGAGCCGGCAAGCTCTGCAGAGGCGAATTCGTTCGATGGCAGAATCCCTGATGGGCTAGAAGCACAGTTGTTGCAAGAATCCATGGCGATGGATTCGACACCATCAGCACCTATAGTGGACACTCCCATGAAGGTGGACACACCTCCGACTACGTCCGCTGTTTCTGTTGTGCAAGACGCCGAGGTGAAGCCATCCGAGCCTGTGGTAACGAAACCTACTACTTCCAGTGTCACCCCTGATGTTTCCGTCGTAGCGGCTGAACATGATTCGGCAACCCTAGTGAAGGAGATTCCGGATAGCCAAGAGGAGCCTTCGACCACGGAACAGATGGATGTGGATCAGCCAAACTCGAGCCAAGCCGAAAACAAGGTTTCTCCTGCCCATGGCAAAGATGATGATTCTGAACCTGCCCCAGCGGAGACTAAGACCCCCCAACACCGGCCGCAAACACCTGCGGAACTCTCGCAGGATCCCGAACGTGCAGTCACTCGAACAGCATCTGGTGCAATGAGGCAGAAGTCGGTGTCTGAGATTCTGGGAGAGTCAAGGCCAGACGCTGTTAAAACAGGTGATAACGATGATGCACCACCGAGTCGACTTACTCCGGTCACATCCACCCCTCAGTCCCCGGCCGCTAGATCGAGAACTTTTGCAAACAAGAAGAAAGACAAGACTAAGAACAAGCCCTCCGCAGTGGTCTTCGGTAAGACTACGAAACGGTCGACCGACAAATCCCTGGTACCTAGTCAACCAAAACAGAGTTTCCTACCAACCGACGATTATTTCACGCCACTCTTCGTTCAGGGTTTTACACAGACATCTAAGTGGATGAAGCCGATTGAGGTCATACTAAATCAATCTCATAAGACTGTCTCTACCCCTGACGCATATGTGGCCATCCAGGACAATCAGGCGTGTCGAGTGTTGCGACGTGTGTACCACCTGCAACAGCATGACAAGTGGTCGTTACGGCAACCTAAGAGATGTCCCGAGCCAGTTCGACCGGAATCCCATTGGGACGTGTTGCTTCAAGAGATGAAATGGATGAGGACGGATTTCCGGGAGGAAAGGAAGTGGAAGATGGCCGTGGCACGTAACCTGGCTCAAGCATGCGCTGAATGGATTGCATCTAATGAGGAGGAACGTAAGGAACTTCAGGTTTCTGCATTTATTCCTCCAAAGCCTCAGCCGGCTGACTCGGAGGTCGACACTTCAATGGCCGAAGCCTCACTGGACGCGGTCGACACCCAGACCCCAGAGTTGATACCCTCCGAGGATCTGGATTCTCCCGAGCATCTAGACGAACTTCGTGAAGAGATCCTTGAAACAGTTGCACCTTCTGCTATTTTCGCCCTTGAGGACGACGATGTTGTTTTCGAGCTGCGAAGCTCTCCAACTGCAGACCAGCTACTTCAGGAGCTACCCATGTATGGCGCGCCTCTAAAAGTTCCTTCATTCGACTTTGCTGGCCCGGAGTTCGACCCCGATGCGCATTGGCGTCGCCCTGCTCTTCCTCTTAGCAAGTATGTTGAAGGCGAAATGAAGCTTTTGACAGATGGACCTCCTCGGAAGCGAAGTCGGTTCCAGTACGAGGAGGAGGAGGACGATGACGATGAAAAGGTTGTTTTTGGTTCTCAGCCTATCAAGAGAATGAGATTGCCGCCTCAGAATAGCGACGTGGCTCTCTTTAACCCCGAGATGAAGCCGATTAGGGACCGTCTTCACGCAGGTCACCAGTTCCGTCCTCCAGCGGAGTACCAGATGCCCATGCAAAGCTTCTACGAGTGTCGCAGCCCGTCACAGTGGACCTTGACCGAAGACGATGAATTGCGAGGGCTTGTGCGAGAGTACTCGTACAACTGGTCACTCATTTCCAGTCTGCTTACGACAAGATCTGCGTTCGCTTCTGGAGCTGAGCGGAGGACACCTTGGGAATGCTTCGAACGATGGATTAACCTCGAGGGCTTACCTACGGACATGCAGAAAACGCAGTACTTCAAGGCATACCAGAACAGGATTGATGCTGCAAACCGAGTGATCATGCAACAGAACCAGCTGGCGCAACAGCAACAACAACAGCAGCAGCAACAACAACAACAACAGCAACAACAACAAACACCAGCTGCTGGCGCGACAACGCCGGCAACACCGATTGCTAGGCGTAGGCCATCGACGCCTCTGCGAGTTGAGCGCCGGCGCAACCAAAAGCACTTGACACTGATTGATGCGATGAGGAAGCTTGCCAAGAAACGAGAGACCGCAGCTCAGAAACAACAGCATGCCTCTCAGATGGCGGCCATGCGGAAGGCCAACGAGTCTGCTCAACCCAGAGGACCGGTTAAGACCCCAAGGGATTACAGTTTGATGAGATGGGAGCGTGACCAGCAACTCGCTGAGAAGGTGGCCCAGTTCCACCAGCGTCAAGAAACTCAGCGGAGGGTATGTTTTGAGAATACTGAATGTTTTGATCCTACTAATACGTACTGTTTACAGATGGCCATGCAGGCTCGTGTTCAAGGCCAAGCGGCAGCTCAGATGGCCACTACTCCAGGCGCGGGACAGATGCAGCCGAATGGCGCGGCAGCGGCCCAGGCCAACGGCAACATGGCTAGGTCTAACATGCCAAACCAGCTCGCCGTTCCAGGCCAGGGTCGAGGCCGTTTGCCGATGCAGGCCCCGACGGCCAACATGGGTGGTGTTCCGGCCCAGATAAGCGGTCTCGTTCCACCAATGCAAATGAACGGAGTGCCGCAGGCGCAAATGCAAGCTGCCATCCAGGCCCAGGCCCAGGCTCAGGCCCAAGCTCAGCATAGGATGCCCGTACCAAACCCGCAGCCAGAAGTCAACGTCAACCTGTTGATGCAAGCCCGTCGCATTTCAGACCAACAGCGCCACGCTGTCCAAATGCAACAGGCCCAGCAGCAACAAGCTCAGCAACAGAGTCCTCATCCACAGCCGCAGCAAGCCCAGCAGGGCCAGCAGAGCCAACAAGGTCAGATACATCAAGGCACACCGGCTTCGCAGTCTCACTCGCCGCCTAACATGCGGCCTGCAGTCAACGGTGTCAACGGCACCAACGGCGTGAATGGGGTCAATCAACAGAACTTCATTGCCAATGCACAGGCTATGATGGCTTCGTTCAACGCTGCTAACGGTGGAGGGATGTCTACGCCTCCTGCTGGTGGTCTTCATATGCCAAACGGCGCCTCGGGCTCTCCTCGTCCACAAATGCCAGCCAGTATACAGGCACAGCTAAATGCTATCGAAGCTCAGTTTCGAGCTAAGAACCCGAACCTGACACCAGAACAAGCTCGCCAAGCTGCCACTGACCATCTCACGCGGCTGATGATAGCCCAGCGAACAACCATGTCCCAGAACGCCATGAACGCGGCCGCTGGTGGCGGAGGTGCCTCTTCACCTGGTATGCCCAACGGCATTGCAGCCACGACAAGCCCGCACCAGTATGCTGCTCTTCTTAGGCAGCAGCAGCAGCAACAGCAAGCGGCTCAGGCTGCAGCTCAGGCTGGGCAACAAAACGGACAACACCAGCAAGGGCATCAGCAGCAGCACCATGGTCAGCAGCAGCAGCAGCAACAACAGGCACAACATCATGCTCAGCAGCAACACGTTCAGCATCATCAGCAACATGCTCAGCAACAACATCACGCTCAGCAGCAACATCAGGCTCACTCTCGGGCCACATCTCAGCCTCAATCCACACCTCAACCGCAATCAACACCACGACCACAATCTACACCTCAATCCCAGGCCACGCCACGACCTCAACCCACACCTCGACCGCAGTCTACACCTCAACCTCAACCTCAACCTCAACATCAACCACAGCCTCAAGCCCAGCCTCAGCCTCAGCCTCAGCCCCAGCAGCAGCAGCAGAAACCACAAGCGCACCTCCAACAGCAGCATGCTCAGCCTGCCCAGCAGCCTCCAAAGATCCAGCAACCTCAGCAACCCCAGCAACCTCAGCAACCCCAGCAACCCCAACAACCCCAGCAGGCCAAACAGGTCCAGCCGGCTCAGCAAACTCAGCAGCTTCAGCAGGTCCAACAGGCTCAGCAGGCCCAGCAGACTCAGCAGGCTCAGCAGGCTCAGCAGCATGCCCAGCAGCAATCGCAGCAACAGCAACAACAACAGCAGCAGCAGCAGCGCCAGGCCAGCGGAAGTGCCACCCCATCTGCTACCACTGCGACATAGGCTAAGCTGGTGGGGGGAAGGGCGTTTGACCCTTTTGATGACATCATCATACTATCATAACCAAACAAATGGCCATGTCCAGAAGAGGCAGATATTAGTGCCTGAACATGGTGACGGAAGATGACGCAGATGAGGCGGTGTCGCGGGAGGCGCGGATGGATACCCATCGGGGACGGTAAAAGGGTTATCCCCGCAATGTCGTCGCGTCGTTCGCCTCCCGGTCGTCCAGCACCTTGTTTGGTGCGTAAGAGACGACTGCGATAGGAGCCAACGACGCGAGCAGACGATTTGTACATAGAATTAAAAAAAGAAGTATTGTGAAATTCTTGCTGTCAATGGAGCATGGCATTAAAGGTTGTATATAACCACTTTGTAATGCGAAGATGAGACGAGGGCAGACGAGCTACTTAGACAAGGACTGCCGACGAGGAAAGACTAAATGAAAAAAGAATAGCCACTCCACCAATTGGTCATGATATTCTCGCGCGTGAGGTGAAATAGGTAATCACTCCTGAGATTCGGGATTGCAGGACGTCATTCTGTGTGTTTGTCGTCCTATGTGTATGTATGTTCGAAATCACTCGAGTTCTGCCTTGGATCAACAACATTACGATTCCATGAGGAGACAAGATTCCAGTCATTTGGAAGCACTACAATATAAATTCAGGCCCCTGTCCCATGTGTGAGAGAGAGAGGTCCTTTGCTCTATAGTTTACGCCTATAACGCCGCTGATGCCCACCCTCCTAGTACCGTTAGGAGCGCATACAAAACCGGTCCTTTGAGAATAAAAAAACAGAACCCCCAGATTCATATACAACATGGATCTCGACGCCGCTATGCGTCGACCGCTTTTAGGCGGGTCCAGAACCGTTGCCACGGTTATTGTTGTTACCGCCGTCAAGGAGCAACTTGGGCTTGATGAAATCCTCGTCCAACTGCCGGAACAGGCCTGCCGGGTCTTCAGCGCTGAAGAGCTGTCTGATGGCAGACGTCGCGGAGACGTGAGGTGCCGCCGGCGAGGGTTCCGCTTGCAATATCGCGGATGACGTTGCTGAATTCGATGCGCCGGGCGTGAGCATTGGACTCGCCCGTCGTGTGTCCCGACGGGCCGGGGGCGGGAGGTCAGATGTGTCAATGTCGCTTCCCACGTCCGAGTCCGTCGTATTACCGCTGCGGCCTAGCAGATCGCCCCTCTCAAGCTCAGAGTTCTTGCGGCTGAGACTCGACCCTCGCTTGATCGGGTTCGGCGAGTGATGGCCGGAAACGTAACTGCCCCGTTCCGATGCAACACCCGGGCGGTTGCCGTTACGTGTGATATTGTCCAGCGACATGCCGCCGTTTCGGCGCCCCGGAGTGTAGCCGATGCCGGTTCCGGCGCGCTTGTAGTAGTTGCCGCCAAACGACTCAATGTCAAACTCATCGTCGCTGTCGATCTCATCGACGACTCCGGTGCGAATTCCCAATATTTCCAGCATGCGCGCGGTTGTACCGCCAAATATGATAACTGTAAGTACCACCACTACAAGAACGGTGGCTTTGAGCGCGTAAGAGTTCTCGCCTGTAAGCAGAGCTGCAAGTGCCACGCCCACCGCACCGCGTAGGCCAGCCCAGAACAGCATGGCTTGGTAGTTGTAAGGAAGCTCGTCGCTAAGATCTCCGCCTCTCCGCTGTGCTCTATACCGGATGACCCAGTTGATGGCGCGAGAGAGGGGAAAGACTGCGACCCATCGTGCAGCACAGACTGCTGCAACGGTGATGATAATGAGCAGTGGACGGAACAGCAGGGCGTTATCAGTAAACAGTGCTAGACCGAGATAGATAAAGATGAAGTTCTCAGACAACTGGGCCAGAATCTGAAAGATGAACTTGGTCGTAAGCTGGGTTCGTCTGGACATGTTGAAGTAGGCATAGTGCTTCAGCGTAATACCGCAGAAAAGCAAAGAGACGATACCTGCCAGCTATTAGTATCGGAAATGTAACTGATAAGGGCAGCAATATTGGCTTACCTGACATGTGGATGCCATGAGAGAAAAAGTACGTAGCGTAGGCGATCAAGACTACCAAACAGCTCTCCGTCTTGGGATACCGACGGATGTAGGTGAGTTTCAGAAGTAGCGCCGTCAAGACGCCAACAAGCACACCAATCAACAAGCTGCCGAAGAAGATAATCAAGAAGATGCCGATACCCTCAAAGAAGCTCAAGAAACCCAGTTTTGAAGCATCTCCTTTCTTGTACTTCTGTGCCGTCTCGAATATGACAATGGCGATGGCGTCGTTCAGAATCGACTCGCCAAAAATAATGGTATAGAGCTTCGGGTCAACTTTATACGAGTTGAAGATGGCCAGAATAGTCACAGGATCGGTGGCCGACAGTGTAGCACCCACGGAAATGGCGTCAACAAAAGACATGCTGATAGACTCCAATCCGGTCAGCGCATAGAGCCATAAGATGAGCCCAATAACGACGGCAGATAGGAACGTTCCGGCGAATGCAAATGTCAAGATCGTGCCAATGTTTCGGAAGAAATTAGCTTGGTGTAGCTCATATCCCGATGCCAAGATAATCGGCGGCAGTAATAGGTTAAAGAAGATTTGGTAGTCGAAGCTGATAAGGTTTCGAATCGAGTCTCCAGGGGACACGAGCAATAGCAAGCCAACAGTCATGCCTAGATATAGCCGTCAGAAACCTTGAAACAGGGCATAAATTGAAGGCGACGAACCTGCAAAGATGGAGATGACGGTTTCGTGAACGGCCTCAATCTTCCTCTCTTGTAGAAAGTAGCTTGTAAGAAATGCGATGATGAGCAACATAATGGAGATGAACAACGCCCATGCGGCGAAGATTTCCTTTTGAGAGCCATCGGAGCCTAGGTTATTCGGTCAGTCGCAATCGGTGGCAGCGCAAGGGATGTAGAGCTTGTATCGGCAACGTACTCTCAGGATCGCCTTCTTCAGTGGCACGTTCTGGATTGATTGTCAGCTTGCGCATTCTGCTGAACGCGATCGATGGATCAAGACGACATACTAAGGAGTTGCAGAGACGCCCCCGCGATGTCACTAGCGGAGAACATATTGATAGAGAACAGTTTTAGGGCGACCGCGACGTTCACGGATTGGTGACAGAGTAAGATCCAGAATCAAGAGGGAAGCAGGCTGACCGGTGGCTCGCGCATGAGCTCCGAAGTTTGCGGATGGCGATCATGAACAGGATCAGGTCGCCGGGTGCCGCAAGGTCGAAGAGGGTCGTTCGCCGTGATATCGCGGATTGGCGACGACGAAGAAAGGGAGCTCTCGATGTCGCCAGATTTCAAGCCAAAAGATAGCAATCGTAAAAGTGTCCACTGGAAGGTGCAACAGAATAAGAACCAGCCACTGCTCGGAAGCTGCGACAATGCACTGCGGTGGCTCTGTACATGTCCGTTGATTGGCCGACTGATGTTTGACGGGCGGTTTTGCTTGCGTAGCCTCGGCGGGGTGGTAGAGTTACAATTGAAGGCAGCCAAATGTCAGTGCCTTTTGGCGGAAACTTGGCCGCCAAGCGCCGATCGTTAGGTACTGGGTACTGTCGACCAACAGGTGAAGCTCCCGAATACGGCTAGCCCCGATTGTGGGCCCCTTGTATCAACGGGGATAGTTCTCCTCCTTGCCTGGATGGCTGGAGTTCACGGATACTGTTTAGTTGGTTGACCTACTTAAAGTACTAGGCTACTACCTCACATATTGCATTTGAGAATCACCTCAGGCAGTCGAATTGGACCGAGCGTGGCCGCTGAAAGCATGACTTCATTTGACATAACACGTGCCTTTTCGAGCCCCCTCCATCCGGTCTAGACCGCGGGCAATTTTGGGGCAATGCAGCTGGATAGGTCCCCATTAATTTTTGTTTCCCCAGCCCAGCGGCCGTGGCCGAGGGGCCTTGGGAGGTTGAGGGGATCGCCCCAAGAACCACACTGAGGGTGTCGTGGATGGTGCACTGCCGGTAAGACATCTGACACTCGGGGTCCTTGTTGGGGCCTGTTGGGTAGCTAGGGTAACACTTGACCAGATCCTCGTGAGGGTTTCTCAGCCGGGTGGATGGCACCGTCAGCCGGGGCGCTGCTGTTTCGGTCAGATTGTGCCCTACCGTGTCTGTACCTTGCTTAAAGATTTTTTATTGTGCAGCGCACCTGAAGCTTACATGCGGTCGCGCCGAGCTGATAGATGTACGTAAATCTGGGATCATGAGGAATATGTTTGTCAGCCCTTGAAAGCCTTTCAGGGCTGTCCAGACAGTGTAGTACAGTCGATGCGGTAACTGTTTCGATGTTTTAAGGTAAGAGACGGGAGCAGCAACTGAGGCAGGAAAGAGGAGCTACGGGCATGACGTATCATTTGGCGGGGGGTACCCTGGGAACAGGCTTGGAGGGCAGGGTAGGTTTCTTTCCCTCACTGTGCGATGCCATCACGACGTATTAAGGCAATTCAGGCAAGCTTGTCCGTTTTCCCCTTTCCACACCCTCGTCTTACTCGGCAGTGGAAGAAGATTCCATCAATTCCATCACTTGTTCAGCAAAATAAATACGAACATCCTTCCCTCCCACTACAGAGTCGCGTGGCTATCTACAGTGCACCTACACGCTACTTTGTTGCACTCACATCACCTACACGTGTATATCCGACAGAGTCGCCCGCCCACCACAAGCTCTGGCGGATCGAGACACCCCCTTCCGGTCGTCCCAACAGCTGCATCACGGTTCTCCCTCGGCTTTACGCCATTCAGCTGCACCCTCGCCTCCCACCTCTGTGGCCCCCTGGCATCGCATCGGATTCCACCAGTGCCAAACGCACCCGACGGCGGTTTTGGCTGCCGCTCTCCCGCCAGCCGCTTCTGTTAGGTCTCCAGCTTTATCCAGCCGGTTCCCCCTGTGGCATACATTCTGGCGCAACCCTTACACACCATCTCGATCTGCGGTACCTCGTCTTATTCGCCCTCTACAGGCTCAACAGCATAACCTGGGCTCGAATCAGGAACCGACCTGCATTTTTCGTTGGTCATTCCGCTAGGGCGCAGTTTGCATCCAGCGAATGACGCAAACTCCTGCCGTGCGAACTGTCATCGTCAGAAATCGAATCACTCTGTACCAGCCAGCCCGCCCTCGGGGGTCTCGTGGCATCCTCCTACTTGACCGCGTGACGGCACAGCGTCTTTCTGCCTGACTTGGCCACGTCGACCCCTTTTGTCCATTGTCGCAAGCTATTGTAGTCTCTTTTTTAAAACCCATTCGCGAGAATTTGTCAACTAAGATAGCCAGCCAGCCAAAGAGTTGCCATCCAGTGTCCTGCTGTCGAGCCAAACTCCGAGTTGACACGAACCCTTCGTTTGATGCCCCGCTTGTGGGCTTAGTCCGACTTCGCCGATCCGAATTGCTTCGCTCCGAGTCAGCCTCTATTTGACGCCCGTTAGTTGAAAATGTCGTCTTCCAAGGCTCAATCCCCCAGGAGGGGCCGGCCAGTGCCCAACATTGACCAAAGTAAATCTTCTACTCAGTCGGTCAGCAAGCAGACTCGCACTCTGTCTGGCAGCACGTATCGAAATAGTTCCGTCAATCGCGACAAGGGAGTCACCACCGAGCGTTCACCACTGTTGTCCTCCAACAGCGACGATGACGGCTTCGCCGACGGCAATACGGTTATGGATGAGCAGGACGACCTGCAGCAAACCAAAAGCGTTTGGTACCTGATCCTCCTCACAATCAGCATTGGAGGCCTGCAAATCGCGTGGTCTGTCGAACTATCCAACGGGTCGCCGTACTTACTCTCTTTGGGACTCAGCAAGTCATTGATGGCCTTGGTCTGGATTGCTGGTCCCCTTACCGGAACTCTGGTTCAGCCCTATGTCGGCATGCTGAGTGACAACTGCCGTCTCCCGTGGGGCAAGCGGAAACCATTCATGCTCGGCGGAGCCATTGCAACCATGATATCCCTGATGTTTCTGGCCTGGACGAAGGAGATTGTCGGCGGCTTTTTGGGACTTTTTGGCGCAGATCCAGAGTCCCAAGGAGTCAAGAACGCCATTATTTCCGTTGCTGTGATTGGCATATATGTTCTCGATTTTGCCATCAACACCGTACAAGCCGCCATTCGAGCCTTCATTGTGGATTGTGCCCCAGCGCACCAACAGGAGGCGGCCAACGCTATGGCTAGTCGCATCACTGGCTTTGGCAACATTATTGGATACATCGCCGGCTACGTCAATCTGCCGAAATATGTGTGGTTTTTGGGCGACACCCAATTCAAGGTGCTATGCGCGATTGCGAGCATCGCCCTTGGCTCAACCATCTTGGTGAGCACAACTTTGATCCACGAGCGGGATCCCCGACTCGAGGGCCCGCCAGCTCAAGACAAGGCCGGCGTCATTTCATTTTTTGGGAAGATATTCACTTCCATCAAGCGATTGCCCCCTCAGATTAAGAGGGTTTGTCAAGTTCAATTCTGCGCGTGGATCGGCTTTTTCCCTCTGCTCTTCTACACTTCATCATACATTGGAGAAATCTATGTTGAGCCTTACCTAGAGCAGAACCCGCATATGACTCCCGAAGAACTTGATAAACTCTACGAGAGGGCTACGCGAGTTGGAACATTCGCTTTGCTTATCAACTCCATTGTCAGTTTAGCTACGAACGTCTTCCTCCCGTTCTTCATCGCCCCCACATACGACTCCCACCCCATTCTTTGTGACGCGCCGGGGGAAACAGATGGCGTCCCGAAAGATTACGACGACGAGAAACCCTCCGCATTAGATCGCCTTCAGATCCCTGGGTTTACGCTCAAAAAGGCCTGGTTTGCATCCCTGTGGCTCTTTGCAGGCGCAATGTTTTGCACCGTCATTGTTCGCACCGTCGAGGCGGCGACAGCACTGATCGGTCTGGTTGGTATCACCTGGGCGATGACTCTTTGGGCTCCATGGGCCATTATCAGCGCTGAAATCAGCCGTCGCGATGCAATGCTCCGCGCAGCAAGACAACGACACATGAGCCCGAGCAGGCGCTCAGACGGTCCATCATCACCCTCGTTGAACTCCATTGCTGATTCAAACCGATCCGTGCTCAGCGAGGGCGAGGAGACGGACCAGGCCGGCGTTATCCTTGGCATACACAATATGGCCATCGCAGCACCCCAGATTATCGCTACCGTCGGCTCAAGCATCATTTTCCGCATCTGGCAGAAGCCTCGCGGTACCCCAGGCGATCACTCGATAGCCATCGTCCTAGCTCTAGGAGGCATTGCGGTTTTGATATCGTCTTTCTTCGTCGCCAGCATCAAGGAGAGCTCCTCTATGCCCGCGGATGCCATGGTTATAGCGGAGGAGGGTGACTCTGCGGGTGCAGGAAGTCGCCCGGGAACTGCCCGCAGCCGCAACAAGAGCTACGAGCAACTCCCGCGCGTGAGCATCAAGCGCGCCACACTTACTAGGAACAAGAGTTTTGGAGGCGCCGAGTACTAGTTCCTCTGGCCTCGTTTCACTCGTTTGGCGTTGAGAATCAGAACTGATACGATATTCACCCTTGAAGCTGAATTTGAATATGGGAAACGTGCGAGGAGTTTATGGGCATAACCACGGCGGAAGGGCTCTGCCATTCTTTCCTTTCGGTGTTTTTCTTTCGCTGGATGACAAGAGCCTGGGAACAATCAGGAAATTGGAGGCAGATTTATGCGTGTTATCCCCCGTAAGCCACCTTAGAATGTGGGAGGGTCAAGAGATGTAGACCACCATACAGAAGAAGCAGCATTGCCTGCTTAGAATGATGAGGCGCGCAGCCAGTATTACATACCATCACGTTTTTTTAGATTTACTTGGTGCCGAATCGAACAAATGGTAAGGGTGACGAAATTCCAATTTCAAAACAATTACTGACGACGTGTCTTTCGTACAATCATCCGTAGAGAGACCTTCGTATCCTTCATACATACACAGCCAACAGACACATTCTTGATTCTTTCGTCCCAAACTCGTGAGAGCAGGGAATGATGACATGCTCCAATCATTTATATAAGATAAAATAAAAAAAGCCACCCCCTTCAAAAGAGAAGTGAAAAAAGGCCCTCGCCCAATGAACTCCTTTCGGACCTGTTCGCGGTAGAACTCGGTCCAATGCATTCTTTTTGTTTGTTATCGTCTTGATGGTTCCAGAAACACAAATCATGAATGAGTAAAGAAGAAGTCATGGCGTATCGCTTTCTATCCTAAACCTCACGATTCCAAAATAAACAGGTAGACGCGAGATGGGGAAGAGAAGAGCAGAAACAGCAAAGACTATGGGTCATACTTACCGCCCGTGGGGCGTACATCAATGTCGTCTCGGTCGTGAACGTTGTCGCCGTGGCCCGACTTTTTAGTCGAACATGTCCACGCCCGTCGGGCGGCTGGCGCTGCTCCGTCTGCGCTCCTGTCTTCTCCGGCGACGGTTGTCCGCTGCCACGGACCCTACCGGGTTAGCACCGGGGCCGCTGGGCGAGGGACTCATTTGACTCCAGGTGCCGTGTGTATGCTCGCTGCCGATGCTAGAGACAGTGGGAGCGCCGGGCGGAGGACCCCCCGCGGGACCGGAGTAGTACGCCGAGTCCTTCGGCTTCCTTCCCGCTGCGAACGCCGGGTTGGGTGGCGGAAGGGGATCGCCGGCTTCAGACATCCTCTCTGACCTCTTTTGGCTCGAGTCTCGACGGTAACGCCGTCCGTTGCCTGCGTCTGTCCCAGAAAGACTGCTCATTGAGCCGCGTCTCCTTCTGTTTTCGCGTCTGGCAGCCGCAGCCTCCTCTTCAGTCAATCTTCGAAGAGTGACATTCCTGTCCTTATCGTCGTGGACCCTAACCTTCACACTTACTGGTTGCGAAGAAGTGGTTCCCATGCGCTCGGATTCAGCACGACGGCGCGACTCCTCTTGCGCTGCGAGCACGCTAGCTGAAGCGACAGCTGCTGCCGCAGCTTCCTCGCCAGCCCTCCGACGTCTGGATGATTCTCGGCGACGGGGTCGGCTGCTAGGTGATCCGTACACATCGGTCTCGGAGCCGCGGCTGAGTATACCTTGCGGGTCTGGGGGCATCGGGGGCATGCTGACAGATTCAGGGTAAGCGGAACCAGGTCCAGATGGTGTCCTCGGCGGCGGACCGGCAGAAAGAGGGGGCATTGGTGGTCCTCCATAACCTGTGCCAGGGGGCCGTGGCTCGAGCTCCGAAGATTCAGTCAATTGTGTGATTTCTGTACTCAGCGCAGACATTGGCGGTCTTGGTGGGCGTCCACTGGCGCGGCGAGAGCGTCTGTCACGAGACGGGGACGAGAAGCCGTCTCCCGTATATCTCGACCCGGTAATGCCTGATCTCATGTCTTCTTCCTCTCTGAGTCTCTGCTCCTCAGCGCGCTTAGATTTCCGGTCGGCAAGCTTCTTCGCAAACCATCCCAAGCCTAGGCCGGCTAAGATGCCCTTGCCGGCCCCACCTGCGGCGCCGGGTGGGTCGTCTCTCCGTCTGGACGGGCTGACATACGATGAGTATTCCGAATCTTCGAAGCTATACTGAGATCGAGTCCGGGCATGAGGGGGGCGATTCGTGCGTGACTCAGCGGCACTCAGAGCTTGAGCGGCCATCGTCGGGTTACCAACGGGTGGGAGAGTGGAACCATCACGAGGCCCACGTCTGGGTGGAGGAGTATCTTCAGTCCAGTCCGTATAGTCGGTGAATTCGCTTGTGGCGGGATAGCTTCGACTGGGTCGGCGTCTGGGGGTTTCGGTAGAAACGGCGGAGTATTCCTCGTCATAAGGTCGTTGCTTCTCTTTCTTCTTCATCATATTAGATACCACCTTGCCAGCACCAAACGCAGCGCCGAGGCCAAAGAGGGTTTGCATGAAGCCACCTCCCTTCTTCTTGTCATTTCGACGTGAGTCTACTTCTGTGTACTTTTCATCGTCGTAGTAACTAGCAGAACCCCCCCTGGATGGGAGGTAGCTTGCCGAACCCCGCCTGGAGCCGATGACCTCTGGGCCACGGCTGCGGCTTCTCGACCGCGATCTCTCTCGGCTGAGTTCTCGTTCCCTTTCCTTGTGCTTCTTGCGACTGAAAAGCGCTGCAATAGTCGCGCCAGCCGCAAGAGGCGCTATCCATTTGTGTTTCTTAGGCTTTTCGGTGTGAACATCGCTGTAGTATTCTGAGTCGTAGGTCACACCACTTGGCCCTTCAGAGCGGCCTCCGCTAATGTAAGTCTCACGGCCACGATCATCACCCTCTGCGCGATAACTGAGAATGAAGTACAGCAACAGCAAGAAGGCGACCCATAAAGAGTATAGAATGAAGGTGTACTTCGGAGATCCATATAACGTCAATCCAAGGGGGACTTGAATGAGGCCAAGAAGAGCAATGAGGCGTCCACTCCATCGGTGAATCATTTTCCTGAGCGAACGTCCTTTGATGTTCCGGACAAGTCTGCCGCCAATAATCTGGAGGAGAAACATGATAAAGATGGCGAGGCCTATGACGTGATGCGGGTTGGTCCAGCTTCGTTCTGGGCCGACTGCGAACCAGCCCAGGGTGAACACGGCAACGAGTAATAGGGCGCCTAGGATTTGTAGCTGTGCATGGTAGGGTATGGCGTAACCGGGTTTCTTCGTGTAGAATCGAGCCGTTAAGACGGATACCGGGACGATAAGAAGAAAGACAAGCGCTGCCATGACGCCATGAGCGAGAATGAGGGTATGATATTGAGCGACGGTCGAGAAGCGATTACCCATGCCTATGGTACGACGTGTTAGTTGCATGTTGTAATCGAGGCGTTTTCCGCCAGTACTTACCGTTGTATCGCATCGTCTCAAAATTTAGACCAACAAGGTTAGGTAGCAAGAAAGTATTCTTCTCAAAGTCCCAGGTTCCGTCGCCGACCGTCATGGTATTTGAGTCGTAGGTAGCGACGCCCGGCGCCGAGAACCCTTCTGCCGGCGCCATGATGGCGACGACGGATAAAGGAGTCCTTCAGTCGGTGTGGTCGTATTTAGGAATGCGGAATGCCGTTAGATGTCTCTGTCGTCGTGGTCGACTTGACTTCAATGAACCCCCCAAGGAATGCGTTTGTCTTGCGACGGGGTTTCTAGAAGTCAGTTAGTAAGTCGACCCGACGTAAATTGGTGAATTCAGTGTTGGCGTTTACGTGGGATTTTATGAAGCAGGAAATCGCGCCCTGCTTCAGTCTCGGGTTTTGGGACAAAGAAATCTTCAGGATAAACCTGAAGACTCGTCACTGATGACGAGAAACTAGATTTCTCCAAGAAAAGAGAGTGGGCTGGCCCTGTCTGTAAGTTCAGCTCACCAGGCGCTCGCTGACAACCCCCGGCGGACCTGCAGATGTGGTTGCGCGGGGTAACCAGGTCGCCCTTGGCGCCGTATCCTGGCCTACAGGCGGCGTGGGGCTTATCGATAGGACAGAGCTCTTATCTCCACGTGATCGTCCGAGCTGATCATCCGAGCTTGGGCTTCGGTCAGAGTGTCAGCAACTTTGTACTGGGCAACCATGCGCCCAGGGTTCAGCTCCTTTTAAGCTGAATCAATTGGCAAATTTCCTTTGCGACCGAAAACTGGTCCCAAGGCATTTGCTCATTTGTGCTGACTTGTACGTAGTATACTGATGGTGCCTTTGCATCCTTCGGGCGGTGTGCCACGTGTACGGGGTGAGCTGGCAATCCGTTTAGTCTAATTGGCCCTCAGCGCTATACGAACTTGTGGGATAAAGCGGACTCGAGGGGAGAGGGGCGACATTTAGACACGCATGTATTCGAGATTTGAAACTGGCGGTGGGAGAATATCCCTGTTCAGGCACAGCTTCTAGAAACCCGAACGACTCATAGATGACAGCTACCCGCAATAGCCACGCTTCTCTTGAGTTGCGAGTATGTCCATCTACCCTCGCAGGCTACTCACATCAATCTCATCTTGGCTCTGATTGATGGCTTGTGCGTATCCGAATATCTTACTTTCTAACGTTCTACGCACGAGCCGAAAAAAAAAAAAAAAAAGGATGGTAGATCGTAAAGTGAAGTTGATCTCTGTAAAAGGAAGGATATTGGAACAATACGCCTCAGGCTGTGCGCAGCCTGGGGAATAGACTGATCCTCTATTGCTCGTTATAGTCAGCAGTACTAAGAAGAATACACTCCTATTATTGTTACCCATTGAAATATGCCCTCATTATTTCATAGATGATGACATCGAGGCAAAAGACGACCTCGCTCTTGAGGCTTATTCTCTATGTTTTCGTCGATAGGACATAGACTAAAAGCTAGAAAGCTAGCAGTATTTTGAAGCTTCAAAGTAGTTTCTACCAATATCTAGTTCTTCTGAATCATATTTGACCTATTATCTCCCCACATCGGCAGACTAGTAGTATCCTGCGATGAGAGCTGGTCATGGGTTTCGTGAGGGCCTGGAAATCAGTCGACCACCAGAAGGAAAGCCTTGTTCCTAGGCATCAATGTCCCCATCTGCTACTCGGTAAGTCACATACTGATTTCGATATGAAGTCCACTTTTGTGGCCGCCAAATACAGCATTTTCATGATATCGTTTGGCTTGACGTTGTCTTCCATATCTTGAACAGTTTCTGAAAATAGGATTTCTCAATGGCTTTGAAGCTTACTTCAAGGATGCCCAAGCCACTGATAAATTGGCCCTAGAAAGAATCACAGGCAAGCACACACTACACATGAGCTGTTTGAGCTGCCAGAAACACGGATTCGGAGAATCATCAACAGGCAGTCAGTGCTAATAGAACCAGCTCCGACTTTCGGACTGAAAGTTGGAGCTGTATAGTTATTTTCGTCTGAACGCAGATGCGGAAGGTTAGACTCATTGGTAAGGAATCCTTGAGTATACCGGCAACCCCTCATGGATGAGTCAAACGAGAAATCGATGTGCCTGACTGAAGATGCATCTCGTCTGCAGGAACCCTGCTAACTAGAGTGCTGCAAAACGGCCCCGCACGGCCGCTTTCCTCGATCAAGCTGTTAAACCCCGCAACTGGCTTGCCAATTGAGAAGACGCAGAAACCCCACTGGAAAGAAAAAGAATGAACGAGATTCATTTCGAAGGAGTATGTATGACTGTGCTGTTTTAGCTTGGTGCGGCTCGATGGCCCCGTTGATGGTATGTCGTTCGTTGGGGTAAGAGACTTCAGAGCAATGTCAGATACCTTCCATGTGCCCAAATCAATGGGGTGTTCTTCAACCGTAGCGCAACCGCACAGGACGTGAATGACCATAACGGTATGAATACCAAAATGAAGAAATTTTAAAAACGACACCCTTCAATCCAATGAACATGTTTGAAATACTTTGTGCAAGGATCCATGCGTTAGCGATATGATGAGAGTGGTAAAGTGACTTAGTTAGGAAGCAAACTTAAGGTAAGCTCTTGTGTATAATTGGCCAGAGCTCTACCAGATTTTAATGAAGAGTCTGTGGAGAAAGAAACGTATCGAAATTATATCAGACTCGATAGTAGTGCGTTGTATAGTATGAGCGGTCCTAACGGACTGAACAGCGCTATGTTGGAGACTCATCTTGACAATCAACGACTCTGTCTAGAAAGCGATACCCCGCGGAGGCCCACTTTAGGAAACAGCGGGATCTCGGAGAAGCCACCAACGGCCCGCCGCGGTCCGCACCCTATCAAACTTGACAACTTCATCACGCCATTGCCAACACATTTGGCTGTCAAAACATTGAAGAATGAGACAATGCTGGCTTTTCTGGCGGCCTGATGCTTCTGATCACCTACGCAAGGGAAAGAGTTGATGCAGGTTTCAAAAGGAAACTATTCTTCTGTTGTTGAGCACCTTTGAACGCAATTATGACGTGTGGTTGTTCAAGCAAAGACCAAGGCATAGAGACCACGTTAGCCATCAATACGACATGTTGGACGTTGAGAGTGATGAAATTGATCAGAGTCATGCCCAGATGTGCCCCGTTCCCTCCCTTCGTTCGTCTGTGCCTATGTAATCTCGTAAGATTATTACGCCGATAGCATCTAAGTTGACAGAATCTCATTGAAAACAAAAATGAACTTCAGATGAAATCTAGTAAAGAATGTAATAGGAAGCTGAGAAAAAGACATCGCGTCATTCCCAGCTATTGTTTGTCCTCACCGGCTGACCAGCTTTACAGGCTGGTTGCGCCTATACTGTTTATGGCTGTATCATGCCATATGCTCCGCTTTTTGCAAGGGATTAATGTCCGTTACTTAAGACTGGGAGAGCGTAACAGGAAATTTTAACCCGCGGTTAATAATAGCAGGGTTAGTAGTTGTGCTCAAGATGGCCAACGAAAGTCCGATGTTGTATGTATAGACGGACTTTTTTGTTGAAGAATATTTTTGACCTTCACTAGCAAGTACATCAATAGCCCCCAAAAGTCGCGCGGCACGTTGCTGACTGGACAGCCGACACCTTAGTCAGGACGCTAAGAGGCACAGCAGTTAGCTGAGTTGAAGCTGGGTGTCTGATTTGCTCAGTACTTGGAACCAGAGTTCAACAGGGAAGGTGGCCGCCGGCTCGGGCTCGGACTAGCCCTACTCTCTCGCCTTAACTCCCCTTGCATCCATAATAACAACCTAAAACCAGGTCGTACATCATAGGCTGTTACGCCATCACGCGGCGCGGGGGCTAAAGATTTCTCTCTAGGCAGCCGTTTAACGCACCTGGTGAATTGATCACAATGCAACAACGGCAGCCTCTTTCCTTCCCGTTCTTGACCTGGATTGGATGAACACTGGTTTCCATCCACAACCCCACTGGCATCCTTCTCAGATAGCCTCACAAGCTTGACTCTCTTAAGAAATGTTTAGTGGCGCATGCCCACTCTAATTCAATATTGCCCAAGGAAGAAGTAAATTCCCTTAATAACTGTCCGCATTAGCGCATCGACCCCGAACGGATCCGTTTCCGCCGCATCATGACTGTATACCCCTGGGACAATCTCCTTCAATACATTTCAATGGCCTCACACACTGCTTGGGCGACTGTCAGGGGTCCCTGTCTTGACTAGCTCTTCTCAAGGGTATCAGCAGCCTCTTAAAGCTGCTAACTTCCCTGCTTTTGGCTTTTGGGTTTTCTCCACGTGTTTATCATCGCAGGTGGTGTAGCAATAGTCTCATTCTTTGCAAAATGGTTCGCCTTAGTCTACTGACGCTTGCTGTCACGGCCCAGCTCGTACACGCTTGGTTGCCCAACGATGGCTCGAGGAAGCTCTTGGATACTCGTGGGTTCAGTCTTTTTGATGGTCAAAATACTACCGATGAGTCGCATGACACTGAAAAGCGTTGGACGCCTGCCACTGGCAAAATCAGAGGAGTCAATTTAGGATCCTTGTTTGTCTTTGAGCCGTGGATTGCACATGTTGAGTGGAACAATATGGGCTGCGGCGGCCAGGAATCCGAGTTCGACTGTGTCATGAACATCGGACAGGAAAAGGCAGATGCAGCCTTCCAGAAGCACTGGAGCACATGGATCACTACCAGCGATTTGGATGAGATGATGGGCTATGGCATCAACACCATCCGCATTCCTGTCGGTTACTGGTTGGATGAGTCTTTGGTTGACAAGAACTCTGAGCATTTCCCGAGGGTTTGTCTTGAGTGGCCTCATTTAAGTCAGTTGCTAACTGCGTATAGGGAGCTATACAATATTTGATTCGACTTTGTGGATGGGCCAGCGACCGTGGCTTTTATATCATATTAGAGTAGGTTCAGCCAACTCACCTGTGCATTTCTTTGCCTTTGGCTAACATGAATTTAAGTCTTCACGGTGCCCCGGGTGCTCAAGTAGCCAGAAACTCCTTTACCGGCCAGGTAAGCTAACTCTTGCCATCTGAGATTGCCTCTAACATGGCATAGTTTGCACCAAGTCCTGGTTTCTATAATGACTACCAGTATGGTCGGGCCGTCAAGTTCCTCCAGTTCCTCAGACATCTTGTTCATGACCACAACGAACTACGTAATGTCGGCATGATTGAGCTTGTGAACGAACCTCTCAACTGGAACTCGGCTGTTCAGTCCTTGCGCAGCACATTCTACAAAAACGCCTACAACGTTAGTTCTGACCCCCCTCTAACATATCTGAACCACATTGTTAAGCAAGTAGCAACAGGCCATACGCCAGGTCGAGCAAGAAATCGGCACCAGGCCCAACGACCAGCTCCACATCCAGATGATGTCTTCGCTCTGGGGCTCCGGCAATCCGGTTGAGTTCCTCGACAGCAAGTACTTTACCGCTTTTGATGACCACAGATACCTCAAGTGGGCCGACCAGAACCAGGTACCCTGGACACATGCGAGCTATATCTCGACGTCATGCAAAGACAACCGTAACGGCGACGCCTCCGGTCCCACCATCGTCGGCGAATGGAGCATCAGCCCACCGGATGCGATCGAGAACACGGATGGCTGGAACAGGGACACGCAAAAAGAGTTTTACAAGAAGTGGTTCGCTGCGCAGGTTTACTCCTACGAGAGGTCGACCGCAGGCTGGGTGTTCTGGACGTGGAAGTCCCAATTAGGTGACTACCGGTGGTCTTATAGAGGTTTGTTAAACCAACATCACTATTACTTTATTGGCTTGATGCTGACGTCTTTCCTAGATGCTGTGATTGCAGGAGTTATACCGAGGGACTTGAATGGGATTGCCAGCTCTGGCGTTTGCAACTAGAACAAAAATTTGCCTGTAAGGACTTTTATGAGGTGTGCGTTAATGAGAATTTTGTGCCACAAGCCTTTGTACACTCGGTGTGTAGAAGTAGAGCCTTGGATACCGTGGTGTAAGTGTTCAGCCTGATAACAGGATGCTATTTAACAGTTAAATAGTTTTGATGTCGACCTCGGCTAAATAATGTAACCCAGAGCTGACCAGTACTCAACTTGTGGGAAACCTTCCACAGCGCCGTTCGTTGGTGGAATCTGACCTCGTAAATGTTGGCGGCACCATTATCGGAACCCCGCAACCATCCTACGCTGAAAAGCAACGTAGCTTTCATGTTTGACTACAACTGGGGCTACTTCCGCCCGAGTTAGGAAGGGAGCCTTCCCCAAAAATGCCCAAGGGCGTATGGTGTTTTAGCCGCATTTAGTAAAGCTGCTGAACCCCCGCTGGCCACTACTAAGCAACGGCCGCGAGATCGCCCTTGTTGGCGTAGAGAACCAACTGCATAGATTCCCATCTGTGCGGGAGATCAGCATTCGGCAGCAAAAACCACGTACAGATGTCATATTTTTGCCTACGCTCGCCTGTGGCTTCCTCGTTCCGTAAAACCCGAACCGGTGAGGGGCAAAATTAGCAGCCCTGTCTCATGCCTTGGTTCCGCCCTTTCCTTGAATCCCGCACTCCCGTTACTAACCTCTTGAGTTAGTTTGCCACCAAATATGTAGAAAAAGCACCACAGGTAGACGGAAGCCAAGCATTGTGACCGGGCTAACGGCATAGCTTTCGCATTTCCAAAAGTGCTGGTTTCAACGTCATGTTCCACTGACACATGTTGGTTTCCCTTCTCGCTTCCCTCAAAATGCTTGGGGTTGATCCAAAGCAGCCGCAACTTACCACATCTTGAGAGGAAACGAGGCGGAAGTCCGCATGTTGTCTTGCATGCCCACTTTGCAAACACGAAGTCTGTCGGCTCGCCCGCGCGATGTCGTCTGATGTTCAGCCTCAACGACATCAGCCATTATCTATGACGTGCATGTGGCACCGCTCCGTCCCGGCTTGGGAAGGGGAAGGTTAAAGCGCCTCCCCGCGACTCAATTCCATGATGCGGCCGCAGGGAAGAAAGTTTAAGGGTCTTGACGGGAGGTTTCTATTTTAGAGAAAATGGGACAAAACTTGGCTTATGCTTGACAGAAACCTCGAATTTAGATTCGTTCTTCTCCTCTTTTTCCCACCATCAATTTCGAATCAGCCAACAGCTGAGAATTTGGGAGTTGATCTGCTTGGGACCGTGTGTCTACATTTGTGGGTGTAATGACCAAAACACTACCACAATTGTTATCAAAGAATGCGATCAGTCATTTACAGGTGGGGGCCATTGACGCAGTGTCACTTCGTATGACGATCCAAATCAGACGAGCCGTTTCCCCAGATTTCTCAACCCCTCGCTTTAACCTAACCTAGCTGCTCCCTCCCTTACTGGTCCCTTCCTTTACTAGCCCCGTGATCATCAACGGGGCCTATACGTGGGTGTTGATCGATCGGCAACAAGCACCACATGTCTCCGAATCTTCCCATTCCTCTTTCCTTCTCATACTAAGGTACAGGAAGGCATGATAGGCCCAGTCGTCAAGTCCATACGAGTTGCAGGCAGCCATGTTACCCTGAGGTAACAGCAGCCAACTGCTAACGTCCGAGTCCAGCACCAGGAAAGGAATGCACCTGACAGGGAACTGTAGATCAGCGGGGTTCCGCCAGGAAGGTCGCTGTTGCCCGGGACACTCTTGCCTCCGTACAACTGACGACATGGCGGGGACCAAACGATAATGGAAGCCGTGAGAGAACGGAAGGCTTTGCTAACGAGCGTTGAAGCCGCATGCAGGAAAACACACCGTCGGCTCCCCTTTGCCGCATTCCAAATTTAAACCAGGTCATCCTTCCAGTCGTCTCCTGTCCACATAACATCTATCTCCCATCTCCAAACCGTCTTTGGTTAGTCTTGTTCTACAAAACCTCGTGTTCGCGAAGCGAGGCCATCATCAAGGTATGTGGAAGTCTCCGATCAGCGGTATAAGACGAAGCTCATCGGCTGCGCAGATAAAGTCGCTCTCATCCTTTATCACCAACAACAACAGCTACCAACTTTCATATACTCACTTCTTACACTTGCCACTTGAGCTTGTCTACTCTTGTATCAAAAATGAAGACCACCACTGTCCTCGCCCTCCTCGGTGCCGCCCTGGCCTCGGCCCAACAGACCACAAGGTCTGCTCCTTTTCACCTCAAGTTCACCTCTGCCAACGAGGGCTCTGCGGAAACCTACCTCTCTACTTGTCATTCTGGAGCAGGTGAATCAGGTATCTGCCCAGAGAGCAGCAACGCCCCCGCGCACACGCAATACTACCTCAACCAAACTGCTCAGGAGTTCGAGGGGAAGACTCTCGGCCTTTTGACATGGGAACTTCCCATTGGCAACGGCAACCCCATCTCGACCTCCTTGGGCCTCGTGCCCCAGCTCGTCAGCAACGGCGCTATTCCCATTTTCTCCCCCGGTGATCGTGGCCTTTGGAATTTCGGTTTCGATGAGGACGACAAGCTTTTCCTCTTCACACGTCAGGATGACTCCAAGGCTGTCCCCGAGACGGTTACTTACACTGAAGAGGCCTACTACCGCTGGCACATCTGCTGGACCTTTGTCGGCAACTACTACTACAACGCCCTCGTCTGGGTTACTGCTGGCGCTCCCTCCAACCCCACTTGCACTCCGGTCGACGTTATTAGGGAGTTCATTCCTTCTTCTTAAACTTCCAGGGTCCTAAATGTCCTCCATCTGTAATTGTGGGAATGGCTGGTGTTCCTTAATAGTATCTGATAGTTAATCCTAATACAACGCCCCCATTACCCCCACAAATCAAACATGCACGCTCCCAGTTGGTTGCCCAAGCTGAGATATTATCAAAGAAGTAAAGTCGCAGTGAAGATTGACGTGCACTGTATGTACCTACGCAGCATTGAAACCTTTTTTTTTTTTTTTTGTGCTCGAAAGTCTAATTACCCCTGACCTTGTGTAAATGGAGCGATATCCCCCGTCATCGAAGCTTTTATCTTTTGTTACGTGGGCTATAACGGCGGAGGTTTTACCGAACCAACGTCAATAATAAGATAAATAATAGCTCATTTGGAATATTAATGAACTCATGGTCATGTACCATGCAAACGTCACGAAAACAACAAGATCGATATGGCCGAGATTTTCCTATTATAGATTTATTATTTCTAGTGCTAAAGGTATGATTATGCTTTGCTTTGCTTTGATTTGTTTTGCTGTTACTTCCTTGATGCCCCTGCACGATATTTGTTGCGATAGTTGGAATACGGAGTCGTGTGGCACTTCCAGCCACACGCCCGCCAGGCTGAGAGGCCTAAGCCTCCCAGACCCACGTGACAGGCCAAGGGGGAATATCCCTACCTTCTAGTTAACAATACTACTTTTAACTATTATAAACCATCGATTAGAACTAATTTACTATTATTTATTATTAACAAACGGAATTCCGTTTCACCCCTTATGAAACCTATACTGATTAGTAGTAAACCTTATAGTTGCTATTAATTTAGTTAACTTTATAATTACTACTTTGCTACGGATAAACCGTAGATTAGCAAGGTTAATACTAGAAGAGACGACTTCTTAAACTAGATACCTAAGCTTAGGTAAAAGTAGGGATTTCGTACTAACGAGAGAAGAAGCGAGAGTAACTAGGATCTACGGAAACTAGTAGAAGAAAGCTTCTTTTCCTCGAATCTACTAGCAATCCGATTATTCGAGTAACCTAGGGACTGTTATGCTTACCTTAGGCGGGATAAGGTTAATTATAGCTAATTATCGCTAGCAAGAGCGTTCTATTACGCGTTTTTAATTACTAGAAGAAGAGACCTACCGAATCGATAGTCTTCTAACCTCTTTACGCTATAAAGGCGAAGATTTACAAATCTTATAAGGGATAATAACTTCCTTAACTATAACTATCCCCTACGCGCGGTGCTAATTACGAAGCGCTTGCTAGTTTCTTAATAAATCCTTAGACAAGGTACTAACTATAAGGCGCTTGCTATAAAAGACCTCCCTACTAGAAGAAGAATACGCCGAAAGGCAAGCAAAGACTACTAATAGTAATCTGCCTATATAGCTATATATATACGCCTCCGAGGCTACGGCTTAGGAGAAACGTACGTAGTTATAAGCGTTATAAGGCTAACTATCTACTAGATTCTAAACTTCCTAATAGTAAGGAGCAAAGCCCGAAGTAAGAAAGAGAGATTTATAAGAGAATCTATAATAGAACTTTCTCCCTACTAATTCGAGACTTATATATACCTTTATACCCTTCGAGAATATTAGTAAGAACGGCGCCGACGGAAATAAACGATAAACCGACGAAAATCCCCGATTTTATAATTCTTTCCTTTTAGAATCGTAATATCCCGAATCGTCTTTTAACTCTTACTTCTAAGCCTATATCTTATACTAATCGTAGCTAACGCTATTAAAGATTAGAATTTAAGATTCTAAATAGAAGTAATCCTTTTATACTATTAGAATAAAGCGAAATTTACGAGAAGGATCGCTTGTAAGTAGTATTACTACTAAAAGCTAATCAATAATCCTTATCCTATAGAGAATTGAAAGTATAATCAATCTAGTAGTATAAAGCAATTAGGCAATCGACCTTATAAATACTAGCCTATAGTAACTAGGTTCCTATATGTCACAGTTCTATTAGACACAACAGTAGGGATGCCACAGTTATGGGGCTGCCAGTGTGGCTGCCAGTGGGGCTGCCACACGTGGGGCGATACTGTCGCCCTAGACCGCCCTATAGGTATATTAGACCACCTGTTCGCTAGACCTAGGATAGACCTAACCTAATAGACAACAATGACTAGAACGACTTATTAACTGTGACAAGTGGTAGCACAACCTACTTTGCGATCCCTCGCGACCTCATAGTTAATTTTTCAGCATGGGCAAATAAGCTACTTTTTTCAATCCGTTGAGAAACACCAGACCGTGGCCAATCCGCCCGCACCAGGCTAATTCTGCTGCTAACGCGGCTGCTAACGCCGACGCCGCCAATATGCGCGCACCAGCTATACTATTCGCCTCCCCTCAAGACCCTACGCGAGACCATCACCCCTCGTACCGTCAACGCCGTTATCCCTCTACGCCTACGCCAGCGTGGGACCCAACGGTATGGCCGTCAATTGACGACCTCAAGGCTATCCAGACCCGCCAACAGCGCCCAGAGCCCTGCCGGAAGTGTAGCGCTAGATTCCCCAGCAAGAACGCTCTCTTCCGCCACGTCTATGCCAATAGCTGTGGAAGCCAGTTTCGCTGTCGCATCTGCTATAGCGATTTCACATCTCGCAACGCCCTATTCCGACACCTACAACAGGGCTGCCAGCCCTCAGCCTGTAGGGCTGGAATCCCACAGCAGGAGACTGCTAAGACTACTGCCGAGACTACTACCGAGACTGCCGAGACTACTGCCGAGACTACTGCCGAGACTGCCGAGACTACTACCGAGACTACTGCCGAGACTGCCGAGACTACTGCCGAGACTACTGCCGAGACTGCCGAGACTACTACCGAGACTACTGCCGAGACTGCCGAGACTGCCGAGACTACTGCCGAGACTGCCGGCCAGACCATAGAAGTTATAGAACGGGCTTCTGCGCCGTTTCTACAGACCCTCTTCAACGCCGCTAAGCATGCCCATATCTATACCGAAATTAGCCTCTGTATGACTATGCTACAGTCTCAACGACAACAACAGCAACTGCTTTTCCTACCAGACCCAGGGAGAAGATTCGCAGCCATAACGAACATTCAGCAACGATACGGAGTATTCTGGCCCGACGCCGACAGCAAGTACGGCAGGGAGCCTATATTCTATGACCAACAGACACTATGCTACCGAGACGTAGATCTATGGCTCTTAGCAATTGGAAGGAAAATCGTTAATCCATACGCTCGAGACGAAGTCCTCCGAGAATGGCAGAGCCTACTCAGAGGTAAAGCACTCAGCTGGTGGGAATATCACCTTAGGCCCGTGGAAAGGAACCGGTATAGGGCCCTAGGATGGTACGGCCTACAGAAGGGACTAAGTGCCCGCTTTGGGCCAACCCAGCTAGTTAATTACAGCCAGCCAGCCAGCCAGCCAGACAGTTACGCCCAGCCAGACAGTTACGCCCAGCCAGTTAATTACAGCCAGCCAGCCAGCCAGCCAGACAGTTACGCCCAGCCAGACAGTTACGCCCAGCCAGACAGTTACACCCAGCCAGACAGTTACGCCCAGCCAGACAGTTACGCCCAGCCAGTTAATTACAGCCAGCCAGCCAGCCAGCCAGACAGTTACGCCCAGCCAGTTAATTACAGCCAGCCTTAGGCATACCCCCCTATTACGCCTCGCACTAATAGAGGCCTAAGGAAGTCATGTTATTAAGCCGTTTAAAGTCATGTTTAGGCAGCCGAAACGATCGGGACGATCGTCTTTTTCGGGACGGGCACCTGTCACAGTTCTATTAGACACAACAGTAGGGATGCCACAGTTATGGGGCTGCCAGTGTGGCTGCCAGTGGGGCTGCCACACGTGGGGCGATACTGTCGCCCTAGACCGCCCTATAGGTATATTAGACCACCTGTTCGCTAGACCTAGGATAGACCTAACCTAATAGACAACAATGACTAGAACGACTTATTAACTGTGACACTATATAAGTTTCTTACTTAAGACTTATAAGAAGAGGAATCTTATAAGCCTCGAGCTATAGAACGAAGTTTCTCCCGATTTCGCCGACTAGTTAGAAGAAGACTTTTAGAACGTACTTCCCTTAATCCTACGATTCTTTAAAGACTATTTAATCGGTAATAGCGTCTACGTCGAAATAGATAGTAAGAAAATCTTAAAAAATATAGTATTAGCTTTTAAAAAGGAAGAATTCTACTACTAGTTACCTTAAGAACTTAAACAAGGCGTTAAGAGATATCGCAACCTGAAGGCTTTGATAAAAGACCCCGAATTCTACGAAGAGATTACGAGACCGGCAATAGTAGCTAATAGTATAAGAGGAAGAGTCGAACTAACCTTATAGCTACCTCCTCTATAAGAATAATAATAGTAGTAACTACCGTACCGACCGCTATATCCTACGGTCTCTCCGTTAATAGACTTCTAACTATACGAGTTAATAGACCGTATCGGAAAGTAATTAATAGAATTCGCGAAACTATACCCCGACGATATAAAATATAGCGGCGATATATACGATATACTTGAAAAGAAGATGCTAGTATTCGTAGATTATTATAGAATGCTAGGAATTTATACCTCCTAATATAACAAGGTACTTCCCCTAATACTAAAAGGAATAGCTAAAACCTACTTCTACGCCTTGATTAAAGTAATTAACCTATAGCCTAACTTCGAGACTATAATTAACTAATTAAAATCATACTTCGAGACTAGGGAAAGGCAATAAGCGTACGTTACGTAGTAGAATATAACTACTCTTCCCTAAATTATTCGCGATAACCTTAGAAAGACTAAATCGGAGTATTTTAATATACTATATAATAAATTAAGCAAGATTTAGCCTAGTTTGCTATAATAAGATTATAACGACCGATCCCTCTATACCTAACTTCTATACGCTTATAGAGATATTCTAGAGTATATAATAGCGTTATTTATACTAGCTAAGACGTACGAGGGACTTTATAGCTAATTAATCTCGTCGATC